ACATGGCACAAAACGTGTTTCAAATGCACAGAATGCGGAATGACGCTCAATATGAAAACTTACAAGGGCTACAATAAAATGCCATACTGCGAGGCGTAAGTATAAAACAGAACCGAACCAAACCAAAGCAAACCAAACCAATGCATACCAAACACAAATGAAACCAAACTAAAAAACCAAAGCAAATCCCACTCTTAACAATCACTCACTCGAATTTGTCGAGGATCTGCCATGTTGCAGAGAGGAGCAGCGCTTAGTGGTGACTACACTCAGAAAAAAAGTCATCCTGAAATAAAGAAAATCAAACAATAATTAACATGTTGTAAAATTAAAAAGTTAATCTTAAAATTAGAAAAACTTGGCCTAAAGCGATTCAATAGTTTCATAGAACCAAATCTTTTCTGAAATTCCGTAAATATTTATGAAAGTTGCTGCCTCGATTGCTATATTAGAATTTTGCTGTTGTTTACTTCAATTTTAGAAATCCTTCGCGCCAAAATCAGAGTGATCATTTTTCTGAGTGTAGTTATACTAACCTTGATTGGTGTGCCCCTCATACAATCTTCATTAGCGTCGTTTATCTTATCGCCCTGCTCCGGTAACTGAGATAAGCAATACACCCATACAACCCCACTCCACACTGCGTTTGCTTTTTATCCACCGACTATTTTTCTATGGAAATCGCAGCAACAGCTGTCCGTTTGGTAGATTGAAGAGGGGGGAATTGGGTGGCGGGGCGGGCTTGTCACTTGTCACGTGCTGTTGTAGCACGAACTGGATTGCAGCTGTTTGCAAAGGTGCGGAAATGCGGCGACACTTTAGGCTGGCAGAATGAGAAAGAAACAGAGAGAGAGAGGGAGAGAGTGAGAGGGGGGAGGGGCGAGAGGGAGAGAGAAATACAGTTGCAATGTGGCCTGCAGCATTGCAGCAACTTTAACCCCGTTTGAATCGCGATTTGCACGTGCTGCATCCTGTGTGTGTGTTGAGTTCGCACAGAGAGAGTGCAGAGTGGAGAGTGCATAGTGGGGTGTGGGGTGTGAGATGTGGGAAAGGGTGTAGGGTGTAAGAATGCCACTGCCACTGCCACGCCCCATGTTTATTGTTCTATCTTGAATGTTGCACAGCTCATTGGAACAAGCTGCGCTTTGTTGTGAACGGTTTGTATCTCTTTGGTGTGTGTCTGTGTGTGCGTCGTGTGGCAACATGGTGTACTGTTCCCAGTTCGCAGTTTGTGGCACTGCAGTGCGTGCGCCATTTGTTGGCCTTGAGCCAAGGCGACAGCAACGAGGCAACAACCAGGCTCCCTAATGCAGATTTATTGTGGATGCCACCGCTGCGGGAATAAAAATTCCATGCGGATTGAGTTATGCGTCCGTTAGCTTCACTCTGACGCAGTGGCCAAGAGGCCGCCCCTCCTACCCATCTACTCTCTTTTGCCCCCGATGATGTCATGTGTGCCACCCATAAATGGGGCGTGGCAGGAGAGTTTCGCTTTACCACTTTCACTGCAGTAGAGTCAGTCAACACCTTTTAGCCAGCCCATCAGCCTCATTTGCACCTCATTTTGAGGCAGCCTTTTGGGACCGATTTGCTTGCCTCTTACGTGACGTCACGTAACGGTTACGATTTGGAATCCAACTGCGGTTGCTATTCCATTCTCCTGTTGGACTTTATAATTGCTTGAGAAGTTTTGCTCACTTTTCTTCCATATTTCTTTCTTTCTTGTTCAAGTTGTGCGCCTGACTTGCAAGTTTGCTGAGCCACTTTGGGTCAGCAAAAGTTGTTCCCTCAGTGGAATAGGGATTGTAATAAATTATGAAGTCTACAACTTAAGAGAGAGGGTAAAGGGGTTGAGAGACGACGGCGGAATGCAATTATAGTTGGCCACATGTGAAGCGCCACTTGCAATTGTGATTTTAATTGGATGAGTCAAGTTATTGGAGCAAACGAGGGCATAGTTTATTATTTATATCCACTGATATATTATCCCTAGCGGATATAACAGATAGTTAAAACTTTGATTGATGGCTAATTGAAGTTTGTGTGGACTCCTTGTTGTGCACCATTGTTAAAGTTAACAGCGAGCATAGAAAAGTTGCTTTAAAAGCAAACTTTCTCCCTTTTTGAGATGGGAGGAAAACTCTCTAACCTAATTGTGTCTTGAAGGAAAACCTGCACAGGACAAAGGAACACACACATTGACACACACACACAGTCACAGTCAAACACACACACACAAGTAGGCCTATTCAACTCATGTATCCATTGCATTACCAGGTTCTGCCATTTAGTTGGAATTGAACTAGAAAACGAGTTGCTTACAATGTTTTTATGTCCGTTGCCATTTTTACATTTATTTTATTTTATTTCATTTTATATATGTGGGCTACTCTTTTTAGCCCCGTTTTCTACAGTCATTTTGTGTGTTGTTGGGTTTCATTCGACTAAAATAAATAGACAAGATGGGAAAAACATCTGCACTTGCAACCGACAACCGACACAAGCCACATACCAGATACATGTACGAGTATATATATATATATATATATATATATAGTTCGCATTATATGCGCATCTGCACATTTATTTATTAACATAAAAAGCCAGTGAACCATGATCATGCCCTCTCCAGTGCCCAAAATACAAAAAGAAGAAATAAATAAAAAAAAAAAACTGTGCTCAATTCTTGCCTCAAAATGCCTGATGTGTGTCTGTGCCACATTCCTCAGCCACAATTCCATTCGAAAGTTCTTCTCGTCATTTTGCACATTATATATTTATTTTTTTGTTCACTTTCATTTGGAAGAGAGGGCTTAAATATCCGTGGCTTTCTATAGATTTATATATACATGTGTGTGTATTTATGTATGTGTGTATTCATATGTATATGTGTGCCCCATTAGTCGCTGTTTGATTACTTAAGCCGCCTCCACAATAGAAAAACAAAAGCAGCCAACAGAAAACCTTTTCAATTACCAAAAACAAAAAAAAAAAAAAAACAGAAATAGAAATAATGCTGTTGGCGACTTGGCTTTGCCTCTTTTTATGCTAAACACCAGAAATTAGAGAACCCGATTCCCGCCCAGTTTTCAGGGCAAACAATAAGCTGGGAGTGTCACCCAGTGCCCCACAATCTATAATGTTACCCGCCCGCCTCCGCCCGCCTCCGCCCTCCTCAATGCTCCCCTCTGCCCACATGGCTCATTTAACTGCTTTTGCGTATGGAATTTTAAGCATCGACACACTCATTGAGCCATCGAAAATCCGGTTAATGAAGCTCAAACTTCGAATTTTTCGAACATATTCTGCTTATGGTGAGCTGATTATGTGCCAATATCTATTTGAGCCTTTAATCGCATTTCGTTTCGAATTTATGTGCTCTTCGCTCTCTGAACGAACATTTAAAAGTGGATGCCAAATAGATTTTTGGTTGGAAAATGCCTCAGTCAAGTTTTCACTTGCTCCTCTCGCTTTAATGGAAATTTCGTATTTGGCCGGAAATTGGCAATTGCATGAAAATAATTAAAATGTTAACTTCCTTTAATGCAGTTTTGACACTTTTAATTACAAGTTAATTAAATAATTTGACACAAAAGGCACAATTCGTGTCATTATCTCATTATATCATTATCATTATGTATTCTCTTTTTTTTTGTCTTTTTTAAGACAAGTTTGTTTAATTTCCTCATATCCCTTGTAAGCTGCCTTATCAATGTCCTGTCATATCACACGCCCAGCCTCCCCCTTGCTCTATGGCCATTGATCCAATGCGCAAAAAGTTAACCAACAAAAGGCTTGTCACATGCAAATTCCACAAATCACATGCAACAAAATGTTGACATCAATGAATGTACCGTTTTTAAGCTTCCCCATTCATGCTCCCGGTTTTGGGTGGGTTATTTGTTTGTTGGTCAGCAGCTCCTCCTCTTGTCTAGTTTACAGACTGACACACAAACACACGCACACATACGTATATACATATTTATTTGCGGGATAGCTTCGCTTGGTATCCAGTTCCCCCTCATCCACAACAATTTACGTTAAACTTATGAACAGCACACAATGTGGCATGCAACTGCTGCATGACTACAGCTTGAAAGACTTAACAGATGCTCCGTATTTAGTATAAGTATTTTTAATAGTTGCCAATAAATTGCATTGAATGCCATAAAATAAACAGTTAAAGTATCCAAAGATTGATTACGTATTTTAGCTAATGAAAGCTTCACAAAATAAGAAAAAAGCATATTCCCATCTATATTATAGTTTGATATATTGTGAACAACATGTTTTTTATAGTTATAATTTTATTTCTTAATTTAAATAGTATGCTTAGTATTTCATTAGTAAAAACAATGCTTTAATTTCTTGTTGTTAAAGACCATTAACATCTGCTTAAGTATTTATTTTATAATATGTTTATTTTTTATTATGTTTATACTCATGTCTATATCAGCAATTAAAAGAACATAAAATAACATTTGAAGCAGCTTTGTAGCACTTCTTTCTTTCCTTTTTTTTAAACTAACAAAGCATTTTTGTAAACTTATCGGCAGTGCTTTGATTTGTTTGTCGATATTGCTTTGATTGATTTGGTTGGGTATACATTTCAAAACTGGTTACGCCAGTTGCACAGAGTACATAACCTGCATATATCAACATACATATATCATCATCATCATGCCTTGTAAACAAACGTTGTTTACAGGATATTAAAAGACAATGACAACAACAGCAACAAAACTGTGTTTGCTCTGCGCTGCGTCAGTTGCTCTGGTTGCTGCTATTGTTGTTGTTGTTGTTGTTCTTGTTGTTGCTGGTGTTGTTGTTGTTACTGGGTGTATATTGTTTACAGATAAATTAAAATTCTTTGATAGTAAAAAGTAAAGCAGCGTAAACAAGAACAGCAAGAACAACAACAATAGTTGCATGTCACGCACAGCAGCTGGTGTGGTTACTGTTGCTGGCGTGCGTGTTGCTGCCGTAGCCTGTTGTTGCTGCTGCTGCTGTTGTTGATCTATTGGGAACGTGCCGAGACATCCGCTGCTGCTTTGGCTGGCCAATGCCGCCGCTGGCGCTTAAGCATTGTTATGTCATCATTGTCAGCTAACAGCAACAACAACAGCAATAGCAGCAGCAGCAATATGTGCCAGCAACAACAGCAATGCGCTGCTTTGCCTTTGTTAAAGCAAAACCAGCAACAACAACAGCAACAGCAACTGCAGCAGCAATATAACAATAACAGACCTACATGCATGAGCGGGGCCTGGTCATTGGTCATTAAACGGCCTTGTGCCACTGCACCACCCACAACCCCCCACCAAAGCATCTCATTGCCTGCACTTATGCTGACCACAGATTGGAATGGGAAGGGTTTGCTTTCGCACTCCCTCTCTCTCTCTGTCTCTCTTTAAACTAACTAAGCTACAATGGAATTTGTGCACATGTGCACATTTATTTATAACACGTTTAAACAATTGTTACCCAGCAGCACCTCTCCTCCCTCCACTTGCGCTTGAAATGTTTTGCGACAGCTGTGCTCGATTATTTCTGCATAAATATTCTATAAGCCAATTTAGTTGTGCACAATTACAATTACACCATGAAAACGGAAGGGGGGCGGTGTGGTTGGGTGGGGTGTGTGTCGGCACTGGAGCAAAGAACTGGCCAACAGCGATGGGTTTATCAACCTTTAGCAAGCAGCTGTTGTTGTTGCTGCTGTTGCTGTGGTTATCAGTTGCTGGCATCGCGAGTTGCAATCAATCGATCGATTAGCCAACTGATAGGTTAAAATGCTCGACAACATAAACAAACACACACACACACACAATGAAAAGAAATATCGCATGTGTGTGTGTGTGTGTGTGTGTGTGAGTATTTCATGAAAAAAAATATAGCAGGTTTATTTGACTTTGGTTTGCTCTGTTTTCGCCATAATTAAATTGATGTATTAGTCTATTGGGGAGCATTAATCATAGCAGAGTATTGCATTTTCTTGGTATTGTTTGCTTATCAATAAATTTCCTTATTGGTTTTTTTTTTGTACATACACATAACCAGATAATTGAGTTTGATAAGCGAGTTTCTTGTTAATTTTTGAATGAATTTATATTTTTTATTGGTTTTTGTCGTATTTGAAATGTTGATTTATGTTATGAAGGGGGGACAACATAAATTCAATTTAAGTTGTAAGCACATTGCAAAGATTGCCCATGTTCATTAAGACATTTGTGAACACTACACGTGCATTGTTCTTAAGCTACTTTTAGACTATGCTTACACTGATTTTAAGTTTTAGCACATTTGCCAACACAGATATATAAACCTATATAGCTTTTAATATGTGCTACTTTTAGACTCTGCTCTATGATTTTAAGTTGTAAAATACTTTGCAACACCGCTATATAAACCAATGCATTTTCTTGTCAAGCACGAAATAAATGCTGCTAGAATTAAAATCAATGCCGCAAAACTCTTCTTTGGTTTTGTGGTCGAAAATTGCATTTCGCTGCGCCTTTGAGCCGCATTATTCACATACTGCTAACGTTAACCGTTATTCGCCGTTGGTCTTTTGAAATCTTAAAAGCAAAATCAAATACACTTTTAATTGACGCAACCAATAGCAAGAGGGGGTTGCGGATAGGGATAGGGAGGGATGTCCAGTTGAAGAGAGTTCAGAGGTGAAACTAAAGACGTCGTCGAGCCGAAGAATATGCGTTACATGATATGCTGACTGACTGTGACCCCCCAAGGCAGGCAAGCAGCAAGGCAGGCAACTGTGACTCCTCCCACAACAAGAGTAGACTTTCATTGCTGGTGTTTCCGCAATGTGCTGCAGCAATGGAAATTTGCAACATACCGTCACAAAAAAAAAAAATACATTGACCGGCGGCAACTTGAACTCTATGCTGACTTTTTGGCCAGCTTTTCATATTTTATACATTTAGTAGTAGTCGTAGTAGTAGTAGTAGTATGTATTATTTTTTATAAATTCCTCTATCATATTCTGTTTGCTGTTGTACCCATTGCAGTCACATACCCAAGGCCAAGGCAACGGCAATTGCGGATACGCCTGAACTGAAGCGCATCGCGGAAAATACGAAAATCCAATCGAATGTGAAATACCATGCTGACTTTGAGAAGGCCAAAGGCAAATTTACACAGGTCAGTTTGTCAGTGTGTAATTATTATCATCATAATCAAATTAATTCACATCTCTCTCACTCTCTCTCTCTGTCTCTTTCGGTCACAGGTGGCAGATGACCCGGAAACGCTGCGAATCAAGCAAAACACGAAGCACATATCGAATGTGGCATATCACGGCGATCTGGAGAAGAAGGCAGCCATGGAGAAGCAGCGTGGCTCGGCAGAAGTCTCCGACAGCAGCAGTGAGTAGCCAATTTTCCAACTCTCTCTCTCTCTCTCTCTTTCCTCTCTTCTCTCGCTCTCTGTCTATCTATCTCTCTCTCTCATTGTAACTTAATTTGTGTGTGTATTATCGTTATACGTGCTATAATCATTCATTGCAATTGCCGTCGTATCACATGCATTGAGTATGTGACTATAAACTGATTAAGTAATCATTAAGTATGTCTATTTAAGCGTAATGCGTTAGCACAGTGGTGCATGGCGTATTTTGTGTTGGTGTCTAATTCTTATCTTATAAATATTTAATCAATCAACACACATCAATCAAGCAACGAAAAAAATACACTTTTCATACATTTACCAACACTGATCGCAGCAGAAACTTTATTCAAATCAGTTTTGCACCATTGTGCCTTTGCCATATGTCGCCAATTTTCCCCCTCTCTAACACACACAGACACACACACACACGCATCGAACGCATTTTGTCATTAATACTGATTGTTTTTTCGTTTGTTTTTTTCGTTTTCGTTTTCGTTATGGATTTGTGTTTATCATTTTGTTGCCTCATTCATCAACTACAACAACAACAAACACTACGCTCATAATATGTGTTGCTTTCTGAACTACCGTTAACCTAACAACGTTACACAACACTTGTACAACACTCACAAATATCTAACACTAACTCTGGGAACAAAACAAAAACAAAAACGTTCTTCAAAAAAGATGAATCGGAATATTTCTCTGAGCAATTGGCAGCTGAACAATTCTCGCAATATGCACCCACAGCCTCGCCCATACCGCCAGCAACACTGCAACAACAGCAACATCACCAACAACAACAACAACAGTACCAGCAACAGCAACAACACTATGTGCAACAGCAACAGACTCTGCCACCGCCACCCATACAACACCAGCAATACAACACGGCGGCCATAACGCCCACATATCAACACCAACACCACCAACAACAACAACCACAATCGCAGCAGCAGCAGCAACAACTGCAACTACAACAACAACAGCAACAACAACATAGCAACAATCATAGGCAGCAGCAACAGTTGCAACAGCAACAATCGTTGCACGATCCATACGCACACTATCAACAGCCGCAGGCGCTGCGCCAGCAACAGTTGCTGCAGCAGCAGCAGCAGCAACAGCAACAACATGCCATTAAACAAGCCTCACATCTGTATCCCACAGCATCATCGCAGCCACCACAACAGCAACAGCAACAGCAGCCCACACAGCAGCAACAGCAGCCGCAGGCGGTTAACAGTTACAATCAGATGCGCTCGGCAATTTTGCATAATTCGCATCATCCCAGTGGCAATGCTGCGGATCAGTTTGATCACAGTCAGAATGCGGCAGCAGCGCTGCAACAGCAACAGCTGCAACAACAATTGCAGCAGCAACAACAGCAGCTACAGCTGCAACAGCAGCAACAACAGCAACAGCAACAACACCAATTGCAGCAGCAACAACACTCGCACAGCAGCCTGCTGAATAATAATGCAAGCAACGGCAGCATTCACAGCAACAACAGCAACATCAGCAACAACAATAATGGCGGCAACATCCTGGCACATCCGCATCCGGCCAGTCTCAGCTATGTACAGCAACAGCAGCAGCCGCAGCCAACACGCTCCCAGGCCAGCCTGCACAGCAGCAATAATGCGGCAGCAAGCAAGCAACAGTTGCAACCGAGCAACACCAATGTGCAGCAACTGTATGTGGCATCCAATTATAGCTCCATAACACCATCGGAGAACGCATTGGGCGCCAAGTTGCAGGCAAGCAACGGACACATGCCCATTGTTGTGAGTGCCGCGCACAGCGCCAGCAACAACATTGGCAAAATTGCCGACTATGATCCGTTGACGGATGGACCCCGACCGATGCCCAGCACTGGCAGATCCAGCACAACGCTGGTCTACAGCTCCGATCAGCGTGGCGGCCCGCCAGGAGTGGGTAAGTGTAGTTAGAGAGCAAGGCTAGCTGGTAGTTCATGGCTCAGCTCGATGTTGCATCAACGTCATCTTGTTCGTGTCTATGTCCGTATCCGTATGCGTGTCCCTCCCCCTTAGTGTTGCCAGTGTCCCTATGTCCCCCGCTCCCCGTCCGGCTCAAGTCTAACAAATGTTGTTTTCTCCTCTGGCAGGTAACAGCGTGTATCCCAAACGGATTGGCTCCATCTCGGACATTGATCCCGCCAATGGCATCTATGGCTCGCTGAGCAGCGCCGATCAGGCGCTGGCCCAAAAGCAACAGCAATACTATCAGCAGGTGCAAATGATGCAGCAACAAGAGCAACATGCGCGTCAGCAGCAACAACAGCCAACTGCTGCACTCCAGGAGAAACAGTCGCGACAGGGCAATCTGGTAAGAAGGTGACACTTTCCACCTGTGCAATCCAAATTCAAGTAGTTGCTTCTTTTGTTTTTGCAGCGCGTCTATCGCGCCATTTACGATTATGAGGCGCAGGATGTGGATGAGGTTAGCTTTCGTGAGGGGGATGTCATCTTTGAGGTGGAATCAATTGACTCGGGCTGGATGACCGGGCGGGTGGAGCGTACGGGCAAGACCGGCATGCTGCCCGCCAACTATGTGGAGCAAGCGGTTATATAATAGGGAATGTGCTACTACTGCTGCTGCCGCCAGCAGTTTGTGGTCATATTGGTCTGCCTGCTGTACATACTGCTCGTGCTCATCTTCTTCATCAATGTGTTTCTGGCGGATCGCAATATGCACACAAACCACCACCTGATGCACGGTGGTGCTGGTGGCAATCCAATGATTGTCGGTGCGGGTGGTGCGGGCGGCATACATCCGGGCATCATGCATCCGGCAGGTGGTCATCACAATCCGTACGACATGCATGGCTATCATCACTACAACAATTATCATCCTCAAGTGGATCCCAAGCAGCAGCAGCAGCATCAACAGAATCATCAGCCGACACGCAAAACACCCAATCAACAGCAGGCGGAACAGGATATTTACTACTATTTCAATCACGTATTCAGGCGGCGATAAAATGCCACCATCACCACACCACCCACATAAACACAGACGCGCCTCCAACACATATATATATAGAGTATATATAGTCAGCAGGCCAAGATGTATACAACAAAAGAGAAGAAAAAAGAAAACATAAAATAAATAGCAGAAGAAAAGTGAATAAAAACAATTGTAAAATTCATAGCATAGAAAAGTGTGAAATATGAAATATGAAAGAAGAAGAAAACCATAAGCCATTTATAAGAATACATCCATTTACCATATACCATTTACAATAATAATAATAATAATAGTAATAAAAATAATAAACAAGCCACAACAACAACAGCAAAAACAAATACAAAATCCAACCAATGACAGCAAACAATTTTTGAAATTTTGTAATTTTACAATGCTAAAGTGCGAAACAGTTTTCCAACAATTAAGCGACCAAGCTAACCCAGCCAAAATTTGCATTTATCTACAACAGGACGCATGGGCAGGCCGTAAATTTAGAAATATTTATTGATCTATATACATATACAATACACACACATATAAAGATATATATATATATACGCCTAATCAATCAGCTATCCAATTGGGTTCCACATATGCCTAGCTAAAGTTTTAACAAAATGTTTGTCACACAATTTTCGATAAGATTCGATTTCGAACGGAAATAGCAGCAATAGCTTCTAATTGAATTAGAGTCTAGTATTTGTAAGACATAATGAGAGAAATACATAAGTAAAATAAAAAAAATACAATACACAGAATACAGTGAAATAATGCAGCAGCATAGTTAGTATAATGTTCAGATCGGCAGCTATATATGTATAGTTATAGCCTAAACAAAAACTAAAACAAAAACTTGTGCTTTTTAAAAGCTTTGCGGCGTTTAGAGATCAACGTTGAATGCATCCCTACAATTTTGTCAATTTAACTATTTAAATAAACTTGTTCTTGTTTGTTGCACATGAGCAAAGCACAGCTGGGCAAATAATTTCATATTAAAATTTAATATTTGCCCACCTGGCACAGTCTGTTTGTGTTTCTTTTTTTTTGCCCCTTTGTTTAGTATATACTATGGATAATAATAATAATTATAAGCACATATAGAATTGTTTTCGTTTCTATAATTCTAGTATATTGTAATTGTTTCGTTTCACAAAAGTTAAAAAAAAACTCCTTGAAGTGCCTTTAATTTGCTAAAAGTGTTTTTTAGATAACAATATATATATATATATATATATATATATAATAGATATATACAATGAATATGACTAACAGAATCGAAACGAATTTCAAGCAAGCCTAAAAAACACTGCTACACAATTTGTTCTTTATATAAACCTATACTACAAATATGAATTAATGAAAACATTTATGTGATGGGTGTCAAATGGAGATCGGGAGATAATGTTGAAGTTGAAGCAGATGCATCGTTGTAATTCTAATTCATAACTTGCACGCATAGTTTATAGCCAATTTATGGTATTACATTCACACACACACACAACTCACACACACACATGCAAGTTTGCAATAATTAACTAAAATAAAAATATATAAATATTCGCATATTAACATAAACGAGCCACATGCAATTGTAATATGAAATATGCCTAAATATTAAAACAATTATTATATTATTGAAAACAATAACTAAACAATAACAACAACAACAAACAATAACGAGTGGAGCAGCGCCAAAGGCTTCGTTTTCAAAGTGTTACAAATAAAATGCAAAATTATATAAAACAAAAACGATTTCAATTGTTTCGTTGCGGCACATTCAAATAATGTTTGTATTTCAACTAAGTAACAAAACTGGAGATAGCGTTAACATTTAGGAACTATCGCTGGTGGCAAACTCCGCTGGCGGCGGATCGAGTGTGGGATGCACTTGAATGGCACCCTCACGGGCACCAAGTATTGTGTCCAATATGATATTTTTGGAGTTGGACATGGTCTCCTCAAAGAACTTGGCATCGGCGCGCTTCTCGGCCGTGATATACTCCAGTTTCTCCGTGAGCATGGTGATCTTCTCGTTGGCCAGCTCCAATCTAAATTGCGATCTTAGTTTGCTTAAGGATTGATTACTCGCGTTGTGTTGCTACTTACTCATTCTTAATATCCTCAATTTTTGGCTCGCTGCTGATCATGGAGCCCATCGAGCTGATCGATGGACACTGCGACTGATTGTCAAAGCTGAAGGAGCTGATGGAGCCGGTTAGTGGAATGCGACCCACTTGATTGGCATATTCGGTGATGCGTTGACTGCGCTTCTTGCGATCCGTCTGCACATCCAGCTCCTTCTCCAGGTCACGTATCTTCACCTCCATGCGACAGAGGCGTGTCTTCTGTTTGGCTATTTGATCGACTGCAGATTCGTTCTTTAGACGCTCCACTTCCAGGCGCTCCTCCTGTGCTTTATTCAGCAGCAATAACTGATTCTTCTCTACCTCTAAGGCGTCCAGTATACCAACAAATTCTTCCTGCAAGAAGAGATTTACCACATGTACTTTCAATTTCTGAGCAGCTACTCACCTTACGAAACTCGCGGCAGGAGAATAGAAAACCACCTGTGATTGCCCGCAAATCGGTCTCCAGCTTCTTGATCGTATCCTGCAGTGCCTGAATGGAGCTGTCCTTCTGCTTGAGTTCATTGTGCAGCTCCAGATTCATGCCGCTCAGCTCATCCATCTGTCGCCTGGCAATGTCACGATCCTCGGCAATGCGAATCACATCGTTGCGCAGATCGTCCAGGCGGGTCTCGTATTGAGCGCGCTGTGCTTTCAGTTTATCGGTCATGGAGGATGCGTTTGTGGCGCTGTAGTCGGAGTTCTCCTCCAGTTCGGTGGAGCGCATCTTATATTTGAGCATGTCATCGTTGAGTGTCTTGTTGCGCACCTTGAGGGCCAGGGTACGATTGCGTTGTTCATCCAGCTGTGCTCGCAGTGCTTCTATCTCCTTCTCCAGCGTCTCCACCTTGGCCCGATGCAGGATCTCGCTCTTGCGCACGCCCGGCGTGAAGCGATCAAAGGTGGCACCGCCGCTACATCCATCGCCACCACCCACACTCAGTGTGGTGCTGTTTCTACCAGGAGAATTCATCGGTTTGACACCACGAGGCGTTCCCCTAAGACTCTGAGTGCCGCCCCGTTCCAGTTCCGAACCGTGTGCAATGGGCACATAGTCACCGCGCTCGGGCATCCCCTGCTCGTAGCTTTCCATGCGTACCTTCAGCTCCTGCAGCTTCTGTTGCAGTGTCAGGATTTGTTGGGCCCGTCCACGCCAGCTGGCCTGGCCCAAATTGTTGGCCAACAGATTGATGTTGACGGTTTCACCAACCTCATGCTGCAAGCACTTTTGGGCCAACTTGAGCTGATTCTGCAGCTCGGTATTCTTGTTGCGCGTCTCGAAGAACTTCTGCTGCATGCTGTTAATCTTCGCCTGTAACTCATCAGCTGCAGTTCCCTTCTTAGCCTGTTCGCCATTGTGTGTCATCTTGTCATTGCAGTTCTTTCGTTCTTTTTCCAGCTTCTCGATGTGCATTTCCTTCTTAAGAACGCGATTCTTTAGCTGCTCCAGCTCGGCACGCATCTGGCGATTCTTTTTGCTCAGCTCAAGAATTTTGGAGCTGGCAATGGAGGAGTTGCAACGCAACTCATCCATGGGCACCGAATTTAGCACCTCATTTAGCGAGTCCACGGACTGCTTGAGGGCACAAATTTCCTGATTCTTATCACTGATAGTCTTGGCCAACGTTTGATTCTCCTGCTCAAATTCGATGAGTTTCTTGCGTAACTTTTTGCCCTCTGGCTTGGGCAATTTCGCTTTTACGGCCGCTGTGGCAACAACAACATGCGATTCATTTTTCTCATGTTCGCGCTTGCGACGAGACAGTTTGCGGGTCTTTTCTTTAACTTCCTTGACTTCATTATCTTGTATAGTTCCATCGAGTCTTATCTCAATATCTGTGCCGTCTTCTGGCAATACGTCCATTACACCAAGTTCTAAGCAAAATATAATTCTGTGAAGGTGATTCTTGCGTGTGCAGTCTCACAAATTCGCATGTGTGCGTGTTTTAAATTTACAAATTTGGAACGTTATGAATATATTTTATAATTGTTTTTCGAGCTTCTATTTTATCACATAACGTTTTAGGAAAAGTGAATAATCAGCTCAAAAAACCGTTAAGCTGTCAAAAACGATAACAGTTTAGTAAAGTTAACAGTCACTTAACAGCTTACCTTATGTCGATAGATCAACATAACAGCTGGAGTCTGCCTATCGAATACGCCACTGTTGCCACCTTTCAAGAGACCAGTGTTGATTAGGTCGTGACAGCGGTGTGTAATTGTGTTTCGCTGGCAACAAAATGGACGGATTTATGATGGTAATTGTTAATTTTAATGTGTATTTAGTATTGCATCGAGCATATTAACATGCGCCGGCTTTACAGGACATCATCAAGGGCATGTGTATCATGGACAACGACGGCAACCGGATTCTGGCTAAATACTACGACAAAAACATATTGTCCACGTTGAAAGAGCAAAAGGCGTTTGAAAAAAATCTATTCAATAAAACGCATCGCTCCAGCACTGAAGTCATTATGCTCGATGGACTGACGTGTGTTTACAAAAGCAACGTGGACTTGTTTTTCTACGTGATGGGCAATGCCTACGAGAATGAGCTAATATTGCTATCGGTGCTAAATTGTCTGTATGACTCCATAAGTCTCATACTGAAGAAAAACGTTGAGAAGCGTCTGGTGCTAGATAACCTAGAGATCATCATGCTGGCATTCGATGAGATCTGCGATGGCGGGTAAGTAATTGCACAGCTAAACGAGAGCTTGTACAGCTAATACCCATTTATATACGCAGCATCATTCTGGACGCGGATCCGTCTTCCGTGGTGAAACGCGTCGATCTGCGCAACGAGGATATTCCCATTGCCGAACAGACCGTTGCTCAGGTAACTAACACACTAAATGGTCTCTTTTGGTAGCTCTAGCACAAAACTGTTTCGTTTCGCGACTATGATCCAATTATAGGCATATCAAAAGCTCGCTCAAGCAATCAATTATTTAATTTATATTTATGTATTTAGTACTTATTAATATGTAGAAAACATTGTGCACCACAGAATGTTATCCATGTCAGTTTAAACTAACTTGAATTTAGACGATTGCCTTTATTATGTAGCTATATTATTATTTTCCGAATGATCAAATAAACGCTGTCCAGCAATATTTTTTATCATTTATCGATGCATTAGTTAATTGTCTTCTGATAATGTAATGTGTGGCATATTTCCAGGTTCTCCAATCGGCGCGCGAGCAACTCAAATGGTCCATATTGAAATGAGGACGGGGTCGGAGAGGAGGCCAAGAGCAGTAACACTGTCAGCAAGCTGTCGCAATACATTCGATTTGTTTATTAACTTCGCGTAGACTATAATATTATACACATAAACATATATATCTATTATACCAGAGACAATGTCGTTTCTTTCGCACATCAAAGAAAGTTTTGCTGTAAGCCAATTCATGTGTACAATATACAAACAAGCGCTTTTAAAGACTACAAGTAAGGTGTAAAATGGTAATTTACAATAAAGTTTTCTATGTGTAGTTGAAACTACGATTAACCGAAGTCAAATATTGTATATCACAGCATTATATTGAAGGCATATCTATAGCGAATGATCACCATTTTTCGGGGTTATAATATGGCTAATGAACAAATCGATTGGCATTCAAAGATTTTCGATTTTGTAATTTCTTCTCGATTCTGCTTGGATTCTTAGATTATCCCATAAACCTTCAAAAATATTTAACGAGAAAATTTGGTCAAAAATTATACAAGTCAGAAAAATTAAAAAAGTCAACAACAAAATCGGCGTAACTTCGTCATTTCAAGGACTATCTGAATGTCGAACAGAAAGCACCAGCTAGGATTTGATTGAGCTACAGCTATTTTTGTATAAGGGACATGGAGTATCAATTTTATTATTTCGTCCCCCCCCCCCAAAATTATGCTTTACTATTTTTGATTTTTCGAAAACAATGCTTCAATTTTGATTACATGTGCCTGCCTAAGAGTATGTTCCTTATTTATTTCATTTGCAAAGTTGAAGTCCTCCTGAAAGTATGCAACTTTTATTTACGTTAAGGAAATTGCTTGCCCTCTTTTAAATGTTGCAGAATAATTGAGGGTTGCTTGCGATTTAATAGTTTTACGCGTTCTGTAACTGCAGCAGATTGTACCATTTTTAATTAGCTGACACCTCAATATAACCAAATAAAATATAATTTCAATGGTTGTCGTTTCATTTATTAAAATATAAATATATGCACATCTTCATTTTGAGCGATAAATCGTAAAAATCCAATTACAAGACTATACACGATATATGGATAAAAACTATTTGATAAAGTCACTATCTTATATGAAAGGTATTACAAGAAAACACGGTGTTCCGGAGTTGATGGACACATTTCCACAAGCGCAGGTTTAGTAGCAATCAAAACGGCTTAAATTTCATTAACACCATTGAAAAGGCAAACATTAAAGATTTTAAGTATTGGCAGTAATATTTTTACCAATACCATGAAATCACGTGATTGATGTTGTTGTTTTTTTTTTTTATAATCCGTTAATGATATTGCGATTGGTGATTAATCTCAACATCTTTATAATAGGGTTTATTAAATGCCGACGCATTTCGTTCTACAGCGCCATTTACCCCATGCATATAGATTTACCAAATTCATATTGTATAAATGGTTAGACAACCAGAGGATTAAAGAGCTTCTACAGACAGCAGTCAATTTGCTTTGTTGTTTCCACGAGCTTATGGGACTTAGTTAAGGAACTAAACTTGTTGTTTATGACAAACGTGCGTTAAACTTATCAAATCCGGCTATAGCTCTTGGTATAAACTATATCAAGTACAACTAGTTGGCGATTATTGGCTAATTATAATCAACTGCGCAGAATTGTTGTATTCTTAGGATTAGACGTGTCTACAGAAAGAGTGGAAACTCTCCGACTCGATGATTCAAATTAGTTGTTGTCATTTCCATTGTTTGTTACTATCATTCAATTTGGAAATTGCCCATCGATAAATCATCATCATCATCATCATCATCACATGAAGCACATGCTTGCTACGTGCTATGGCGACCCTTTAATCAAATGCTTGTCAACAATGCAAAAATTCCAACTTACCCCACTCCAAGCAGAGAAGTTCCCAATTGTTGTTGTTGGTGGTTATCAGTGCTTTTTGCCGAGTTTGTCGAATTAGACAAAACAGCACAGAGCAACTAAAGGAGGGAGATAGGGAGAGATAGAGCTGGGGAGAGGGAGGTGTAGGGGAAGTAGCTTTATCTGGTTTTAACATGCAAGTGCAGGCTGATATGTCAAAACACCAAATAGAACATTTAGTTAATTTTTTGGGCAGCTGTCATAATTTATGGATTGCTCAAATCACGTTTCATCAGCCATAAACCATTTTAGACACCCACGTAATCAACTGATTCTATTCCATTGTCAGTTCTATATATATTGTTTACTTTGATCAAGCAGGAGGGCTTGTCGCACTACAAATGAAATGAAATGAAATAAAAGCTTGAAGTCAATTCAGTGTGAGTCCCAGACATAACATCTTAATTAGTTGTCTAATGGTATATATCAAGGTCATAACTTAAACTTTAAAGCTCAAAGTTTTCTCGATGTTTTCCTTGTTTTCTGCTTATTGATTGACGCACTCAAACAAAGATTAAAACTGTACAAATTCTTACAAATTAAAAAAAAATATTTGGAGAGACTGTAGAATATTTCTTTGAAGGTTTTATATAATCAGGAGAACAACTAATTTTAAATTCAAAATGCAGAATTTTATTAATATATCTATCACTCTTTTGACTTAGCTGCCAAGCAATATTTACTGATTAGGAGTGTGTTGTTTATTAACCAAATGACTTTTGAAGAGGTTTGCACAGAAGAGCATTATCAAAGCGATTACCGATTAGCGCCATGGCTGCCCCACCTCTCCACTGCATCGGCCAAAATCGAAATCTCTGGCACAATAGACCAAATTTATTTCAATGTCTCGAATCGGATTTATATAACATAAACATATGCTCGCAGCGATTAATTGCCTTTAGTGCGACTGGGTTCATTTTTTCTTTTTTGTTTTGTTTTTCCATCGAGATTCAAAGGAATGCGAAGCTTTAACGGATCTGGCATACCAATTGTCAAGTGGAACAGACGACTAACTTGACTGATACGTGGAAATCAATGGCGTTTTGTTTTTTTCGGATTTGTTCATTCGAATAGTTGGCATAGCAAGAATATGGAATCACTCCGATTCCCAGTCTTGTTTTTAAATAATTAAAATTACTGCGAAATTTGAACTACTTTCAAATATCAGACGATAAGCTGAGCAGAGTGCATACATTGGGTCCGATTATGGAAACTGTATCCCATGACACGGCACGTTTTCGCGTCGTGCGGCCCACCGATAAAAGAACGTTTTACGATCTTAAGGAAAATTTTGAGCAAATAGATAATAATGTGGTTTAATTTGCCCAGCCCATTCACAGATGTAGTCAGAAATGTGTGTAAAAAAATAAAACAATATAAATACCAATTACTATATGGCGTCCAATCCCAAACCCAATCACGTCGAGCCTTCGCTGGGCAATTGAAGTGCCGAAGACCTTGCGCCCCTGACATATATTCCCCCCATCACAGCAATAACTTACTGAACCACCCACTTGACGGAGAGTTCATTGATTTGTGCGTTGTCTCAAGATCGGATAATTGCTAACTTTTGGATGGCATCACACAGATAGCGATTTTGCATTGACATTCAACAAGTATGGTGAACGCCCGTGAACCAAATCTCTTGAGTCACTTGGGAGTTGCTCATACGTTGTTCATACGCCAGATAAGCCAGCAATAAGTTAAGGTCGTATACCATCAGTTTTGTGGCAGCTGACAGCCACTAATGACTAAGTTAGCCTAGTTAGATGGCAACAAGTCGTGTGATTATATCATTTGCATGTGCTAGTTGGCAACACAACTTTAGGGGCTGGTATTTTAATTACATGTAGTTTGAAGTGTTTAGATTCTGTATCACTTGCTGTTTGTTTGTTTGCTAGTTCGCCTGTTTACCCACTTTGGCGAGCTAGTTACAAGCCCATAATCACATAAATTGTACGATTGCAAACACTGGGTCTGCCTATCTATCAGCCGGCAGAATGTTCCTCCACCATTGGTCCTCGTTTCCGCGAGTAACACCTAATTTTCCATCGAGTACATCTGCATAGCAATACACTGTTAACTATGGGTAGAATTCCACTGGCAAGTGGCCTGGCAATGTGAGCGCCAAGTGGACAGAGTGGGAGAGTGGTTGAGCCTGCCCTACGTTTTCCGGTTCTCCTCCAAAAATGAGCGCCGGTCACTCGAGACATTCGTGGTCTGTGGGACAGCTAAACGGCAACACTTTCAGTGACGAGCTTGCGGAATTCAATCGAGGACGGTTGCCTAGCTTTTATTTCCTCATTCCATACACCATTAGGAAATGCACTTGAGAAAATTTACAAATAAGTTGATCGGTATTTGTTAGAACACGTATTAATTCGATTAGTAATAAATTTCGATTATTGGCATGATAACAGTAACATATAAATTAAATAATTTGTAGCAATTTAATTGGGGGATACATCTTTCTTCTTCTAAAATCTACTGCATTTTTTTAAAATGAACAGGAATTTAATTTTCTTCGAGTGTAGGTAAGATCTCGTGACTTGCTCTCTCTGCCTCTGCCTTTTGGTAAGTCGATCAATAAAGCCTCTCAGTTCATCCATACACAGACCGTACGTCCGCCCAACCGACCAACCGCTCACCCGCCTTGATTATGACCAATATGCGTATGTATTGGCCTGGCTATCTTATCGCTGATATTGTGTGTACAAATTCTTACTTCGTACACCCGTACAAGCAATTACCAAACGATTCACGCTGCCAAGATTACAGCTGCACGGCGAGTGCCGTTGGTCGTTGGTTTTTGGTCGGGATAGCAATCGACTGTGGCTCGGGTACCCCGATTGGGGTATTTAAGAAAATGATTCGTTTGTGGGCGTTTCAGTACTCTGATACTAAAAAAGAACGTTAGACGTGTCGCTCGGAGCTCTATCAAAGCGATTACAAGTGAACAAAATATAAAAGTGCACAGGCATAAATACTGGCAAACATTTATTTGACGAGTGTCTGTCGAGTGCTATCAAAACAAAGGCCAACATAAACTGTAAACAAGCTAAGGAATTTAAAGTATTCCAAAGCCAACATATATACAAGTGAATTGTGAAGAAAACAAGAACAACAAGAACAACAACTGCAATAATAAAAATAATTGTTACCAACATTCAATAAGCGAGTAACTAAAGCAATCAACATTGAGACAACAATAAACAATATGAAACTAAGGTAAGATATTGTTCCTGATTTTTGTGATTTTGATTATTTTGGAGTTGATTGATAAAGTTTCATTGAAAAAATGGACTCATTTGCCTTACACTCATCAGCATGATAAGCCAAATTATTAATCAAATAATATTTATATATGTATGTAGTTCATATCGTAATTAGTTTCTGACAAAGATGATGAAACTACCTACACAGAGATTACCTCATTATACTCTTTATCAGCAACCAGTGCTGACATTCTCAAACTAAAAGCTAATTATTTGCCTAAGCAAAATAGTTGAATAAACTGTGTAGTTTTATGCCTTTGTAAGTCAAAGAGTGTAATAGTAATATTTCATGGCGATAAGCATTTAGTTGTACTTGGTAATAATAACAAAAACTGTTGCCAGGTGTTCCACAATCAGAAACAGAACCAAAAATGGAGTTCAATGGACAAAATTGAATTGACATTTTGTAAATAAGGCCATAAATGCCGAGGCATATGACCATTAATTAGGGCCGTTAAAATCAAATGTTATCGAACAAAAGATATTCAATTTCAGATGTGAGTCAACAATACAATAGATAACCGAAAAATAATCATCAAAAATTCCACTAAATTAATCTGGGATAGGTTATGGTTCAAGCAAAATACAATAAACAAAGAAATTGGCATACTGTCTTCCATGAAAAGAGAAGTTTCATCATTATCAATTCAATATACATTTATTAGAGCGAACTTAAAGTCAAAAAAAAAAAACTGAGCGCCGTCAATTATTGATGCCAGATGATTGATAAGCATTTATATTATTTTTTGTTCGTCCGACTATCTTGAGTATTGTGGCGCCCGACATGATGATAACCAGAATTTTCGGGGCGGAGCATATATAGCCAATTGGTAAATTGCGAGCAACAACAAGTCACACGATTTTTCTACAGCGGCCAATTAAAATTGACGCTATAAATTTCGACGATCCATGAATGATTTCCAAACGCCAGCTACGATAAACCCATTCTGTCTCTGTCTGGAACCTGATAAAATGCTTTGTCAAGTCTAAAGTGCAAGCAAGGTATTTAGGACCACAATAAGAAAATATATGAAAGATATGTATTTCAACTTCGAGTCTCACCAGTTGCAATTACGAAAGATGTTCTTTCGTCAGACAAACATGCGCGTGTGTCTCACGACCAATTACCAGGGCAAATAGTTGTTTCTAATTATGTTTTTGCACTCGGAAAATTGCCAATTCGTGTCAGCTCCACAAGCAAACCAACCACACTAGCTAAAGGCTACATTGAGAAAAAATACAAGTTTCAATTTCTATTTCCCCGAGTACAATCTGGAAAAAAGTTGATATCTAAACGTTCTTTGGACAGAACATTATATTCATTAATGTGTAGAAGCAAACTCGTATCCGCTTTTTGTGAGTGTACCAGGCAGACGCCCAGCCAGACTGGAGCTTCTTTATGACTACACTTTTTTTATCTATTGCGTATAGCTGTAGTATCTATTGACAGCGGGTCTGTGTGCCTTTAATTAAACATACATCATGGTTAAATAAATGTGTGCTCTTTAATTTAGCAAAGCGAATCGAGATTGCAAACATTTACCAATTTCTAAAAATAGACCAATGGAGCGAGCCGCTTCCATCCGAACCGATTCTATCTGGTTTTCCTCGGAACTCATAACACGAACTCCAAATAAATATATTTTGCAATCTTTGTTTGCCTATTTGTAGACTCTTGCGCTGTTTGCGCAATCCGAAGCAATCGGCAAAGCAGAATCCGAGGGAGGAGCTGCAGGCACAGCATCATCGCATGATCAAGGATAATATGCCATTGAATTTTAAGGATACAATGGTGAAGATCCTGCTGCTGGGCACCGCCGAATCGGGCAAGACAACAATCATCAAACAGATGCGTATACTTCATATCAATGGATTCACCGACGAGTAAGTCAACCTTAACTCAGAATCTTTTAGTAGTCATCTATATGCGGCTTGCTTTTTGCGTTTTCAGTGAGCGTCGCGAAAAGATACCCGAAATCTATCAGAACATCCATGATTCCATCATTCAGCTGGTGCAGCAAATGGACGCACTGCATCTGCAATTTGGCAGCTTTACGAGCGAGCGCAGCGCCAACTATATCCTGTCCCTACCCGCCGAGGCGCCCGAGTACTTTTCTGAGGTGAGTGCCGCCACAACAATCTTGCCAAGTAATCCCACATAGTGAATGAAGTATATACGGCTTTGCCACGGTATCTTATCCAACGCCAGCACACTTCAAAAGTTTAGCCTGACAATCGACAAAAATGATTTTCAATACTCGAAACTTGCGTCAACGCCACCGCCACATCGTGTCAGATACATATGTACATATATTTCTATGTTATATGACATTACCCAATAGAACTAGACTTCAATGCCAAAACTATTTCTTGTTGCATGACCATGTCTAACTGAAGTAGTTGCAAAAATGAACTAACTTTTTAATCGAAGCAATAAAAATCTTGAATTTTAAAAGCGATTTTTAAAAATTTACATAATATTTTTGAGAAAGTCCTACTGGGTGCTTCTTCTATATGTGCATATATACATATATTTGCAATAATCGAAAGTAGCAAGGCTCGAACGATCATTATTTGTTATCTTAGCGCACGATTTGATTGATTGCAGTGCCATTAAGTTAATGGTTTGTCTAAAAACTTTCCTACAAGTGTTTTTTGTATTTATCTTCTTTTTTTGCACACAAAAACAGCGAACACTTCCTAGGGAAAAAAAATTTGCTGATGCAGGTGTGATACTTTGAACGATCACCGCTCGACAAAGACTTAGTCATTTATAATAGCTGCTGAAGCTTGGACAGCCGGTGGTGATCATTGATATTACTATATAGCCACTGGCCCGGCCAATGTGTGATTAGATAAGAGCGCGGCAGTAAATTAGCTGGGGAGTCTCTAGATTGGTTATTCCGATTCCATATGAGTAATGTTCGCAGCATAATCAAATCTAATCAACATTATTATTTACATTATTTTCAGGAGTACTGTGACCATGTAATGACACTATGGAACGATGTTGGCATCCGCAACTGCTACGATCGCTCGAATGAATTCCCGCTGCTGGACAGCGCCAAATAGTAAGTCCCATTTGAACTGATCTTCAAATTGAACTTTGGACTAACAATTTGATTTATTCGTTTCATCAGCTTTCTCGATAACTTTGCGAGAATTTGTGAAATCGACTATATACCGAGTACGGAGGATATTCTGCACAGTCGAAAGGTGACCACTGGCATCACGAAAATCACATTCCGTGTGCCCATACCCAAGAGTCTGGGTGGTGGCGAACAGGAGTTCCGCATGTACGATGTGGGCGGTCAGCGTGATGAGCGGAATAAGTGGATTCAAGTCTTTGAGGGCATTCAGGCGGTGCTGTTTCTCATTTCCTGCAGCGAATTCGATCAGAATCTACGCGAGGATCCCAACCAGAATCGTTTGCAGGAAGCGCTTAATCTCTTCCGCGCTGTCTGGCAGAATCGTTTCCTCGCCTCCGCCGGCCTCATAGTATTCCTCAACAAGTTTGATATTATGGAGCGGAAAATACGCGCCGGCAAGCATATCGTTGACTATTTTCCGGAATTCGAGGAGTTCAGCAAACGGTCTCAGCAGCAACAGAGCTGCTTCGATGAGTGCGACTGGACCAAGATGTTCATCAAGCAGAAGATGGTGGATATCACTCAGGAGCAGTTCAAACGGAATTCGCGCAATCAGTGCGATTTGAGCTACTCGGAAAGGGAGTGCTATTATCACTTCACTGTGGCCACCGACACGCGATGCATTCGCGATGTTTTCAGCGATGTTCAGCAAATGATTTTGTCAGAGAATATGGCCGGATCATCTCTCTTATAGATTATCTTATCTTAAGTGATTGCGCTCCGAATAGAGTTGCCTTTACCAACTGTGATTTTGTAAGCTACAATTTAGTCTATAAGCGAAATTAATTTTAAAACAATGGTTTATCCATTAATCCATACCAAGCAGCTGTAATCTAATTAGTTTATAATAACTTATGGATATGAAAATATTAAAACAAAAAAAACCCTACTCAGACAACATAAACTTGACTATTATTGCGGGCAGTTTAAATTTAAGCGCCAAAATTCTGCTGAGCAACACATGATATCGATAGACAAAGCCAAACTTACGATAATTATCGCTGAATTGAACTCAATTGTGCGCCAATTTGAATTATTGCTAGCTTTTTGTGGAAACGCAGCTCGTTAATTGTATCTGTTGGATAGGAATTCCAAGTCTATGATTTATACGTTTGTTTTATTTTTGTCTTTGATGGCAGCCTTTGCATTAATTGCAGTCATAAAAGACTGAAATTTGCTCACCACAGGATTGTTTTCAAACCGGGTTTGTTGTACTTTAAGTAAGCGATTTGTTTGCTTTTGTTCGATTCTGCGTCGAACCTTTGTGCGCTGCAGACGTTATTTCAAAGCGGTTTTTGCGGGTTTGTCTTTTTCTTTGCGTTTTTTTCTTGCCCACCTAACGTCGCGTGAGTTAACGGCCATCGAGGCATTGTGGCAATCAAAATCAAACACAATTAGGTAAGTTTCAACTTGCAAAAAGATAATTACTGTCTGCAGTTTTACAAAGAAAAAAGAAAAATCAACGAAATAATTACGGCTAAGGAGTTGTGTGTATTATCTTGAGCAATTATAACCACTGTTGTTGAAGCTCAATAATGCCACTTAAACAGTGCAGTGGCAAGTGCTAATGTCAACACGTAAACAACAAGCACACCAAACTCAGTTGTATGACGATTTTATTACGTCTTTGGTAAGCAAAATGTAAATTGTTGATTTGGGGGGTTTACATCTTTGTTCGCCTACATCTTTTGCCCAAAAACCAAATGATAAATACAGTTCTTTACATTTACATGCTCTAAAAAAATATGTAAAATAGTATTTGGTCAAAACAAGTTGCCTCAAGGGCTCATTTTTGGGCACTATAAAGAAGTCATTAGTTTTTTACATGCAGCTAGAAAACAAAATGTATTTGGATAAATAAGAAACTATGAAAAAGCCATTTTTGGGAGGGATAATTAAGTAACACGCATCTGAATTTTTATGCCGTTAATTATTATTAAAGCCATCATCACGACAGCCACAAAAACTATTGCTTTGAGCCATGTGATGTCGTTTCGAAAAGATTTCCCCTAAAAAAAAAAAAAAACAAATAACAAAACCAAAACGAAATTTACGTCTTATTGAAGTCGTTGCGAATCGTTATTGTCTATCTTTTGAGTTGTTGGCCCTCTTTCAGTTACCTTAGTGCACTATGTAATGTGTTTATTAAAAATTATTATTGTTCACATTTTCGGACGACGACATCTTTATGAACATGTGGAGCAATTTGACAGAGTCTCTCCCTCAATATCTCTATGTCTCCCTCTCTCTCTTTAGATATACATCCGTCTCTTACTGTTGTAAACTCGTTATGCGGGCGAAATGTAAAAATATGAATAAAATATATAAATATGTATATGTATATATATATTGAGAGAGATATATACTTATTAACAACGTGCCAACGATGAGTGCGCACATTACACAAGGCGCTCAAGTGTGTTTTAAAAATGTTTATAAGTCGTTGAGTGGGTCGATCAGCTGTGGCCCAAAACCTGCCTTGAAGGTCAAACAAAGCCTGTAAAGCAAACAAACAAAAAACAAAATAACGAAAAGAAATGGGAAAACAACTAATACAAGCAAAATGCCAAAATAGTCGTAGTGCTGCAAATCAAGTGACATTAAAACTAGTAGTAACTCTACAAAATCTAGTTTTAGCTCACGATTTTTCAATATACTCATAATTGTCGATGTTCATCAATTGAAATTGACATTGAAAGCTTATACCATAAATCCCTTGTAATTAACACATATATAAACATTGATTTTACACTGCAAACAAACTGGGCTAGCTGGCTAGTTTGTAGTTTTTGCTCTTCAGACGAATGTTAATTTCATTTAGAGTTTGCACATAATCAATGAAGAGCTCTTGGAATGCCGATTAGATAGACCTGCGCCCTATGCTAAACAAATAAAAGTATATTGGGTAATATTACGCATCTAGCGGCCGTGAAACAATAGCTCTCATGACATAAAATAAGATAACAAACGCTTTTCCTTCTTTCAAAATACACAATCAAAATACAAAAACTAAAACGACCTCAACGCCCAGTTACTGCAATTGTTCAACAACCGACCAAATAAGAGAAGAAGAAAGATAAAAATCAAATTTCAATCGCCAGCCAACAACAAACATGTTTCCAAGCAGATGACGTCTCGAAGCTGAAATTCCAGCTTTATGCATCAACAAGATCATTAGGCGTAAGATCTATCATCATCGGCGGCATGGCGGCAAACCAGCAAAGAGCAGGGGGTATTGCATTTTCAAGGTTCAAACTGGACTGCAATGTGTTTATTATTGTTATTGTTGTTGGTAGTTGGTTGTTCAATGTGCGCCATGAAAATGCAAATTTTTGCCATGAGTACTGAGTTTCGACGTCTTTCTGTCGCTCAATGAGCCTAATCATTAATGTTTAAAGCTCTCAACAAATCAGTGAAATCAACAAAGTGTAAAAGGCATGAAAAGGCAAAAAATAAAAAACGATAAAAGCCAGCTGCTAAACTATCCCACTAGCCAACCTCACTGGCACAAGTGTCTCACCAACCAACTGACCAACTGACTGACTAACTGGGATTACTCAATATTAGCGGCAGCAGCAGCAGCAGCAGCTACAGCAGTTTTGAGTCGCTACCTTTGATGGCTGTCCGCTTGGACTTGGTGGCAGGCAGGCTGTTGGCCTGGCCAAAAGGTTCGCCAGTCCCACTCTGCGCACTTTCAGTTTACAAACATTAACAACAGCAACAACAATAATAAAACTTGTTCGCTTCCATGCAGCAGCCCCCGAAACCGATCAGATTGCATTCGGATTCGGTTTTGTGCTGTCTCTGGCTCTGCTGCTGCTGCCTCTGCTGCTGGCTCTGCTGCTGCCTCTGCTGCTGCTCTTAGTTGTATGTCTATCAATATGTGTGTATGTATGTGTGAGTGTGTGGCCATTATATAATCCAGTTAATTTCTTTAACATTTTTTCAAGCCACTTTTTGTGTTGAGCTTTGCATCATTCGTTGTTCAGAGCTCGGGCTGCTCAGTCGTCCCGCAACGCGACGCGCCTGAATATCGCCTGGATATTTTACTATATAAATATATATATATATATAGTAACTATAGCAAAACTAAAATATTAAGTGATCGTTTCTAAACACCGACAAAATACAAGTTGAGGACATACGTCCTGCAAACCCATCGTGTAAGTGCCTGTGTTTGTGAGAAATAAATACTGAAATTACAAATATTGGTTTGATTTTTTACAACTTTTCAATACTTGTAAAATTTAACTGCTCTTTTTTAAAAAAAAAAAGGTAATTTGAAAATCAAACCAATAATTTTATGTAAAGATTTCCAATAGTTTTTAATGTTATGTGCTTAAATCATTTAGCTGTGGATAATTACTGAAATCGTTAAGGCAAACAAAACACAGAAAACATTTGTGCGATTTGTTAATCGAAAAAAATTGAAAACTAATATCTAAGAAGTTACCAAACGGCAAGCAACAACAGGCATTTCAGTCGAAGACTCTATTGCATTACTGTTAGTCTGGCTAGTTGAGCCACGCAACCAGCAGTGGCAACAACCACAACCACAACCACTTGACAAGCCCCAAGCCAAGTCTAATAAACATGTTGAAACTGCACAGAGAGCCCAGGCATACACATACACCTGGCTGGCACTGTAGACTGTTGCTTGAAGCAATCGATGAAATTTTTGCTGTGGGCTCCAATTGCTTAATGACATTTTCGAAACTGCATTTACAGTTTGGGAGAGAGAATGCAAATTTGTGTATATTTTTGAAAATGCATTTGTCTTGTGAAAGCACAGGCGACATTAATCTGTGTGCACATAAAACCACAAGCAAGCAAACATAAATCAATTAAATGGCACAGCGTTTTCATTCAAATACAATTTAATTTGCATATGTAGCATGACAAGCAAACACACATATTCAAATTTACAAGCAAATAACTACCCCAAAGAAAATATAAATCAATTTATATAGGTTTTTATTGTTGTGTTTTTACTCTATGTAAATTTAAATAAAGTTGTATTTGGGAGGCTCCCAAACAAGCAGCTTGAGTTGAAGACAGACAAATATTTTGCGTCTTTCTTTCTTTCGATAGATGCCGGAAAACGCTTATGCAATAAAAAAAAAAAAGAGTAGCAAAGTTTGAGTTGAAGACTGAAACTGGAAGCTGAATAAAACAGTTGAACTCTTTCTTGTGGACAACTACATCAACTACTTCTGCTATTCAACTACCTGAATATATATGCAAATACATATATGTATATGTATTTATGGCTTGACCCGCTTTCAGTCAACAGTTTCTGAACTTGAACCAATTCGCAACTTTTGTTTATGAGTCTGTTTTTAGCGCTTCTTTTTATGTGCTCACAATAACATCATTTGGATTTATTGTCCGGTTAGTAGCAGCTGACAAAAAAGGTGGCAAGAAAATAATTTACATATGTAAAGATACTTTTTCGAACTTGCTGAATCACACGCAGATTTTGTTGGTCATTTTCAGTATTGGTAAGATTCGATTGTTTCTATCTAAATATGTTATAATTAGCAAATATTTGCAATTTAAAGCGCGTCGTAGATTTTTACCTTGAGCTGAGAAGACCTTGAACTAATTGTTAAGTGTTTGTTGTTGGACAGTCTCACATTGGATAGATAAAATACTGTATCGAATTAATTAGCTGATTTATCTGAAAGCCGGGCAAATTAAAAGAATCGCGTGTTGAATCAATTATATAGTGTCAATAGGCAACTTAATTAAATCCAATTTTAAATGTATTTATTGAAAATGATGTTTGTTTAGGAATTAAAACTAATCTATAAAAACAAATGTGATGTTGACTAATATTAATTTCTTCGCTCTTTCTCTTCACACAGCAACCGTAAAATATTTAATATTACGCATACGCCAGAGAGAACACAGAGTTAAGTAGTGTGATAATCATGAGGGAGACCAAGGTATTGGAGGATGGCGAAGTCTCAATGCTATCCGAATCACTGCTGAAGATTGCCAAACGTGAGCTGAGGGAGGACAAGTGCACGCGGGAGCAGAGTCTGGAACAGCTGCGCAATTGGGTGCTGAAGAACGAGGATCTGCTGAATGTGCGCTGCGATGACACATTCCTGTTGCGCTTCCTGCGCGCCAAAAAGTTCAGCGTACCAATGGCGGAGCAGACGCTGCTCAAGTATCTAAACGTTAGACGCACCTTCCCGCACATGGCCACCAAGCTGGACTTTCTGGAGCCGCGACTCGGCGATGTCATTGAGCAGGGATACATATTTGCGGCGCCAAAGCGGGACAAGAATGGCAGGCGGGTGGTGATCATCAATGCCAAAGGATTGAATCCAAAGTATCACACCAGTAGCGACCAGGCGAAGGCCCATTTTCTCACATACGAGTGCCTGATGGAGGATCAGGAGACACAGATAACCGGTCTAAGTCATGTGGGTGACTTTGCTGGAGTGACCACCTCACATGTGACCAACTGGAATCCCACCGAATTCGCACGCATCTTCAAATGGGGCGAACAATCACTGCCGATGCGCCACAAGGAAATCCATCTGATCAATGTGCCCTCCACACTGAAATGGCTGATTGACTTTGTCAAGAATCGCGTCAGTTCCAAGATGAAAAATCGTCTGATTATCTACGGCAGCGAAAAGGAGCTGATGAAGGGCATCGATGCCGACTGCCTGCCCCTTGAGATGGGCGGCTCCATGCCGATGCGCGATATGATTGAGCTGTGGAAACAGGAACTGGCTGCCAAAAGGGAACTGGTGCTAGCGCTGGACTCGAGTACGCTGCTCACAGATCGTGGCATACAGCGACGCAGTAGCTACAATTCGGAAAAGGCCAACCAGGGCACCAATTTCGTCTCACAGATCGAGTCCATTGAGGGCAGTTTTCGGAAACTGGAATTCGATTAGGCTGCTGGCTGGCAGACTTCTGATACGCAGCGATCAGGCTGATAGATAGACAATAAGTTAATGTATAGTAGGCATTATCCTTAACTGTTAAATGGCACACATGCAGCGCTACGCTTTGGCCATGGCTCATCTGCCCGGCTGACTGGCTGGGCTGGGAGCAGGGCACTTCGCTTCGCTTTTCTGGTGGCACCCCGCTTTAATAATCCTGCGCTTCTTTTGTAAACTATTTTTTATGTGGCGTACAATAAAAACAAACAACATAATCAAGAGGAACTACTTGGACTTTTTCATTCACTTTCACATGACTTTCCGCTGGCCAGCGTAGAGTGGCCAATTCTGCAGATGACGATGCAGTGCATCCGCATCGCCTTCACTGCGACTCACATTGCGCACCACATAGAGTTGGTAGTGTGGCTGCAATTTCAGTCGCCGCTGAGACTCCCAGAGTAACGCTCTTGCCATCTGCAGCTGACAAGTGCTAGGTATGCGCAGGCTGAAGTCACCCACAAAGGCCAGCACCAGGGAACTGGCCGAAGGCAGCGTTCCATAGCTGCTCGCATACTGCCAGCCCCGCGCCTCGTACGTCTCACAGTCGCCAGCCATCAAAAAATTAAATGGTAACTCCCCCAAATATTTGCGCTGTGAATTATCAGTTGGATAAACATTTGCACACATCGCGATGTGACTCAGTACAGTGACTCACCTGCATGTTGTGAAGCAGATCCGCACAATTCTCGTTACACTCCTCGCTGGCTGTGTGTGTTATGAAAACATTGACAACTTTCTCCGCCTCCAAAAGTGCCTGGTCAGCCAATTGTGCCCTACTCCATATATCATGCCGCATCAGGTTCAGCTTGTAACCATTATCCAACATTTCGTATGCTTCAAGTAAATAACAAAATCAACGCAATAAAGTAAAGTAGGAAACAGTAATAATTATGTAAATTTTTTTAGGCACATCCGAAATTGATTCTGTTTTGAGGAAGTAGTGAAAGATGCACAGAAGTTGATAATATACACAATCTATAAACAAACAACTTACCACAGACAAGAACATGACATCTATTAAAAGATAACCCTAAAACACCATAATAAGCTTGAGCAAATTGTGTTCTATGACGTATGACTATTCTCTCCCAGAAAAATGTACTCCATAAACTCATTTGTGGTAACATATACATAGAATAATAATTGTTTGCTTTGCACACAGCATATTGACTTAATTAACAGACTCCGAACACACATAATAATAATAAGTCGTAAATTTAAATGAAAGTAGTCTGGGAGTCTCTCTCCCTCAGTCAGTTGCATTACTTACTTTGTCTCCAAAGCAAATATATGGACAGCACCAGGCCAGCGATGAACATCAAGAGCAGTCCAATGATGCGCCAATTAAGGCATTCTTTTGTGTAGATTGCTGGCAAAGATGCTGGCCGAACTGTGCCCGTTGCCAGCAGTGGAGTGCGTTCATTGGGCTCCATAGAAATCACAGTGCTGTGGTGACCGACACATGAGGATGTGGCTGTTACGAGGTCACCTCCAAACGGCGCTCGCGTCGCTATCGTTGGCGAAATATTAAGCAAATAACACATGCAATGTATTTGTGCTGCTTATGATAAAAAGAACACAAAGCGATAAGCTCAGTTCAGTCAGGCACAAAGTAGTCCCAGCTGGCTGCGCAATTTGTAAACTGTACATCTCATCTTAAGACATTCAGCAGCCATAGTTAGAGCATTTGACCATTACACCTACCCATCGTCCAAAACTCGACAATAATAATGAGCTGCAAGAACAGCAACACCAACCGGAGCAGCCTCAATATTAGCAGCTTAGCGCTGGTTTACACTGGATCACGATAGACTCACGCGCCTTAGTGATTTGCATTGCACAAAGCTGATTGAATTCAAAGAGACGACTGAGGCTCAGACTGAGACTGCCCGACTCAATCCGCATGACGTATCTTTACAGCTGTTCTGATTTATACACACATAAATATACATAACGCACACGCTCTTTGTGTATGTTTGTGGATGACAATGAGCTGGCGGCGGAAGCGGCTTTCATCATCAATAGAAGCCACAGTGGAGCAGATATGGAATTGTGTTGTTAAATAAAAAAGCTGATGTGATTAATTGATTAACTTTCTTGCACTGCTTTTAATTTCTATACTAATAACAATCACTATTCTTTATACACACAAAGTAATTTTGCTTAATTATTTAAAGAGTGCTTTCTCTTGAACGTTGACCAAAAACACGTTTAACTTAAGGACTTCTCTGCATTAAATACTAATACATAATAATGTCATTCAAAATAATGCAAGCGCGAGTTATAATAGCTGCGTGGAAAAACAAGCAACTACAGGAACACTCATACGACAATTTGGACTTTTAGAACCACTTTAAAAATTTAACTAAGGAAAAACGAAAAAAAAAACATCGAAATTCTAAAAGAAATGCATACGCAGTGGCGTTTAACTAAACTTATATACCGAACCCTTGAGTCAAGTTCAAGATAACTCGCCGTATTACTGTTGACTGTTACATCGTCGTCTACTTATAGGATCGCCAGATCTGCCAGGCGCACAACGCAGCCGATAGAAAGGTGATGCCACGATGCAAGTATTTGGCTTGGGTATTGGGCGAATAACCCAAAATCACAGGCGAGGACACATCTGTCAGCGGCAGCTTACTCAATGCCTCCTCATTGTTCTCCTCCACCTGCAGTATCAGATATAAATTATTTGCCCTCTATGGAACTTTCAATCAATATGGAATACCTGATACTGGCAACAAGGATCATAGTTCCATGATACTGCGTACAAGCCCGTGCAAAATAGTGACATTGCGCAGACAGGAGCAGCAATTACTGGACGGTCATACCAGAGCAAACTAGAGATCATCGACACAACGCCAGTGGCCGCAGCCGTTTTGTGTAGACAGTTACCCACCCATATCCAGCGACCTAGAAGCAAATATATGTTACGACATTACGTTAAGTAAATAGCGTGTTTCGCGACTTACCTGTTTCATCGCCCAAACGCGGGGGCTCAATGATTATAAAGTCTACCTTGGCCTCGAGCGCTTTGTCCAACTCCGCTTCGAAGCGTTCATGAGCATTTGAACTGTCATAGACTTCACGTATGACATGAAATGTTGGTTGCTTGCCTGCACTGTAAATAAAGTGTATTTAGGCAATTTATTCATTTAATAACCGGTTCGATTCCATTATATGCGCACAGCTGACATATCAACAAAGAATATTCAAATTTTTAAATTCTTTAACTCTCGTTTGTGTACAATTGGTATTTCTTGGTTTTATTGTATGCGGTCACACTCGCAAGCAAATGCTTGCATACATATGTATGCAACACAAGTAAATACTTATACACAGATCGAAAACGCATCGAAAATTGCATAACTTTGCTGCGAATGCGATTATTTGCTTTGAAGCGATCTTTGCTGTTTTTACCTGTTTGAATAGGTCGCGAATATTTACCTATCAATGCTTCTGCCAAGCATCTTACTGCATTTGTTTAAAAGACTATAACTACGCGTTGTTTTTATGGACTAAACAAAACGATAATAATACGGAATTCTGTTAGAGTTTATCGACCAGCCTCCACTCTCTGTAACACTACTGATTATGTGGCAACGCTGTACAGAATATCCAATTGTAATAATTATATTTTTACGCGCATTCACAGGAGTTGTGCCTGCTTATATCTGTTGAAACATATAAAATAAACGTGGTTAAAGCATGGCTTATTAGTGTTATGAAGAGCATTTATTCATAAATCAAATATTTTAGCATATGATCTGAACTTTCGTTCCCCATGCAAACGAACCTGTTCACAATGCTAGTTGCCGAATAGCTCAACAATATATTGTAAGAAAAACAATTAAATAAAACAGAAAAACAACATGGCCAAACAACAATTGCCGCTGCCAGAAATGAACGATGATAAGCATCGGCACAAACAAGTATGTAAACATCAACTACAACGCTACCATAATTCACAAACGCCCAAGTCACGTTTCCCAACACACCAACCAATATTAAACAACAAACTCTTTTATTGTCCCACAGTTCAATGGGCATTTGGACAGCAATCGATTGCGACCGCCTAAATTCATACCGAATCGCAGCCGCTCGCCGGGATCATGCAGTGTGAACAACTCCCAAATAGCGCACGCGATTTCGTTTCGCAGCGGTGCCGAGTGTCCAGATGCCGGCATATTGCCAGCGTCGTTAAATGCCGGCGACTCCACCACGTCAATGTCCTGCAATGAGAGCCATTTTGAGCAGTCTTTCGAGCGTTTGGCCAAATTGGGTGAGGGCTCTTTTGGTGAGGTGTTCCAAGTCCGAGATCGTTCCGACAGCCGGCTGTATGCGGTGAAAATCTCGAAGCAATTGTTTCGCGGCGAACAGTATCGGGCAGAGAGATTGGAGGAGGTGCGTCGCTACGAAGAGTTCTCCGGCCATGAGAATTGCATACGTTTCATACGCGCCTGGGAGCAGTACGATCGTCTGTTCATGCAAATGGAACTGTGCCGCGAGAGCCTAGAGCAGTATTTGTACCGTTGTCGATACATTCCCGAGGAGCGCATCTGGCACATATTGTTGGATTTGCTGCGCGGCTTAAAGTCCCTACACGATCGCAATCTCATACATTTGGACATTAAGTTGGACAATGTGCTCATCGATGACGACGACACATGCAAGCTAGCGGACTTTGGGCTGGTCATCGATGTGGACAAGGCGAATAATCACCATGCCACCGAGGGCGACTCGCGTTACATGGCACCCGAAATACTCCAGGGTCAATTTTCCAAGGCCGCCGACATCTTCAGCCTGGGCATCGCCATGCTTGAGCTGGCCTGCTACATGGACTTGCCATCGAATGGTCCACTCTGGCACGAGCTGCGCCATGGCAAGCTGCCTGAAGAGTTTATAAACAGTGAGCAAGATTAATCATTAATCAATTTGTGGTCACCATGGACACTAAATATATGCTTACTCACTTGCAGCAATTTCTGTTGAGCTACAACAGGTAATCAAGTGCATGATGTCACCAGATCCGCGACAACGTCCCACAGCAGAGCAGCTGCTAGCGCATCCTGTGCTCACGAGAATGCAAAAGGCAGATAAATCCATGATATTATTAAAGCTGCTGGTAAGTTAATCTTGTAAGTGGAAGAAGTGATTCTGCTGTATGCCATCAAGGGTCTTCTTCTCTTACTAAATAATTGTTCATGATTTCATGCTCCTCTAGTCGAAGTGCTTTCGTCGCTCGCGCCGCGCTGCTTGGACAAAAATGTGCAATCTAAGAACGGCAGCGTACCGTTGCCTCTTCTACATATTGGAGATCTTGCATTTGTATAAACCCTTGACGGCATCAAAGTCGGCAGGGTATAACGGTGCTGCCAATGGAGCGCCATCATCGCCATCCGCAAGCGTTGCTGGTATACCGCGTGTGGAATTCCAATTGGCTGGCTCAACGCCCATTGGGAATCGCGATTGTTATGTCTCCGATTTTCTATCGGCGATGGATACCTTGGATCTGTCGCAGCAGTGCACACCAACAGCCTGTGGACGAAAAAATTTGGTAAACTCGACGCCGCGACAAAGAAGGCAATTACTAGCTGCAGTTAACCACTCATTGCAAGATTTGTTCTAACAGTTTCCCCATTTTCAGTTCTTTCCGGGCATTGGACTTGGATGCCACGTTCTCAACGGAAAATGTTTCCGCACCCAAAGTATTGGATACGTCATCGTTTCGGCGTAAAAAATTATTTATGTTGGACAGCGATGAAGAGTAAGGAAAATATGAAAAATATGCAACGCAAGGAATTTATTGATACGAACAATATACATACATATATATAGTATATATCAGTTAAAGAAAACCCATACATATGGCAACAATCTATATATCGTTAAATATTTAGAGTTTAGTTGAAGCTTCACGAATATTATGTATATCCATAGATTTAGACCCAACGATTATTGTGTAATGTTAACGCTTCTTTAGAAGAAACTTGTTGTTATAACGTAATCCGAATTGTAAAAGATAATACATATATAAGCATGTGATATATATATTCGAAATGCGATTTGAAAAAGCCGCAGAATTATAAAGAAATTACCGTAAATTTATCCAATTTAATTGCAATAAAAAATCAACTGAAAACGAACGAGCTTGTTCGTCTTCTGAATAGACAATAAATAATAAAATAACGTTTTCAACTTTATAATTCCCAAATACAAACTAACATTACGTAAATGTGCGCATGTTAACAGACTCCCGGTGCGCTAGCTTTTGTTAACAGGAGCCTAACATTGCGTTTTCATACCAACATGTGGCGTGCTGAAACGTAAACAACGAGGTTTTTCACAAACTATAAATTAAAATGGCACGCAAGAAGACGAAGGTAGAGGTGGTGTTCGATCCACAAAAGCGCAAGTGAGTAAACTAAAATAAAGTCACATATTATCACACCACTAAGAAATTACGCACTTCCACAGAGAGTTTTTAACAGGGTTCCGAAAGCGAAAAAATGAGCGCCGCACACGAGCCAAAGCCGATTTGGCCCGCAATCTTAAGGAAGAACGAATCCGCATTCGGCAAGAGGTGAAAGATGGCTTCAAGCACATGAAGAAATCGTTTGAGCCGCTGCGCGAACTCACTGACGAAGATAAGGCAGTGGAAGGTGGATCACAACAAAAGGCCTACGAAGATGATGAAGTTCAAGTTAAGATCGTCGAACTGACCACCAATGATTTGGCTGCCCAACGGAATATGCTCGGCGCCAATGTGGCCGAAGAAAGCGAGGAGGAAGACGCCGGGGAAGTGGAGAGCGAGGAAGACGACGAGAAGCAAACTAATCGCATACCTGGCATGGATTTCGATGTGAATGTGAAACGAAAACGCAAAATGAACGCAGCTGATGATGATGATGCAGCAACGAAATCGAAGACAACCAAGGCGCAAGCCTTTGATGGGGACATCAAAAGCAAAAAGGATCTAGACAGACTGATGAAGACGAAAACGCTGAAGAAAATGAAAAAGAGCAAACTGTTCAAGATGAAGGAGCGCATGGACAACAAGAACAACATCAAGAAGGCGAAACGTGATCGCAACAACACAATCAAAAGTGTGCCCAAACATCTGCGCAAGAGGTTGAAGCACGGAGCGCCATCTGACGGGGGACAGACGCGCTATCGTAAGGGCCGCCTAATGAACAAGAAGGAGCGACGCAAGCGCAGCGGAGGCGGCGGCGATTAGCCAAGATTCACAGCCAAACTTCATTTAATTTAATATACTAAACTATATGCATTATTTACATAGTTTATTTGTTGTATGGTTTATTTACTATTACACTAATTGATCGGAAATAAACTGTAAATATATCATTTTGCTAATTCGCCAGCGCCGGCCGTTTTCTTGCACATTTAATTTTTGTTCATATTCCATAATATATGTTTATATATATGTTTATGTTATATCTGTATATATATCCAACATGTTTTATTTTTTTTTGGGTTATATTAACACTAGCAATTGATTATTGCCGCAGCCGCAGCTTTGTAATGCTATAAATAAAACTGGCGCTCAAATGAAATTTCTCTGTTCGCCATGTAAACTTAGAACGAGATTTAAACTACTCTCATATTTTAATATATATAATATGTACAATAATCTTCTCTTTTTGTTAGTTTAGACTTTTTCCTTAAAAATATGGTTTCTCTTTTGCTTAATTTGCATTCTTTATTTATGTTTATGCTTTTTGTTTTCTTTTTTTGCATTTGTGTTTTGTTTCTTTCTCTCAAATTTTGGGTGTTTTTTTTTTAAATTTTTTTTTTTGTTTTTGGATTGCAACATTTTTTGAAAATGTGTACATATCCATTCAAATCATTTGTGTTTCAAAAATGGTCTCATTTAATTATAATAAACACAATAAATAAAATGCAAAACACGCTTACAACTTAAAACTTAAAATGTGTGTCTGTATGGGGGGATCGTTGGTGTTTGAGGGGTGGGTAGTGGAGGGGGGAGGGAGTTATGGTCGCAAACGGTATTGCTCTAGCTTGTAGCTTACATGTCCTATTTCTAATGTATTCAATCAGCAGTTAAAAAGTGTTTACAAAACTCATGTAAAATCCAAGCGGCAACGAATCCGTTCACAATTTGCCGGCCAACAACAACAAAGGCAACGACGAGTCTGCTGCTCCTCCTCCCGCTCAAGGAGCTGGCATTGAAGTGCTCCTGCTCCACATCCAGCAGTTAGGATTGCTGTTGTTGTTGGCCCGATGATTGATGATGTTGGCGGCGGGTGAAGCCGCCACCGGACGCCAGATGGCGCTGCAAGGCACGCTGCTGTTGAAATTTGGCGCCACCGCCGCCGCCCGCAAATCGATTGTGCTTAAATTTATTGCGCTGCTGAAAATTGCTGCGATAATTCGGATGATGATAGAAGCGGGAATAACTGCCGGACTTGTTGCTGTGCCAACGTTTTTGACTCTCGTACTCCTGGAATGGATTGTAGCCTGGTGGTGCTGCCGTTGCTCCGCTGCCACATTTAACCGACGCCGATTTAATTTTTCGCTGACGTCCACGATCCATTTCGTTCTCCTCCTCATCATCATCGTCGCGCTTACGCTGCTCACGCGCCTCCGCCAGCAGCTGTGGAAAGAGATGGGGAATTGACAATTAGTGCATTTCATGTGGACGACTTTCGAAATCTGGGTTTTGGTAATGAAGCTTATGCAGGATGAGTTAAAAACAACGAGCACACTTTGCATGCGATTCATAATAAATTGAGAGAGCTGGACAACAACAACTGCGCAACAACTATGGCTTAAAGCTTGTCATAGTTTTCCACAAATATTCCCTAGTCAAATTTAATATGCCAGCAAAGACTATCGATTTTAGTTTTACGTTTTTACAGCTCTAGTTAATTTGGCAAAACGGTAACCGGGACACGGTTTGAATTTATGATGACAATTAAATTGAGTGAAATCATAAGCTTCATTTTTGGATACGACTAAGTAAAGTAAAGTAAATTACTACGGAAAACAGCAGGTTGTTTTTACCTAGGTTGGATTTCGATGACGACAACAACAGAGAGATGGGATGGGCGGGCGCATTGAAGTATCCACACGCTGCATGGAGACACTTCAACGCACAATCACAGTATTGAGGCAAATATATATATATATATATATTTTTATGTATGTGGGATAATATTTGATTTATTTAGGCTTGTGAGATAATATGCAGCGGATGCAGCGCGGCTACAACAACACATCGCATGGTGGACAGTTCGACGAGTTGCCGTTGCTTCTACTGCTGCTGTTGCTGCTGCTGTTTGTGCTGCTACTGCTGCTGCTGCTGCTGCTCATGTCATTATTGAGAGATTTATAGTTAGTGCCGTAGTTGCTGCTGTGGCCACTGTTGACATCGCAGCAATGCTCATCCGCAGCAGCGGCGCCGTAACCAGCTATCCGTTTCGCACAAACCAAATCAAAAGTCTATATGAATGCGGGTGGGAATATATAATGTGGAAACAAATGCAAACAAAAAATTACAAAACAATTTTCGAGAAAAAAACAAAACAAACCAAAAGAAAAACAACTCAACCATGCAACGAGACTAGTTAAAAATAAGGAAAGCGTTTAGGAAAAAAAAATAGAGATAGAACCCAGAGAAAGACTTGCAATATGTTGCAGTATTAACTATAAATAGTTTCTTAGAGATGGGCATGCTTAAGAGATTCAATTATTCATAAACTGACATTTGCAATGGTTAATATTTTAGTTAGTTTCCAAATTTGCATTTTAATTTTTTTTTTTTTTTTTTTAATTTATCGCTGCCTATCTCTAAAAAAGCGAAGAACCACGAAACTGAAAACTACATTCAAAGAGTGCTCTACTTTTAAGGTGCAACAGGAAGAGAGCAAGTTGCTCACAGTCACAGTTGATCTGTGACGCACTTACCTCCTTGTCCAGCTCCGATGCTTTGCCATTCCAGCTGAGCACGGAGCTGCCATAGCCACGATGATTCTGCTTGAGCAGCTCACTCACTACCGCATTGCCATTGGGCAGCGATTCGCCTTGGTAGCCATTGCCGATGCGTGGCGTCGTCTGTTGGGATTTGGAGCTGCCGTTGAGCAGCTTCTGGCGCTTCGCACTTGGATTCGCGTCCGTTGTTGCGGTTGCTTTGCCGGCGGCAAATGGATTCTTGTGATTTTTTGCTGTTACAACTGCTGGCTCCGCTACTTCATCGTTATCATCATCATCATCGGCATCGGCAACGCCATCCACATTCTCATCATCATCTTCGTCGTTGCGGGTGACCTGCCAGATGCCAGTCTTGGTTTTAATAACCGCTGGCGATGGCGGCGTCTTTGGCGATGCTGTAGCTTTGCCATTCTGTGACTGCTGCCAGCCATTAGTTAGCGATGTGGAGCTGCTACTGCTGCTTGATTTTGTGACTGTCTTCTTCTCAGCCTGAGCCTGAGCCTCATCCTCATCTTCGTCTTCATCTTCATCATCATCATCATCATCATCAACGTGATTGTGATCGTTTCTGTGTTTGTTTTTGTAGTTGTTTAGACTTTTGAATATCTCGTCTATGGCATCAGTCTTTTGTTTGCTACTGTTAACATTGGCCGACGAGGCATTTGAGGCGGATTTGGTTTTGCTGCTGCTGCTGTTGAGCAGATTACCATTTGTCTTGGCGTGTCCATTGCGTAGTATGAGTGATGGCTGCTGCTGCTGCTGTTGCTGCTGCTCCTCATCATCATCATCATCTGTATCGCTTGAATCAGCGCCACTGCGTCGCTTACGTGAATTTGTCGCCGCTTGTTGTTGCAACGTTTGTTGTTGTTGTTGCTGTTGTTGTTCCTCCTCCTCGGAGGCGGACTCATACGGCACCAGGCTCTTGAGTGCCGTCTTTGGCTTCAACTTGGCAGTCAGCGCAACACTCTCGCTGCTCTCCTCAAACATTTTTGGCATGCTTGGCAGCTGAGGCGCTTTATTGGTTTTCACATTATCATTATCATTATCATCATCGCTATCCTCCTCCTCGTCGGATGATATTGGCAGTATATGTTGCGGTTGTTGTTGTTGCTGTTGTGGCTGGTGTTGTTTAGAGTTATTTAAAGTGTTGCAGGAACTTTTGTTGGCATTCGCATTGGCAGCGCCAGTCTGAAATTTAGCAGCTCCATTAATGTGGCCATTAAGCTGATATTGAGTCTGTGCTTGCTGCTGTTGTTGATGCTTCTGTGGTGTGGTCTTGAACTGAATCGCAGTCTTCGCAGCACCACCGCCCAGCGCATGACCATTGCTATTGCCATAGCCATTAGGCAATTGTGGCCCAATGAAACGTGGCGACGTTACAGCTGCAGCCGAAACGGAGGCAGATGTGGACGTGGCCGTCGCTGAAACCACAGCTGCTGGAGCTGTGGCAACAACTGGACTACTATGCTGCTGTCCTCCATTGGTCGTCAGACGCATGCCATTCATTTTGGGAGCAACAACGTGCCCGTTGCCGTTCACATCCAGCTCATAGAACATGATATATGCGTTCGTATTGCAAACACTCTGCATGGCAATCGGACGCACACAGCTATCATCGAAATTGTAATAGCTGCCCGTCTCCGTCAGCCCGATGGCCGTGTAATGGCCACAATGCTGGGAGACACCCAGATGGGTGACCATCGAGACGAGGCGATAGCTTAAAGGCTGCGCAGCTGCAGTCGGGCTGCGTGCTGCAAAACGGCTGAGGTCGATGCGTGGCTTAAAGCTAATCTGTTTCGTCAATTTGTTGCCCATCATCGAGAAGCGTTTCAGCTGTATGCACAACGTGATTGGTGCACGCTCCAAACTGAACTGTTTCGTTGCAGATACCTAGAAAATATAACAGACCAGAGAGTGTTACCTTTAAAAGCAAATTGAATTTATAGTTTAGTCTAATTTCAACTAATTGTTATTCATTTTACTGTCAAGCGGCAACTGTTTTTGACTTGCTCCAAATTCGGTCAGTTCTTTGTTTGGTTAAATTCTCATTCACCGCGACCACTCACCTTTTTCTTGCAGCCCTCGCACTTGTAGCCCATGTCCTCGAGACGTTCACGTGAGAAGTAACCATCGAACGCATCCTCCAAGGTGTCCGACTTGCGAATGTCCAACAGCAGATCTTGGAAATGTTGAAACGTTATCGAGACATGATTACAGCTCAGGCAGCGCACCTCGCTGCGCAGATAGCCACCAAAGATTTGATTCAACGGCGTCGTCTCTTTCACCAACTGATCGAGCTCTTTGTAGTTGCGAAAACGCATCAGATACGCCTTCTCCATGGCCTCGATAAGGAAACGCAGGAACTCATGGGCATCCTCCTGTCTTCCAACGACCATATGCTTACAGATTTGCCTTAGCTTCGAGTAGATGAGAAATGGCCGCACTGCCGACTGATTGGATTGGGTGGACTGCAACGTTTTGGCCATGGCACAAATGATGCAACCATTGCTGCCACACGATTCACTAATGTTACAGTTCTCCAGATGGGCAGACTCCGAGACGAGCCAATTGGCCAGTGACGGGATGTGAAAGAGCGCCTGCAGCGACGAATTGAGGTAACAAGTGTTGCCCACATTCAGCATGCCCGTTCCAACTTGCCACTTGCGCTCCGATTGCTTCCAGCCAATGCGTATGTGTTCACGCTGGTAAAGGACACGTTTCGGTTTGGGCAACTCATTGGGATTAGATGGGGAACCATGCTGATTGCTTGACTGATGATCCACAACAACAATCTGTTTGCGATTGTTGCCACCATTTAATGCGCTGGTGCCACCGTTCACAATCCCATTGCCATTGCCATTATTGTCTGCGAATGAAAGGGCAAATTTGAGCCTGGGCATTAGCATTGATAGCACCACATGTCGAAATAGACGCGCCACCAGCACCAAGCTGGGCAACAGCAGCACTTTATAGAGCAGCCACAGTGCGTAGCTGCTGTCCGCAATTATCACAGGCATCGATTGTAATTAATACATTTGACAAAAAAAAATACAAGACAGGAACGAAAAAGTGACTGTTGGATACATATACGAAAACTAAATAGCGAATATGACCAAGCACACCACAAAAACTGCCATACACACACACATCTATAAATATATATATATATATGACACATATATATGTGGCACCTGTCTTTGTGTCTGTGTTGTGTTGATAACAGCGAGCGTTTCGCTGCCTACTCGTCGTTGGGGGTTACAAAAAAGAAAAAAGAAAACGAAACAACGTAAAATAGTACGACCAGCGTACACTGCGCAAATAACTATTGTCGTCTCGCTTTGGCGCATGCAAATTGCAAGTGCTACGCTTACACATTTGAGTGTTGCCAACTGAATTTTTGATTGCTCGCTGCTGCAGAAATGGCACAACTTTGGCGCGGACTGTTATTGTTGTTGTTGCTGTTGTTGTAGGCGGTTTGTCATTGTTGTTGTTGCTGCTGGCAAAAACAACATGGCCAACACAGAGAAGTCTTTGACCATTTCTTGCATTGGGTCTCGCCTTTGTTTAATATCCTGCTTTGTGCTGTGCACAAAGCAAATAACTCTCGATATGCGTCTGCGTGTGTGTGAATCACACACATTTACTACTGCTCTCTTCATGTGCATCCATTCACAACACGCAGCTGAAAATGCGTCGCAACATTTTGAAAAAAGTTGAACAAAATTGCGGTTACCAAACACAATTTTCAGCGGCAATTTTGGACTTGTATGCAAGAGCGAGAGGTACTGAGCGAGTGTGCGAATGAGTTGGAGGGAGAAAGAGAGGTCGGTTGGGCCGCGTGTAAAATGTTTGCAGCGACGTCGGCACGTTTTTCTGTCTCTTCTGTGCGCCGTGATTCACAAGTAGACAAGTAGTAAAAACTTTGTAGTGCGCTGCTTTGCCGCCTTGCTGCAGTCGACGTCGACACCAACGTTGACATCGACGTCAACGTTCTCTGCCTATATTCAACTCACTCTTTGCGATCATGTACTATTTTGCTTGCTATGCTTTTCTTTTGCATTCTGTTTATATGCCACCACCACGTACACCTCCCAAGCGAGCACACACACATACACAGGCGCTGCGACGTCGGTGCTCATAAATTGTGCAGCATACCCAGACAGGGTATAATGAAAAAAATGCGTGCGCTCATTTCACACGTGATTTTGCTCAAAAAAAATAAAGAAAAAAATACATTGACAACACGCAAATGTAAACAGAAGTGCACACAAATTTATGTAATGCCAAATCAAAAAAGGAAATAGGCGCGATAAACCGATAGGTCGATGACGATAACCATCAAGCACTTACCGTGTCCATTTCCGGCACCAAATTTGCCATTTGTTTTGTTGCTGCCGTTGTAATTACCGTTACCGTTGGATGCGGCGCCGCCATTGCTGTCCGGCTTAATGACAATATATTTTGATTTGAGTTTGGCCAAAACAGACTCATGATAATTATCCACCTCCTCGTAATCGATTTTGGCTAACAAGACACGTTTGGCATTGGCCACAATTTGGCTCTGTAAATTATCCGTAGATGAGCCGGATGTGGAAGATCCATCGCCGCCGCCGTTGCTGGTTTTTGCCTCGTCCGCTGACAAAGCGGCACGGGCAACGCAGCTGCCAAGGGATTCGCGGAGTGCAGCATTGACGACATTCGCTGTTGTTTCGCACACAGCCAACGAGACGGGCATGGCGCTAGCCGTGATCGGTGTTTGTGGTGGAATTTTGATAGATTTTCTATGCAGCCCCGCTACTCATCCAAACTAGATGATAAATGCACAAGGTCGGTGAAGGAGAGGCGGTGGGGGTGGAGAGGCGTTTACCGCGTAAAGCAAATGAAAGCATTCGATGCAATTTATCTTGTTGTTGTAGGCGGGACACAACACACGCACACACACACGCGTGCACGCTTTACAGCTAGCTAGCTGCTGTTGTTGTTGTGCATTTGCGCAATCTTCCAGTTACTCCGCCGCCCGGTTATTTTTATTTATTTTTTTTTTTTGTATAGGTCCTGCCCTCGTCGGTTGCTACTATTACAACTTGCTTATTGTTCTCTTCCGTTTTTTCTGCCTTTCAGTTTTCGGCCAACACACCAACGGCAGCCAACCGACGCACGTACACTAACACTAACACAATTGCACACGCTTTTTTCGCTTTATGCTTTATGCTAGTAGTTGTTGGTTGTTGGTCGTAGCGCTATTCGGTTTTATTGTGTCCGGTACGACTTGTGTAGTTTGCAAAAAGACGAAAACGTTCGTCGTCGTTGTTTATTCGATTGTCGTACAACATTACGAGTTTATTCTAGGCGATTACATATTTTTTGGGGGCGAATTAATTTGATTTTTCAAAAAATTAATGACAATTCCTTCCCTCGTGTTTCTTCCGACTGACGACGATTCCCTTTCGCATCACTTTTCGCTAAACGGGCCTGCCCACTCATGCCTACAATAGTGGGCAGTTCGTCATGAAGTTGGCTTTGCTCCGTTTTGCACTCACATGAAGTTGGCTGCACGCAATTTGCGACGAAGGTATTTTTTGCTTTACTAGACACGGTCACACTGCAAGACAAGTGCAGCAGATGTAAACGCATAAACATTTGCTCTCGTTGGTGGGTCAAATAAATAAAGCAAAAACACGTATATAATAAAAGTCAGTGCAGTAAAATGGCTTCATTCTTCAATGTGGGCGCTCTGGGCAATGTTTTCTCGACACCCATTGGACAGCGCATCGGTGAGTAAATGCCCAGATGCACAAGTGTGTGTGTGTGTGTGTGGGTGTTAAATACATTATTAAATTGTATCACTTCAAATGCATCATAAGCATATGCAAATGTGTGTGTATATCTGTGTGTTTGAATATTATTGCGTGATTGCAATGTTGAATTGAAATTGAAGACGAGATTGTGGTGGAAACTTAATGCAAAGCTATGGAAAATTGAATTTTCCCAACTTTCTTTGGGCGTTTGTCATTTTCTTGGTATGTCGCACAAACACACAGCCAGCTTTACCTCCCACCACAAAGCTAGATTTGTTGTTGCCATTTGATTACTATGGTAAAAAAATACCGCTATCACTCCACCTCCCCTACACCTCACTCCCGCTCTACGTATTAGTCTTAGTTTCAATTTCAGACATGCTTGATAAGATTACAGCAATGTTTATATGTAAGTATGTATTCGCATTAAGTTAGAAATGCGATGAAAGGCGCCATCTATTGATGATTGTGACACATACAAACTAAAAAAGAGGTAGACAAAAAAACATGTAAAAAAGGTCGCAGTTAGATGTTACCGACTGCGCAATACCTTGTTTCTCTGCTCCAAGCAGCTAGAAATTAGATTTTCTATATGACTCTAAAATACAATAAAAATGACGATAACTTTAGAAATGTAAATATTTGGCTTTTGCAATTTGTTTGAGCATTTCTTATTTTGCTTTGCGTACAGAGTACACAAAAGCTAACTAACATTTTATATGCATGTATGTATGTATGCAGTGCATATTATTGGTTGCTCATCATTTGATGTCACCAAACAAAAAGAACTGAAAGCGATAAATGTCAATCATAAAATAGCAATAATACCTTAGTGGCACACGCCTTGACCACAAAATTGCGCTACGTGCAATTAGTCATCAAAGTATTTTTCTATTTTTTTTTATTACGTTTACCTTTATTGTTAGTTACATAAATGTGTTAATTTATTCGGTTCTGCTTTCTGTCCAATTTTTGTGTAGTCACTATGTTTGTATTTGTGTGTGTGTGCTTATGTTACCCTATGTGTGAGTGTGGTTGTATTAGTGTTAATTTTCAATGCATCACTAATTTGTTGCTTCATACGTATGTATTTTCATGCCGTTTGTTGTTTTGCCATGCTTCGCTACAATTTATAACTGGTTTTACTGTCTGCATTTGTCAATGTAATTGCTAAATTTGTTTGTTTTTGCTTACTGCGTTTTATTTATCGTTGAGTGCGTTGCACTCTAAAATACAAGTAAGCCAAGAAGAGCGTAAAAGAGCATTTGTGTTCTTCCTCTCTTTCGCTCTTCCTCTCTGTCATTTAATGTTGCCGCACTCCTACGCAAATATTATGATCCGTTTATACGTGTTCAATATCATGATGAGTTTGTTAATTACATCTGAGTACATCAAATAAATTCATATATATTGTATATAATGCAGGCAGAATTTGTAAGCTATAATAAAAAAAATTGTATTTTGCTCTAAAATTTATTGCTGCCGCATGATTTTTTATTTTTTGTTTGATTTATTTTTTCTTTCTTGTTGATTCTCGCGTGAGCAAAAATATAATATAAAAAAATAATGGCGATGACTCGACGACGAAAGCAAAACAAACAAAAATTCACATTCACCTGACAGACTGCTGCCATATTGCGAATTATATATTTAAACAAATTGTTATTGTTTTATGGTTGAGTTACTCTATAAACATAACTGAAAAATTATTCTTGCTCTTCTTTACAGAGGCCGCCACCGATGGGGGCTTGGCCTCCGAAAACTGGGCAGCCAACATGGAGATCTGTGACATGATTAACGAATCCTCGGACACGGCACGTGACGCGATGCGTGCCATACGCAAACGTCTCTCACAGAATGCTGGCAAGAATAATCAGGTGATTATGTATACGCTAACTGTGCTGGAGACGTGCGTGAAGAACTGTGGCAAGGCCTTCCATGTGCTCGTGGCCCAGAAGGACTTCATCAATGACTTGGTCAAGTTGATTGGCCCGAAAAATGATCCGCCAGCAATAATGCAGGAGAAAGTGCTGAGTCTAATACAGATCTGGGCGGATGCATTCAAGAATCAACCCGATCTGAATGGTGTCACCCAAATGTATATGGAACTGAAGAATAAGGGCATTGAGTTTCCGCCCACCGATCTGGATGCCATGGCACCCATCTACACACCTCAACGGGTAAGCTAAAAATTGCCGCAGCTAGTCTTATCCATATAGTCAATATGAATATTGTTAAATTTTGTAGAGCGTTCCGGAGGTATCGTTGCCGCATCCACAGCTCATGGCCGCACAGCACACAATCTCGCCACAGCATGCGGCAGCCGCGGCAGTTACGCCAGCGACTGGTCCGCTTCATTTAACTGCCGAACAGGTGGCAAAATTGCGCTCCGAACTGGAAGTCGTAAGCAATAATATGTCCATTCTGGCCGAAATGCTGAGCGTAATGAAACCGGGCCAGGAACAGCCCGATGACTATGCACTGCTCAATGAGCTGACCGCCACCTGCAAGGAGATGCAGTCGCGCATTGTCGATCTAATTGGACGAGTGCAGGACGATGAGCTCACCGCCGAGTTTCTGCGCATCAACGATGAGCTTAACAATGTGTTCTTGCGCCATCAGCGCTACGAGAAGAGTCGCGCCCAGGGCAATGCTAGCGCCATAGCGGTCACCTCACCATCTGCTGTCCTCGGCGCTGCCATGGGTGTGCCGGGCGTAACAGCGACAACTGCAACAGCAGCTGGAGCTGGCGCTGGATCGGTGGCCATACCTCCGCCATCGTCAACGGCGGTCAGCAATACGCCACAAAGTGATCAACTGCTCATTGACTTGATTGAGAGCAGTGAGGAGCATCTGCCACAGAGTTTCGGACAGTTGCAACTGGGTGGTGCTGCGGGTGGTGCAGCAGCAGCAGCAGCTGGACCCGGCGCTGGCGCTGGAGCAGCATCAATCACCACAGGCGCTGCAGATGAGTTTGATATGCTGGCGCAATCGCGCACCGATGGCAATCAGTAAGCATAGACCATAAAACCTTGGATGATAGCTTTGCAGAATGTGATAAAGTTTAAAGTATTGAAGTAGAATTCTGTGATTTTAAAGCACTGGTTAGAATCATTGTTTATATCTACAATATTTAGAAAATGTCTTATCATTATTTGCCTGTCTGCTACTATGCCAAAGGGCAATTCGTCAGTTTGATGAAATTTACATGCAGAAGACTTTAATCGAGTTCAGAGATATCTAGGTAAAATGCACTAACTATATTACTCACCTTTTCAATAAATCTTATCAGTATCATGCTAGTATGTCATAAAGAAAACAGAGACTAATGCAAAACTTGTTTGTTTGGCCAAGTTATAAGCCATATTAGACTTTTAACAGTTTGTTAACTTCTTATCTGACTCAACACGCTCGTAAATATAATCGGACTTAGAGTTAAATCAACAAAGATGTTGTTGTTGTTTGGCCAATGTCATAATATTATTTACTTTTGCGACAAACATGTGAAGTCGGCACGTGTAAATAACCTTTTAACTTATACCTATGGTTCATAGTTCTGCAAGGGTATCTCAACTGTTCTGTGTCTGTTTTTGCATACAAATTATACATTCTTGTTCTTTATCGTAGCAAAAGTGACTTGCTGCGCGATATACCCAGCGTGGATGCAGCAGCTGGCAGCGTTGCCTCGCCATACAAGCAACTGCAACCGCAGTCGGCAGCAGTAGCAGCAACAGCAGCAACATCCCCACAACAACAACAACGTGCAACCGGCGATCATCCGCCGGTGGTAAGTAAAGTGAGTAATGGCACCGCCTAGAACCGATGTAAACTAATGGCGCTCTACCTATTTTTCTATATATAATTTTTCGATTTGTTGTATTTGTTTCAATTTGCAATTTGTTTGTGTTTCTTTTCGTTTTGATTCGTTTATTTGTGGTTGGGTTCGTCTCTCTTTTTGTCTTCTGTTAATGTGGCGCCCCCCAAAGTCGACGAAAGAGAATGAAATCGACGAGATGGAGGCGTGGCTGGGCAGCTCAGTAAGTAGCAATGCAGCAACAACAACAACAATCACTCACAACTGCTTTTTATCATCTAATAAACAACAATGGCACATACCGATTATAATTTATTTTGTTTTATCATAAATTGCTTCGTTTTTTTTTTGTAATTTGTTAAAGGTGCAACATATTTAGTAATACATATATTCTTTATGATAGAAGGACGTGGATGGCATTGAGGAACTGACCAGCTCCGAGTTTGATAAATTCCTTGAGGAGCGCGCCGCTGCCGCTGAGAATCTTCCAACGATCAATGCATCGAACTCCGCTACGACAGGATTGGGCTTGGGAGCGGCGGGTGACAACAGCTTACGAAAGACACCAAAGAAACCGGGCGCTGATGAGGATCTCCTTGCTCTTTGAGTGGTGGCATGAGTGATGAGTCATTTGTGCATCGCCAATTGTTTACTCTTCCGATGATGATGGTTACACAAACACACATGCCTAACAACATATTTATACATAACGTATATATACATACATCTAAATAGCATACACATATAATGTTTATGTCAAATGCTTTTTTGCCTTTTTTGTTAACAATTGGTTTTTGTTTATATTTTTCTTTTATTTTTTTAATCACTCGCATCATCTTATTTTAATTAGAAATTCAAAAAACAAAAAAAGAAATAACAACTGCAACGACAATTGTAACTTATTCCAAAATGCAAATCTTGTTTTGCTCTAATTCTAAGCTATGCAGACACAGATAAAACACACACACATTGATTGTAATTGTATTGTATATTATGTTAAAGGAAAAAATCTATTTGTTGTTTATTTATACATACTTATACACACATATACCTTATAAAGATAATTTATTAAAGAAAACAAAAACGAGTCACAGGAATGGACAAATATTGCAATAGTTTTTGTTAGTTGTGTAGTTATATTTAGTTATGGATGTTACAGGTACTCGAGCATTACATTAGAGATAATATATACAAAATGAATTGTATAATATACAGATAGAATATAATTGCGAACATTATCTGATATAATGTTTCAACTCTCTTATAACATCAGTCCTGCATTAGATCGCGTTGAGTCATAGCCTGTGTGGCGCCGCAATAAACATCATCATCATCATCGGGGTCACCCACATCGCTCTCCGCCTCGTCAACTGTATTATTTTGACGATGTTCTAGTTTCCGTTCCAGTTCTTCAATACGTTGTTTCTTGTTATTGATGAGCATGATAAACTTCTTCAGTAATTTCCTTTCCGACAGCTTGGCGTCTTTGATATACTGCTCGTATTCGGCGAGCAGCTCATTATTGGATTGACTGGCGCCTGTTTCTAGCAGGACAGCGGTGCTGTCTGAGGTATCAATTTGATGGGGTTGATGTGCACATTCAACGGCCGCATCCAACAACTGATGGCAATTGGATATTTTGCGTATTGGCACATCGACATAGAACGTTTCGAAGCCTAAGCATTTCACGAGCTTAAATCGTAACTGTTGCTCGTCCAAGTCATAATCGAAGCCGGGCATACCCATTTGTGTGGTCAGCGCCTTTTTGCACTCTGCATAGAACTCATTATAGGGCTGACTGAGGTCTTCGGCAGCGCTTCTAACTTCATCATGTTTCAGTGTAGCTCGATAGCTCGCATTGCTCGATGTGAGAAATAGCTCCAGTTCGGTGACATCCTCTAGCCACTTGCTGTGCAAATAAATGAAGTGCTTCACATCCGACTGACTGTGGCTCAGCTGTGTGCGCTGCAGTACTTTAACGACATGTTCTGTCATTTTGAAATTAGCTCAATCAAATTGTTAAATATAAGCACAGCTGTTCGCGATAACGATAACGATGTCGATGATTTTCAAATCGATTGTGCGTGACGTTTGCAGCACTGATGATGGTCGGCGCCGCATAGCGTACGTTGTCAACACTAAGCCCTTTAGTATTAAGATTAAACAATTAATTGGCACTACGATAAATTAAATTAGGTTGCTTTGGTTACTGCGATTGCAAACTATTTGTTGCTGCTGACAAATATGCTGAACAACATTATGAATTTTGCCAATTACTGGTGGTTTCGCTACCTAATGGTGAGTAATTTCTCTGGAAATGATGCTTTATGTCTATATATACATATATATATATGTATATATAAATGTATATTTAAATTGTTATCATCAATCCACACGTTTCTCTATTGCGACAGGTGACCGAGCTGTATGTGGTTGAAAAATGGGAGCGTGTAACGATACGTAAGTCTTAATTCGACATGGCATTCGGCATTCGTCATGCCTGGCTTATGCATTGTTATTATATTGGTCCCTTATCTCTCTTCTGATTCACAGACGTCATCTTTATGGTCTTGTTTTGTGTGTTCTGGTATTTTAACTATTCGGTGCTGCTTTCCCTGACCAGCAATCTGATTGGATATACTCCACTTGCAAGCATTTTGGACATCGAAAATGAAGGAGCAGCAAGGGTCAAGGTCATGTAGCTCCCATTCCCCATTTTCCTCGCAACTATTATTAACTAGTTCTCTGTTTTGTAATATGATTAGTTATTACTTTAGCACGATATAGTCAACGAATTTGAAATACATTCAAATTAAATGAAACTAACGGATTTTCTTCATTATCTCTGTCGCAGTCGCTTATCTATCTGCTAACAATAGCTTTCATACGATACACATAAATATCGTGAAGTGTTTTTTGTGTCATCCAATTTCATTTCACAGTATTTAAGCAAATGTAGATTTAAGTTTCAGTTTTGCCCACTCAAATAAAGCTGTCAAATGTTAAACATAAATATTTTTCTGGTTTTTAATGCGGTATTTCTTAAAATCTAAAATAAAGTGGAATTATAAATGAAACTCTCGACAAAACTAGAACTTTCAGTCATAAGAACTGTCCAGAAATCGGATAAATATCTTTTAGAAATTGGCATTTCTAAAGGGACCTGTAATCTTTTTTTATAAATATAATGAGACATTTCTTAAGGTCTAAAATAAACTGGAATCATAAATGAAATTAGATTTTCCTACCCACAAATCAAAAACCAATATCTAAAAGAGACACCTTGGTATCTAAAATGTTTTGATTTGGTAAGAAAGAGCGCAATTAAATGATTTGTATCTTAGTTTGTTACTCAATTTGTTTGTTTTTATATATGTATATGTATATATACTTTACTTTTGCACTTCAATGCACTCTAAGTGTTACAATTTCATTACAAAAATATAGCCTATTGTTATTAGATGCTTATGTGTGTATGTATGTTGGTTTGTGTGTGTGTGTGTGTGTATTAAATAGTAATTGTATTTGTAAGATTTATAGAAAAATGTGTGTGCAGCCTTTTTGTTATTCGAGTGGGCCGCACACTTAGATTTACAAAGTAGATTGGAATTAAAATGGCTGAAAGCATTTTAATCACTATATATATATATCTATGTAGTCGCCAGTTGGCTGAATTGTGGGGCGTGGGACTCTCAGATATTGGGAGGAGTGGGGGGGGGGGGGGGGAGGAGTTTACATACTTGTTACTTAAAACGTACAAAACTAAAACTAATTTCTAAAACTTTTGTTTGACCATCGTGCCGGGCATTCCAATCAATTTCAACTTCAAACCTATTCTGATTTCGCATTAGCATAAAACTTAGCAAGCTACTTTGTTTGTTTGTTTGTGGGGTTGTCTAAGGAGTGACAGCTGGAGCCGCACAGAGGATAAGTGGGTGACACATCCCAGGCATTATCCTTGCTGCACATCCCACTCCCCGGCTTACACAACTAAAATTGAATCTTACAACTAACTGTACAGATAGAAAATTTCCTTTGCTCAGTTTCAGATCACAACAGCCAGGGGATGATTCATCGCTGGTTAGGAGGCTGGTGTCGACGTGCTATCCAGCAGCACCGACGACAACTCCTCATTGGGCTCCACATAGACGAGTGTGGGATCCTCACCAAACTCTAGGCGACCGTAGCGCGCGACCAGCGGTGATTTGCTGCTCACCTGCGGTGCCCGAGGCCATTTTCGTTTCGGTTTCGAGTGCGTCAACATGTGCGACTTGAGATTGGTGGATTGGGCAAAGCATTTGGAGCAGCCATCGATGGGGCAATGATACGGACGATCACCCGTATGGATGCGCACATGCGTACGCAAATTGAAATCGAGGGAGAAACGCTTGCCACAACCCTCGAACGTGCACTCGAACGGCTTCTCGCCGGTGTGCACCAACTGATGCCGTTTCAGCTTCGAACTCTCCACAAAACTCTTGCCGCACACGTTGCACACATGACCGCGGGGTCCATGCGTATGCATATGTTTGCGCATCGCGCTATGATTACGGAACTCCTTGTTACAGCCACGATGCGTGCAACGAAACTTGGGCTCCTCATCGTCATCGACGACGGCGGAGGATGGTGTTGCAGTTGCTGTTGTCGTTGCCGCTGCTTGATTGCTACGTGGATGATGTTGTTGTTGCTGCTGCTGATGATGATGATGATGTTGCTGTTGCATGTGGTTGCTGCTGCTGCTTGTGGCAGGCACCAGTGGTGGTGGCTGATTGACCAATTGACGCTTGCCAGCCTTGCTGCCGCTGCTGTTGTTAACAATGTTGTTGCTCGCTTTCAGTCGCACATTTGTGCTGCTATTTTGCAGCACCAGTTTGGGCAACGTTTTAGTTGCTCCTGCCGTGGCGGCAACTGTTGCTGCTGCTGTTGTTGCTGCTGCTGCTGTTGCTACTGTTGTTGTTGCTGTAGTTGCAGTTGCTAATAGTTCGACGGGATGTTGTGGCATATTCTCGATTAGCTCAATGCTGCCATATGCCTCATCCAGCTGATATTGTTCGCTTAGCGATTGGCTATCCTCCTCCTCCTCCGGCTCCAGCTCCTCCTCATCATCCGGCTCCAACTCTTTCACATCATCGGCATCGCGTATAAATGCGTTGACCACCTCCTCCACATCGGTGACGGCAGCAGCACTAAACGGATCCGGCAATATGACATACTCATTGCCAATGCCATCGCTGAGCACATCGTGATGCAAAATGTGCTCATCGATGATCAGCTTTGGCATATCGCTGCTTCTGCTGTTGTTCTGATGTCCTCCTCCTCCTCCTCCAGCTGCTGCTGCTCCAGCTACTGCTGCTGGAGTCGCCGCCACATGCTGCTGCTCATCCAGATCCAGTTCCTCCTCATCCTCATCCTCCGAGTTGAGCGATGACCAAAGCGTCACATTAAACTGATCCTGAGTGATGCGAATGGGCACTTTAGTTTTCCAACGCTTCGCACTTCCATTGCTGTTGCAATTGTTGTTGTTGATGTTGTGGCTGCTGTTGTTGTGGTTGCTGTTGAAATTGATGTTGGTTTGCCGTTGAGGTCGGCCAAAGGGTTTGAAATCCTGCACGTGACAACTATTTGAATCGTCTGTCGTGGATTTCATATAGTAATCATTCTCCAGCTGCTCCTCTTTGATGGTCGCCGCAGTTGCCTCAATTGTGGTTAACATCTGGGAGGCAATATCGAATGCATTCGCATCTCTCATTATGGGCGCACCCTCCTCCTCCTCCTCCTCGTCATCGTCTTCGTCATCGACGGAGGAGAGTCGCCCATCGCCATCCATTTGTTGGCCTTCATCAACGTCCTCTTCGTCGTCCTCAACATCATCGCTATCCTGTTCCTGCTGTTGCATTATGATTGGCGGCGGCAGTGCATCCGCTGTGGCCATGCCCACCGAGGTGCCCAGCCTGTCCATGCGATCGACCGGATAGTATTCGTAGACATCGCCCGATATAAAGAATTCGCCAGGATCGACAACAATATTGTTATCATCATCATAATCATCGATGATCTCCTCGATGAGGAAACTGTCATTGTCGCCGGAGCTGCCCATGTGTTCCGTGCCATCCAACTCAACGCTATACGGATGTTGTACAATTGCCGTTGACGGTGGCAGAATGTGTGTAAAATACATGGGTGATGTTGTATTTGTATTGTGGTGATTATTGTGTACCGATGACGATGACGACGATGAGGACGAGGTGGAGCAGGCAGAGGACATGGGCAGGTTGGGGAGCGGTAGTGGTAGAGGCAGAGGTAGGGGAACAGCAGCGGCGGCCAGCGATAGATTCTTAACAATTGGCTGAACTCGCGCCTGAAAGTTGCCGCCTTGATGATGACTTGTCATCGTCGACGTCGTTCAGGCTTTTTGCCGTACTTTTCTTCTTCGCTCTCTCTGTGAGTGTGTGTGTGTGAGTGTGTATACGCGCGCGCTTGCTGTTGTGCGTCTGAAAAAACATTGCCAATTAGAGAGCTAACGATTTTTTGGCACTAGAAAACACTTACTCCTCAAATTGCGTTGTTTGTTTGTTGTTTGTCTCTCTATTCTACGGCTGTCCGTCCGATTGACATCGGTGTGTCGTCGACGGCAGCAGCAACAGCAGCGGCGGCAGCAGCAGCGGGTAGTAAGTAGTAAGCAGACGTTGTCTGGCAAAATGTATCGGTTTTTAATGTCGTTGCGTTACGATACGACTTCGATTTTTGTACAATATTGTGTGTGTGTTGCTAATTGTTTACTAGCAATGTAAATATTTTGAATTTTGCCGGTAAATATGGCGGAATTGTATTTTCCAAAATGGCTCAAGCACTTTCTCTTGCTTACGACTTTTTGTTGGTGTTAGTGTTTGACAGCGATGGCATCAAAATGCAACCCTGCGCGCGCTTTATGTATACATCATGTACGTCCGGCAAGCGTACGGCGGCTTTGCTCTAAATGCATTTAAATAAATTTTTGCACTTTTATTCTGTGTACTTATATTGAGTTGTTTAATAATATATGTTGCGCAAAATGCCGGCGTAATGTAATTTGTTTATTAACCATTTATTCTGATTATCGATAACGATAAATCTTAAAACAGGGTTGCCTGTCTGCTTGCCCGGTTTTTTTTTTAGCCCAGTCAATTGGAAGCTTTGTATGTATATGTATGTGTGTATTTATGTATAATTTGCATATGATTAATTAATTTACACTTTTTACAAACTGCTATTTTGAGATCTATAGCTACAACTTCTTCAGAAGCAGCACTTTAGGTAGATGAATGCACGACAATTTCTCATCAACAAAAGGCTCACGTTGCGCTTTTATTGCTGCAGCGTCGCTTTTAAAATCAGTCTTACTAAAATGCACCGATTTACGATCAGCAGTTAATGCTATATGGTAATGCCGGCAGAGATCTGACAGTACCGACGTCTCTACCAATATTAAACGCAACAAGTAAGCTGCCGGCACCGTTAGCTGTTTGTTGTTGTAGGCATGCGTAAAGATTTCCAATAGGCGTCTATAAAAAAAAGACTAATTTATTTAAATTACAAATTTTAAATCAAATTAAGCTTGCCTTCGTATTGTCTGTAGTTTTGCGGCAGCCACAGCGCAAATTATGTGTGGCAACTGTGGCAGTCCTTGCATAACCCTATAGAGATTACCCCGATGATAGTTGAGGCAGATGCCAAAGGATAATTTAAATAACTTGTCATTTCTCACAGCAGCAGGCAGCGTTAAACCACGCACCAACGCTTCCGATGTGCCCAGATTGAAGACCTGATACAGTGCCTCAATAAAGCAGCGACGTTCCGCCTCACGAATAGTCCACTTTTGTTCTTCTTCCATTTGTCCATCCTCATCCAGTTCATTGTAGCAACAAAGAACCATATTTAGGCATTCCTGCAAATGCTGATTACATATTTTGGTATCGAACTTCTCAATGGGTTCCCCGCACAGTCGATATCGACTATAAGCCAGAAACATAATCATCGGCTCCAGCAGTCGAATTGTTTGCCTCGCTTCAAACTGCTGGATGACAATCTCGCGACGCACCATCCTCAACCGATCAAAGATGAAATCGTAGGCAAAGTGAAACGGTTTGCGTTCATCCAACAAAATGCTGCAAAGGGGAAATCGTTTAGAAAATCGACCATTTACTATGCAGGTCGACTCACTCATTGAGCAGGTATTCAACAGTTTTGGTTAGGCAGCGCTCAGTGCGCATGTCCTGCGCCTTGGGCACCTTGGCATCAGCTGCGGAGCGCGTGAACTCCTTCACCAGAATGCCGGCTACGTGTTTCTGACCATCTTTGTATTCGTAATAGTTCAACAAACGCTTCTCAATGCGCCTGCGAAAGCCGAATGGGACTCAGTATTAAGTATGAAGAATTTTTAAAGGTATACTTACATTTTGGCTTCGGCAGCGGGACAAAAGTGCTCACAGGAACCCTTTTTAAAGTTACGATTTTCCATAATTTCCTGGCTGTGATCTGATTAACTGCAGAATACAGCAACAATAGAAAACAGCTGACAGCACAAGAGCTGTCGCCATTGCCAACTTTAATTTAAATTAATTTAAACACTAATTTCAAGTGAAACATTTCTCAGCTTACTCCATGCCGCTAAAAAAAATGACTTTGTTTACATATCGCCCCCGACAAATTCTAAAACAAAATCGTTCCATTTCGCAAATTCTATGTGGAAATTTCAAAGAAACTGCCAACATTTCGGCAGTCTGGCAACGCTGTTGCAGATAGCCGTTGTTGTTGTTGTAGGCGCCAAGGAGCCAAAAAAACACACCCGAACATTTTCCCAGGCCAAGTACAAAATGACACTGGAGTCTAAGGCACAACATTATTTAAAAACCCTTAAGGAGCGTTGGATGCAGTTGCACGCGATGCCCAACTTATTTGCCTATCAATTGCCGGAGTTGAGGAAAACACGGATATTACCCGGCAAACATTGTTTCCATGCCGAAGTAAGTCTCAATTTATCGTTAGAATTAACTATTTATGTAAATTCCATTCTTCTGGAAATAGTTGAATGCGGATCGGTGTGTAAAACGGCGTGTGCCTCAAACAATTGAGAGCCTGAGTCCCACATTTAAGCCCAAGCAATTCAACTTTAACAAAGTCAGCGAAATGGAGGTGATAATGACCATTGAGGAATACAAGGACAATGCCGAAGTGCAGATGATCATCAACAAAAGTCCACTTACCAAATACCATACACTCATCTGTCCCGAGATGAAGAGTAATTTGGTGCAACGTGTCACGGCGTCAGCGCTGAGTTTCTGCGTCAATTTCATGAGGAGCATCAGCGATACCGATATACATTTGGGCTACAATAGTCCAGGTGCTCTCGCCTCTGTGAATCATTTGCATTTCCATTTGGTGCACCTGCCACAGCGTCTGTATATCGATGGTGTTGAGCTGCAGAAACTGGCGGGTGATTATGCTTATCGCCTGAAGCAGGGCTCACCCACGGAAGCGATTTGTTTTGTGATTGCCGGCGGCGATGAGGAGCAATTGGTACGCGAGAAGATCGCCAATGTGCATTGCCTGACGGAATGGCTGTGCGAGAATCAGTTGCCACACAATCTCTTCATCACCAAAGAGCGACAAAATGGCGATCTGCGCATATTTGTCTTTGCCCGTTCCCATTATTGTGTCGTCAAAGATGTGGCCGCATTTAATGTGGGCTTCTGCGAACTGGCTGGCTTCTTGCCACTAAGCAGTAAGCAATGATCATAAGTTCCAAACTAAATCCAAATTGAAATTAATGCTCAACTCTTTGCAGATGCGGAGAAATTGCATAGCTTGACGGAGCAGCTGGTAATCAAGCGCATTCAGGATGTGACTGGAGGTGCTTACGAGTCGGTTTATAATCAGGTCAAGCTGATAGTCAATGGCGAAAGCTATTCGATGTGGCGGCAGCCCTTTGTTATTTGATAATTATGCAAAATTAGGATTAGACTAAAAAAGTACGCTCTTTTTCTTAAGTTTTATTATAGACAAAAATGTACAAATTTCAAACTGCGGGCGCAATGAATCCTTTGCCCATTGCCGCCTTTGTCACAATCTTGTTGTTGGGTTCGATGCGATAATTGATCTCGGTTGATGTATTCTGCATTCGCAGATGCTCCAGCAGAGCGGGCAACTGATCTGTTCCAATGCTTGCCCGTATTACATCAAAGAAGCCCATTAAATGGTGCAAATTGTGGCTGTAAAATATGAATTATATTTATAAGGATTAAGACTTCCTTAAGGACACTTACATCATTAGCAGAATGGGACCCAGCAGCTCGTGTGTCTTGTACAGATGATGGTGATAGGCACGCGTATGTTTCTCGCAGGCCAAACAAGTGCAGCCGCTTAGCAGTGGCTTAAACTGCTCCTTGTACTCCTCGGCCGTCATGTCCAGCAAAGGCGTGTGCTCATCGTCCGGCCTAATCTCATCCAGCTTGTAGCTAAAACTGAGCGCTTTGTAATTGACAGCCGCACAGTAGGCATAGGATGTGTCGAATATATCGATGCCTTGGCGTATCAGCTCCAGCATCAACAGTGGCGTATAGGCACCTGGCATCAGACGCGGCTGCTCCTCCTCCAGCTGTTGCACACAGTGCTCTACAATGGGCAGCAATTGTGTCGCCTTCAGCTCGGTGGCAGCCAAGCCATTCGAATGGAATCCTTCGAGTATGTAGCCACCATAGCTGCCTGCTGGCTGCTGGCGGGCATGTTTAATCGATTGTGTGCGCGCGAAGGTGTTGTAGCCACCCACAATGGGTGCAAGCAACGTGGAGTTCTCCACGCGCCGCTCATAGCACTGCTCCATGAAGCGTTCGGTGCGATCCACTGATTTTTGTACACGTTTCTTGGTGCTGTCGGGGTTGGTATCCGCATCGCACAGACCCTGATAAACGTCGGGCGCAAAACTCGACACCAATTCCAGGTAACGTGTCGCTGTCAGGGATTCCTTGCCGCGACGCGTAAACAGAGGCACCACATCTCGATCATTGCCACCGGCTGGTGTCGTCTCGCATGGATCCCGCAATAGCAACACTGTGGCATGACCAGGCAAGCCAACATATTCGCTCAGGCTGCGATTCCACTGGACGAGGGATTCGGCCATTTGATCCATGGTTGATAAAGTAAGTTGGAGCAGTTGTTGTTGTTGTTGTCCCTTGCAGACCGAATCGAAGACATCGCCACTGAGATAGGGTATGCTGCCGCCTTTTGTTGTCTGCATTAGCAGCGGTGTTTGCAGTTCATTGCTCTCCTTCCCAATTCGTAGTTGGCCCAGGCGACCAGAGTTTTTACTAATACTTTTTATAACAAATTTCATTTTGGTGGCTAGTTTGTTTTTATTTGCTATTCGTGCACGTTTTGCGCTCGATAGGTATAAACATTTCTATAGCTGTTATCGATTTCAAATCAGCTGCAGCTTGTTTTCAAAATATATGAACACAAATACATATGTGCATATCTGTTCATGCACACCTGAAGCGTTCTTTGCTTTCATATATATTCAAAGCAAGATACATTTTATTTGTATATTATTATTATGACAAGAATTGTGTTTGCTTAAAAAAAATTTAATTGACCGCATCAGCTGTGGCGTTGCCACACTGTGATCTTTTATACCTTATTAACATTCGCTGTTATTTGACTGTTATGTTACACTTCTGTTTTGTTATTCCGTTCCTCTTTTGTACAACAACAAATAATGTTATTCGAACAGTAAACTGACTGGGAGCATGAAACGCTGGTGTTGTTTTTGAATTGAATGCGCAGCGCACTTGAGAATTGTTGTCATTGTTTTTGTTGCCGCACCGTTCTAGTTATGCATTTGCTCGCTCGCTCGCACTTGTTGGTCGGTCGATGGCAACAGAGCTTCACAGCGACTTTTCCCCAATTGGGTCTGTTTTATTCCGTTCGCGTTCGTTCATTGATTTCCTAATTAAGTTTATAATTAAAATTAATTGAAAAATTACCCACATACATATGAAAAATATGTAAAGTGCCGCGTGCGTTGTAACATCGAATAAATATATCAAATGTGTTTGTTCCCATTCAATTTGAAATGAAAGCACGTTAAAAATTTAAACACGAATTTCTGCCAAAAAAAAAAACTGAAAACACCATCGCCAGCCAAATAGGTAATTATAATAACCAAAAGTGCACGTTTATTTGCTGCTTGCCGCCTCTAATTGATGACTTCCCTGCCGCGCTCTATTTATAATTAAAAGCGTCTGCAATGCCAATTATATTTATTGAACAAAAGGCAAAATCTGCTTTGTATATACGAAATATCCACCACATCTGCATATTTAATAAGTAGGTATGTGCATAAAACAACTATCAAAAATTCTTTGCACAAAATTTTAAATGGCCATAAATTGTGCTAAAAGTCGCCTCGGCTTAAGTATTTTTTTGTGGTCTGTTACTTTGAATAGGGGGAAGGGGAGATGTGTATGTAGGTGGGTGCTTATCCTATTTAGTGACTTGGCCAGAGTTGTCAACGTGCATTAAAATGCACTCAGGCCTTATGAATTTTATGATGGCCTTGTAACGAAATTTGTAGCCTACCTGCTCGTTTATGTTTAGTGCTGAAACTGTATACAGTATGCATAACGGGTCGTAAATGAGAAATCTCTTAAAAGGTATAACTAATAAAAATCAAAATGTTTTTTTATTTTCGTTTTTAGCATTCCAGGTGGTCTCGAAAAATCTAGAGACAATGTGGCAACTCTAGGCAAATGAACTGTTTTACCTGCACACATACGAATGCGGCGCACATAACACACAAACGGATAATTTAGTGGAATTTTCGAAAATAGCAAAGGAAAGGCAACCATAATCCTCAAGAGCAGCAGCAGCATCCAACAACAAAAAACGGCACAGGCATAATAATCAAAGATTAAATCAGGTTTATATGGAAGGGTTAAAAAGAGCAAAAGCAGCCTGTCACAGGAAGAAATACACGTTTCCTAGTCACAGAGGCACAACTACAAAAACAACAACGAACAACTGATTTTGATTACAACTACAAGGAGCGCGCGCTACACAACACACACGCACGCACAACCAGACACATACATTACACATACGTGTGATTTGCGCTCACCAAAAGAGAGAGCAAGTGCGAGCGAGCGAGAGGGAGAGCGAGAGCGGACGTATGTGTGTGTGGGAAGAGAGCGAGCAATGCACACAGATTAACTGGCGCGCTCAGTTTTTGCGCTCACGTCTTCCGCTTTTTCAGCTCAGTTCTCATTCGAGTGCGGTACGGTTACGTCGCATTGCGCTGCTTGAACACGGCCGGCGGCTGCAAAATACAAAACACAAGATTTTCCGCTAGGCAACAGCAACACCAACAACATATGGGCGGCATTTGTTTTGAAAGGCAGACGAAATATAAACTAAACCGCAACTCGCCGCTAATAACTGTTTGTGTTTGTGTAAATATATAGATTATATGACGAAAAAGTGAAATAGTGCAAAGAAATAACAAAGAAAAAGCCCAAAAAAATTATTATAATAAAAATAATAATAAGACGGGCATCGAGACCGCAGAGACCAGTTTGAAATCGCCGCCTATATTTGCAGGGCAGTCGACGCGGCAGAGAAGCGAGCAGCAGTGCATGCTGTGTGCGAGTGAAAGAGCTGGCGATAGTTTTGACAGTGTGTGTGTGTGTGGAGAAGGGGCAGGCAATTGAACGTACACCAACACACACACACATACACATGTGCACATGCTAGCCAAGACAGTGCTACAACAACAACAGTAAGCAGCGACCACATACGGTGAAAAGGCCGCGTCGCTGTCTCAAGGAGCGAAAGGCAGCAAGAGCGAGAGAGAGAGCGACCGAGAGCAAAGCGAGCTATAAGAATAATAAATTACACTTTGCTTTTGCTATAATAAGAAGAAAAATTTATATACACACGCACACTCTCACACACATGTGCAAGTAATGTTTTTCTGTTTATGTGTGTGTGATGTGGGGGGAAAATTGTAATAAAATATGAACGCACGAAAAACGCTGGAAACGGAAAACTAAAAGTAAAATTTCGAAACATCAGCGCAGTAGTAGCAGCGCAAATATGCAGCGGTATATGTATATGTATATGTGTGTGTGTGTAAATTATTAACAGTTGGGCGGCGCAAATCAAAAGCGAAAAGCAAAATAAGTAAAGCGACGAAAAATAAGCAAGAAGCAGCAGGAGCAGTAAATAAAACTGAAACAACATTCAATGTGCCATAATTTTCAACAACAAAAACAACTACTACTATAATTAATAACTAAGCAAAGGAAAAAAGGAGCAGCTTTAAACACACAATAAATCAATGCATTATATTATACACATATACATAAATTATTAATAATAGTAATTTATAAGCTATATTATATATATATATAAAAATATATATATATACAGTATTAGCAACAACAAAACAACAAAAAATGTCCTGCATATCGAGCAATTTTAGCTCATTCTTCCTCAACTCCTTGAACGATCCTTCAGAGTTTTCCAAGTACTTGAGCAATGGCGAACTGAAATGCACAAATTTCGAGGAATTTCAAGTGTTTGCTGCTCAGTCAACGCAACAGCAGCAGCAACAACAACAACAGCAACTGCAGCAGCAGCAACTACAACAACAGTATTCATATACAAATGGCGTCGGCAGCGCTGATTTGTGCTATGAGACGACAGCGACGCCGACGTCGTCACAGCTGCAGTCGCTGCGCAGCTGTGAAGCTGTCGAAACGTCGACAGCGACAGCGTTGCCAATGCCGCCAAACAATCGCTGGCCCACAGCGGTGGCAACGCCAAACGGACATGCGCCCGCATCTGCCGCAGCAGCGGCCGCGGCTGCTGCTGCCGCCGCTGCCGCTCAGCATTTCGATGGTTCCTTTGAGTTTATCAAATATCTGCGTCACTCCACGGATTTTACGCCGCACAGTAGCAGCAATAGCAGCAGCAGCGGCGATGCCGTCGACAGCGCAGCCGCAGCGTCCGCTGCAGCAGAGAAAATCAGCAGCAGCAGCAAACTGTTAACAGCTGCTGGCGCTGCAGCAGCGGGCAGAGTAACGCCGACGCCGCCATTGCCGCTGCCTGCCTCCCCATTGGGTGGTGCTGGTGGTGGTGGTGGATCGAGCGGCGTCGGTAGCATTGGTCTCCTCGATCTGGATTCGACGAGCGTTGCGCAAAAATCGCGTTCGGCTTCGCGCAAAGTTGCCGCACTGCTTTCGTCCGTTTCCCGGTCTTCCAATAGCTTGGAGGCGAGCTCTGCGACGCTGGATGCCGTTTTCGATCACGATTCGAAGCAAACAATGTTCGAATTGCAGCACTTGACGAGCACTTCGAACGGTTCGAATGGTTCCAATTCGAATGAGTCTTCGCTGGAATTGCTCGCCTTTCCAAGCTCACATCTAAATGCTTCCAATTCGAATACCTCATCCGAGGAGCAGTGTGGTGAATTTGGTGGACTTCTTGGCGGTGGCGCTGCTTGCTCATCTGGCTCAGCAGGTGGCGGTGGCGGAGGGGGTACGCCCAAATTGTTGGGCAGCTTTGTGATCAAGGAGAATTTTGAAGTGCACCCGTCGCACAAGGTGGAGGAGGGCATCTTCCAGCACATGAACAAGCTGCCTTCGAAGAAGAAGGACACGCTCAAGCAGCTCGGCGTCCGCTTCACTGGCCAAATGACATTGACGGACAAATCGATTGTTGTCGACAATTTCATTCGATTCTGCGAGGTGAGTTTTCTATTATTATTAGTGTGGGCAAAATGTAATCGAATTCTAACTGTAATTCCGCAAACTGAATGAAACAACTAAGAAGAGCTGCAATTGGCAGAAGTTAACAGAGTAACATTTTTATTAACGGCAAATGCTGCTGTAATTAGTAGACGACCGCAATCCATATGTGTGTCGTAAAAGTTTTTTATATATAGATATATTTCCCCAATTCGATTAGCGTTGAGCAATCTCAATAGTTACATATTGCAAGCAGTTATATAGCAGTTGATTTTCGCTAACGAGTACATGGCTGCCATATTTAAATATATCTGTGACATTTATATATATATATCCTGAAATATGTATGTCTATATATATATATATATATATATATATATATATATGTGTGTGTATGTGTATATTCATAACGCGGATACACCGTTCATATCCTTTACACAAGCACATTTCTCACTCTATTATATGCCGCCCACACACACATACACTGTCACACAACGAATGTCATTATAAATTGTAATAACAGCAGCAGAGGACGTCAGCGTTGGCAGAGGAGCAACACAAGCCACAACCACAAATTCAACATACAAATACAAATACGAATACAACAACTGTAATCATGTGTGGCACCAATGTATTACTGTTGTGCATGAGTGTGCGCGTGTGTGTGAGTTCTAAACACCTACAAACCTACACATATATACAAATACCTTCACTCATACACACACAGACATCCGCACTCATTTGGCGCCTTTTCAACACCATGCAAAGGCTGGCAACCCTCCTCCAAAACTCTCCCACCACCACCAACCAACACATGCTCATTACGCTCAGCTTTATCGGAACGCACACACACACACATACTTACACATGCACAACTAGATTTGGTCGAAGCAGCAGCAGCCACCCAACCCACACACACACACATTTAAACTATGTATGTTATATGAAACGGCATTGATGGCATAATACACAGGAACACAGTCGTCGTCGCAGCAGCAGCAACTACAACAACAACAACAAGAAGATCCTAACCTTATTTCAACTTGTCTGCTTTCTCTGCCCTTCGGCCGCTATTACAACATTTTAGTTTGAAGATGCCTAGCTCTGCTCTACTCTCTCTTTCCTCCCTCTTTCCAGTTTAGCTTAAAATTGTTGCGCGCTCTCTCTCACTCTCTCCTACACACTCTCTCACTCCTTTTACTTGCTGGCCGCTTACTTACTAGCGGCTGCTGCTCAAACTACAAAGTTTTCTACACATGTATGTGTGTAAGTGTGTGTGTAGTTATGTGCGGTGGTATGTGAACACTCTGGCAACCCCCAAAAAGCTCAAGCGGGCGCTATTGAGTAATTGTATATGCCCCCTCCTCTCTTACTCTCTTCCTCTCTCACACACACATATACACACACACTCTCTCTCTCTCTCATACATACAATCATCAAGTTACTTGGGGCGTTTGTCCGACTGTTGTCCATTGAGCTCTGCTGCCTGCTGCCTTCGTATGTCCTTTTGTATGTATATATATATATATATATATATATATATATATGTATTTATGTATGTATGTATGTGTATGTAATGTTTCGGTGTGTGGTGGTGCGCCCCCTAGCGGCGTCGTTGAAGGCTACTAAATGCGCATGCAGCAGCAGCAGCCGCAGTCACCAATACACACACACATGCAATAAGTTTGCCAATATGTGTGAGTTTGTATTTGGTGTATGTGTGTGTGTGTTGTGTGTATGTGTATGTGTGTGTGTGTGTGTAAGTGTGTGTGAGGGACAGCTTAACTACGAAAGAGAGGGGGAAGAAGATGTGTTTGGGAGTGTAGGAGTAAAGGGCTGGGAGAGGGGTGTTGTCAGGTACAATGTCTCGGCTTCGCACAATTTACGCGCGCTCACACAGAAAACACATGCACACATTGATTATAATTTTAAATTATATACTCATGTAAATATATACATACGTATAACTGTACTTGCCAAACTTATGTGATGACTATACATATTTTATATATACATACACATATACATATGCACCCATCAAATATTTAGCTCTTATGCATCGTTTTTGCCGCATTAAATTAGTGTTGTGTAACGCGCGAGAGAGGGTTTTACAAGAGTGTGAGTAAATGCAGATTGTTGCCAAAAATTCATAATACATATATGTATATATTGTAATATTTATGTACATAAAGAATAATTAGCATCGAAATTGTAAGGTTAGGTTTACAAGTGAACCAAAAAAATAAATAAATAAAAAAATGAAAAGCCAAGCAACGCGCATTAATGAGTATATTTCACCCCTTTTTTCACACGTGCTGCACTCACAGCTCAAATTGCTGATAAAAACCTGTTAAACGCAAAGAGTGAAAGTGTGAAAATTGTTACCCCTCCCTGCCAGTTACAGTTACACATGCACATAAAAAAACACACGAGCAAACACGGAAACTGGGACTGGCACACACGCAACCCTCAAAAATCAAAAAATCATTGCCAAACGATGGCAACACTAACAACTGTTGTCGTCACTGTTGTTGTTGTTGCACGCACAAGCAGCAAAACAGAAACAGAAAGAAAAACAATTCACACTTGTCTCAATAAAAACAACAACACACGCGCACACACTCACTCACACACCACAACACAACACATCACACCACAGACAACAACCGCAGGCCACACACACAAACACAGAGCAGGATACGTCACGCACAGGCACGCACAAGCACAAACACGTCTGCGTGCTGCCAATAAGTTGAAAAAAAGAATGAAAAAACGACAACAAAGCAAAACAACAATAAAAAGGAAAAAACAAGAACACAATGCCGCAACACATTGCCATTTATTTTTCCACTTCTTTTTTTGCTATGAAACAGTTAAGCGGCTATGGGAATGTAAACACACAAAAGTGCCCCCTTCTCCACTCCTCCAGCAGCTTCCAAAACAATCAGCAGCAGCAACACTTGGCTTGACAGGCAAAAGCTCACCTCTCTTTCTCTCTCTAGCTCACTGTACTGTTAATGAGTCGCCAGTGCTGCTGTGATGCTGTTGTCCCCTTTACAGGTAACACCTCGGAAAGGGGCTTGTCATCATTATAAAGGCGTTGAATTGCTTTCTCGAGAGCGCTCTCTCTCCATCTCTCTCTCACACACACATGTAGACAAAGACAAGCTTTAAGCCTATTTTGACTAGAAAATTTGGACGGTCCTTCCTCCTATTGGTTTGGCGGGGCGTCGTCACTCCTTTTTGCTCTATTGATTTTTAACATAATCAAAACCCAAAATGTATGCACACATGCATAACATAGACACACAAACACACATACACTACATACATACATATGTACATTTATAAGTACATGCATACACACATTTACATACACAATTACATACATATGCCAGTTTTGACAGCGTTGCCATGTGTATGCTTAGAAGGTGGCTGCCTGCCTGCCTGGCTGGGATACAGTTAGTTGGTAGGTCTGATGCTTTTGGGTGGCAACGTTGGCGTCGCGCTGATTATGAGGATGTTGATAAGTTTTAACGTCAACGACGACGACGTCGACGAACAAGCGACACCAAAACGAACGACGAACGCTGTCGGCGATGCTTGTTGTCTCTTTCTCTCTCTCACACACGCACACATACACAGACGTCCGTCAAGCTGCTGCGCCTATTTTAAACACACACACTTATACACAGACACATGGACATGCGACAACCCTTTTTAGTCCCCACAGCTCACAGCTTCCCCACCGCTCCTCTGCACCCTGTCTTCATTGTTGAAAATGGCTTCATTGAAAATGTTGTTTGCTTTTCTATTTGGGTTTGCTTTTTTGCTGGCTTTGCCTACACTCGGCTTTTTGCTTTATTTTATATTTTTACACTATAAAATATACATTGTGTGTGTGTGTTTGTGGCATGCTTTTAGGCGCAGTAGTCCTTTCAATGATTGTGTTTGCATTTTGGGGTCTGCAAGTTTTTGGCTTTTGTACAATTTTCGTTTTAAACTTTGCGTTGTACACGAATTATAAGTTTTGATTAGTAGTGGGCAAACTTTTGCATCCGCCCTGTGTATGTGTGTGAGTGAATAAGTGTGAGTTTCTCTCGGGGTTGCGGCTGGTGGAGTTGCCATCGTACATAGAAGAAGTAATGGGTGTAGCTATATAAATATATGTATGTATATTTGCATATGTAGTAATAACTAAAATATATATGTATATAGAATATGCAGGAAATGAGTTTGACGTCAGCGTTATTATAGCCTTACAAATTTTAAGGGTTTGCCAAAGAGTCCCAAATACATAAATTGTAATTTACATTGAATGGGTTTTGGAATATATATACATATATAGAAATATGGCTCCCATTTTTTATTTTCTGCCATAAAAACAGGAAACTTTTGCTCTTTAACATAGCATACTTTTAAGCGTAAAATTTTGCACAGAAAGTAATTGTAGCTCGCAGTTTCAATTTTTAGGCGACTCTTTCTTTAATATTTTGACAGAATAATTTAAAGAACGTCTTTCTATTTGCAAGTTTCTTTATTTCGACAATTTAACATTCCTTTAAATGTCTCTTCTTTAAGATTCATACTCAGAATGGTCTGATTGCACATCACATTGTAAGTTTATGTTAGTTACAGGTGTTATCGATCTCTAGCTGCACTAAACGCGAGATGCAACCGTTCTTATGTTATTTATTGCACTGTGTTAATTGCTTACCGCTCTGAATACTTGGCGCGCTACAATTTTCATGTTTTCTTTTATATGTTTTCAATATTTACAGGAATACGACATCAAGGATCATCGGCCGTGGCTGTCCTTAAACCAATGTGGCCTCAATAAACCAGAGCAAATTAAATTTGCGCGCTATTTGGGCCAGGGATTGCCAACGTTTACGCTCTTCTGCATTTATAGCAATTTTAAGAATCTGTTTTGCACCAAACGCACAGAAATGTGAGTAACTCAAGACTATATATCATACAAATATCAAATATCGACTTATCTTTAACAGCTATACCAAGGATGGCTACAATCTGCCTTATATACTCGATAAGACCAAGCGCTTCCTGGCCAATACAACAGCTGGTGAGTTCCCAAAGTTCTAATTCCCCACAAATTATTATGTATAGTGCAAATGCAGCAACGAGCAAAAAAATATATATCTAATAAACAGGCAAAAAAAATAAATAAAAGCGAAAATAGACAGAAACGAAAATGTGACGCCAAAATAGCTTAAAAGCGAGAATTGTGCTACATTTTATAAATATATATACACAAAAAGAAAACAGTGCTTACAAAAAAAAAAAAAAAAACATTTTCTTTTATGATTTTATTTCTCTGTATTTTCTATTTTGCATTTTGCGTTCTTAATTTCTCATTTTTGCTCTACATATTTTATTTGCCACATGCACTTTCTATGCTCTCTCGAAACGAAAAAAAAATATATATATTTACATATATATATATATATATATATATATCTGTATACTTAAAAATTGGCTGCCTATTTTTGCACTGTGCAAAAATCAAAAGAGAAACAAATCAAAAAACTATTTTAATTTTTGACTTCAATTTGTTTGTGTTCTTCTTCTACTTCTTTTTACACGCATACGCTTTAAATCACTAGGCGAAAATACCAACAACAATAACAACAACAACAGTAACAAGACCAACAACACAACAACCACTCCTGTTAAACAGACACAAGAGCTTTGCGAATCTGCGCCCGCATCGCCAACAACAGTAACAGCAACAACAACAGCAGCAACAACAGTAACAGCAACATCACCAGCGTTGCCACCCCACAACAATAATAACAGCAACAACAACAGCAACACTACTACACATGCAACAGGCAACAGCAGCACACATTTACACACGCAGCACGCAGCGCAGTCGTCGTCGCAGCCAGCTTTAGTTGCAGCACGCACAATGACCCCCACTGGCGCCACGCCTCTGCCACAACGCCCCGGAACGCCCACAACGCCAGCTGCTGTGGCAGCAACACCAACAACGCCACATCCGCCGCCACATACTCCACATTTGATGCATCTGCAACAACCATCAACCCCCTCGCGTGGCACGCCCATGACGCAGCAGCAGCAACAACATCCGCATCCACATCATCAACAGCAACAGGCACATCCGCATCCTCATCCGCATCATGGATCGCCGCATCCGCATCACTACACGCATCCGCATCCGCAGCAACATCCACATTCGCATCCACATGCGCAACAACATCCGCATCCACATCAGCATCCGCATCATTTTGCTGCTTACGCACATCCGCATCACACACACTACGGCCTGCCACCTCCGCATCCACATCCGCATCCTCATCAACATCCGCACTCACATCCACATCAGCACTCACATCCGCATCCGCACGCACATATGGCAGCCGCATTAGGCTATGGCCAACAGGTGGCGCCACCATCATCAGCACAGCCGCCACAGCTGCCGCCGCCCAATATGTGAGACTGGCGTCGGCGTGGCGCCAAATATGGCGGCAGTGGCGCCACCTGTTGACAATCGTAGCAGTAAACTATACAACAACAATAAAAAAACAAAATGGCCCCCAACTCAACTATTTTTAGCTTATACAATTTGTAACTCTATATTTTTGATTTGTTTGTAAATCATTTGGTTTAATTTTTTTTATCATGTTGTCTTTGTGTGCCCTTCTGTTTTGCACTTAGCGTATATGATTCGTTTGTAGTCTAATTTTACAAGCTTTTTGCCAAATTTCTTATATGTATTATGTTAAACGACTAAATTGTTGGACAATGATCATCACGCCCTGAAACTATGCAATGTTATTCCTTGAAAAGAGATTATTACAATTACACACACCCACACATAACACATGTAAACTGTCGACACCATCATTATTATTATTATTATCGTAAATTCAGCTAATGCGCAACTATTAAAAGTAATAATAAAATCAATATATATATATATTCACGGATATACTTGACCATATATTTTAGTAAGCCAAGAAACAAATGATATATGTATGTAAAACCAATCCTAACTATATATACAACAAACATATAAAGAGAACAAATATACATATATATATAATATATATATATACATACATATAGATGTATATATATATACATAGCAAAAACGACAAAAAGGTTGCCTACTTTTATTGAGTAATTTACGAGTACTTCCCACATATTTACAATTGGCCTGTTCTCTCTGCATTTGTGCTAGGCTAAGCCGCTGCTCTCTCTCTCTCTCTCCATCTGACTCTCTTTAAACAAATGCAAATCTCTCTTGTAGACCTCAAGAATATGGCAGCCGCGAATGACGGCACGCTCGAGTTTGCTAGCAATAACAGCAGCAGCAGCAGCAATAACAGCAACAACAACAACAGCAACACCATTAACAATAACAGCAGCAGCAGCGTTAACAGTAACAGCAGCAACAGCACTAACAGCAGCAGCTGCAGCAACAACAGCCTCAATACGGTTAACAGCTATGCAGCAGCAGCGGCTCAACAACCAATGGACACCCGGTATGGTTGTGTGACGGCGACGTCAACGTCGCTGCCAGCACTGTTACCGCCACCCTCGTCGCTGCCAGCGTTGCCATTAGGTCCACCGCCACGTTCGCTGGAACAGCTGATCATCTATGAAAATTTCAATGTGCACGAAACGCATCGCATCGAAGACGGCGTTTGTACGCACATTTCACGGCTGCCGCCCAAGAAGCAGGAGCTATTGAAACAGTTCGGTATACAGAGTAGTAGCCAGCAATGTCTGAGCAATTATGAAAAGTGCATACTCATCGAGAACTTCATCAAGTTTTGCAATGTGAGCAAATTGTGTATCGACGCCGTGTTTGTCTGCTCTCAACCACCCCAAAAAGAAACAGGAGACGATTGTGTTGCGTGCAGCGGAGCTTTGTTCTTGAATTGGCCATTAAATAAATAGTTATACACAATTGGCATTATTCATTATTTAATATCTAGTTCAAAATTACATCATCATTTCTCCTCGTAGAGCATAGAACAAAACTCTTTGCCGTTTATCAATTGAAGAGCAGTTGTTTTTTAATTAATTCCACACTTTCTTTCGTTTCTTTCCGTTTTTTTTTTTTGTTTTTGTGCAATAGGAATATCAGATATCCGATCATCGACCCTTTTTGGACTTCCACGAGAGCGCTCTATCCAAATGTGAGCAACTTAAATTTGTACGATATCTGGGCCAGGGGCTATCCAATCTGACGCTAAACAAGATCTATGTTGCATTCAAGGAGCTCCTAGGCAACGGACGACCGGACAAGTGAGTAAACTAAAGAATCGCTTTAAGTCTTTTAATCTTTAATATTCCATTTATTTCTCAGATCTGGTTCGGATAACTATAATTTGGATGTATTACTGAAGAAGAAGCGCAAGAATCTATATAATCGCCTGAATGCATCGGGTAAACTATGTTAGTTTCTTTATATATATTTCAAATTAAATTCATTAAAAATGTATTGCTTTTGAAAATCGGTTAAGTTTTGACAGCTGCAAATTTAAAATTAATGACGTTGCCACCTAGTCGAATTTATACTTAAGCTTTTTATATTTTCCCTTTCATACAGCAACTAGTGTCGATTTAACAGCGTACGACTCAGCACAACAATCGCAACATGCCCAAGTGCCACGCCCACATCACGCCTTTGCCGCTTTAACAGCAGCGACGCAGCCAAACGACGTTTGCAGTGATCTGCCGCAATACAGTTATGTGCAACGGTAAAAGCTCACATTGACGCCTGCGCGGGCGTTTGCACAACTACAACAACAAGAAATACACACACACACATATGCAAACACATACATATTAAATATACTTCCTGGAACTGGACCAGTAACTGTTGTGTCTTCAAAACATAAAAAAAGAGAAACAAAAACAAAAACAAAATTATACGAAAAATGGAAAATTTGTTAAGCAAAATGATGCTAAGTAATTAATTGAAAATGAAAACTAAGTGCTAAATTATAAATGAAAACAAAAACAAAAAAGAATTACGAGAAATTAGAGAAAATTAATGTAACAATTACTTATCGTAACAACGTAACGTAACGTAATGGTAATGAGAATGAAATTCCAATTAGCAACACTACCACTAAACCAAAAAGAATGCAGTTTAATCTAATAGATATCTAACGTTTCAATACGTATATAAATATATTTTGTGTAGTTGGGCAGAACAACAAGGATCTAATAATAATATATTTGTAGCTCGTGCTTCGGTTTCCAAATTTTGAGTCTCCATTTGTTTTCCAAAAAAGTTAAGCAAGCAAGCAAGTTATATATACATATAGTATATATATAAATATATATATATATAGAGTTAAGCTAGATTTTAAGCGCAACACCAAAATTCAAAAACTAAATCAAAGACCTCCCAAGAAAGTTCCCTAATATGCATATACACATCAACTATATAGCATATAGTTTGTAAGTTGAGAAAAAGTTTACATTTACATTAGCGACACATACACACACACTCACACACACACTCACACACACGCACACACACACACACGCATACAAAGAAAATACCAAAAAAATACACTGAGAAGATTCAGTATAGCAAACATAAAAGATTAACAAAACAATTATTCCTATATACAATACTTATATATACAACAACAAACAATATACATAAAATATATTATTATAAACGGAAACGCAATGAATCAAATACCAAGCATAGCAACTGTAACATAAACAACAAATATATTATATACTAAAAACGCCAAAAAGAAATTCAGATTTGTTTTCTTTAACTTTACGGAAACGTTTTTATTTTCAAAAATTATTTTTAGTTTTTCTTTTACTATTATGGATATAGTTTACGATTATTAACTTGCAGCGATTTAGAGGGACATGGGGAGTACAAAAGAAGTAAAGTACATTAAAAGGCAGTTTATAATTTTTGGGGCTGGGTCGACTTAATTAACTCCTTGCCAAAAACACTTCGAATTACTTAAATACAGCATGATACGAATAATGTATGTTTATATTCTTAACATTGGCGGCAATTTAGAATTACCTTTTAGTGTATATGCTATTTTTGTTTTCTTTTTTTTTGACAAAAAACCGAATGTTTAATGTTAAACGCACTCTAATTGGATTCCTTTTTGCTTAATTTCTGCTCGCGCTCCAGCGCCCGCTGCTTGGCCTTCTCATATATGGGCAACAGTTGTCCAGTCTCGCCCAGCATTTTCAGCAGCTCCACAATGAACGGCAAATAGTTGTGTTTGCGTCGCACATTCTCCACCTGCAAAAGAGATGCGATTAATATGGATATATTTATGTATAATATTTATAATTAATATGTGCCTTGTATCGTTTCTTCTTCTCGATTTCATACTGTATGTAGGAGCGCAGGCTATTGATTTCAGTCTGACGATCATCGGCTGTGTCCATGGCATCGGCAGCCGGATTCAGTAGCTTGTCTATTTGCTGTTCGTAGATGCGTTGCCTGTCCGAGATCAGGGCCATCAAATTGAAATGGATTTCACCATCGCTATAGCGTTGCATGCGCTTCTCAATGATCGGTCGCACTACATCGATCCAATTCTGCTCCGGCTTGATCTCGCCCAGATCGATGGGTCCCTCACGCAGACCATCCAGCTCATAGAGACGCCCAGCAATGGGCATATAGCCAACAAAATGATAGACATCCTCGTCTTTGTTCTGGTTTTTCATGTCTAGCTCGAAGAGCGTTTGGCGGGCAAACGAATTGTGCACCGTTCGAATCTGGGAAGCATTGCTCAGCGTCAGACCCTTATTGTAGGGATCGAAGCACTGACAGAACTCCTTGAAATTGGTCAGGGTGTCGCCCAGCTTGATGTCCTCGTGATTCAAATTGAGCAACAGACTGAGTATGGCTTGCGTTGCACACGCATTATTGATCACCTGCTTGGCGAAAAAGATGTGATCCCGATCCAACACCACTTTGCCAGCGGGTTCATCCTCTTGCACCCACTTGAACAGGAATATGAGGCCATGTATGGGCTCCAGATCCTTGAACGATTCATTGTCCAGGCTCCAGATTTCCTCCACCTGGGCACCGTCGCAACCTGGCCGAGCAAATGCAGTTATTTATTGATCCTTGAGGATAATTCAATGCCGGTTTTGGCATCCGCGTCCTCTTGGCAAAAAAAAAGCGCGCGAGGTACATCGTCTTACCAAATTCGCGTATCAGCTCCGTGAATACGCCTGGATCGCTCTCTATGAGACACCAATTGCCTGCTCCTTCACTCATTGTGCGCAGCTTATAATCGTTTGATTAATTTGCAAAAATTGACAGTAATAAAAAAAATTTTTTTTGTCAACTCACAAGCTATACGATTAGTGTTAGAGATGTTACGATATATAAACGCGATACCTTATACGATACGGCAATCTGTTTCGATATTGTCCGACAATATTATCGATATGCAACACGATCAATTTGGTTAACTTTGTGGCAAAATATCAGTGCTTATTTTCAATTATATTACTTTATGAGACTATAAATACCATAATTACTTTGAGTTATTGGACTTAACTATTCAATATATTGCTCTGCATATCCAACTGCATTCCGATTGTCAATGCTATGCATATTTAACGATGTACCGATAAATTTGTACATCTCTAATGTCATGGCGGACACAAAGCAAAGCGGTGGGGAAAAAATTATGTAGAAGCAGAATGAAAAATCTCATATAAAAAAATTAAATATTTCTGCTGCATGTGAAATGTTAACTTCTTATGTGTACTATAACAATAAATGTGAGACAATAATCTATAATTTAGTGTAATATTTGTACGCGCCTTACGTGTAGGAGAAGCAATGAAAATATGACGCGAAAATATGATATCAACTATGTGCAGGCACCAGCAACAAAATCAGTGTTTGTAGTGTCAGTGGAAAATTGGCAATTGCTGCGTACGTTTATGTAAATGCCGAGAACGACGGATAAAAACAAATTCGAGCTTTGTTTTTAATAAACTCTGTGTGTGTGCGTGTGTGTGTGTGTGTGTACTGAGGAGCGCGTTCTCTCGTCTCAGTGCGAGAGTTGCAGCGAAATATTGGGGAAAAAGAGGCGCGAAAAATTCGCAACAAAATGGTTGTCTCAAAAGACAACAAGCGTCGCCGTAAGGAAACAGATACGCCGCCAACGTCATCGTCCGCGGCGTCGGCGGCGGCAGCAGCAGCAGCACTGGCTGTGGAGTCATCACCCGAGATGCCTAAAAGGTGAGCCCATTTAACCACCCAACCCCCCTCCCTCCCTCCATATCCCATCTGTCTATCTATTGTTGATCATATACGTATGTAGTGTGTAATATTTGTGTGTGCGATGACGACGCAGAGCAAAGCAGAGCAGAGCAGCGACGACTTTAAGGTTGCCACTGTTAAATTTTTTGCGAACAGCAACAGCGCTCCCCCCTCTCCTTGCTCCCCTTACGTGAAGTGAGGTGCGGTACATTGTATAAGCAACAGTGTTGCCAATTTTGTGGCAGTTAAAAAGGAAATTAAAAAGCATAAATTATTTTTAATTTGTATCAAATAGAAGTGTTTGTTTTAATTACAAAAATGATAAGTGTAGAAAAAGCAAAAGATAAACAAGCTTAAACCGGCTTTATAGATTGAGTAATTTTAGCTGTTTAAAAGCCAAAAAGTTGGCAGCACTGTTAAACAAGCGTCGTGGCGCTGTTGTTTTTGTTGTTGTAGTTGTACAGGCCAAGGGCTGATTCGTATTTACGCTTAGGGTGTAGAGCAGGTGTGTGTGTGTGTTAGCGTGTGCATGTGTGTGCGATATGTACTTGTTGTTTTGTTTTTGATTTAGAGCGTAATTTGTATCAAATTGAATTTTTTTTTGCAAATTAAACTGACTCACTCTTTTTATTCTCTCTGTGCCCCATTTTCATGCCTCTGCTGATTACAGAACGAAGGTGCAGGCACAGCGTAAATTCGCCCAAGGCCAGAGTGCGCCCAATTCAGCCGGCGGTGGTGCATTCAACGCTGCCAGCGTTGCAGCAGCCGCAGCAGCAGCAGCAACAGCGGCGGCAGCAGCTGCAGCAACAGCATCGGGTTCCTCATCGTCTGCTGGGCCAAGCACATCGACAGCAGACAGCCTGCAACAGCAACAGCCACCGATTGAGATATTGCCGAATCAGCGCCCGAAACCGCAGGATTTTCTAACGTTTCTCTGCTTTCGCAGTTTTCAGGGCAAACCCAAGGCCAATGATGCAGGTGCTCTTCCGCCCAGCAGCGATGCTGTCAACAACAACAACACCACCAACAACAACAAGAAGAACAATAGCGGCAGCAGCAAGAAGAAACGCGGCCGACCGGCCAAAAAACCAGGCACGGAGCAGATGCCAACAATGACTAAAACAGCAAGTGATAAAATTGAAGCAGCAGCGACGCCCACGCCTCCTCCGCCTGTCCAATCTCAGCCTCAGTCTCTGCTGCTGGCTGGAGCAGTGCGTAAGCGTGCCGAGGTTATTGCCGAGGGCAATCGACGAGGAGGACGACGTCAGGAGACTTTAAAGCGTCGCTCGAATCGCGCCGGTAACAAGGAAAAAGATGATGAACCGGAGCAGCAGCAGCAGCAGCAACAGGCGCAGCAGAAGCAGCAGCAGAATAATGCAGACGCAGACCATGTCGAGGAGGAGGCGGAGGATGACGAGGAGGATGAATTTTTTTCGGCGCATGATGCCAGCTCGCGTAATGGTGGGGCTGCCGCCGTTGCCGATGAGACGATCTCCAAGTCGGAAACAATGCAATCAAATACAAGACGTGGTCGTGGCAGAAAATCGGTTGTGGCAGTAACAGCAGACTCACCTGTTGCAACCAACGAGAGCAGGGCCAGCAAGGAGAAGGAGAAGGGGCCCGTGAAACGTTTGCGTCAACAGCGTGAATCACCCATTTTCATACCCTCCCCGGAATCATCGGGACGCATGACGCGACAGCGTGCTTTTTTTGAGCCTGTCAAAGTGCCACCAAAGCAAGAGCCGTCAGAAGTGGAGGAGAAGCACGAGGTCGAACAGGAGCAAGAGCTGAAGGAACAAAAAAAGAGCAAGGAAAAGGAGCAGCTGCAGAAGCAGTCAACGCCAGCAGCAACAGTCGAGTCCAAGCAGCAGCATCAGCACATCAAGGAGAAAATCAACTCGAGCATTTATGCCAAAGATGCGGCCAAGCTAGAGAATGGTGTCACCACAGCGACAGCTGCTGCGGCAGCGGAGCAACAAAAGGGTCTCAACGTCTTCGATTTCAGCTCCGATGATGAGCAGCCGCTGGCCAAGGCCATCAAGCTGAAAAAGGGTGGCAAAAAAACGGCAGTGAGTGCGGGCGGAGGACCAGGAGCAACTGCAGCAGTAGCTGGCACAGCAAATGCACGCGGTCGCAAATCAGCCGGCGGATCGGCAAAAAAGCAACAGCGGCTGGAGGAAAAGGAAAAGGCAGCAGTAGCAGCAACACCGCCTGAAGAGCCGTTGAAGACAAAGCGTGGCAAGCCATTAAAAAAGAAAGCAGCCGAGCCGGAAAACGACGAGCAGGGGGTGGATGCCGAGGAGTCCGATTTAAGTCCACCCTCGCCCAAAAAGCCAACAAACAATAATAATGCACGACCCGTGCGTCGTCAGGCGGCACAGCTGAAAGTGCAGCAGCGCTCGCGGAGTCCAAGTCCGCAGCAGCAGCAGCGCAGTCAGCGTCCGTCGCGTAAGACGAAAGAAGCGGCTGCCATCTACATGGGCATCATTGGACACAAGTTGCAGCTGGCAGATGACGAGGACGATGATCTGTCGCTGAGCAGCTTCCCAGACATACCCAATGTCAAGCAAATGGAGAAAATGGAGAAGGAGATTAAAAAGAATGCGGCGGGCAAACAGGCAAGCAAACCAACAGCACCAACAGCATCAGTAGCAACAGCAAAAACAGCAGAAGTAGCAGCAGCAGCAGGAGAAGGAGCAGAAGCAGTAGGATCAGCTGCTGCTGCTGCTGCGGCAGTTGAGCCAACAACTGAAATGCCAGCAGCAGCAGAAGCGCCGCCGGCACCTCCTCCTGTACCGCGACGCGGTCGACCGCCCAAGCAAGCGAAAGGTGCAACAACCGCAGCGGGGGCAACAAGTGCAGCAACAGCAGTAGCAGCTGCAGGCACAGTCAAGCCTCAGATTGAGGGCATGCTGGTGAAGAAAGGCGCACTGGCGCTGGCCAAAGCAAAGTCCGAACAGCAACAAAAAAACCAACAACAACAAGAACAGCAACAACAACAACAGCAGCAGCAACAAAAAGTCGACTCCGATGCCGAGGAGGATTTTTTAATCAACGAGGAGCTAAACGAAACGAAGCGCAAGCTCGAGAAGAGTTTCAGTGACTCGGATGATGAGCCGCTGGCAATTAAAGTGCCAACAGCAACAGCAGCGGCAGCAGCAGCAGCAACAGCAACATCAGCAGCAACAACAACAACAACAACATCCACAGGTGCAACAACAAACACAGCAACCAAAGCCAGCAACAGCAGCAGCAAAACGGAAACAGCAGCAACAACTGTGACTCAAACAACGACAGCAACAACAGCAGCAACAACTGCAGCAGCAACAACTACAGTAACTGCAACAGCAACAACAACTACAGCAGCAGCAGCAGCAACAACAACAACTGTAGCAGCAGCAGCAACAACAACTGTAGCAGGAGCAACAACAATTGCAGCAGCAGCATCAGCAGCAGCTACTTTAAAGCCACCACAACTGGGCGTCGCAACAGCCACGCCCATAACGCCATTAACCATGCTGCCGCTGACAACAAAGCCCAGTCCATTTTCCATATCGCCACCGAGCTATGCATCCGCAGCAGCCACACTGAAAGCAATGGAAAAGAAATCACCCGTGCCCACCTCGAAGATATTAAATGTGCCTGCCACGTATGCGTTGCCCGGCAGCGGAACAATTGGCATGGGTGTGGGTGCCGTTGGTTTTGGGAAGAGCACATCGTATTTGCCGCAGGCATCGCCACACTATCAATCCCCGTATGTGCGTCCACCGACGTTTTGTGCCGCTGCAGGTGCGGCTGCTGCCATTGGCAATAAGACGCCGCATCCGCAACAGCAGCAGCAACAGTTGCTGGCAGCGACAGCAGCGGCGGCGGGGGCGGGGGCAACAAGCACAGCCCAGCAGACATCGACACCACTCAAATATCAAACGGCGCCCACAATCTATCCGCCACCCATTGAGGCGTATCAGTGTCCCAAAATCAATCCCAATTTTCTAACGCCCAAATATGATCGGGCGAGCATTTTGCCGCGTGTCAATAACAATAATAATGCGGTGACCATTAGCAATACAAGCGGCAGCAATTTTACGGCGCCAACAATTGCAAGGCCAACACTGAGCACACTGTCCACGCCCACCACACACGCTGCTGTTGCAGCGGCGGCAGCTGCAACTGTTGCAACAAAGGCAACGACTGCCGTTAGTCAAAGTCTTAGTTTGACCATAACTGCAACGCCGCCAGCTGTGGCATCCACATCCGCAGCAGCAGCGGCCGCACAACAGCAACAACAATCACAACAGCAGCAGCAACAACAGCAGCCGCAACAACAACAATCACAACAACAACAGCAGCAACAACAACAGCAGCAGCAACAGCCACATCCACAACAACAATCGCCAGCGTTAACAATGACACCAACGACGAGCACCAACAACAATTCGGATCCGTTGAAAGATGAAATTGGCAGCATTCTGGCACAGGCAACACTCATGCCCAGCAAGGAGGAGTCGGGCAAGATCTTTGGCATTGCCAGCGTGAGTCTGGCACAAAGTTCCGGGCCGGATAACACCAAATGTACGCTCGGCAAATGTGGATCGATACACAAACCGGTGCTGGGACCCGTTGTGCCCACAGAGGCCTACTTTGGTGACCAGTTGTCGGGCAAGGAGCGTCGCAAGGCCAAGGTGAATATGACACACGAACAGATCCAAAAGTGGCTCATCGAGTGCAGCTCGAATCCCGATGAGATCCAGGATGATCTCGATGATGAGTACGACGACAGTTTGAGGCCGCAACAGTCACAAACGCCGCCGGGTCCGACGCGTGACGATAAGGAGAGCACCAGTTTCAGCAGCTCCTCGAAGAATACACGCGGCGAGCTCGGCAAAAGTGAGAGTGCCTGGTCCGCCAAGGGGCCATCCTTGAAAGCGACACCGGTCCTCGTCAGCGCTGTGTCAGCGGCAACAGCAGCAGCTGCAGCAGCAGCAGCAGCCAATCTGCGGGATACTGTGGACACTGAATCGGATACCATGGACTTGGATAAGTGTGTGACGCCCGTGAATCTCACCCAGAAAAAGGAAGTGTCGGCTGCCGCAGCAGCAGCAGCTGGAGCAGCTGCCAACAGCAGCAGTGATAAAAGGAAGCCGAAGAATGCGGTTAAAGCAACAGTTGCTGCTGCTGCTGCTGCAGGGGTTGCAACTGGCAGCAACAATAAGCGAGGTGGTGGAGCAACAGCTGCTGCCAACAAACGCCTTGCAGCTGCCACAAAGCTGTCGACGCCAACGCCCACCAATAGCAGCAGCAATACGCCCACCTCAGCAACGGCAACGACAACAACACTGACAACAACAACAATGTCAGCTAAACGAACGCCCATCTATCAGAGCAGCCCAGGCAAAGCCAAGCTGGACAACAACAACAAGAAGCAGCAGCAGCAGCAAAAGTTGCCAGCCAAAACTTCAGTTTATGCCTTTGGCAAGGAAGAGGAGACAACAACAACAACAGCAGCAACTGTAAAGAAAACAGCAGCAACAGCAACTGTTGCTACTGCATCTGCTGCTGGCAACAAGGCGACAAATCGTCGCCGCAATCTTGAAGTGGAAGCAACAGCAACAAAAACTGCAACGCCGCCGCCAGCGTTAAGCGAACGTTCGCCGACTAAAAAGCGTGCGGCTGCCACAGCGGCAGCAACAGCAGTGCAACTGACGCTCAGCCCAACGGATAAGCTGGAGAAGCCCAAGGCAGCAGCAGCAGCAGCGCGCAAGAAACAACAGCAGCAGCAGCAAAAGCAACAGCAGCAAAAGGAGCAGCAACAACAAAAGGAGCAACAACAACAGCAAAAGGAGCAGAAGAAGGAGCAACAACAGCAGCAGCAGCAGAAAAAGACAGCAACAACCGCAGCAGGAGCAACAACAGCCAGTGCTGGTGGAGATTCGGATGCAGAGGGTGCCACCTTTTACATACCACTTTTGCAAGGCGCAAGCAGTGGCGATGGTGGCATTCAAGGCGTTGCCGTCAAGCTGGGACGCGAGGGACCCGATGGACCCAATCAAAAGGTGGTGATGCAAGCGACGCTCGTGACCAAGGCGCAAATGGACACGAACTCAGCGAAGCCGCTGCCCGACAATGAGCAGCTGGTCAAAACGCTGCTCAATGCGGCCAACACAAACACCAATGAGCCAACAACGCCCAGCAACAATAGCAACAGCTTAAAAGCCAGCACCTCAGCAGCAGCTGCAGTTGCAGTTGCAGCAGCAGCAGCTGCCGCAGTAACGGGAGCGGCAACAACAACTGCTTCTGGTAATCTAGTCCGCGTCAATTCCAATTCATCACTCTTCTCTGGCTCAGCCAAATCCCGTACAGCTGCCACTGCTGCAGCAGCTGCTGTGATGGCCGCCACGAATGCGCTGGCCAAAAAGTACAAAGATGATACGCCCATTAAGATGGCCAATAATACGGCATTCCCCAGGCACGATGATCCCACACAAATGGTCGAGGCGCCCATTTTTAAGCCCACCGAAAAGGAGTTCGCTGATCCCATTGAGTTCATTGAGCGCATCACACCAATCGCCGCCAGATTTGGCATCTGTAAGATAATACCGCCCGCCAGCTTTAAGCCGGAGTGTCGGATTTCGGATGAGATGCGATTCACGGCGTATAATCAGTATGTGCACAAGATGTTGCATCGCTGGGGACCCAGTGCCAAGGAGTTGAGTGCCATCAAAAAGTATTTGGCTACGCAGAGCATTGTGATGAATCATGCGCCCTGGATTGGTGGCATGGAGGTGGACTTGCCGCGTCTCTATCACACCGTGCAGGAGCTCGGCGGCCTCAAGGAGGTCATCGAGAAGAAGAAATGGGCACGTGTCGCCGAAGAGATGTGTATACCAAAGCTCGCCCAGGATCGGGTCACCAAACTGGATGACATTTACTGCAAGTACTTGTTGCCCTACGACACCCTCTCCCCGGCGGAACGCCAAAAACTCTTCGACGAGGTCGAAGCGGATTGGGCCAAGCGAGAGGCACGCGCCCGTCGCAACGCGGATCGCTTTGTCAATTCAACGGAGAGCGTTTCTAATGTCGAGGATGATCTATCCACCGATGAGGATGATGAATCCGAGGAGGAACTCGACGGTGTCTCCATGGAGTGCATTGTCAAGGGTCGCAGCATGCCACTCAGTCAATTCTATCGGATTGCGCGCAACACTATGGCGCTGTGGTTCAAGAGCACCGATCCTACCGTTAACGAGGTGGAGGCGGAATTCTGGCGACATGTCGCCGTCCGCGATAGTCATGTGTGTGTGCATTCCGGCTCCATTGATAGCTCCGGCTGGGGATATGGTTTCCCGAGTCCGGGTCCCAAGGGCAAGGGTTCGAATTATGCGCGTCACCCGTGGAACCTGAAGGTGCTCACAAATAATGCGGGCTCGGTGCTGCGCTCGCTGGGACCTGTTATGGGCGTCACAGTGCCCACACTGCATGTGGGCATGCTCTTCTCCGCCTGCTGTTGGTATCGGGATCCTCACGGTCTGTCCTGGATCGAGTATTTGCATACGGGCGCCTCCAAGCTCTGGTATGGCATACCCGACGATCAGAGTGCCAATTTCCGGTCGGCACTCACGTCTCTGATTCCGACGCACTGTCAGAACAAGACCATTTGGTTGCCCTGTGATACGGTGATGGTGCCGCCGCACATGCTCACCGATCGCGGTGTCTCACTGTGCCGCATCGAGCAGAAACCGGGCGAGTTTATTGTTGTCTTTCCGCGCGCCTACACCTCCAGTCTGGCCACCGGCTATGTGGTCTCCGAGAGCGTTTACTTTGCCACCAACTCATGGCTGGATCTGGCCAAGGATGACTTTAGGGTAAGTCTCTGACTGCATCAATTTGATATATTGACTTCCACAAACTAATCAAACTAAAATTACTGTTGCAGGACATCCATGAGAGCTGTGAGCCGGCCATGTTCTCACTGGAGCAGCTGCTCTTTGCTTTGGGCTACGATCAGCGCGTCAATTCGGACACATTGCATCAGATGCTGCCCATGCTAAACGATGTGTGCGAGAAGGAATCGGCGGCACGTGAACAGCTTAGAGTATGTATAAAACGTGCTGACCTGTCGAGGATTGTGTGATTCCTAATCAAATCTTAATCTCTTGCAGGCCGCGGGCGTCACAGCCAGCGAAAAAGTGCAGGCGGAGAAGGGACAAAAGGGGACGAAGAAGCAACAGCAGCCGCCGCACAAATCCATCGATAGCGAATGCGATCTGTGCCGTGCCAATCTGTACATATCGATGGTGCGCACCGAGGATGGCAACATCTACTGCTTGCAGCATGCCCTCAAGAATATCAACAGTGGCAATGTGCAACCGAAAATTTGCAAACTGGTCTACGCCTACAATGTGGACGATGTGCAGCAACTGATCCGCCAGTTGCAGGAGAAGATTAATCAGATGCATCACAAGGCGGCCGTTAAGAAAAAGTAGCATCGACGACGGTATCGCTACTAAGCCAGCGCAATAATTATAAAGATAAAGATACCGATTAGTTGAACGATCTGACAGACGACGATGATCTTTGTACATACAGCAACATATATGCATAGTTGTAATTATAAATTATAGTATATACATATATGTGTAGGTTTATTTTCAACGTGGCAATGCTTGCAATTTTGACTAGTTTATAAAGAACTTTTATATATACATTATATATATGTATATATATATGTATGATATGTGCGCATCTGTGTGTATATATGTTTAGAAATTAATATGGTTAAGATGTAACACGTTTGCAATGATTTTTGTTTTCCATTTTCTTTTGTTATTACTGAGTATATATATATATATATATATCTTGTGTGTTATTGATTGTATATGTAAAAGAAAAACAAAACTAAACTAAACTTAGTGATAAGTTAGCCTTCGATTAAGTCAAGAGAATAATGCGCTCGCCTCAGTTAATACAAAGATTTATACACTGCTAACAAGTGGCAATTTCTACTACCTTTTTATACAATATATATATATATATTTATATATATATATAGATACGATTAACAATTATCAATAGGCATCATGTAGACAACTAACGTCAAACATATAATCTTAGACAGCAACACAATACAATAGAAATTGGCCATAGAGCCATGAGAAACTAAATGCTAACTAAATGCAAACGAAAATTTTCCTATTCGCCTGGCAAATCTTGCGTTCTGCAGATCCGATAATAATGATAGTGTTACATTTTTTAAATGTTCCAGTTCCATGTAATGTACTATTTAATATATCTGCACCAGTGCTATATAACCGGATAAGCTCACAATTTTCGACAAACCAAAACCACAACCATTAAAACTAAAACACTTAAAGAAAGAGAATGGGTTTGAATGACTTTAATTAAGATGTTCTATGTATTTATATAGTTGTAATACAATATTTAAATAATAACAAAGTGCAACAATAAATCTTAACTCGAAATATAAATGATGCAGGCTTAAGTTGTTTGTATATGTATATTATGGAGACTATACAGACTCTATACAGATATATATCTTTACTTTACTTATGAAGAAATAATGAACTAAACCTAATCGAGACTTAAGTCTATACAATCCAATGTTTCAAAGCACAGATCTTGACCTATGGCCAAGCTAAGTACAATCGAATATTTATATATATATATATATAAATATATATATAGCTTTCATAAGGCATCTCTCTCATTGAGCCTTTGGTTTCTTGCTGGGCTGCATGCAATCGGTGCCGACTGTGGAGCGTTTAACTGCGCCCGTACTCATCACACTGGTGGTTGGCTTGACCTCGAGCTGACGCTTCAGTTCGGACACCTGGGCGGCCAGTTCGGTAATGCTGCTCAGTGCATCCTGGAGGCGACGATCCTGTGCCTTGCGTGACCACTCAAGGAAACGCACCTTCGAACAGAGCATCTTCTGTGTTAGCCACTGGCGATGCACATGTCGGTTCAGGCGATAGCAATCGCATTGCTGCATATATTCCTCGTTATTCTGATTCACGTAGGTCAGCATCTCATTGTATTCGGCTTGTGGCGGTCGCTGTCGTGCCCTGTCCAGCGGCGAGACCTTAACGCCACTGAAACTTATATCGCCCAGGGCGCCACATACAACGACGCGTGAACTGCTGGCTGCGTCATTTAGTTTGATAACCGGCTTAAAGTTGACAGCGATCCTTTCGTCGAAGTGTTCGATGGCCATGGAGGAGATGTCACGCAGCTCTTGCAATACCTCGTGTGGACGCAACTGCTTCGGTGAGCTGCCCACCAGCTTCAATATGGCGCTTATCTCGTCCAGCACACGGCCCGGTATAAAACAGCAAAGATTGGAATCTATAAACTTTGAGTACGTCATTGTCAGCATTGAGATGCGCGTCTCAATGGACGTTAGAACGTCGGAGTGACGGGCCAGTGTGTGATTGCTGCAAAACAAGCAATTATCTTTAAAAATATCTTTCCATCATTAGTAATTTCTAGTTTACCGCCTCTCCGATTCACGACGTGGCAGCAGTGCTTTGATTCGTCGGAAATGCTTGGCATGCTCCATCACCACTTTGTTGAAGCCCGTGTTCAGCACCTGTTGGCATATGTAGTTGAAGCGAGCGCATACCTAGAATGTGGTAGAAAATCGTCGAAGCGCCCCCGAGTTAATTTGTTATGGGTATACATTTTATAATTACTCACCTCACGCTTCCGGGCTACTTCATCGTAGCTGAGCAGCTCCAATATATCCATTAGCACAGTGTCTGGTAAATCCAAAATATGCATCATTTTGCTCATATTATCCTATGTAAATTGTATTAAAACTATATTATCAAAAAAATTGCTCTCAGGCTCTGCAAATGATGAGTGAAAACAAACTATAAAAGAAAAAAATTCTGATGTTGCCAGATTACTTGATGCTGTGCGCGTACGCAAGCTGATTGCTATGTTACGTGTTGTGTTTGGCGGTTATATTGTAACGACAGCCTAGCAAAATGGTAAATTTAATATTTATTATTCCCACAAAGTAGAGTATAACATGATAAGTATTTGAAAAATGTGCATTTCTTATAAGTATTTTCAAGCTTTGCGTGAATTATTCCTATAAATGCAACCAATGTACATTTTTTCGACTTGAAGTCAAATTTTCTCAAAAACCGTGGTTCTTATTCGATTAATAGTGCAAATATTATCGACTTATCGATCAGACTACGCTATGGTCTGAAATATAACGGCAGCTTTGTCTATTTTACGAGATTTAACTGCCTTAAGCGATGTATACGCAACAAATATCTCCGGTAGTTAGTCCCGCGGCGACATATTGTTCGGAGCTTGAATACATAGTAGGATTGCAATCGGAGGAGTCGTGTGGTTCGCAGCCGCGCCGTTCCCAGCGTTTGCGTGAAAAGGAGCATGCGACCAAAGCATTTGCAGTAGAAGCCAACAAAATGGCCATTGCTCCAGTTGCCGAAGCTGGCTCGCCTCAACTGTTTGACGAGATGGATGCGGAATGCAGTCAGTTGGCTCAGTTGCCGCCCAAATATGCCGGTACACCAAAACACTACCGCCAGCCTGTTAGAAGAGCTCCAAGCAGTGGAAAAAAACATCGACGGAATTCCAAAATAGTACATTCTGACCCAATGCCAAAAGTGCGCAAAAATCGCGAGAAAAAATCTGCAAGGAGTGAAAAAATAGTGCATTCTGAGCCTTTTCCAGAAATTATTCCGTTACAGTCGCTACAAGCATTGAATCTTCAGCACAGTGTCAAGCCTGAGCCATTGTCGAAGTCGTCTGATTTGGCTCCCACCAACATCATCGTACCAGCTCCTCCTCTTCCACAAAGCAATCCCAGCTGTAAGGAAACCAACAACATGACTCAAACCTATTCATATCAGCGTACGAATGTGACACAAACTATACTGCCGGAACTTTATCCGGCACATTTCATACATCAGTTGCCACCGGAACCCGAATATATAACCGGAACCATCATTCCCAGTGAATTGCGACGTGATAGCTGTGGAGCTGCTACCCAGGAACCAATATCGGATGTAACAATGCAGCCTGGCTGCAACGAGGAGTATTCCCTCTTGTCGCTGGATGCTGAATCTTTGGTGTCCACAACGCCATCGTTAAGTGAATCCCTGGCCGAGGTGTTTGGCACCACAAAAATACGAACGCTTCTAAACATTGAATTGCCTCGCGTGTATCGAGTGCAGGAATATCATCTGCCCATTTTGGCATCGCTGCTGGATGTGGACTTGAGACGACTGCGCATCCTTTTGGAGCTGACACAGCGCCTGACGCTCGAGCAACTGCAGCAATTAACGCAGGACTGTTGCGAGGTGTTCAGCGTGCAGTCTTCCAGCGAAGAATAAACTGGGCGCCCAAGAATATAAATACAATCAAATCACAATCAAATCTTAGAGCAGAGTCTCTTTTCAAACTTTAGGTTAATTTGTATAATTTACTGTTCTTGTTGTTGTTTATCATGTGCAGGGCAGTGGCAGAGCCAAGTGGTGTCCGAGTTGAGGCGGATCTATTAAACATTTCGATTGGAATTGATTTTTACTGCTTACTGAGCTGAGCCACTGCGCCACTGTACTTAGTAGAGTTCATCTTTATATCTTTCAATCATTGGTTTTTTAGTTGTTTTCTTTTGTTTTGAAATTTTGAAATTTTAGTGATCATTTAAATTTTGTATAATTTAGTTGGTAAATGGTATATAATGAAAATTGTTTGTTTTTCTTTGTTGTTGCCTTTGACATTCAGAGTGCAAAGAGACAGAGAGAATTGTTGTTGTTGTTGTTTAAACCATCTTCAATCTTAATCTTTGTTATAAATAGCCTAAGACTAAAAGTTATCTAATATTTAATATAATTCATAATTGGGTTTTTTTTTTGTTTTTTCTTTTGTTTTTCTCATTCAATATGTATTAATTATGTAATTATATACAAGCGCTCAGACTTGGAGACCGGTTAGTTTAGTAGTCGCTGTCGTAGCTAACATCCTGCTGCGCCTGCGTTGAGTCATCGGAACGCTCCGAGGTTGGATCAAAGTCCACATCCAGTGCATTGTCAACGCCCGGACAGCAGCTGGGATGCGCCATTGAATCGAAGGCATCTTTGATTTGATTATTTGCGCCCTTGGGATCCAGATCGGTGGCCCAGCTGAAATGCATCAGGGCCAGATCCATATTGCCCAGTGTCTTGTGTATTTTGCCAATTAGATAAAACACAACCGACTCCTTTGGCACAATCTCCTTGAGCTCTTCCAATTCGCGCAACGCCTCCTGATACTTGCCCAGCGAGAAATATATGGAGCCGCGATGAAAGCGCGCCAACGGATTCTTTGGATCCAACGAAGCTGCCGTATTAAGTGTTTGCAGAGCCATGTCCTTCTTCTGCATAAAGAACTGCATCGCCCCAATGTGCACCAGAATGACCGAGTTCTGCGGATTGATTTTCAGCGCCTTCACATAGTGCAGCTCGGCCAGTTCATATTTCTCCTGCTTGGAGTAGATTGTGCCAATGCCAAACCAGGCATTGTAGTGCCGCGGATCCCGCACCACCGCCGATCGAAAATAGTCCATCGCCTTGTCGAACTCCTCGGTAAGTACCAGCTCGTGACCAAGCAGTGTATAGCTATATACAAAGTCCGCATCGACTTGGACGGCGCGCTTAAAGAATTTGATGGCCGTCTCGTGCTCCTTGTGCAGCGAGAAACAATTACCCGCCACACACCACGTGACCGGATTACTTTTATCCTGCCCGATGAGGTCCTGTGCGAGCGCCGAAAGGGCCACCTCCTTTTGCAAGTGCCACAACGACGTGGAATATATCTCCATGTAGTCCAAGCGACTGGGCTCCGTTTCGTGTATCCGCTTGAAAATGAGAACGGCATTCTCGTAGTCGCGCAGCTCGTACAGGCACATCCCAATCAACGATTGCACCCAACTGGAGTTCAAGTGATGCTTTGGTATCGTCGTCTCCAACAGCTTAATGGCCGTCTTGCACTGAAACGTCGAGAGTAGCTTATAGCCCTCGGCCAGATCCCGTAGTAGCAGCATTAGACCATCCGCCGACTGCTTCTTCATGGTGAGCAGCTGATGAGCCAGCGTTTGGGCATTGTTGAGGCTGTTGTTGAGCAGCACTTTGGCATCCTCGGTGCTGCGATTGTTGATTGCCGATTGATTGTTGCCCGCTGTTGCAGCAGATGTGATCGTTTCGATCTTCTCCTTCTCTTTGCGCGACTGCTTTTCACTTAGCTTCTCGGCGAGATGATGATGGGTCTTCTCATCAATTAGCTCATTGCTCAAACAGATTTTGGTCATGCGAGACGATTTGGTTTTACGTGGCGGTGAACGCGGCTGGACAAACTTATTGTTATTCGTTATGTTCGGCGATTTGTTGTTCTCCTTCACAGAGTATGCCGAATTGCTAAACAAACGGGAACTTCGACGCACTGCAGCATTGGGATTTGGTGGTGCATTCACACCCAAATTGTTGGGAGTGCGAGGCGTTATGTTGCCAGTCTGCGTGAACACAGCGGGTTTCGTTTTCTCCTGACGATTGATCAGGCCACCAACATGGGTTTTCAACTTTTTGCCAATGATCTTTGGCTCCTGATTGACCTCGACGAGCATTTGGGGCGAATACGCAGACATGCTTAAATTGGCCTGCAGTACGGCTGAGCCGCCATCGCAGGGACTAGTCAGCGGCATAATGCCAAAGCTGGGCGTTAATGGTGATATTGTTGACAAATATTTAAATTGCTTGCGAAACGGTGTCCCATTATTTGCATCATGCACCTGCGTTGCATAACCCATCGGTGTGTCCTCCAACGGCATCATGCTCGAATTCATATTGGCGTTGTTCTGCTGTTGCTGCTGCTGCTGTTGTTGTACGCCGCCACGCAGCATCGTAATGGAGCTGTTGAGATTGTTGTTGTTGTTGTTGCTTATGTTATTGTTGATGTTGTTGTTTGGCGTTATTAAATTCTGTAATGTGACAATGCTGCTGTTGTTGTTTTGCTGCTGCTGCTGTTGTTGTTGCTGTTCGACTGGCGTGCTTAATATAAAATTGGAGTTATTGCTTAAGTTGTTGAGCAGCAGATTTTCGAGCTGCTGTTGCTGCTGCTGCTCGTTAGCTGCGTTGCCGCCGAACAGCACCATGGAATTGGCATTGGCGCTGCTGCCCTGGCAGGTGTTGAACACATCAGTGTTTTGAATTTGGAATATTGCCGCTGTATCCGTATCCTGACCCAGCAGGCACAAATCGGCGAACGCATGCCACATAAACGGATTCAGTTTGAGAGCGCGACGCAACGCGCTCACCGCCAGCTTCTGGCGCTCAGTACGCACACAGATCTTCGCCATCAGCTGATAGGCGAAGCAGGCGAGTTCGCCGAATTCTCGCTGCATTTCATCAAAGTGTTTATTGTCGGCAAATCCATTTGAAACGAGTGCGCTCTCTGCTTCCGCCAATTTCTTGAGCTCGTATGCGCATTTGGCCTGCAAGAAGCGGCATTGGGGCGAGCGACGTGACTTCTCCGACAGTAGCCAATATGCCTGATGCAATTGGCTTGAACGATAATAGCTGGTGGCCAGCAAAAATATTGTCTCGTCGCTTTCCACTAAAAGAAATGTTTTATGTCAAAATTGTTTTCTTATTTCTTATCTCTTTATGCATTACTCACCTTCTGAGCAGAGGCGTTCCGCCAGAAAAACAGCATCTTTATGATCGTAGTGATTGAGGCAGTGCCATATGGCGGCCTATAAGGATGGGGAGTATCAAGTGACAAAAATATATATAAAAGAGGATATATATGTATTGTTTTTTTTTTTATATATATTGTTTGCTATCGATTTACCTGAACGGGCTCTTGTATCATTATTTTTGAGATTTATGTCAAAACTGTTTGGCCGTAACTGGGATTCCGCCACGACGCCACGAGTGGGGTGAACTAGTTACAATCGGTGCTATTCAAGCTGTTCTTCCGATCCGGTTTCGTCGCAATCAGCGTCAGTTTCTGGTGGCCTTTTTAGCTATGCTTCATACAACTACAACACACACACAGACACAGTTCACAAACTAAACACATGCAATGGGGATCATGCTGCATGTAATCCGCACGCGGTGCAATTATCCACAAAATCAAATGAAAATAAATTTAAAAAAGAAAACAAAAAACAGTGCTGTGTGTGTGTAACTTAAATGCGGGGTGTGCTGACGCTGCTGCTGCTCCCTGACCACCACTTCTAATATTGCGCTGTCGAGGCTTCTCTTCTTCTATTGGCACGGTACCACAGAACTCCGTACGTCAGTCAATTTTCGTAACAATTTTTCAAGGCCTTCGCATTAGCTTTCCCGCACACACACACACACACACATTACAAATCGACTGTTTTTTTTCTTTTTTATTCCAGTACAGAGAATTATATATTGGATCTAAACGCGAAATTTATGGCCTATTCGTTTTGCATTAAAAAACTAAAATTAGTCGAACTTTTTCTGTGTGAGTGGCGATGCCAGCAAAGTAATTGCCATTCCACTTGCGCATCGATTTTTTTTTCTTATTGTCGATAACATGGTTAATATTGAACGTTGTTATCGTTATCACGGCAGGACATTTTTTAAATGAATACCAAATCATAGTTTATTATTAATGTGCATATATATTAAACTGGCTTATTAGCTATACTATAAATTATATGCTTATATATTAAGTGCCAACACATCTATTGCGAGTCACTCGAACTGGAACTTGAGCTGTCAGTGGACATGACTTCCACATCATCCTGTGCCGAAGATTCCTTTCTTGTCTCCAGGGCCACCGAGTTACCCGATGCACCCATCATATGCAGTTCGCCAAGATTCCAGCTGAATTGGTTTTGGAATGCATTTGGCACTTCTCCGCCGCCCCCGCCACCTCCCCCAGGACCACCTGCAGCGCTCAAATTTCGCTGGGCATCCGACTGAATGGTGCTATTCTGATGTGTCACAATTCCCCCATTGATATTCTGCTCAGATTTCCCCAGTAGCCCGTTGCGCATCTCAATGTCAGTGGGATATGGTCGCCTGAGATCGCCAATACACCAAGTTAGTGGAGCGCTGACTGCATTTGCCGAACTAATGCGATGTGCGTATTTGATGAGTTCCTCTGACGAAACGGGACGCTTATTAGCCTGATTAATGCTGGCCAGCTTCTGGCGTGCCTGAAATATGGCTGTGGAGAGTATGAGTTCCGCATCTTTGAGTGATTTCTGTAGCTTCTGAATTTCCCGATCCTAAACGTAAATGAAGTATAACAATTACACTTACACCAGTTACTTAAGAAGTACATACGTGAATCTCCACTTTGGCGCGCAGATTATCCATTGCCTCCTCAACTTTGGCCTGCTCCTCGGCCAATTCCAACATTTTTCTAAACTCCTCATCCTTGGAAACAAGCAAATCGAGCAATTCACTCAATTCGGTGCTGGAGATTTTCTGGTGCGCTTGCTCTATAAGTTCTTTGGAGATCATTTCTATGTCGTCGATTAGCAAAAGCAAGCGCTCTTTTGTGCTTAAGTGAAACGACATGATTAGTTATCAATAACTACAATTAATATTGTTATTTCCAAATTGTTATAGCTGTAAACAAGCCGAAAAGTTTTTGCGAGTCCGACTAATGTATCGATGCCATGTCTCACCGATGATATGTTATCGATACTTCTGTAATGTTCCAAAAAATCACAAATAAGCAAAAGCTGGTCGCACACAAAGTGACATAAACACAAACAGCTGTTTATTGGGCCTCGACCAGCTCAAGCAACAGACGCTAAAAGCAGAAGGGCGAAGAAATCACTTGTTTTTTTCAATCAAAATTCATATACGTATAAATTCCAATCAGATAATGGAATAATTATTATGGGCGTGTCACACAAGTCGTAAACATGTTGCAATTGCTGATATTTATCTTACTGATTTTCCTCTTCATTTACTGGTAAGTGCAGACGCACCGGTCACAAAAACTCGCGTTGAGGCTGCATGAAAATTAATCGCTTCTGTGCTCATCTTATCTTCCAATTAGGATATTGCCAACGGGCATTAGCTGGTATCTGATTAAGCGGTTTCGGGTCAAAGTGCGTATAGGTCGCATTTCATTGCCGTATTTATCGCTCAAGAATGTCCACATCAGCAAAAGCGGCTTCTCTGTCGTGAGTGCAAATTAATTGAACCGTGATTTATTGCCACCGTATATTCACAATTTCTTTACGCTCCCTTTCTTTATCTTCTTTAGCAAATTGAGGAGGTCTGCTTGCGAAGTCGTTTCTTCACCACTGAAGTAACGAAGCTGGTGTCCATTTACATACGAGACATACGCATCAATAAGGATATACATAGCCATCGCCAGGATGACGTCAGCGATGGTTGCTCTTATGAGCCGCGCAAACGGAAGTCCGAGGTCAGGAGTGTGCCGGATTTCCGGCAGACCAAAGTGCCGGCTAGCATTATTACATTTGCCCAGTTTATGGCCGTACATGTGAACAACATATCTGTAGTGCTGATGAACAATGATTTCGATCCCGGCTGGTTTATCCATGCCACCGCCAAGGAGCTGCATCTGGACGGCAGCATTGTCCAGAATGCACGCGTCCTGCTCGTCAATGCGGCATTGTTGGAGGCCCAGGCCAAAATGTTGCGGCATTGCAATGCACGACGTCAGTCGCTGGAGAATTTGAATAAAATACGCCCTTGTCTGGGCGAAGTGAGCTTCGATGTGGCCCTAGATGCATCGCTCTTTGCCCACGGTCCACTCTCCATGGATGTAAGTTGCTGCTACTGAATCTGATTGTCACCAGTTATCAATGTTGCTCATTTTTATTTATAGACGCTCAGCCTGGTCATAAATAATTGCAAGTCTGTTATACATGGTGGCTTGTACGAGTTCCTCAGCGAAGCAAAGCAACGCACCCATCCTGGCCAACAATCAAAACGATTACAGAAGACTTTGGTGCCCGCCTCCAACAGTTACGACAATGACAACTATGAGAAACTGGCACCCATTATACCAAAGAACTTTAACTTCAGCATTAAGGCAGCAACTTTCTCGGCAGTCAAGGAGAACTCACAGAACGATTTCAGTGCCAAGCTGCAACTGTTTACCGTAAGCAATCTAACTGAGATTGTAGAATGTATTAACCTTTTATTAACCCATTTATTCTTTATTTAGATAACGGGCAAATTCAATTCGAAGATTGTGGATGAGAAGACGCTGCTGCCTTCTATGCTGGCCAAGTTGGTGTTTCAGCATTTGGACATCGATACCAAATACGAGAAGCTGCTCTTTGTGGAACAGTTCACCATTGACTCGGTGGTAAGTTGAAGAAATATTGATTAATATAAACCATACTATTAATTTCTATTCGTTGCCTGCAGCTGGAGAAGGATATATTCAATCTGTATGTCAAGCTGAAGACATTCCAAATTATTTACAATCACAGTGAGATCTATGATTTTGTCAATAACAATTTCCTGGCACGCCAGCGTGCCACAAGCAGCCATCAGCTGCTGCAGCTGGGCCACAAGCAAATGTCATTGCCGGATCATTTGGGCGTGGAGACAGTGATGCAATCGGGCTCGCCAGCTAAGCAGCGTCGCGATGGCGGCATTCTGGAGTGGATTATGGAGCGCATTGTGGTCAAAGGCTGTGCCGAGCTGTGGAATGTTTCGCTGCTCATGAAACTGGAGGATGAACATATCGCGATGAGCGTCAGCCACACACGATTTCTGCTCGAACAGATTGAGGAGAAACGCAGTTCGCTGTATCGCAACAAGTTTCTCAATTTGCTGCTGAATAAGCGGCAATGGAGCATGGAATTAATGGTGGAGACATTGTGGTCCAATTTGGGTAACTCCAATAACGACACCAATAACCTCAAGAAGACACATTCACCGGGCTCACCATTCTTCCTCGGTGTCAGTCTGGTCAAGCTGTGCTCCTATGCGAACACCACCAAGCTGGACATCTCCATACACACGTTCCGCACTGAGTACAGCATGCAGCTGGCTGAGTTTATTGTCAAGTCGATGTGGTGCATCAAGCAGTATGGTGGCCTGGGCACAAAGCGTGCCAAGCAATCACAGCGTCGCTCCAGCGTTGTCAGCGCCTCCAGCTCCGTTGAACAGCAGAGCACCGCACTGCGAGTATCCGTCAAGGTTAAGGATATTACGGCGTATTTTGTGAATCATCACAATGTTTACATGCTGCTCAGCTTCTCCGAGATTAATTTGACTCGTGCTCACAATTTGGCCATGCTCAAGTTGGAGGAGTTCCAAATGGCCATTATGCGTTCGATGACTGCCTCCTCGCTGTGTCTAACCGACTTCCAAGATGTGTTTGCCAACTGCAAGATGATTCGTCTCGAGCATCAGCCAGAGACGGAGAGCCAGCCCGGCAAGCTCTCCATTTATATACCCGGCAATACGGAGGCCATGTGGAACTCGAATCTGCATATGCATCTATTGACCTTAGTCCGTGACATGCAGGACCTCAAAACGGAGGTGGCAGTGCCACCAAATCTACCTAGCAAACCAAAGGAAACACAGGCGGCCAAACGTTCGCTCATCATTGAGTTATCCGCGGAGCGTAGCACGATCTGTGAACTGAAACTGTCGGAGCGACACTCGATACAGATCTTTGTGGAGAATCTGTTTTTTAGTCGCAAGGAGCGCATCATTGTCTATGCGGAGAATGTGTTCGTTAAGATTGATGATCAGCACATCTTCACAGTTAAGGAACTGGATATGCAATCATTGCCGCAACTCGAAACCCTCAGCCACGAGCGACTCAACTTTCCGGGCTTTGTGCTGCCCTCGAACAAGGTGTGGGTGACAACGATTGGCTCGTTTAAGGCCATCTTTCCCTACGATCACGATTTCTATGATGCAATCAATAATGAGTGTGTTACGCACTTCAAGTGGCTCAAATTGGTGCACAACTACAAAAAGAAACCGTTCACAGTGCACTCACCATTGCCCAGTGATTGGGTGATCAAAATCAAGGAGTTTCTGCTCGAGATTAGCGACGATCCGTTCGAGGTGAAGCTGCGCGATAATTATGTACTGCTCGTGGATGAATATCTGGAGAGTCTGAAGCGCAAGACGCTCTTCGACAAGAAGATTGCCGAGCTGTGCTCGGAACGACTCCTGGTGCCCGCTGGCACCATTGAGAGCCTCTACGCGAATCTGGTCAAGAAGAACTCAGAGATCTACATACAGCGCTCGAAGAAGATTCACGAGAGTGGTCCGGTGCGCACGCGTCTACTCGCCTGGATCATGACCGATGTGGAGATCTTGGCCATGGCGGACACCTCCATCCATGGCTACGAGAATGTGACGCGTACCATGCGCGAAATCGACTCGGAGAGCCCCTGGCCGGAGGAGGGACTCCAGTTCACGACGCTCTGGTGTCGCGGCGTCAACATTAGCTGCTCGGAATGGAAGTTTATGTTGCGGTAAGCAAGACACTTAAATATTTGACACTTCCAAAAATAACTCCTTTTTAATATGCCATAGAGACTTCCCGCAACCGATGTTCTATGTGAAGAGCATGCGCCTCTATGGCAATCTGTGCGGCGCCGAGCAAATGCCATCGAAGCGCGCCAAACGTGATGTCTTCGTCGAGGTGGGTGAACCCTTCCAGACGGATGTGGTGCAGCGCAGCATGCCAACGATTAAGTTCTATCATGATTTCGATTGCGAGCTGGAGAGTTGCAGCTATGCGTTCGGACCCTGCTGGGAGCCCGTTATGGCCCAGTGTAATCTGAGCTTTGAGAAGATCTCAGCGCCCTCGAAAGATCCCAGTCCGTCACTGCCGTTCTGGGACAAGATGCGTCTGTTGCTGCACGGACGCTTAACCCTGATTGCTAAGCAATTTACGGTGCTGTTGCACGCCTCGCTGGATCCGTACAACACCACAGAGGAAATGGAGCTGACATGGAACAATTGCGGCATTGTCTGGACAAATGCCAAGATTATGTTCAAGGGTGAACTCAATGTGAGAGTGTCTAATTGCAATTTATTATTTATCTTTAATTATGTTTATATTTATTTATTGTAGGTAACTGTGAGAACAGCTTCCCGCTACGACGATTGTCGACTGCTGCACTTCCCAAATCTGAAGCTGACATTTAAGTTGAATTGGGTCTGCTTAGCCAATCCGAATGATCATCATGCTGTGATGCCCTGTGCGCCCGATAAGCTGCCTGAATACTCAAGCAATCAGGTACACGATTCCTTTCGCGCCTTTCGCTCCGTCAATCTCAACGTTTGGGTCTCGTTCGAGACGAAGCCAAAGGTTGGCGAGGAGATGGAACTAGACATACCCAGCCTGGTGCTATACGGCAGCACGTTGCGTTGGTTCGAAAGCCTCAAGCTCATCCTGTCTGGTGTGACGCGACCCACACGCCGTGGACCCGTCTTCAACAATGTTCGTCCGCGCAAGAAGCAACTGAGCAGACACTACAAGAAGGCCAATCTGCAGATGTCGCTGCACAAGTTTCAGGTGCTCTACTGGATGTCGCATGCCCTGCACAAGGGTTTCCAGCTGAACGGACGACGTGTATCCTTCAGCTCCGAGTACTGCCTAACGCTGAATGCCATTGAAGATGGCTTGATCCACAGACCCCGGGCGGATTGGTCAATAGTGTACATGAACTGCGAGGTCAACGATGCTGAAATCTGGCTAAAGAGCATTGTCACCGAGAAACTCGATAGTAGCTCCGAGAACTTGGCCAGTGCATCGGATGCATTCAAAATTGTGCGCTTCTATTTCCTAAGTGTGGCCAAAGTCTCCTATGGCAGGGAGGCGCTGATAACCTCAACGGCCAGCAATGCGGAGGAGGATGCGAAAGCCAAGTGTACAACGCCTACGCACAAACTAGTCGTCTACGATCTGAAAGGTGCATGGACAAAGAGCAATCGAGATGTGGCCTTCGCCCTGTTCGACTCCTTCATGAAGTCACAGAAGCTGAAGAACAATCTCTCCACGGAGGCGGTGAAAAGCTATCGCAAGGAGGCACCCAACTCGGCCATGCTGAAGCACAAGCGCAGCGATAGCACCATAACACTATCAAGCACCAGCAGTGAGGTGTTACCAAGTAAGTGGATACCCTGTGATACCCTGTAATAGGCAAATGGAAAATCAAGCATATTTTATTCCCCACCCTTTACAGTTGCCAATGCGAATGCGTCGATGAAGAAGGCACCCGGTCAAATACATGCCACGGCCATGCTGCAGCAGCTCATCGCCGAGGCGGATCACAAGTTCAATGTGTATAGCGATGATCATAGCACACAGTCCAGGGAACTGCAGTTGCAGGGACTGCAAGCGTGCTCCGTGCAGGATATCATACATGAAAACTGGTCAATTAGTCTAGTCAACTCACAGGTGCTGCTCAAGGGCTGTGAGACGTCGGGATATGTCATCATTAGTGCGGCCAAGGCAGAGATACTTCAGCGGGAGCATCGACCTGTCTGGCGGGATCGTTCGCTCATCTCGAAGACGACGTGGAAGGGTTTGCTCGAGTGCATGCAGTACTATGCGACGGTCAGCGCCGGCGACAATGATTCGCTGCTGGAGAAGGAGATCATGTGGCTGACAGTAGACAACATACAGGATAAGGATGAGACAGTGATTAATAATCATCTGCCCGAGGATATCTCGCATCTGGTTGGCAGTGGACGCAGTGTGGGTGGCGTTGTTTCCGAAACTGTCGGCGCCATCCTTCGTGATAATTCTGGCCAGGCACAGCCGGTGCAACTGCAGCGCATCGTCTCCAAATGTAAATGCGAATTCTTCTACGTAAGCTATGGCGACGCCATCGATCCCAATAGCATTGTGGAGGTGCCACCACCACCATCCGAGGAGACGCTGTCGCCCTGGGAGAAGAATGACGATCCCGTCGATGCGTTCACCCTGATGCATCACGATCTGGACGTCTGCACCAATTCACTGCAGTACGCCATGATTCTCGATATTGTCAATAATCTGTTGCTCTACGTGGAACCGCAACGCAAGCAGGCAGCCGAGAAATTGGCCAGAATGCGCTTTCAGCTGCAACTGCACTCCACGGAGGATCAGAAGCGACCCATCCAGCAAAAGCAGACAGTTATCCGTAGTCTGCTAATGAAGATACGCTCGCTGGAGAAGGACATCCATCTGATCAGCAAGGAGCGCATCGAAGAGGGAGATACGCTCGAACTTCGTATGGATTTCGAGCGAGTTCAGCAACAGATCCGCGAAAGCAAGGAGGAGCTAAACACATACAGCGAGGAACTGGACATGATGCTGCTCTGCTACAAGGAAACCCAACTGTCGCAGCTCAGCAAGATATCCAATGTACGCTCCGATAAGTCGGTGACCATGGTGCGTGCCAATGAGATCTGTTTCAAGCGCGCCCAGTGGCGACTCACGGAGACCGATGGACAAATTGGTATCGCTGATTTGGTGCTGAGCGCATTTCTCTATACCAAAAAGTCCAAGAGCGATGATTCTGTGGAGCATCTGCTGGAGCTGGGCAATATACGCATGGAGAACCTGCTGCCACACGAGATCTATCGGGATGTCCTGCTCGCCACAGAGATACAGAAGGATATGCCCGTGGACACGCATAAGCGGGTGTTGCGCATCTTCTGTCGCGAGAAGCCGCCAGTGGGTGGCATTTCGGTTAAGGATCACTTTGAGATCAATGTAGCGCCCATAACCATTGCGATCACCAAGAAGTTTTACAGCACCATGTTGAAGTTCTGCTTTCCGGATCGCGACGCAACCGAAACTGAGATCAGTGATGAACTGGACGACAATGCATCGACCAGTTCAGCATCTTCAACGAATTTACAATTGAAATCATCATCATCGTCATCGTCGTCGTCAAAGCGTGCGGCCAAGAGCAAGAAGAGCGCCAAGGATTCCGAGTTCTATGTGAAAATTGAGAAGGACGACGTGGAAAAGATGAAGGAACGCGCCGAGAAGAACAAACTGTTCATCTATATCAAAATACCGGAGGTGCCGGTGCGCGTTAGCTATAAGGGCAACAAGGAGAAGAATCTGGAGGACATTACAGATTACTCGCTGGTCATACCAACGCTGGAATATCACAATGTCACCTGGACCTGGCTGGATCTGCTCCTGGCCATGAAGTCTGTGAGTAGGCGTGTCATCCTCTCGCAGGCCATCAAACAGAAGCTGCAAATCCATCGACGACAACCGGTCTTATCAGCTGGGGAGCGTGCCACGCCCCAAGAGGAGGATAAGGCTAAAATGCTCTTTGGCAATCGATTGCTGGTGAGCCGAATAATATCCAAAAAACAAAACCCTCTTTTTTTAAATTTAATTTATTGATGAAAAAATCGATATATTTTTTTATTCGCAGAACGAGAACCGCAACCAAAGAAAAGGCGGCGGCGTTTTTAAATTTCCATCAAGCGGCAAAAGATCGGATTAAAACTGAACGCTGTAATTTAAATCATATTTATTTATATTTCCATATATATATATGTATTTGTATATGCATATGTTTATTACGCTCCTGTTCAACGGTTCTTGTCTTGCCCAGAAACACATCTCAACAAGAAGATCGTCGAGCCCTTTTTAATGGTTACAAACTACAAACAATCACACGCAAACAAACACAACACATTCACACACACACACACTCAAGTATTACACTATAAACTCTATAAATATATCTAGTATATTTATGCATATGTGTGTGTGTTGGCCTGTCTGTCCATCTATCTGTCTGCTTAACTTCATAATATATTGTTATTGCAAATCTGTTCTTTTGTTTAACTTTTAGCAAATAAAAGGATTGAGATAAATGTAGGATTAGAGAAGTTGTTGCATCTGTTTTTACATACCACAATTTGGATATATTAAGACTTTAAAACACTTAAATTAACTATGAACTTGAATTGCTCAACTCTTTTACACATAACACATTTACTTGGTCAGCTGCTTCAATGGTGGCTAAAAGAGAAAGAAACAGAAATTCAGTTTAGTTAAGAGAGAAATACTCGGGATTCTTTTTGGGGGGATTCGACTCACCAGCACAAAGACGCGTTTGGGCAGCGCTCTCTGCACCAGCTCATCGAGCAGCGCATTCTGGCTATCATTCTTCTGCGGATCGGCTTTCGTATTGTACTCGAGAGTCAGCACTGGCAACTCCTGCCAGCCCACTTGCAGCGGATACAAATTGTAGACCAGCTCCTTCTCATCATAGGCCATTATGGATATATCCAGCTAAAAGTAAAATTAAAATCGTCATTATCTAAACAATCAATCATAGACAGTCAATCAATCAATCAATCACCTGCTTATGGCCGGAGCAGATAAAGTTATCCGATTTGCTGATGGCCAACGTGGCAATCATATGCAGCACATGCATTGTGGGATTCTTGAGCACCACCTTAAAGGCCATCGGCATTTTAACGAACATCTTCTCCTCGATGGTGCAGTAGATGTTTAGCGGCGGCTCCGCAATATCAAGGCCACTTATAATAAACTTGGATTCGTTCTCCTCCTTGGCACCGGCGCGTCGCCAGCGTATGCAAAAGATGCCAAATTTAGGAGGGTTCAACGGTGCTGATACCGATGTCGATGCCACTGCGTCCAGCGTATAAACGCCTTTGATGAAGCCACGACAATGACCGGTGACCTGCACTGCGTCCAGTGCTTTATTGAATATGACACGCATGCTCTTGGGCGCATCCGGGCCAGTGGCCGGCAACACTGCGGCACCATCATCGGGACCCGTGATGTTCAGTTTGCCATCGTCGGAATGCATTGAGTTGCTCAGTTGCTGCTGGGTCGGATTATTATTGATGATGGTCATCGTTGTGGGAATCTTGGCCAATAGACTTTTACTCATCGCTGCACTTGGCGGCTGCTGCAGCGGTGCATCTCCAATGTGACCACACGTTTGATGCTGTGTCTTTTGCTGGCGACTTACGAATTTACTCGGGACACTCTCATCGGACTTGGAGCGCTCCAGATCCCGTGCGGTCGACCAATCCTGCAGCGAGGCATTCGTGCGCAGCACAATCACACTCTCCAGCTGATCGCCGGCTCTGTACTTGTTCGTATACTTCTTGCGCTTAAAACTGTAGTTCGATTGCACTAAATTGTGATCCTGTCGAGAAAGAAGGATGGGAATTAGTATAATCAAACAGGAATCAGTGCAGACTCAACTTACACATATGAAGAAGCTATCGAGTATCTCGAGCTCATCCACGGCCAGCACCTCCGTATTGGCGCGCAGCAGAAAGTTCTCGCCACGATACACCTGGCTCAGTGGCCGTCGATTTAGGGTGTAGAATCGTGCGCTGAACTTAAAGTCACCGGAGCAGCGCACGGTGAGGATGTCCTCACGCGACTTGCGCAACCTCGTATCGTCCAGGTACTCGATCTGTACGGGTGATATTGCCGCCAGGCTGCTGCTGCTCACAACAGTTTTGACATGCTCCGGCGTTGTCTCCGCACTGTTGTTGGGCGTTGTGATGGGCCCGATATTGGTAGCGACGCCTCCTCCTCCTCCTCCGCCACTGCGATCCACATCTAACGTGTAGCTGAGCCGCTGCTGCAATTTGATCTCTGTCTCCACCAAGCTGAAGATGTAGTAGGTAGCCGTATTGCTACCATGGGCGGAAAGTTCACCCACATCGATCTGGATTTGGGCGTGCAACTTTTGGCGACCGGCCGAAACATCCGTGGTGAGAAAAACTGTAAATTATAATTGTAATAAAAATGTATTTCATTTAAATGAAAAAAATTATAAAGAAATGCATTTCTGAATCGTTGAGCTATTTCTATTTTTTCTAAATTTTAGAAAAATGTTCCCTGCTATTAAGAAAAGAAAAACACTGATTTAAACAAATAAACTTTATATTTAAGTTCAGTTTCACTAGAAGCCAAATGTATTGCGATTTTCTAATTTTTTTATCAGGGTGTTGTTAAATATTGACGGAGCAATGGCACTGGGAAATTTTAAGCGATCTCAAGAATCGTTCTTCTAAATTTAAATGCAGTTTAAATAAAGATATTAATACATAATCAAATAGGTATTGCTTTTAAAACGCGGTTCACTTTTGGGTACATTTACTCAAAGAGAGTAAAAATAATTTTGGTACAACGAACAAATAAACATAATGCATGATGGGAACAGTATTTAAATATTACCAAGTACCAACTTGTGGATTCTGTTAAGCGTTACATGAAGCAACTTGTGGATTTTGTGGATGCTGGGCAAGTTCAATGCTGTCAGTGTAAACAGTGTTGTTTGCAGCAGAACAGCTGTTTTACGTGCCTGCTATGAATGTAATACAAATGTACAAATATGAGGAGCCCCATTTGTTGGTTGGGTAAGGTTAGTAATGGCCTTCCGCGCACATAAATAGTGGATGCAGTTGGGTCGCGCGCGACAGTCGAATCATAGCCACGACCAGCTCAAGATGCGCTCCAGTTCACTATTATTGCTACTCTTACTGGGCAGCTGTTTGTCCCTAAAGGGGAATGATGAGAAGGGGCATCGTTTGCGTTTGCGGATGCCACGCGTTGTTGGCGGCGAGCGCATCGAGGTGAATAGTCAGCCGCATATTGTGAATATACGTCGACGCGGTCAACTTCATTGCGGGGGATCTTTGGTGACGCCGCGCTGCGTGCTCACCGCCGCTCACTGCCTGCCGGAGGAGGAGCACCAAAAGCCGACGGATTATGTGGTTCGTGGTGGCGTCACCTATTTGAGGGATATACGCAATGGCCGCCATGTGCAACGTGTACTGCTGCCCAGGGGCTATAATCGCACCACACTGGATAACGATGTGGCGCTGCTGCAACTGCTGAATCCGTTGCAGGGACCACAGATCGGAACCATACGCGTGGCCAGGCAACCACCTCGAGCCGGTAGCTATGTCCGCATCTCCGGCTGGGGATTGACGGACGAGCGCTCGATTCAGCTGCCCAATCAGCTGCACAGCGTCCAGGTGATGGTTCTGCCGCAACAGCAGTGCCAGCAGCTGTACGCCGGCTATCGGAATCTAACGGACAGTATGTATTGCGCCTCGGTGGCCGGACACAAGGATGCCTGCCATGCGGACTCTGGCGGACCGGCAGTTAACGCCGATGGTCAGCTGGTGGGCATTGTCTCCTGGGGCAGGGCGAATCGTTGTGCCCGTGCGGATAGTCCAGGGGTCTACACCAGTGTGGCGCATCTGCACGACTGGATAGCCTTTAACATGGACAGATATTGCTACTGACCAATCTCGTTTTAGCACTTTGAATTCGAGTTAAGCCAATGAGTATTAAAATCGATAAATTCGAGAGTTTTCGACGGGGAGATACCCAGCATATTGCTCGGAATTATTATACGCAAATAGTAGCAAATAGTTACGCAGTTAACTCAATTGTTAATTGATCAGCAACGTCATATAATATATATAATATAAATATTTATATGTGTGAATTTACTAAAGCTTAAAGTAATACCTCATTCATTTTTTTGCGTGTAGCGCTCGGAATTATCAAAACATTTAAGTTTACTTAGGCTGCTGTGTGTGCTGTACAATAACCTATTTTAAGTAAACAATTCTTGCGCCATCGCAATTTATACAAATTGCAAACACAACAGTCAAGGTTAATAAAAATGATTTGAAGTTCGATGTTCGTTTCTATTTACACAAGCGAAATTCTGAGATCATTATACTGCAAGGATTTATCGGAATATAAAATGGCATAAACAAAGAACTAAATAGTCTTAAAGATTGAGGATGCTTATCCAGCAATATCAAGACTAGATATATGCCACGCTAAAAGCCAAGACTTCTTCTGGCTGCATCCGTTTTCCTTGGAACCCTTTTCACTCAGCCCTGTTTACGTTCTTAATTGCGCATGTTTTTGACGCATTTGACTGTTGTTTTTAACGCAGTGCAGCACGTCATCAGCTCTGATACAAGGCCCAACATTTGGCCTATTCATGAGCCTCTGGAAAGCCTGTCTTTCTTTTGTAGACAACTATTTGAACAGTTGTCGCACACATCACCAAAATGTGTTATTTTGGCAATTGGGATAGCATAAAAGCGGTATTCTGGTTGATTCGCATAGACAATTCACTATCGAGATGCGATTACGTTGGTTGTGTTTGGTCTTTCTACTCGCACTGCTGCTCGGTGAGTTGGCTGATGCGCAGCGACGAAATAATCGGCGACAGAGACGCAACGGAGTAGCCGTCCGCGGCAGGAATCGGGCACGAATTATGAACCGGAACAGGAATCAGTTAAATCAACGACGCACAGGAGTAGCTGTCCGAGGCAGGAATCGACTACGGGCACGCATTGCGAGACGTCCGCAAGCCCAGGCACGAATTATGAAGGTCAATAGCAATGGCAACAAGGTGAACCGGAACAGGAATCAGTTGAATCAACGACGCAATCGGCGAAGGAATCAGGCAACCGCTCGTATTATTGGTGGCAGAAGGCCACGCATAAATGGTGGCTCAAATGTGTCGATAACATCGATGCCACAACTGGTGCAGGTGCTCCAGCCTGATGGCGTCTGTGGAGGAACATTAGTCAATCAAAATTGGGTGTTGACGGCAGCACATTGCGTGGATGGCAGCAGTGCTAGCAATTTTGTTGTGATCGGTGGCACATCGAGACAGAATGGCTCAGATGGTGTTCGACGGTCCGTGAGTTCGATCCAAGTGGCGCCCAATTTTAATAGGCGCACCATGAACCGAGATGCGGCACTGCTGAGGCTCAGTTCACCAATGACGGGCCCAAATATCCGACCGATGCCAGTCGCTCAAAGATTGCCACGAGCGGGCGTCAGGGTAAGAACCGGTGGTTGGGGCGCCACCCGGGAAAACGGCAATGCTGTCACAAATCTGCGTACAGTGCAGCTCTTTGTGAGAAGTCAGCGGCGGTGCCGGCGTGCCTATCGGAACACGTCACCAACCACCCGGTATATGTTCTGTGCCAGTGCCCGGAATAGGGATACATGCTATGGTGACTCTGGTTCCGGACTGTACCGCAACGGTCGAGTCGTGGGCATCGTGTCCCACGGCATTGGCTGCGCTAGAGCACGTTATCCCGGTGTCTACACCAATGTGGCCAGGCTACGGCCATGGATCTCAAGAACCATAGCCAACTAATGTCTAATGTACTTAGATAAATAAAAGTTTTGTTATTATGTTGCCACGCTTAATTCTTATTATGAGCAATTCCAAACAGGGAAGTTTCTGACCGATCAGTAAATAACTTTCACAAAGGAAAAAAGTACCCAGATATATAGCAATCGCTTGGAAAAGTAGAAAGTTTTTCTTGATTTAGAAGAAGTAATTTATATTTAATTTGAGAAGTAATTTATAGATTTAAGAAAGAACATTTATAAATATTAGTGAAGCTTGCCCTAAATGGACAATTCCCGAAATGTTTTTATATTTTTCAGAAATATTTTCTATTATTAAGAAAAGTTGAAATGCAAACTATTATTTAAAAAAAAACCTTTCTAAAATTCAGAAACAAGTAATGAAATTTACTGGTTGGGATATTTTTTTAAACTATCTAAAATATAAATAAATTATGAATAATTTAAGAAAATTTAAGGGATTCACTTCTATCTCTTCTACTTGCGAGTATCTTTTCGTGCTTAAAGACTTCTCTTATTTGGAAACATTCTCTTAGAGTGTCAGGCAAAAAGCCAATATTAGTTTGTTAGTTTTAACCAAGAGAAACACGCCCGAAAACTATCCATTAGAAACAATTGTGCAAATGTTGATACGCTTTTCAGCTCAGATTTGTTGATATCCGAGGCAAACGTATAAAAGCGCTTGTTCCACTTCCCCAAATCCATCAGTTTTTCCTCATTTCCTGAACATGCTGCAATCACAACAGCTCTTGGCACTCCTACTCATAGCCAGCGTTTTTCTGGTCATTGGCAGCCAGGAGAGGATGGCAGAGCCTCGCATTATTGGTGGCCACGTGGCGAGAATTAGCCATTTGAAGTATTTGGTGCAGGTGTTGTCAAATGATGCAATCTGTGGTGGATCCTTGATAACCAAACGTTGGGTCATCTCAGCGGCGCACTGCGTCCACAACGTGCCGACCAACAGTCTTCGCGTCTATGGCGGTACCTCAGAGCAGGGTGCTCAGAATGGCATCCAGCGTTCAGTGACCTTCTTGGCCGTGCCGCGCCAGTTCCGAATGAATACAATGCACATGGATGTGGCCGCATTATATCTCAATCAGGACATGGTCGGCCCAAATGTGGCAACTATTCGATTAGCGTTCCAGCCGGCACCGCCTGGCAGTCTGGTCCGAGTGTCTGGCTGGGGCGCCACAAGTCGCGATTCGCGCCAAACAGCTCGCGTGGTGCACAGCGTCACGTTGCCCCTGTGGCCAAATGGCGCCTGTCGTGAGGCATACAGTGGCCAGTGGCAGATTACACGTTCCATGGTGTGTGCGGGAAAGTCATTTCAACGCGATTCTTGCGATGGTGACTCCGGCGGTCCGATGGTCTATCGCGGCGAACTCATCGGCATTGTGTCCTTTGGCAATGAGTGCGCCACCCTCGAGCCGGGCGTCTACACCAGTGTGCCAGTGATAAGACGATGGTTCCTGGACATCATGGCAGAGTATTCCTAAGCTATTGTATACCACATTTTTGTTTGTAGTGCCAATAAACTAGTTAGTTGAAAATTAAGCTTATCTGCACTCAATTAGCTGGGGAATGTTGATGATCTGTCTGTAACTATAAAAGAGACCACAATTCTCGGCGCTCTTCTGTCAAAAATGTGGTTAAAACTCTTACAGTGGCTGGCACTGGTACAGGTGTTTCAGGTCATCGCCGTGCCCAGCGAACTTTTGGGCAAAATCTTTGGTGGCAAAACGTCACCAGTTGCTGATTATGGATTCATGGTGAATCTGCGTCGTCGCGGGATGTTTCGTTGCGGCGGCACTCTCATCTCGTCCAGTTGTGTGCTAACGGCGGCCCACTGCCTGGAGAACCGACACGAGCATGTCGACGATCTCTTTGTGCATGCCCAGCAACAGTGTCTGGGCGATTCCAGTTCGGCGGCGCATGTGCGCCAAGCCTGGTATGCCTGGGTATCTCCACATTACTGTCCGCAATGCAATCTGGACTCGGATATTGCGGTGATTAAGCTGCGACAACCCTTCGATATAGCCGGCAATGCGACTATCCTGCCCATTGACTACAACGAGCTGCCCGACTCGGCCAATCTAACGGTAATGGGCTGGGGCAATACGAGAAATCAGTATGAACCAAACTGGAATCAATGCCTGCAGACAGCCAAGGTCAATCTGGTACCGCAACGGGAATGCGCCCAAATCATGAGTTCATTTGCCGAAATCACACCGAACATGTTGTGCGCCTTGGGTCCAAATGCCACCGATGCGTGTCAGGGAGACTCGGGTGGTCCCATTGTCTATAACGGACGCACAGTTGGCATCGTCTCCTGGGGCTTTGGTTGTGGCAGTGGCTACCCGGGCGTCTACACACGTCTCAGCAGCACTTCGATGACTTGGTTCCTGAAGAGCTTCGTCGAGCAGCATTGCTAATGCATGTGGATTAATCCTTAAGCTTTCAAGTTGTTGTTGAGTGAGTTTAGTGGTCCACTTTAGAGTTGCATTAATAAATATTGTTTTCAATGCTTCAAGTTTCCTTTCGATTCAATCGATTTATATTATTATTGCACTGCGAACTGTTAGATCTATTGTGCCCCATTCTGAGGCAACAGCTTTCCCATCAAGGAGTAGCTGTCCGCGGCAGGAATCGACTACGGCCACGCATTGCGATTGGCGGGCGGGTGAATCGAGCTGAAGGTCAATAGCAATGGCAACAAGGTGAACCGGAACAGGAATCAGTTGAATCAACGACGCAATCGGCGAAGGAATCAGGCAACCGCTCGTATTATTGGTGGCAGAACGCCACGCATAAATGGTGGCTCAAATGTGTCGATAACATCGATGCCACAACTGGTGCAGGTGCTCCAGCCTGATGGCGTCTGTGGAGGAACATTAGTCAATCAAAATTGGGTGTTGACGGCAGCACATTGCGTGGATGGCAGCAGTGCTAGCAATTTTGTTGTGATCGGTGGCACAACGAGACAGAATGGCTCAGATGGTGTTCGACGGTCCGTTAGTTCGATCCAAGTGGCGCCCAATTTTAATAGGCGCACCATGAACCGGGATGCGGCACTGCTGAGTGGCACTGGCCAGTGGCAGATTACACGTTCCATGGTGTGTGCGGGAAAGCCATTTCAACGCGATTCTTGCGATGGTGACTCCGGCGGTCCGATGGTCTATCGCGGCGAACTCATCGGCATTGTGTCCTTTGGCAATGAGTGCGCCACCCTCGAGCCGGGCGTCTACACCAGTGTGCCAGTGATAAGACGATGGTTCCTGGACATCATGGCAGAGTATTCCTAAGCTATTGTATACCACAATTTTGTTTGTAGTACCTGTATGATTTCTTGGAAAGCAGAAAATCGTACGCTGCTGATAGCATATAGAATCACTGAATCAAACCAGAATCAACAAATATGCACCCGACCCATTGGTAGCCTGAAGTAAGCAGATGTTGTCATACGCAGCGTCGTAAATTAGAAAATATTAAGGCATGCTAAAGCATTGATAAGGATTGACTGTTTGGGTCAAATGTAAATAGAATAACTAGCTCTAAGCAAAGATTATCGTATAAGAATTTTGTATATAAACCACGCATTTTTCATGAAATAAATTAGTAAAAAAATAACACGAACCGGTAGCATACCCAACACCATTTCCAGCATACCCTAAGAATTGACAGTAAGAAGTCATTTCTTTCCACAGTACCAATAACCTAGTTAGCTGAAAAGTAAGCTTATCTGCACTCAATTAGCTGGGGAATGTTGACGTTCTGTCTGTAACTATAAAAGAGACCACAATTCTCGGCGCCCTTCTGTCAAAAATGTGGTTAAAACTCTTACAGTGGCTGGCACTGTTACAGGTGTCTCAGGTCATCGCCGTGCCCAGCGAATTTTTGGGCAAAATCTTTGGTGGCAAAACGTCACCAGTTGCTGATTATGGATTCGTGGTGAATCTGCGTCGTCACGGGACGTTCCGTTGCGGCGGCACACTCATTTCGCCCAGTTGTGTGCTAACGGCGGCCCACTGCCTGCAGAACCGAAACGTCGACGATCTCTTTGTGCATGCCCAGCAACAGTGTCTGGGCGATTCCATTTCGGGGGCGCAAGTACGCCAAGCCTGGTATGCCTGGGTATCTCCCCAATACTGTCCGCAATGCAATCTGGACTCGGATATTGCGGTGATTAAGTTGCGACAACCCTTCGATGTAACCAGCAATGCAACTATCCTGCCCATTGACTACAACGAGCTGCCCGACTCGGCCAATCTAACGGTAATGGGCTGGGGCAATACAAGAACAGATAATGAACCAAACTGGAATCAATGCCTGAAGACAGCAAATGTCAGTCTGGTGCCGCAATGGAAATGTGCCCAAGTGATGAGATTATCGGGTTACAACATCACACCGAACATGTTTTGCGCCTCGGGTCCAAATGCCACCGATGCGTGTCAGGGAGACTCGGGTGGTCCCATTGTCTATAACGGACGCACAGTTGGCATCGTCTCCTGGGGTTATAGTTGTGGCAGAGGCTACCCGGGCGTCTACACACGTCTCAGCAGCACTTCGATAACATGGTTCTTGAAGAACGTCGTCGGGCTGTATTGCTAATGCATGTGGATTAATCCTTAAGCTTCCAACTTGTTGTTGAGTGAGTTTAGTGGTCCACTTCAGAGTTGCATCAATAAATATTGTTTTCAATGCTTCAAGTTTCCTTTCGATTCAATCGATTTATATTATTATTGCATTGAGAACTGTTAGATCTATTGTGCCCCATTCTGAGGCAACAGCTCTCCCATCACTCCTTATTCCTGCATGACTCAAAGAATCATCGTCGGGTTGAGGGTTTCCCTAAGTTACTGTAACTTCTTCTGGCAAAGACAACACAACCTAATCCTCATGCTTCCTCATTTTGACAGAACTGCTTTAGTTAGATGACATCTTAGTCTGCAATGTCCTGGCAAGTGACCGGAAAGTATTCTTCTTTCTTCTTTTTGTTTTTAATTATAGGCGTTTATAAGGAAATGGTGCCTCTGGCCAGCTCTATGCATTTCTTCGTTCCTATGTTCCAAGCGGATTGTGTCTCTTCCTATACCAGAAAACGGTTCTGGTCCTGTTAGGGACTCCTCGCTGTCCACCACTTCATTCTGCAATTTATAGATCGATAGTAATGCTGTTTTTTCAGCTTCAATTTTGATTCAACTCTTTCTATTCCTGCTATATTTGTATTATTATAGTCCACAAAATAAATAATTATTTTGTCGAGGTGAAATCCATTGAAATAGTTAGTTGCATATAATTGCAGAGATTGTTACTGTTGTTCAGTTAATGCGTTTACAAAATTGCAACCACAAATTGGTGCACGGGGTGTTATCTCAGTCTGGGCACGCCATGATCTGGTTATGGTTGTGTTATGCTCTGCTCTGTGTGCTCGATGCTGCCGGTGGACAACGCATAGTTGGTGGCCAGGAGACGAGTATTAGGCAGGTGCCATATTTGGTGTACTTGCGTCAGGGTGGCAAATTCATCTGCGGAGGATCACTGCTCTCGCCTAGCTGTGTGCTAAGTGCCGCACATTGTGTCTATGGGGCAGAGGCCAAGGATTACACTGTCCATGCGGGCGCCAGCCGATTGGAGGCGGCGGCACCAGTCGTCCGAAATGTTGCTCAATTTCACATTGCGCCCAGCTATGACCCGGGTAACTTTGACATGGATGTGGCCATATTGCAGCTATCGTCGCGGATTCACCTCTCCGCCGGCCAAGTGACGACAATTGCGCCCTGCCGAACTGCACCCGGCAGCAATGCGTATGTGCGGATCAGTGGCTGGGGTGTCAGGAATGAGGAAAGTCGCGAACCGGCGGCTCAGGTGCGCACAACGCTGGTACGAGTCGTGCCCCAACGGGAATGTCAACAAGCGTACGCTGGCCAGGCACAGATCAGCGATTCCATGCTCTGCGCCGCAGTGCGGGGCATCAGGGACTCCTGTTCCGGTGACTCGGGCGGTCCGCTCGTCTATCGTGGCGAAGTGTGCGGCATTGTCTCATGGGGATTCGGTTGCGCTCGAGCTGCCTATCCGGGTGTCTACACCAATGTGGCCAGCAATCGTGTGCGAAATTTTGTTGATCAAACACTGAGAAAGCTAAGAAGTTAAAACGATGCTTCAAATCCTATTTGATAATCTCTATTTTAATTGACTCCATCAATTCCTTATAAAAATTACAATCATTAACTATAACTTTACCTAATAACTTGATCGGAAATATATATCATTTATGTCATCAGTGATTGCTCAATTATTTACAACTGATTCTTCTATCATTAAAATAATTACTCCGCGCAAAAGCAATAACTAATTAGTGAACATATATAATATAAGATAATATATATATATATATATATATACGAGTCGTTGACTTTTGTGCAGCAGTAAAGCCGATTTAGGTATCAATGCTGGATGATCGAGTTAATCCCACAATTTATGCCCGAAAATTGAAAATGATGAAAGTTTTAATGACGGCAAGGTCAAAACAATTAAATAAACAGAGTCAGTTATATTTAGTTATCTTTTGTATCACCAAATGATATATACTAAAAATAACTATTATTATTTGCACAATAAAACAAGTAAGAATGCTGTAGTCGAAGTGAGCGCGACTATGAATATACCAACTGAACCAACTCTATTTTAGTTTTATTAGAAGCCTCTGCCTTTTAAATTGTGGCTTTTATTGCTATCGGGAATCGATATATATCGATACTTGCAAAACGGAGATCGTTATCGATGTATCGAAATAAACTTGAGCAGCGCGTGATATACAAGAACTTATATTTCATTATTTGAAGTCCCTAGCACTTGTAGACGGACATGGCTATATCAACTCGGCATTTCACCCTGACCAAGAATATATACACTTTATATATATATTTTTTTTGTTATGGCTGTTACATACTTTGGCAACAAATCATTATACCCTCTTTACCCATTTCGAATCTATGACAATGTAGCAATTATATTTCCTCATCATAAAGGGGGCGCTTATAAAAGCCGTGCAAACAAACGCGCGAGCCAACGCGGAGCTGGAACCGGTTAGGGTTGTGGTTGTGGCTTAAACACTGTTGGTAACTGTTCTGTTTGCACAAGTGGCAAGTGAAACGGCTAGGAAACGCGTCGGGCAACAGCAGGGCTTTGGAGCAAATATTTGACGCCATGTGCGGCAACATCGACGTCTGTTGTTTTGACTGATAACCAATGCAAACGGAGTCGTCGCTGCTGGTGCTGCTTATGCTCCTCCTCCTCCTTCAGCTACGCACAGCCAACGGCAAGGCCGGCAATAACGAGGCGGGGAATGCACGTATTCTTGGCGGCACACCGGTGGATATTAGCGCAGTGCCCTATTTAGTCAATTTGCGCATAGGTGGCAACTTCATTTGTGGCGGCTCACTGATCACGCCCACCCATGTCGTGACGGCCGCACATTGTGTGAAGGGTGTGTCTGCCAGCCGATTGCAGGTGGTTGGTGGTGCCACACGGCTAACGGATGCCACTGCCGGTGTGCGACGCAATGTGGCAAAGGTATATACACCCAAGGCCTACAATATACGCACCCTGCACTCGGACGTGGCTGTGCTGAAGTTGCAGTCGCCGCTAGTCGGTGCGAATATTGAGACGATTGCGCTGTGCAACTCCAGCTGGGAGGCAGGCAATCTGATTAGGGTCTCCGGCTGGGGCAAGACAGCAGAGAAAAGCAATCGTGTCTCACAGCAAGTGCGTAGCGTTGAGGTGGCGCTAATTACTCGCAAGAGCTGCATGGATCAGTATAAGCTGCGTGGAACGATTGGCACCACCATGTTCTGTGCCGCCGGTCCGGGTGTCAAGGATGCCTGCGAGGGCGACTCGGGTGGACCGGCTGTCTATCAAAATCAACTGTGCGGCATTGTCTCTTGGGGATTGGGTTGTGGCCGGCGCAATTATCCTGGTGTCTATACAAGTGTCAAGACCGTGAGAAGTTTTATCGATAAAGCTTTAGCCTTGTAGAAAAATAAAGGTATTGGAATTCTTAATAAGGAAATGAACGAAATAATTTGGAATGCTAGCGATACAGAAACCTCTTTAGATCAAAATTAAAGCTGCAGACTAAAAGAAGTAGTAGAAGTACTTAACAAGAATTTTGATGGGAATCTTAGCAATAATATAGCAAAACGAGTCCTTACCCATAAGCATAGCTGATTCAAATATAACCGTCATAATGTTAACTAATCAATGTTGTATTTGCATGTGTGACCATTCACCTAATATGTTAAGCAACAGTGTTAATCGATATTAAGAAGTGTGCCCAGCAGCGCTGCTGATCGAGTGCTAAGAAAACATCGAGCAGAATTGGCGCCACTTTTGAAACAACGATCAAATAAAGAATATACTTATAACTACAGATATTGTGGTTTTCTTTCCACATATCATAATAGATTTGAGATACAATAGTTGCCCCATGCCACTTACCGCTATTGCGCAGCTCGAGAGGAACGCTAATGTGCACATAAACATTCTGTAGATAGACATTATACGGATTGCTAATCGTGGTCACAACTGGATAGTATTCATTGACCAGCATTGTTGTTGCAGTTGTTGGATCACCGTTCATCATCGTCACATGACCAAGGTTCGTTTGCGTGTTCAAATGGAAGCTGCAATAAATGTGAAGTTCAACGGAGCGTTACATGAAGCCAAGCCTGCGTGCAATAAAAATCTTGATAGCTTCCGGTACGAAGCGTTTTGACCTACGTGGGCGCAATATAGCAAATCGGATTGATTGTCAGATTATCGTCCAGATCGCGAGTGCGCGTATGATACCGGAATGACTGGCGTACATAGTTAGCGCTGCATGTGAGCAATGCACCCACTTGATCGGTGCCCATGAGCGCCTCCATGCGCACAATGCGTAACTGAGTATTCTCATTGAACTGATGCGCCTCCGTGCTGCACATGAGTTGATAGTAACAGCCTGGCTCCAGCCTCATATTCTTCTCATAGGCCTTCGGCTCTAATAGTTGAGCCTGCTGCTGTTGCTGCTGGGCAGCACGCAGATGCAGCAGATCGGAGAAGCACAAATATTTGAGTGCCTCCAGCTTGTAGCTTGTATTCTGCGGATTGCTCGCATCGGCGAGCAGCACATGAAAGCTGCGTATGCGCAGCGGCACATCGGTGATAACGCTGCAAGAATTGGACATTTAGTACCTAATATCAATTATTAGGCATTTGAATTTCTAATTTACCGCACTATGAGTTGCAGCTGGAGCACATCGTTGTTATTCAGCTGAATCTGTTGGAATGTGGCGTATAGCTCGAGAACATCGCTGACCTTATCTAAATCGATTTGAATTGGTGATTTCACACTGGCCAACGAATTACTCCACAGCGCATGAATCTCAGGCGTCAATTGCGCTTGTGGCAGTGGCGGCACACTCTGAAATACCTGCCATAGATTCTCCAGTAGCAGAACGCGCTCCTTTTGCTCGCCATGATGGCGTAGCGAGAGCGCCTCAATGCTGCAGGCAATATAATCCGTGACGGAGGCAGAGAGCAACGCACAGCGAAGCGTCTTCAGGAGAACATCACTGAATATGGTCGACCATTTCTCCTGACGATAGTCGGGGAGCATTAGCGAGTAAAGACTGTAAAAAGGGGACGTAGTTTAAATACAATGGACATTCGATAAGTGATAAGTTGCTCACGTGAGTGCCTTGGCGTGATCCCCACTTCGCAGATACTCCTCAGCCATGTCGATGGCAAGTTTCTTGCGGAATCTCAAACACTTGTAGATCTTAAACTGAGCCATCGCCTGACTCAGCAGCGCAATAATTGCCGCCGAGTGATTAAAATTGCGTTCCAGCTCGCACAACTGCACATTAACCTGCTGCTCGGCCACAGGATCGCCCGTCTTCAACGCCCGTATGCCAAAGAATTCGGTGTACAAATTTGATGGCGTCTGACCCGGAGTAACGTCCGTTAAGAGAGTTTCGCTGGCCTGTTGAGCGGCCTCGCGTCGCTTAATCACATACTCAGCGGCCTTCTGATAATAAATGCCCGGATGCTGAGTCTGCAGAGCGGGCAAACCATTCTTGATCGCCTCACAGAAGAGCTCCGCAAAAACAGAGTGCCTAAAATAAACAATTAGATTAATCTTGAGGAGGAGCCAAATACTTAAATACCCGTGCCATTTATCGACATGTTAAAATATTTATGTATCAAAAATATATCAAATATTCTCTGGCAAGAGTATCAATAGTCTTTATTGAGTGAATTGAGTGTGTCGCTTACTGCGTACTTAGCCAGGCATAATGCTCGAATGCCAAATCCTTGAAGCCCACACAACTTTTGTACTTTTCAATGTGTATAATGAATTGATTGATCGAATCCCTGGGCGTTTTCAGCTTAAACATGAGCCGACACATCTTGTAATTGAGGAAGCCTGCAATTGTTTTGATCTCCATGCAATTAGCATCAGTGATGCGTATCTCATCCAAGTTGCCATAGGCCTGATAATAGTGTCTGCTCAAAAAGAATTAATGAATTTTTCTTTGGGTTAAATTTCATTTTGCTTACTTTTGTGCCGGACTAAATTCCTGTCGCATTTCGGCGACGAAGGCCAGCTTGAATTGATGGCGTATCTTGAGAGTTGTGTGTGCCGCCGACAGCTGGTCACGATGGGCTCGAATGCGCTTGGACATGAGCGCATAGTAAGATTGGGTCATGTCGAAGAAAGCCGATTCCAAGCGCAGCGTATAACCCATCAGATGTTCCGTGTGCGGCAATATGAACAACATTTTGCTGGTTATTCCACAGGCCGCTGTCAAACTTGCCGCACGCTCAGCGGCCAGCATATCCTCGCCGGGAGGCAGTGGAGCCGCCTTCTGCAGCAGTACCAGGCACAGACGTGTATTACGCTCCTGCAGAGCATTCTTCAGTGCCTGCCAAATGGCCGCACATTGCACCTGTTTCTCTGTCCACTGGCTGTCGTTCCACTCAATGTCTTGGAAGAGAACAACAACTGATGGCAACACATGCAGATGCTTAAGCATCCAGTTGCGCTTCAGTATGCCCTTGGGATGATACCATTCGTAGGAGGCACGCTTCGGCTTCGCCACTGGGAACTCATAGTTCGGCGGCAGTAGTTTGTATTGCACAGCTGCCCGATCTCTATCCCGATCCGCTGGCTTGCGTTGCAGAGTGCCGCTGAATGCATCCCAAATTGATTTGTGGACACTCTGGCGTGCGATGTCCAGGCCACAAAAACCAATCAGCGGTTGTGGTATCACGAGCAACTCCGACGGCAGAGTAGTGCCATCAATCGTCATAGCTTTGTGTGTGTCAAATTTATGTTAATTCTCTCCCCGCACACTACGGACACAACTTGCTCTCTCTCTCTTACACACACGTCTCGCTTGTCGCTAGTAAATCACTGCGAGAGGATATTGCGTTCTCGTTGCGCTCGGTGCACGAATTTGAGTATGTTGCTCTGTTGTCAAAAATTGCTGCAAATTTGTACGATTAAGGATGTAAATAAAAATGCAGTTAGCAATCAGCTGTGGCTGTGTACGTAAGCGCGTTATCGTCATCGTGATCGTCATCGACGCATGCACATGCTACCCTGCCGATAGTTAGCTGTCAAACACAAGCACGCACGAACTGTCAGTCAGTCTGTCTTCGGCTACTTTATACGTGTCGTACTGCGTGCTACTTTCACATTCGTTTTGTTATTTTCGGGCTGAACGCAGGTAAAACAGCTCGCTTCTGCGTGTGAGCGTAAAATGTTAAGACAATTGTATTTACAAGCTGTATTTTAATTTTCTAAATATTTTTAGTGCATCCTGTGCCAACAACACATCCAACACCAGCATCAACAACACAAAATGGCTCCACCACAGAGAATGCGCGTCGCCAACGAAAAGGCTAGCAAATATGTGACGATGCGTGGCAATGTACCCAAATCCTCGGTAGGTGCAAAAAAAAACTGAAATTTTGGCAAATTTGTTTGTGTGTATAATCAGCAAGTGCAGAATGCAGATAACGTCATTTGCACGCGTCAACAAGAATCAAAACCAATAACAGCGAAAAGTGCCACGCCGTCATTGGTTTTGCTGTTGTTGTTGTTGCCTGTGTGTGCATGTTTGCAAGTGTGTGTGAGTTGACATTAATGTTATCGCTGCTTCTAGAACTGATGTTTAGCTGTGGATCTCCAATAGTCTTTCCAATTAATGTTGCTTCCAGTTTCTTATAAATGTTTTTATTCTTTTTGCAGAAAGCGAAAGAAGGACAATATCCGGTTGGGCCCTGGCTATTGGCGTTGTTCATTTTTGTTGTGTGCGGATCTGCGATTTTCCAAATAATCCAATCGATTCGAGCTGCGTAAACTTAAAAACAAAAACAAAATTTAAAGTTATATAAGCAACACACATACACACACGAACCACAGGTCTGACGTCTTTTTCCCAAAAAATGAACCCTCGTAACTGATTCCAGCTCCAACATGGCTTTTCAGGGCTTTCCAGAGATCACTGAATTGCATGCCTGCATTTTGATATACGATATGCAGAATATAAGTCCATCTATTTGTATTTTTTATTAATTATTAAGCTTACAAGAACCGAATAATAAGTGCGCCTATATTGTTAAAGCATTCCTGCGAACCGCTCCGCGCTCAAAAACTAATTACTTATTTTGCTGATCTGCTCTGTTGAGGCACTAGCACAAAAAACTTATAGTTGAAATGCATTTTGAAATGCTTTGGCAGCAATCGAAAATGTGCATAAACGTTAAAGCATTGTTTTCGGGTACGAGGACGATTACAAAAAACTATGAGTAAATACACTGATGAATATATATGATAATTTTTTTACCTACAAATAATACTGTTTTTTTCTTTAAGTGCCAAATGTTACTATATACAAGGGAAATTAATATACCCCAAAATACTTCATTAACTGTTGCATATCTCGTTTCTTAAAATTATAATGCAGCCCTGGTAGGCGGCATCTCTAATATGGACATTACACTTTCCAATTTGAATCGTTCATTCTTATTTTCGTCAAATAAAATTGCTTTGATATTTTTAGAGCTTTATTTACTCTAAGAGTGTTTTGTTGCTGAATGTGTTTGCTTAAATCGAATATACATTTTAATGTATGTGTTTGTGTGTTGCTTATATTATTTACTGGCGCGGCGGTTTTTGCTTCTGACATGATAACAATTAGCTTGTTCACCCTGTCGATCCCATTTCTTGTTTATGTATTTTAAATCTTTTTTCGTATTGTAAGCCTTTCGCTTAGAGATCCTCATCGTCGTCGGGCAAGGCGGTCGCCTGAGCCTCCTGCAAATCTCGTTCGATTTGCAGCTGCCAGTCTGTGTCCATTTTGACGTCTGGAGGCAGCAACGCCGGCATTGCCACAAACTCTAAATTCGCATCACCCACCAGTTTGCGGGCGAGCCAAAGGAACGGTTTCTCAAAGTTGTAATTCGATTTTGCCGATATATCGTAATACTGTAAATTTTTCTTGCGATGAAACACAATCGACTTGGCCTTTACCTTGCGATCCTTGATATCGACTTTGTTGCCACACAGCACAATCGGAATGTTATCGCAAACGCGCACCAAATCTCGATGCCAGTTGGGTACATTTTTGTATGTGACTCGTGACGTCACATCGAACATAATGACAGCTGATTGTCCCTGAATATAATAGCCGTCGCGCAGACCACCAAATTTCTCCTGTCCGGCAGTGTCCCACACATTGAAACGTATTGCGCCGCGATTGGTGTGAAACACCAATGGATGCACCTCGACTCCCAGAGTGGCCACATATTTCTTCTCAAATTCGCCGGATAAATGGCGTTTGACGAACGTCGTTTTGCCGGTTCCGCCATCGCCGACCAAAATGCACTTGAAAGTTGGCATATCCTGTGCCATCTTAATTAGCAATAAATTTAGCGAGTGCACACAACAATTAAATGTTTGCTTTCAGAGGAGGAATAACACGAAGTGTGCTTTATTTTCTTTGCATTAAGCGTATTTTCCTTGTGCTAGTCGCACGCAAAATTCAAATGGCGAAGTCCTGTAGGGAGAACGAATTAAAGTTAGTGATGCAAATTATATATAAGTTGATATCGATTCCTATCGCTGAAATAGATATCGCCCTGTCGATGCTTTTGGAAATTGTTGCGAAAAGCACGTCTCGATAAATAGAGCAAGCAGCTGATTGCTTTGGATTTGTGAATGTAAACGAATGTTAAGAGTTGAAGTATTTTTCAATAAATGTAAACGTAATAAACAATTTGTAAAACTAGCACACTTATGCGCAGCATTTTCACATCAGCCTATTTACAAATCATGTCAAAAAACAAGGGAAAATCAAAAACAGCAGCTGCTGCTGCCAATACAGCAGTTACACCAGTTGCAGCCAACACACCGGTCACACTGGACAAGAGCGGCAATATTGTCATTAAAATACTGGCCAAGCCCGGCGCCAAACAAAATGGCATCACCGACATCGGACTGGAAGGCGTCGGTGTTCAGATCGCCGCTCCGCCCAGCGAAGGCGAAGCCAACGCCGAACTGGTGAAATTCCTGTCGAAAGTACTAGGGCTACGCAAAAGCGATGTGTCTCTGGACAAAGGCTCCCGTTCTAAAAACAAACTGATACTCATTACCAAAGGCGTCTCTACCGTGGAAGCTATCGAACAGTTGCTGCGCAAAGAATCTGAGTTATAACGAAATTTATATTGGCAAATAAAAAACGCACTATTTATTGATTTTTAAACACATCTTGCTTGTTTATTAGATATATGTTTATGTTTATCATCCGATCATCCAAACTTATTACATATGTATTTTTATATAGCTAGCGCATATGTAGTCTTTGTTTTTGCAAATGCCATAAATTACTTGGATTCTAAATTATAATTTTCTTACAAACAACTGCTCAAAATATATATGATGGTACTAAAATTACGGTTATGTGTGGTGAGTTTTAAGCGTATTATTGTCGCCTACAACGCGACAAAATGTTAACACAAATTTTAACTGAAACATTTTACAGAGCTCCATTCTGTTACACATAACATAATCGGCAATTTTTTTTGTTTGGTATTTTATGAAATATGTTTCTAGTTTCTATGTAATTTGGGTAGCTGGAGAGTGATGGGTGATGATGGCGTGGGCGAGTGGTACATGTATGAGCTGAGAAAGGAGGTGGTGATGGATTGTGTGCTTAATCGACCTCCTCCATGTGGGAAGCATCCTCGGTGTCCTCGACGAGAGAAGGAGCATCGCCAGCACTCTGAGCATCCTCAGTGGTCATTGGCTCATCCTCGTCGATGCCAAGGCCCAGCTTGATCATGCGATAAATGCGGCTGGCATGCACCTGGGGGCTGTCCAGGGAGAAGCCGGACGAGAGCAGCGATGTCTCGAACAACAGAATGACCAGATCCTTGACGGCCTTATCGTTCTTATCGGCATCAGCCTTCTGGCGCAGTGTCTCCACAATCGGATGATCCGGATTGATCTCCAAATGCTTCTTGCCGGCCATGTAACCCATGGTGGAGGTGTCACGCAATGCCTGCGCCTTCATGATGCGCTCCATGTTAGCGGACCAGCCAAACTGCGAGGTGACAATGCAGCAGGGTGAATCCACCAGACGATTGGAGACAACAACCTTTTCGACTTTGTTGTCGAGAATGGATTTCATCAGTTTGCAGAGGCTCTCGAATTTGGCCTTGTCCTCCTCGCGTTTCTTCTTCTCGGCCTCATCTTCGGGCAGTTCGAGACCCTCCTTGGTGACGGACACCAGCTGTTTGCCCTTGTACTCCTTAAGATGCTGAATGACATACTCGTCAATGGGTTCGGTCATGTAGACGACCTCAAAGCCACGTGCCTTGACACGCTCCACAAACGACGAGTTGCTGACCTGATCCTTGGTCTCACCGGTGATGAAGTAGATGTGCTTCTGGTTCTCCTTCATGCGCGACACATAGTCGGACAAAGAGCAGTAATCATCGCCAGACGCGGAGGTGTGGAAGCGCAAGAAATCGGCGAGCTTAGCACGATTGTTGCTATCCTCGTGGACGCCCAGCTTGAGGTTCTTGCTGAACTGATCGTAGAACTTCTTGTAGTTCTCCTTGTCCTCGGTGAGCTCCTCGATCAGCTCCATGGTCTTCTTGACTAGATTCTTGCGGATGACCTTGAGCACCTTGTTCTGCTGCAACATCTCACGGGAGATGTTCAATGGCAGATCCTCGGAGTCAACAACACCCTTCATGAAGTTCAAGTACTCGGGAATGAGATCCTCGCAGTTGTCCATGATGAAGACGCGACGCACATACAGCTTGATGTTGTTCCGCTTCTTCTGGTTCTCAAAAAGATCGAAGGGTGTGCGTCGGGGAATGAATAACAGGGCACGGAACTCCAACTGACCCTCGACGGAGAAATGCTTGACGGCCAAATGATCCTCCCAGTCGTTGGTCAAGGACTTGTAGAACTCTCCGTATTCCTCCTGCGAGATATCATCGGGATTGCGTGTCCAGATGGGCTTCGTCTTGTTAAGCTCCTCATCTTCGGTGTATTTCTCCTTGATGGTCTTCTTCTTCTTGGTGGTGGTGTCGGTATCCTCGCCCAAATCCTCGATCTTAGGCTCATCGGTGTCCATCTCCTTCTTCTCTTCGCCCTCCTTCTTCTCATCCTCGGCCTCATCGTCGCTGACCTCCTTCTCGCGCTCCTTCTCCACCAGCAACTTGATGGGATAACCAATGAACTGCGAGTGCTTGTTCACGATCTCCTTAATCTTGCTCTCCTCGAGGTAATCGGTCTGATCCTCCTTGATGTACAGCACAATTTTGGTGCCGCGGCCCAATGGTTCCGAGTTATCGGCACGAACAGTGAACGAGCCACCGGCAGACGACTCCCAGATATACTGTTCATCATCGTTGTTCTTGGAGGTGACCGTGACGCGATCAGCCACCAAATAGGCCGAATAGAAACCGACACCAAATTGACCAATCATGGAAATATCGGCGCCAGCCTGCAACGCCTCCATGAATGCCTTGGTGCCCGACTTGGCAATGGTGCCCAAGTTATTGACCAAATCGGATTTGGTCATACCGATGCCAGTATCGATGATGGTCAATGTGCCAGCGGTCTTATTGGGGATGAGCTTGATATACAGCTCCTTGCCGGAGTCAAGTTTGCTGGGATCCGTCAGCGATTCATAGCGGATCTTGTCGAGGGCATCGGACGCATTCGAAATCAATTCACGCAAAAAGATCTCCTTGTTCGAATAGAATGTGTTGATGATCAACGACATCAGCTGAGCAATCTCAGCCTGGAATGCGAAAGTCTCCGTTTCTTCTGGCATCTGCAAAATGACAATTTGTGGAATGCATATAGTAATTTGCATTCAATTCATATAGATATACAGCGTGAGAAAGAGAGAGAGCAAGAGGAGTATTTTGGACCCGCTTTCATTACGCCATTTGCTTTAACCCTCTCTCTTTACTATGAATATTCGCATGTGCTGCTTACTCGCTCTCGCTCACTCTCGTGTGCATGTCTGTGTACAAATGATGTACACACTGGTAAATGTGCATGTATGTACACACTGCTTAACTATGCATGTCTGTACATCACTGGACATTTTTGGAAAATTGAAAATAAAAAAAATAGATTGCCCCGCCAACAAATTGTCACTATCAATAATTTCTAGAAAACACCACTTGGCGCAATCCCTTACCAAACCCAAATGCAATTGCAGGACATGGATTTTCTAGAACAGGGTAGAGAAGAAAAATCGACAAGCACATTTTGGGCACATTTTGCATGCGCGAGAGAGAATGAGCCAAAGGCAGCTGCTGTAAGCAGCACGTGCAATGCAAGACTTCTGCACAAATGAACCTATCGTATGTATACGTATTTATGCACGTATGTATGTAGTGCAAAATTGTAATTTAGGTCAAAGGTGAATTCATGCTAATTAACGGGTATATTCCAGAAATTTCGCCAAATTTTATATTAGCCGGCATAAAATGCGAGCGTGACTCAACCGCATACTTTTAATTTAAGAATTACTCATTTATTTATCAATGAAAAAGTGGCAAAGTTGTGAAATTATAAATGAAACATATGCAATTAGAGTTAGGCAGTAATTTCTAGATGTTTCTACAATCGATATAACAAGGAATTGTGTCAAGAACGTTTCCTCCCCACACGCGAAACCGCACGCACACCACTAAATTTTGCAATTACTTTTTAATGCACTTTCTACTCAGTATATATATATATATATATATACAATGCTTACCTTGTATAATTTTTCACAGAATAAACTTTAGAAACAATATGTATTCAGTTTTCTTTGGGCAGAAAATAAAAATCACTTTTTCGCTTTGTTTTTTGTCCTTAAACAGACGCTCACCGCACGAAATTTTCTTCTATACTGACAAGCCGGCAATGGCTTGCTGCTGCTTTTATAGAGGGTGCACACAAATGCTATGAAACTTCTAGACGCTTCTAGAGCCTTCTAGTCCCCAGGGCTACCTCTTCCGGTTGTGAACTCAGTGTTGCACCGTTTCCACTGACAGTGCTGTAAATGGTTGAACTTGTAATGTTCTAGAAGCTATAAGGTACCATTAATAATTTACAAATATATTTACATCAACATTTATTTATATCTATAATTATTTTGGGGGTGGTTTGAAGATTGTAATTTATGTATTTTAAAATACATAGTTTAAAACATTTATTTTTTAATAATAAGTCAGATTAAAAAATTACTGTAAGTGGTTTTAGTATTTTTTTTTTGGGATTTAGAGTGACCAAACTGCGCACAATTGCGCTCGACTTTGTTTATTTGTGTATTTTAGCGCTATAGCTGACGTCGCGGATGCATTTAGCTTGTTTTGTGTTTTTGAATTACAAAGAAGAGAATTATATGAGAAAATGGGCGGTACTCGATGCATTTTCCGGGATTGTCATGTCTCATCACAGCGCAATCCGAAAATGCACTTTTTCAAACTACCAGTTCGTGATCCAGTTCTGCTGGAAGCCTGGCTCAAGAATTGCGGCAACGCTGATATTTTAAATGTCGCACGCGAGAAGCTAATAAATCGCGCCGTCTGCGCTCGACACTTTCGCTACGAGTGCTTCATGAACTACAAACTGGATCGCCTCATTCCAAGGCAGATGCCAACTCTGGTGCGCGTCAGCAAGGAGCTAGCCTGGGACATGGAGCATCTCGACGAGAATGGCGAAGCGACAATGGTCAAGTTGTCCGTTCCAAAATTATTGCACCTGATACCACCCGACAATTTCGAGTGTCCGTTAGGCTTCACCGAGGATGCACTCTTTGGCCGGAAGTACGCAGTGAAAAGAGGCGCGGCGCCAAAGCCTTTGCTCCTGATTGCGAGCAAAAGAAAAAAAGAACAGGATGCAAAAGACAATATGGCTGCTTCAATGATTGACAATAATTTGACATCTGTCAAAACGGAGCTGAGCACAAAGCCAATCGATTTGACTGCAAGCTTTGTGCAAGAAGCAGATGCAACGATAATTGATGCAATTATGCCGACACCGCCAGCGGAAGAGAACTATGAAGATTTACAGCATAAATACGACGAGTTAAAAACGAACTTTGATCGGCTTGCAACGGAGAATGGGGAATTAAAGCAATCAGTAATTAAATTGGAAGCGCACAAGAGACACCTAAATAACTCATCCTCCAGCAAGCCACAGCTTTATAATAGTATTAAAAAGTATTTGTGTCCAACAATGGCGGCGCTTGTGCGCATGGAAATGTTTGGCAGTGCGGAGCGTGCCTGGAAGCAGGATGAACGGGACTTTGCCAAGGAGCTGCTGCAGCTGGGCGAAGACGTTTACGCGCACTGCTGCGACGAGTGGCGTTTCCGGTTGCCCTCGTTGCGAATGACGCGCACCTGGCTGGAGGCAACGACTGGTCCCGATGATGATAATGATGTCGAGGATCAAATGCTATAAACATAAACACATGATAATGATAATAATAATAATGCAAATGCTGTGATTCAATTCATACCAACTAAAATGTGGATCAGGACTAACAATTTTCATTCGAACAAAATTTCTCTTCAATATTGTATTTGTAATGTATTATTAAGTAAATTTTAAGTTTAAATAAAGCAAAGAAAAGTGACAAATTAATTATATATGACTAAAATGTGGGACAGTAGGTGTATTTCATCAGAATTATATCACTAAGCAGAGAATTCATGTATTTGCAAGTTATCTTTATTAATGGGTTTATAAAACAACTCTCTAGTATCTCAATGTTTTCTTCTTTTTTTGGTATCAATGCCAAATATACAACATAACCATGCCAATCTTTATGAGTATAATCCCTGCCCGAAGGCTCACATATAAATTCTAATTGTCACATTGTTAAAATGCGATTTGGAAAACTAGCTGGCCTCAAAGCTATTGCGCCCTCCCAACTGAGCAGACATACCAAAGGAAGACTTCAACATGTGGCCACATCTACTCCCGCTAGCAGTGAGTATGGGATCGAATTTAATTTAAAAATATAATATAATATATATGTAACACTTAGCTAGCAGTGCTGCTCCCTTTCCTTGCAATTGTGAGTGGCGATTCGTGCTCCGATTGTTCACTCTCTGGTGGTGTTTATGCCTGCGTCGATGAATACAGCTATGGAATATGCTTTAATATGGGATTTGTCGTTCCTACTGCAATCAAAAAATGTCCAACTGGCTATTACTGCAATGTTGATGGTGGTGAATTTTGTACACCAATTGAAACTTCTGCTGTAAGCCATTTCAACTTCATTAAAGCTTGCAATTCTTTGAGTTAAACATCCATTTGTTGCAGCCATCCTGTGTAACACTCCCCATAAATGCAGATGCATACTGTGCGAATCTAAAAAAAGAAGGCTATTTCCGGGTTGAGAGTGATTCCACCTGCAAGGAGTGAGTATCTCATTGATTGTATTCTGCAAGCAGTTGTATTTATTACTATGATTGAACGCTTTTATAGTTATATACATTGTTACAAAATATCTGGAGAATATCTTGGCTGGCTCATCAATTGCAACACCAACGAATATTTCAACTCCCAGACGAGTCGCTGCGAAACTCAACGACCCGATGACTGCTGAGCTGATTAAGTGTGCTTCATTCTACATCATCAGCAGCAGCAGCAACAACAAACTATTAATTTGTTTAAATTGTAAATTTAATGTTAGTTGATCACATTTTAATTACATTTGCATACTATGTTAAAGGCACTTAAACTGCAGCCGCCAAGTTTAACAGAGGCTTCTGTTAACTGTTCTGTCTATCATTCTTAACAGCCGTTAAGTTTTGCCTGTCTGACAGCACTCGGCCCGAGTTGAAATCAAATTTATTAAATATTGAACCATGAATCAATTTTTAACTACGCAAGTAAAATATATAAATAAACAAAGTTCTTAAGAAGCGCAAACATCAAATTTTTCGCATTATGTAAGGGCGATGAAGGCGAATAAACTTTACACAATATCTGTATTATTCGTATAAGGAATAAATTAAAATACGTTGAATGTTTTAAAATAAAAATGTTAGAAAAAGTATTTAAAAAAATATATTAGTATTTCAAAAGAAACAATAAGGTACTAGTTGTAAGCTTTTAAACTAAAATAAGTTAATTTAATTTCCCTCAATTTTTGAGTTGGATAGAACACAATAATATTTGCAGCAGAAATTATAAATTTTAAAATGTTATTTATTGGACAAATGTGCAGACAAAAAAGTATTTTATGTTTCATGTACAATTATCTGGTTTTCCAACTTCACAGTGATCACCGTGCCACCATAAATTTGATTCGCATTCCATGACAATGCCCTCCCATTCGCCTGATTCCTCGTAGCACTGAAAAAACCTATGAGATGAATGATTAAATCTACCCAGTGGCATAATTTTATATATCTTATGTATTTACGTAGCGCAGGTCGGATCCAATTCGTTTGTAAATCTATCTTCTACTTGAGTTTCCTTGCAAAATGTCATCGCATCTCGTGGGGCTCTCGTAGTTGGCTCTGGAGTTGTTGTTGGCGCGGCAGTTGTGGTTGCGATTGGGGTTGTGGTTGGTACTGGAGTTGTGGTAGGCTTCGGGGTTGTGGTTGGGATTGGCGTCGTTGTTGGCGCGGGTGTTGTGGTTGGCACTGGAGTTGTGGTAGGCTCCGGGGTTGTGGTTGGGATTGGGGTTGTTGTTGGCGCGGGAGTTGTGGTTGGCACTGGAGTTGTGGTAGGCTCCGGGGTTGTGGTTGGGATTGGTGTTGTTGTTGGCGCGGGAGTTGTGGTTGGCACTGGAGTTGTGGTAGGCTCCGGGGTTGTGGTTGGGATTGGCGTTGTTGTTGGCGCAGGAGTTGTGGTTGGGATTGGGGTTGTGGTTGGCACTGGAGTTGTTGTGTGCTCCGGAGTTGTGGTTGGGATTGAAGTTGTGGTTCGAGTTACGCAATTGGTTTTACCGATTGGATCCGGATCACATATAAATTTGCCGCCAGTGCAATGATAGCCATTGGGACATTCTATATAGTCGTTTGTTGGATTGCCTAAATAATTGTATATATATATATATATATGTAGTTGTTTTTTGGAGGACTTCTTGGATGCTTACCATCGAGGCAAATTGAAAATGTGGTTTCACTGTGACATGCAGCTTTAACATCAGTTTGACAGATATTGCACTGACCCATTAAACTGGTGGGCAGTGCCAGCGAAACTAAAATCAGCGATGCCTAATAAATAGATCAACATTTTGGATAAAATAGAATTAAAAGTATAGATAATCAACTTACGAGCCTGGAGAACTGGAGCATTGTGGACTGTATTAGAGGAGCGATTATGGTAAACTGCTCAAAAAATAATTGTGCATCTCAATTTATACGCTCAGATAAGAAAATGTGATATATATCTTCCACATTTGATTTTGATTGTGATCATAAAGAATTTTCGGCATAATATTTGAGCACTTGCTATCAACCTTGACAAATCATAAACAGATATTCCACGTGAAGTCAGTGGACATTCCCAGTCTCTGGGGGGAGGGTAATTGTTTCAAATCTCTGTTTGCATACTCAATAAAAATATTATTGTATTTTTGAAGCACTTTATTTTAGATTAATTTATCTAATTTGTCTGCTGAAATACTTATTAGTTAATGCAGCATCATCATATTACCTTTTAGAAGGGGTTGCAGAATAGCTCTCTTGTTACTCGGCATGCCATTAATATACGGTTGTTTCTTGCAGCTTTCAAAGATATCTCCCAATATTGAAGATAAATATTAAAAGCAACTTCAAGGTCGACTATGGCTAATAGATATAAGCATTCTTCTTCTTTGTATTTTATTTGTGATAAACATCATTATTTATGGTTTAAGTTTATTGTTCTTGTTTATTTTAATCAAATAAAATGATAATATGTTCCAGCAAAAGGAAATACATTATATTTAACAACATTTATAATATTAAGGATCAACACAATCCTCTGGTTTCTCAGCTTGGCATTCCTTTCCATAAAAATAAGGTTTTGGTGGATCACAACTTTCGATATATCCATCCCATACGCCCGTATTTCCCCTTTCGTAGCAATATATGTAGCTAAAAAATACAATGTAGTCAAAAAACTTAGAGTCGAACATTGATTAAGTACTTACGTCTTGCAAGTTGGATCGTTATGGTTTTTATAACTCAAGTTTTGGGCCATTTTTATACAATATTCATTAGGATCTAGGTCCTCAATTTGTTCAGTGGTTGTCGAGGCTCTTGTGGTTGTGGATGGGATTGGGGTTGTGGTTGGCACTGGAGTTGTGGTTGGGATTGGGGTTGTGGTTGGCACAGGAGTTGTGGTTGGCACTGGAGTTGTGGTTGGGATTGGGGTTGTGGTTGGCACTGGAGTTGTGGTTGGGATTGGGGTTGTGGTTGGCACTGGAGTTGTGGTTGGCACTGGAGTTGTGGTTGGGATTGGGGTTGTGGTTGTCACTGGAGTTGTGGTTGGCACTGGAGTTGTGGTTGGGATTGGGGTTGTGGTTGGCACAGGAGTTGTGGTTGGCACTGGAGTTGTGGTTGGGATTGGGGTTGTGGTTGGCACTGGAGTTGTGGTAGGCACTGGAGTTGTGGTAGGCACTGGAGTTGTGGTTGGGATTGGGGTTGTGGTTGGCACTGGAGTTGTGGTCGTCGCGCCGGGCATGCAGATGGGTTGATAGTGATCCTTTTCATAACATATGTATTTCTCGCCGGTACAAATATAATCAGTTGGACATTCTATGACATCGTAAGTCGGTTCACCTAAGGCCAGATTATTTTGATGTTGGCATTATTATACAATTTGGGCATATATATATATATATATATGTATATATATTCCATATTCACCCACCAGCAATGCATATGGAGAAGGTATTCTCGCTATGACAGGCTGCCCTCCCAGTCTGACACACGTCGCAATTGGCATCCAAATAAGCAGCTAGTAGCTGGTATTAAATACAATTTTATAAGTGGTTAGTTATCTCCATGTTTAGTCAGTCAGTTAGCCTAGTTACCAGCGATATAAGTAGTCTTAGCCACATCTTGATCTAATTGTGATCCGTTCACTTTTTCAACTGGAATACTTTTTGCTAATGTTTTACATTTTATGTACCAGTTTTGCATGTGATAAACATATTATCTTTCCGAGAAATTCATGTTAATGCTGCTTAGTTTATGATCTAAGTTTATTGTTCCTATTTATATTAATCAAATAAAATTCGTGACATGTGCCAGCAGAACCAAAAAAAAAAAAACATACACAACTTTTATAATATTAAGCGTATTAAGTACACTTCACTTCACTCAGCTTGATATAGGCCGACATTAAACCTGTTGTTCCTATTTTGCGACAATATATGAAACTAAGAATATAAAAAGGAGTCAAAAGCATTGTCGGATCATTACAGTTTTTACAATTCGCAGTTATATTTGAACAATATGTTTCAAGATTTGGGATCCCTATTCCTTCAGAGGTATATCACAGATGATGCGCAGCTTTCTGGAGAGCACGGCTGATGCCGAGGATGATGCTGAGCACCAAATGCTATAAGCACATGAATTATTGTATATTCAACATCACCTTAATACGATTATAATATGTATGTGTGTATATAACTCAAATGCTGTGATTCAATTTATGCCAACTGAAAGGTGAATGAAGACTAACATTTTTCATTCAATTTAGTGTTTGAAATCAGGGCCTCCCTAGGCTAAGCAAATTAATAATCATTTTAAATAAAGCAATGAAGAGTGACAAAACAATTATATAATTCAAATGCTCTGAGTCAATTCGTAAACACTAAAATGTGGAAGCAATAGGTGTCTTTCATATTACTTATGTACAGTGGAAGTTATCTTTATTAATGGGCTCTTAGGAAACTCTCATTTTTTTCGATGTTCTCTTATTTTTCGGCATCAATGCCAAATATACAACACCTAAGATTATAGCATGCTTATCTTTATGAGCATAATCCATACAAAAAGGCTCTCATATAAACATATAAATTATAATTGGCACATTGTTAAAATGCGATTTGGAAAACTGGCTGGCCTCAAAGCTATTGCGCCCTCTCAACTGAGCAGACATACCAAAGGAAGACTTCAACATGTGGCCACATCTACTCCCGCTAGCAGTGAGTATGGGATCGAATTTAATTTAAAAATATAATATAATATATATGTAACACTTAGATAGCAGTGCTGCTCCCTTTCCTTGCAATTGTGAGTGGCGATTCGTGCTCCGATTGTTCACTCTCTGGTGGTGTTTATGCCTGCGTCGATGAATATAGCTATGGAATATGCTTTAATATGGGATTTGTCAATCCTACTGCGATCAAAAAATGTCCAACTGGCTATTACTGCAATGTTGATGGTGGTGAATTTTGTACACCAATTGAAACTTCTGCTGTAAGCCATTTCAACTTCATTAAAGCTTGCAATTCTTTGAGTTAAACATCCATTTGTTGCAGCCATCCTGTGTAACACTCCCCATAAATGCAGATGCATATTGTGCGAATCTAAAAAAAGAAGGCTATTTCCGGGTTGAGAGTGATTCCACCTGCAAGGAGTGAGTATCTCATTGATTGTATTAATCTTTTGCAAGCAGTTGTATTTATTACTATGATTGAACGCTTTTATAGTTATATACATTGTTACAAAATATCTGGAGAATATCTTGGCTGGCTCATCCATTGCAACACCAACGAATATTTCAACTCCCAGACGAGTCGCTGCGAAACTCAACGACCCGATGACTGCTGAGCTGATTAAGTGTGCTTCATTCTACATCATCAGCAGCAGCAGCAACAAACTATTAATTTGTTTAAATTGTAAATTTGGCGCCCTGAGCGGCTTTATGTTAGTTGATTACATTTTAACTACATTTGCACACTATGTTAAGGGCACTTAACAGCGCTCCTTTTCTCTCTCTCTCTCTCTGTCTGCATGGCTCTATTATTTTCTCATATTATTACGCTGTATTATTATTTGAAAATTAAGCTATCCGAAAGTTGATAGCGCGTTAAAGGTTTTCAAAGAAAGGAGTAAATAAATATACAAGAAAATATGTGTGTATTTAAAAAGAAATTAATTTTTCTTAACTTAAGATAGGGGTAGAGCACAGAATATTTGGATTTGGAGCAGAAATTATAAATTTTAAAATATAATTTATTTTACAAATGTGTAGACAAAGTACTATTTTTATGCAGTTTTATGTTTCATGTACAATTTTCTGGTTTTTCGGCTTGACAGTAATCATTCCACCAGGTATTTGGTGGGCATTCAATCACAGTGCCTATCCACTCGCCTGAGTCCTCGGTGCACTTCACATACCTATAGGTGATGGATGTATGTATGTTAGACTACAATTAAATCTACCCATATATATTATATATTTACGTAGTGCAGGTCGGATCCAAATCGTTTGGGAAGTCTGCTTTTACTTGAGTTTCCTTACAAAATGTCATCGCATCTCGTGGGGCTCTCGTTGTTGTGGTCGGTTCCGGAGTTGTGGTTCGAGTTACGCAATTGGTCTTACCGATTGGATCCGGATAACATATAAATTTGCCGCCAGTGCAATGATAGCCATTGGGACATTCTATATAGTCGTTTGTTGGATTGCCTAAATAATTGTATATATATATATATATGTAGTTGTTCTTTGGAGGACTCCTTGGATGCTTACCATCGAGGCAAATTGAAAATGTGGTTTCACTGTGGCATGCAGCTTTAACATCAGTTTGACAGATATTGCACTGACCCATTAAACTGGTGGGCAGTGCTAGCGAAACTAAAATCAGCGATGCCTAATAAATAGAGCCACATTTTGGATAAAATAGAATTAAAAGTGTAGGTAATCAACTTACGAGCCTGGAGAACTGGAGCATTGTGGACGCTATTAGAGTAGCGATTATGGTAAACTGCTCAAAAAATAATTGTGCATCTCAATTTATACGCTCAGATAAGAAAATGTGATATATGTCTTCCACATTTGATTTTGATTGTGATCATAAAGAATTTTCGGCATAATATTTGAGCACTTGCTATCAACCTTGACAAGTCATAAACAGATATTCCACGTGAAGTCAGTGGACATTCCCAGTCTCTGGGGGGAGGGTAATTGTTTCAAATCTCTGTTTGTATACTCAATAAAAATATTATTGTATTTTTAAAGCACTTTATTTTAGATTAATTTATCTAATTTGTCTGCTTAAATACTTATTAGTTAATGCAGCACCATCATATTACCTTTTAGAAGGATCATTATGGTTTTTATAATTCTCAGTTTGCTCTATATATGTACAATATTCGTTAGGATCCAGGGTCCGTGTTTGTTCAGTGGTCGTTGAAATAGTTGTGTCATTGTGGAAGCTGGCATTAATATGTTGTGCTAACAGCTTCCATTTAGAGAATGTATTTGTTACCGGAATGTTGTATGTGTAATTTAAGAGCGAGTTGTTTACTTACCGAGGATATAATCACGTAGAAAAGCATTTGAAACGAGCGCGGTCCGGTTTAAAATTTAAACTAAAATGCTGGATACAGAAAGTTATCTTTATATAGAAGAGGTCTCTTCAACTTTTTGCAGTTACGTTAAACTCTTTTGTTTACTTTTTTTCTGGTTTTTATTGCGTTATTAGGCTTTCGTCAATAAATTAAAGAACATTAATTATATGTTTAATTATGGTAGCATAGCGATTACTATTAGTCTTAAAAAATATATGTATATATTCACAAATTTAAGGCGCATTCGTTAGCTGCATAGTAGAGTATAGTATACAATGTGTAGGAATATATTCGATTTCAAGTGTAAAATGCCTATAAATACAATACAATATAATAACTTTTGATCTGTTGCTTCTGCTGTTTAAGGCAGCCTTATCTTGTGGACGTAATTTGACATACATTTCGGTATTTGTATACACAAACATATACAAATATATATTTATAAGTACATGGTTATATTTGTGGATATATACTGCTAGGTAATTATGAATTCGCACATTTGCCGTATAGTCTTCGTTTAGTTACATTACATTAATCCAACTACAAAAATTGTATAACTACTATCTAAACTATAACTAAATATATAAACATGTATATATGTTAACGCTACTCTTATAAAATTGCAAACGATCGATTTTTGTGTGTGTCTGCATCTTAAGGCAAATCATAGCATTTAAGAAGCACTAAAGGCATAAATTCGTTACATTCTAAAACGAAATAATACTTCGTCATCAGCAAATGCATTTAAGTGTATAATTCTATTTCTGTAGTCCCACCAAAGCACTAAACGCATCCGTATTCATACCAAATGCTATTGCTCTTGTCCTCATTGCGTTTGCGCATTGCTTTATCATCTGGATTGACTGTTCCGCTTCCGCTTCCGTTTCCGCCACTGCCGCTGGCCTGCAGCAACGGACTCTGCTCGCTGGTGGTGGATGTGCCGCCAATGGTTGTGTTTATACGATTATACATGAGAAATGTCGCCGGACTATCATTCTTCTGTGGTGTTTGTGGCTCAGCTCCGACTCCTGCTCCTGCTGTTGTTGCTGCTGCTGCTGCATTGTTGTTGTTGTTGCTTGGCGTTGGCGTTGAAGTTGCCGGTGGCTGTTGCGATTGTGGAGCGGCTGAGGAGCCATCGGGCAGCTTCTGATGCTCATCGATCAAATAGACGGTGCGCCGGGAGCCAGCGGTGCCCAGAGTTAAACTGCTGCCAGTTACATCAGGCGCTTCCAGGCTGCTGCAAGCAGTGGTTTATCAGTTGGTGTACAAAAAAAGTATAAAAAAAAACAACTCCACAAAACATTTATATTGACAAATTGCAGTTGTTGGAATTTCGAGGAGTTGGGTAAGGGATTAAGGTATTTTTTTTTTATAGGATTTGGAGTAGTGTTAAACATTTAAAAGCGCATACCCGTGCACGCTATTTCTACGTGAGTTACTCAAATCCGTACGTTTCTGTGCCTGCAGGCTACTTCGCACCGTGCCACCGCGTTGTATCGAGCTATCCAGTAAATCTCTATATAGTGCATATATATATATATATTACATATACAGTGTGTGTGTGTGCGTGTAAAGTTGTTGTTTTTGTTGTGTATATACATGTAAATAGAAGAACAAGAACAAGGACCATAAACCAAACTAAGTACATCATTTAACCAATAAGAAAGAATAAGAATAATAATAATCCCTAACAATTCAAATGAACTCGCTACGGGATATCCCGTACCCAACTCTTAAATATATTCCAGTTTTATGGCTACAATTTCCGATTAATTTTCGCATATTTATGCTTGCTTGAGTTGGATATGAGAATACATTTTCAACTATAATATGAGAACTCATGTACCAAATTTGATGAATCTAGCTCATACAGTCTCTGATCCGGACAGACGAAGAGAACTATTTCGAGTCGACTATTGATACTGATTCAGAATATATATACTCTATGTGATCGGAGATGCTTCCTTCTGTCTGGGTGTAGAAAACAAATGAATTTGGCATATGCCAAAGACCGATTGCCTTTGTACGACTAGGATAAAAGAGGCCTATTTCAAGAGGATAAAATCACTTCTTAAGAAACTTAAGATGCTTTTTATCAACAAATTTAATGGCATCAGACATAACTGATCACTAATAACTATCTTATAAGTTATATATGTGCCGCTACAACGATATATCAAAAAGATTTATGGATAGAAGTCTTCGTTTACCGCTGCAAACTCTGACGCAATGGCATATTCCGCTGCAGCAGATGAGTATCGGAGGCAATGGATAGCGGCTCCTCCGTGCTGTTGTCCGACTCATTGCCACCCGACTCGGAGCCGATGACAAACTGGGAGCTGGTGCGCGCATCATCCACCCAAGAGCGACGATTCTGTAATTGACAAATATATATTATAGATACACAATAAATCAATGCTGTGGATCCCTTCCTTACCCGACTGGGCACTTTGTTCATCAGATCGGAGCTGGCCTTTTTGACGCGTCGCACGAGACTGCTGGCAAATGGTTTTCTGTGGAATATTATTATTAAGTTTAAGTATGAGATATCCAATTTAGCTATGTATGTGGCACATACTTCTTTTGCACTGTGGTCTCTGATTTCTTATAGTGTTCCATGATCTTCTCCTCGAGCTTTTCCTTCTGACGCTTCAGGCTGTGCACCCGTTCCGTATAATTCTTTTCCTCCTCATGGAAATGCTTTTTATCCTCCAGCGAAATGGCCAACAGTTCCTGATACTGTGACAACAACTGCGACACATTATCCATTAGGGCTTTGCGCTCCGAATCCAAGTCGGCGTTGTTCTGTATTAGCATCTGGCCAAATAAAGGATTAGTCGGGGGCAACAACAGAGTGTAAAAGAAAAACTCACCTCGCAGCGCTGCTGCACCTTGGAGTACTCGATTTGGAGCAGACGCACCTGATCCTGTTTGGCATTCAGCTCACCGGTTAGCTCGGTGTTCTGTAATTTGAGGCTGCTGTGCTCCATGCGTATCATTTTGTACTGTTCCTGGATGTTCTTGTATTCGTTCTTGAAGCGATCGCTCGTCGCGAACAGATTGCGAAAATCATCGGTCAGCTTGGAGTGCTCGGTACGGAGTATGGCAAGATCTTCGTGACAGGTCTTCATGCTATTCGTCTGTGTGGTCAACTCCTCGATGCGTTGCTCCTGCGTCCCAATTGTCTCCCGGGCATCTCGCGTTTCCTGTCGCAAATCACGTACGGCTCCCTTCAACTGTTCCTTGTCCTTGTTCAGTGACTCATATTCAGCAGAGAGTTGATCATGGAGACACTGCAGTGTCACTTGATCTTGCAACGCATTTTTGTGCTCCTGCTGCAACGCATCGATGTCCTTAAGCAGCGTATCCTTCTCAGCGGCCAACTGTGAGTTAGCTAACTGCAGTGCCACATGCTGTGTGTTGAGCGATGTGATCTGTGAGCCCAATGCAGCCACATCCACACTGAGTCGTGCATTATCCGTCTGCAGCTGGGTATTGCTCTCCTGGAGCCGCGTCAATTCCGGACTCAGACGCAACTTGTGTTCGAAGCGTAGCTCCTGATGCGCTCCGGCTGACAATTCGATGTTCTTTTCGACGGTGAAGATCTCCTGGCGATGACACAGGACACACATGTCCGATTTGACGCCCGTCTTCTGCTGCTGCTGTTCGCGATTCACGCTCAACATTATTTCACGCACCGTCTTGAAGGTCTCCGGATTGCGTACCAGTTTCTCTACCACATGCTCCACATTCAGTTCAACCGGTTCGTCATCGTTGACATCGAGCCCGAGCTTCTCGAGATTGTGGCGCACCTTCTTGGAAACCAGGGTGCCATTAACAAGATCATTGCGTAACACGCTTATCATTTCTCGATCAATGTTGCGCTGTGAGCTAAGCTCTTGATTTTGTTTCTCAAGTTCAACAAACTTTTGCTGCACTTGCTCCGCCTCCTCCTGCACCTTGACGAGGCGCATCAACTCCTTGGCTTGGGTGTCCAGCCGATTGATGCTCTCGTCCAGCTGCACAGATTTCTGTTCACTGCTCTCCTTCAGTTTGGAGACCTCCTTTAGCAGGCTAGCATTCTCACGCTCATATGTGCAAACTTTGGCCTCAATTTCGTAGAGCTTCTGTTTGGTCAACTCGTATTGTTGAGTTTTCTCAGCGTACTGTTCCAGCTCCTTTGTTTTACTCTCCGCAAGACGTTCCAAATCATCGGCTCTGCGTTGAATGCTCTCGTTGAGAGTTTGAATGCGTTGCTTCTCTTTGTTGAGTGTTTCCACATGCTCCTCGGCATCGGAGAGCTTCTGGCGATCCGCATCCCGCTCGAGACTCTGGCGATCGTAGCTCTTCTGGCGATTGTCGACGGCATCCTGCAGCTTCTTGTTCTCATCGAGTGCGTTCTTGAATACGCTCTCCAATTCAACATTCTGTTGCGTCAATCTTTGTATGTTCTCCTGCATTTGTTCGATTTTCAGCGACAATTTCTTCTTCTCTTTTTCCAGCTCGAGCATTTTGCTGGTGGACTCATGAAAGCTGCTCTCCTTCAATTGCTCCAGTGCGGCAGTTAGTCGTCGGTTCTCCAGCTCCAGTTTGAGAGCACGCGTTTGTGCATTGTTTGTCAGCTGCTCGGATAAGCTGTTGTCCCCCGAATTGCAATCATCCTCATTGTCCGAGAAGGATTTATCAATCTCCTGTGTGGAATTCAGATTCTTTGCCACCAGCTGCAGCTGTGCATTCTCCTCGAGCAGCTCCTCCAGCTTGGAACGATCTACATCACGCTCGAGCGCCATATCATTGAGTTTCTGCTTGTATTTAATGATCTCCGATTCCAAGGTGATGGCATGTTCCGAACGTTTACGCGAACGCTGCAATTGCTCTTCCAGCATTTCTCTGTTGGGTAAGGTAAATAAAGACTAGTAAGTAAATGTTAATCAGTAAGATTTATGTACATCTGCAATTTACTTGGATTCGAGTAGGACGCGATTATCTTCGCGTAGCTCCTCCACCCGCGATTTGTAAAAGTCGGAATCGCCGAGCTTCTCACGATACTTCTGCACCTCGATCTCTAAGCGATCGGCACGTTCGGCACGCTCCCGCAAAATGTCAACCTCATCCCGATAGGCAGACGCACGCTTGGCCTCGGTAAACCAATCCTGGCTCTATTTATATGCATTTAGTTAGTAAAAGATATATAGTAAGAGGATATATAGAAGAACAAACCTCCTGGCGTAGCTTGTCGAAGCGTTGCTTTTTGTCATCCAGCTCCTCGCGCAGCTCCAGTAGATTCTCCGATTTCTCTTCACTGCAATTAATAATTCGCGATTTGCAATTTGATGAGATTGGGATTGGCATTGGGGCACTTACAGTTCCTGTCGCAATTTGCGATTTTTTGAACGCAGATCCGCACACTCGACGGCCAAATGATTGCTCTCCGAGTTGGAGGATGACGAGGGCGTTGATGTGGCCGTGCCGCTGGATGGCGAACGTGGCACAGTGACACAGCCCGTGCCGCATTCATTGCCATCGCTGGCATTTAGTTCGGGTTCCACGCACACCGTCTCGATCCACTTCAAGTACATGTGGTCGCGTTCCTTGGTCAATCGCATAATGTGGCCGTACATATTCTCGGCGGACAGACGCTCGATGGAGTCCTCGGTGAGCACCAGACTATGGCTATCCGTTACCTGTTTAATCAGTGCCACAATGCCATGTTGCGTCTCCAGATCCAGTTCCTTGATCCGGGCAATGAATAGCTCTTTATTGGGACACTGCACAGCTGCACCCAATAACAGGGTAAGCAGTGTTTTCATTTGCTCCAAGCCGTGTTTGCTCTCCGGATAATAGCCCAGCTGGTAGGCATCCGGTAACGCCAGTATCGTCTGGCCCAGTTCCTCCTCGAACAGGGATTTCAAATTGCGAACAATACACTCAAAGTTTTTCGCACGAGCAATGCTCAGCGAATTGCCGCTGAGATCGGTGAGCAGCTCGCTGGGATTGTTCTGTGGCTCCGGATCAATCTGGAGCCAAACACTGTGTATTATGAGGCCATCCAGCAGCGAGGTGTAACCAGCGAGCAGCTCGGCACGTGGCAGACATGACTCCAACTGAAAGCGAAACAACAAATGATGCGTTGGCACCAATCAGTAACTGCAATGAGAAGACTAAAAAAACTACAACTACCAAGCGACAATTGTCAACTTAATTAGCAACATTTCCTTTTTAAATGGTGCACTGAACTTCTGCGGCACAAAGCACAACAAGCGCAACATGTAGGAGTGTTCTTTTAAGGGTATGCTCGGCTAAGCGATGACCTTTAAAACATTTAATGCAATATATTTCGTTTGTGGAATCTCAAAAACAAAACTGCAGATTGCAAAGAAAAGTAACTAATTAATTTTCTCGAAACAGCGGCCCATATAAGTATACTATTTTCTTGACAACTAAAATTATTTATCTCTTACAAATAAGTTTTTCCATTGTGGCGCACTTCAGTTTTGCAAGATTAAAAATTTCTTCTCCTTTTTGAAAACAATTCTTTGACATACACTCTCATTAACGAAACCCTTTTTTTGTCAACAGATGGCGAAAATAAATAAATATATAGATCTGCTCAACAATATATACAAGCAGTTGAATAAGTATCGCGAATAAATATGCCCACTTTGAAGCGTTTCAATTGTACAGGGTATGAAAAAGCCGGTTGAGCAAAACTCTCAGTTCTTGGCAATTGGCAAACAAAAAGCAGCCGACGAACAACAGCCGCTGCTAATGACAGCATAAAAAAAAGAGTTGTTGTTGTGTCGTAAACGGTAGCAGCAGCAGTAGCCGAAGTACCAAGCATAGCCACAGTTACAATGACCTTGGGGGGCTGCGCTGCGGAAGCGTGAGTAAATGTGACTGTGTGTGTGTGAGTACACAAATATATATATATATATATGCATGTGTGTGTGTTATGTATGCAAATTGAAACACTTTAAATATTGAAATATTTTGATATGCCAGTCACGTTGCTGTTGTTCAGTTTGGTGAGCATGTCTGAGCATGTTTCACTCTCAAACTCACCCAAGATACGAGCGCTCCATTTATAAATTCGTCAATTTCCATTGGTGTTGCGGTTGCCGTGCCAGCCATTGTTGTTGTTGCTGTTGCTGCTTTTTCGCTGCGTCTGCTGTGTGTGCGTGCGTGTGCTTATTTGGCGACGCCGCTGCTGCAGCTGCAGCTGACGCGATCGTCAATCAAACTGCACTGGCAACAGCAACGGCAACTTGGTCTTTGTTTCTAATTCAATTGCCGCCGCGACAGTTTCACAGCCTCCAAATCATTACACCTTGCGCACACGCACACGCACACATATGCACAGCAATTCACATACGCGCGCATAGACACACACACACACAGATTACAAGCAAAAAAGAGAAAACACGGGACGTTTGTTCACTTCTTGTGTATCTTGCGATTTATCGTTTAAATTTAGTTTCACATAAACAAGCTATTTTCTGTTGTTTTATTTTCGGAGAAACACCTGCGTTGCGCTTGCTGTAAAGTTTGGGGATGTAAGAAATAAACAGCTAGCGATGTGCTTGGTATATCGATAAGCGACGTTACAATAGCTGAATATCGATATAACGAAAATATCGCTCGAGTAAAACACTATTGCAAAGTCAATTACAATAAATTGAACACGAACAACAGTTATCAGTACTGTTGCTAACATATATTATATTTGTATGGCTTCCCTTTCGATTGCTAATCGAACCAATGAAATTGAAGTGGTTCGATAGACACTCAGCTGTTGCAATATTTCACACTACCGGCAACTCTGTGCTTTAGTTGCCGTTGACATTTCTTAGCGCCCAAAGCTTATTGTGTGTGTGGAATGCCTGGTTGTACTTACGAACGGATTATTTAACGCTCCGTAAAAATGGCAACGATTGCGGATCGCCACCATAAGTTCCGAAATTTTCATTATTAAATTGAGTAGTAATTATATGTTGAAAACGCAATCGAAACCGTATTTTGAAAACGAATTGTAACGACGCGAGTGCGTGAAGTTAAGGACGGTCTGCCTATATATAGAAACTTCTATATATGCACAACTAATTGCAAAATAGGTTAAATATTTAGTATTCGAAATGGGCAATCAACCGGGCAAGCTGCAGACCGCACACAGTGGACGGCCGAAAAAGAATGTGCATTGGAAATCTGCAGGCAAGTTTTGCGCAAAATGCCCACATTCAAAATTCCATAATATCGCAATAGAAAACTCGAACATTTTTCAAATATATTCACCCAAAAAGAAAAGATCTCTAATTGGCTGTGAGAGCGCACATACATAGGCCACATAGTTTGGTGGGAGCGCTAGAATTTTTGCTATTTTTAGACACTCGCACACTCAAGTGGTTGCCGTATAGCCGTCCATTGACGCGACGGCGTCCGTTTTACCCGATTTTTTGAATCTTTTTCTGAATATTTTGGCCTAAAATCTCAAGACAGCAAAAGTAATGTTTCTATACCCTGTATGCACTTCGAAATGTATAAATAGGGTGTAATTATGAGGTGGTTATGTTTGTAAGCTCAACAGGTAGCAAATGCATCATCTGAGATATATGCACAATATGTATTCCGTGGTTTAATCCGAGTTTATCTGCATAAGCAAAGCCAGTTTAAATTATGTTTTCGATAATTCACCACGTTTTCAAATAATCGATAGGTAACCATTTTAAGCTTAGCTTTTTAAGCAACGTAAATACGAGCCGCGCTTATTTGGAAATAGTCGCGAAAAGTCGCGCGAATATATCATCATATTTTCGATAACGCACCACGTTTGTGAATAATCGTAAGGTAGCGATTTTAAGCTTACCTCGTTTATTTGGAAAGATGAAGCGCGTAGTTTAAATATCTGTGTTGAGTTCATCTGCATAAGCACTGTCAGTTTTCCATAACTCACCACGATTTTAAACAAATGACAAGTAATTATTTTAAGCTTACCTTTTTTGAGCATGTATCCTTATTTTAGTTGAGTTGTGTTTGTATGGAAATATGAAGTGCGGTGTTTAAACAATAAATACAATATATATTTCATATATGGTAACTTGTAGTCGCAGCTCATTTCGCTTTCGATTAGAAGACTCTCTTTCTCAAAAGCGCAAGCGCGAGAGTTTTTTCTTTCGAATATTGAGTGCATTATTTACCTGAGATTTGTTCTTTCTTTCTGTATTTTAGAACGACCCTCTCCGCCGGGCCGACCTATTCTGACGCCACTGGCGCTCTCTGAGCAACAGCCCGATGTGGTTAACTTGCGCTGGGAACGCCCGCTGCTGGACGGTGGCTCTCCCATTACCGGGTATACAGTCGAGCAGCGACGCGTCGGTTCGCCCCATTGGGTGCGTGCCACGCCTACACCAATCGCAAGCTGTGAGATTCAAATTAGCGGACTGGAACCGGGTTGGCGTTATGAGTTTCGCTGTTTTGCGGAGAACATTGTTGGACGCTCCGATGCCAGCGAGCTGTCCGATCCGTTGACGGTGACGCTACAAAGAAATGCGATCAGTGTGCCGCGTTTCGTTGAGGAACTGCTTGACATGAATGCTGTCGAGGATGAACGCATCGAGTTTCGTGTGCGCATTTTGGGTGAACCGCCGCCAGAGATTAGCTGGTACAAGGATGGCTACGAGATATTCAGCAGTCGTCGCACCAAGATCGTCAACGAGAACGATGTCAGTGTGCTGATCATCCATCAAGTGGCTCTGACCGATGAGGGTGAGATCAAATGCTCTGCGACCAATCGAGCCGGTCATGTGGTGACCAAGAGTCGACTCCAGGTGCAGGCACCGCCTAAGATACGCCTGCCACGTACCTATGAGGATGGCCTCATCGTCGAAGCGGAGGAGGTGGTGCGTCTCAAGGTGGGCGTTGCTGGACAGCCACCACCCGCCATTACTTGGTTGCATGAGGGTGAAGTCATCCCGCCGGGCGGTCGCTTTGAGGTGATCAACACGGATAAGAATTCGCTGCTGAAGATCGACAATGTGCAGCGCGCGGATCGGGGCGAGTACATGGTGCGTGCCTGGAATAGACTGGGCGAAGATATCACTTCGTTTCTGGTCACTGTCACAGCCAGACCCAATGCACCCGGTGCCCCACGTCTGAACATGTCCTTTGGCAAGTCGGCCACACTTTCGTGGACAGCTCCACTCGATGACGGTGGTTGCAAGATTGGCAACTATATTGTCGAATACTTTCGCATTGGGTGGAATGTCTGGCTGAAGGCGGCGACGACGCGTGCTTTGAGCACCACACTCCATGACCTGATCGAGGGATCCGAGTACAAGTTTCGCGTCAAGGCCGAGAATCCCTATGGTCTGAGTGAGCCATCACAGGAGTCGGAGCTGCTCTTCATACCGGATCCCAAGCGTGGCATTGTCAAGCCTAAGTCAGCCACCAAAATCGGTGGCGATGAGCGCAGCAGCAATGGAAATGGGGACAAATCGAAACCGGTGCCACCACGTCGTAAGACGCTATCACCACCACGTCCACATGCAGATGCAGGGACGAGCATGTCCGCCTCACCGAAGCAATCGCCGCGGGGTGGACGCAAGCCAACGCCACAGCTGGTGGACAGTGAGGAGCTACGCCATGAGATGGCCTACGGCACCTCGGATCAGGCGCTTAAGATGAATGTGCGCAAGAGCCCGTCGCTGAGCAGCGCCGACTCTGCAGCAGTGGCTCAAGCTGGCAGTAGACCTGGCTCCAATCCCAAGCTAAATCTGACGGTGATCACCACAACGGCCCTGATGGATAAGCAGCAGGAGAAGCCAACGAAATCTCCCACTGGAATTTCTCCACTCAAGCTCTTTAATCCCAAGCCCAAGGATAAGTCACCATCGAAGTCACCACAACCACTGCCGAAGCCACCGCAAGCAAAATTGGAGCGTGTTCCTCCTCCACTGCCACAGGATCTACACAAGAGTCCCATTAAGACGACGCCGGCTCTGCAACGCAGCGCGGAGCCCGTCCAGCTGGGCGTCAATCAGAATGTGCGTCGGTATTCCTCGCATGCGTTGAGTCCGGCCAAGAATGTGCCCGCTTTGGCCATTGCCATTGCGACCAGTGCCAGCATTGCTGAGAAATTGCCCACCATTGAGATCAGTGCACCAGATCCAGAACCAGTTGTGCCGGAACAAACCATACCAGAGACGCCACCATCACCTCCATTGGAGCCGCCCACGACGCCAGTGTCGAAGAGGCGCTTCCAGAAGCCAGCAGCGGACAAACATGACGAGGTCCACACCAGCAATGAGTTCATGCTGGTGGTCTTCGACAAGAACAGCAAGGTCAAGGATAAAGATAGTAAGTGCTGTCCTCCAATCAAAATCAGGTCGCTGGGGAAATTGGAATTGTTCAGAAATATCATATCAGAAATTCACATTTAATGCATTTTGTCTTAAGTTCTGATTTCCTTTTATTGTCTGCTTTTATAGCTTTTGATTATATATGCATTTCACAAACTTTATTAAATCTTGTCTTGAAAAATCACTCAAATTAAAATATGTTATTGTAAATTAAGAAATTCAACATTTTTGCTTATATCATCTGTTCTTATAGCATTTCGTAAACTTTATTAAATTTCGATATTTTATTTGAAATTCATAAATTGTTCGTATTAGAATTATTAATGCCATATCGCTTGACTTTTAACCTCCCTGCTCTGTTAAGGATGGTCTTTTATCAAAACTCCCAAAACTCCTATTAACATATCCTTTTCTCCCTCTCTTTCAAAGAGCAAGATTCCTTCGAGCTGGAACTGGAGGACGCCATACAGCCGCCACCAATATCCATATCGGCACCGGATCTGGCCTTTCTGGAGTTTACCAATTTGCACACGACCTTCCCGTTACGCCGATCCGTCAGCTCAACGGAGTTGCTCTACGAGCGGGCCATGGCACGTTTCTATGAGGCCGTCGAACTGGAACAGGCATCCAAGGCGTCGAAGGCCAAGGAGAAGGCAGCTGCAGCAGCAGCAACCAGCGTGCCAGCGAGCACCATGCGTAAACGTCTCGGCTCCATGACGGAGGCGGAAAGGGCATCGTTCGAACGGCGGAGCGAGATGCGTCGACAGTCGGCGGACATGGTGCCGCACATGGGACGCAAATGGGATTCGCGGGAGAATGTCAACATGAATCTAACACGCGCCAGCACGAGTCTGATGCTCCGTGGCGGCGACAGTCGGGAGGAGGAGGATGTGGAGGAGGAGGATCGCACGGAGAGTACAGCCGAAGACAGCGAGGAAATGGATGAGAATCTGGATGAGGATCAGCTGCAACAGCAGCAGAGTGGCTACGATATGGGCTCCGACTACACGGAGAGCACGGCCAGTACTGATCAGGACTCCATTGAGAAGTTCAAAATGGAGTTATTGGCGCGCACACGTTCGCCCAGTCCACGGGACCTGGAAACGTATCATCCGCGCCACATGGGTGGCGGCACCTTCACTCCATATCGTGCTCCGACACCGGAGCAGGCAGCCGTGGTGCTCAATCGACCAATGCCGTTGGCCAGTCCAGATTTTGTGCCCAAGCCCATCTTGAAGCGTTCGTCCAACGAGCATGTGGAGCAATCTGCCAGCCCAACCCAGCCCAGCAGTCCAGTTGTGGCTAACAATCCGGATAATGGCAATGGAAATTGCAGTGGCAATGGCAATAACATCCCGGCCAGCGTACCCAGCAGCCCGCCACCCATTGCTGTTGCAACGCCAAGCTCCAGTCTGAAACTGGATCTGGCCAAGGGCATCAAATCTTTTTTCAGTCGTGATAAACGCAGCGCCACCGAAAAGAATACCGAGGCCAATGCGGAGTTATCCAATCCGCTGGAGAAGACCAATGCGGCGGCGATTGCCGCCGATCTGGAGACGAAACGCAAGCTCAAAGAGGAGGAGGAGCTGCGTCGCAAGCAGGAGGAGCGCCTGATGGAGGAGGAGGCGCACGCAGCTGTCGATCACTACAGTGATCTGGTGCGCCAGGTGAGCAGCACCCACAAATACCACAAGCCGCTCTATCTCGATCCGGATGAACTGAAGCGCGTGGGCAGCCGCATCAAGGATGACGAGGACGATGAGAATGCTGCCGCGGAGCATCAGCAGCGACGCGAACAGGATCAGGAACAGGAGCTGTTGGCACCGCCAGTTGTGAGTCGCGAGCGTCGCTTATCCATCTCAGAGCGCGAGCAGCTCGTCCATGTGCGGGACGTGGCCAGCAGTCATGCCATGCACAAGACACCCCAGCAGGAACGAGAGCTGCAGCTGGAGGATGAGGAGCCGGTGTATCCCACGGTGTTGATTGTGCCGCCACCAAAGACAAAGCACAAACAGGATTCGGATGCGACCACGGAGAGTGTGATGAGTGAGATGGTCGAAGCGCGTCCAGATGCACGCGGACGCACTCGTCTGGTCAAGGTGAAACGTGTCATCAAACGCCGAGTGCCCTCGAAGACTCGTTCCCGTGATCCCTCGGTGACACGAGCCCCCTCGAATGTCCTCGCCCTGGAAAGCGCCTCCATCTCCACCATCGATCGTGAGCTGCTCGAGAAAGCGGCAACGTTGGCGCTGATGCAATCGCGCTCCGAGGAGCAGGCCCACGAGAAGGTGCGTTCGGCGCTGAGCTACTCTACGGATCTGGTGCTCTTCCTGGTGGCCTGCTACGTCTATCTGTTCAAGGATGCACGCCTCGTTCTGCCCATACTGGCGCTCATGATCTATCGCCAGCTGGGCGAGGCATTGCGTGGCTATATGCCCAGCTGGATGCGACGCAAGGGTCAGGATGGTACCTAGGAGGGAATCCCGCAGTTTGACGTCATGCGTTTATCAGTTTATCGGTTAAGTTAGCTCTTATCAATGTATCGACTTGTATTTTAAGCTTAAGCCATTCAAGTTCGGCTTGGAAACGAACTTTCCTTAAAGCAAATATCCCCCAGACGTATACGTAATCTTGCTAAAAGGCATATAGCTAACCGAATCCACAGATATTGTGTATAGTGAACTAAGTGAAGTCGAGCACTTTGTCTGATAGTTGGTCTTATAGACATTCTTAATGAGGTCCGCTTAACTGAATTTATAATCTTTCCTTTTCTGGAAGTCCTATTAAGTTCTTCAATTTTCTGTTCTAAATCTGGCGAACTATTTCTAGATAGTTCCTTAGAGTTAATTGAATGATCGTCTAATTGATAGTCTTCAGTAATACTCTGCTTCTATTTACAGATTCGTACTTAGATCATGTTACTCTATAATCCAATAATTGTTTTCTTTTCTCTCAAGAATTATTTCAAACTAAATCTCTTGGAGTGTTTTGGCTCTTCATATTATTCTGAAAGAATTATCAATGTCAAAGACTTAATTCATTGTCCGCTGAGCTCTCTAGCTCTATTTCAATATTAATACTAAAATACGTATTTGGAAACTGTTTCAAGGAATTTCTGTATTTAGCTCCATTCATAACTCAAGAAGTCAAAAATCTGTCTGCTGGGAATTGGTTAACTATAAGAATCAATAACTTACTAAACTTAGGCACCCCTTCGTTGTGTGTTGCGGTAATATTACTATTATTATTATTACTATTCTTATTATTATTATTATTATCAAATTGTGTTCGTTTGAGGTTCATTGTCGGTCTACTGGATTCTTGGTAATTTACTTTGGGAATAAAGCACACAAAAACAAATTACTTATCCGCCCGTTTAGTTAGTTCCGGTGACACGAAAGATTAAAATTCCACTCTACAACTATAAAGAGTTCGGATTTTGGGCCAATTTCTTATCTCATAGGATGCAGACGTAAGTCTATAAGTCAACAAACGGCTGATGCGACAAAATCGCTTGGCTTATCTAATATGTAAATAGTCCAGAAGTTGGCCAAATTTGGCATAAAAACAGATGCTTCTATTGCTACTGATCACAGTTCCCACATTGTCTCCGACATGAGTGCCACCTACGCCTGGTTATTGCTGCTCTGCTTTGGTTGTGGTCTATCCGCCGCTGTCATTCAGCCTGGACATGGAGTAGCTGGACCACTCGTTCCACCGCCAATGGATTTGGGAAAGGAACTGATGGATATCTTTGCCATGGTGCAGTTGAAGCCAATGAACAAAATGTTTGCACGCTATCTGCTCAATGATGGCCAGTTCCAGGCATTTGTGCGCATTATGAACAGCAATGCGGGATTCATGGCACGCTGGCGTCTGCTCTCCCAACCGGAGGTGATTATGCTACGTCAATGGGTTAACCAGCAGCTGATGACATCCAAGGGGAAATTCGAGATCGAAGAGATGGAGATGTGCGTAACGCTGTTCAATCGCTATCCCTATATGTCTGGTAGCGTTTTCGGCTGGCAAGGATTCCTCAACGAACTGGAGATGTACTTCCCAACGTATGCCATTGGCGCCACCATTCAGACCAAGGTGCAGATGCAGGGCATCTTTGCTCAGTTCTGGACGAGAGTGCAGGCTCTGCAGGTAGTCTACGAACGTTGGTTGGCCATGCCCGGCACCCAGACGGTGCTCAACCAGTTGCAGGCGGAGGGCATTGATAACGCCCAACTGGATACCCTGGTGCGCAATCTTTTCGGCTGGAATGCTGTAAATGGAACAACCACAGCGGCTCCTCTACTGCCCATGCCCACAGATCAGTCTGGCCCTGTGATAATGCCTGGCAGTGCTCTGATCCTTTAGTGATTTTCTCTATTCTTGTGTTTGTTGTCAATATATCTAATATATATTTGTATAACCTTTGAACTATCAAAATTAACAGATTGTAATTATTTGGCCCCGGGTGCTTCTCAGAACTTGAGCTTGCCCAGTGTATCGGTCACCTTGGTGGCATTGGCCGCTGGCTTTTTGCTGTTCCTTATGGGCGTCACTGTTGGCTTTGGCTTCTTGACGACCAAATCCTTGTGCAGATCCTTCAGCGTAGCATCCACCTTCTCCTGCTTGGCCTTTACGGTCTCCTTGAGCTGCCAAATTAAAGGATTGCTTATTATTCTGACTGGCGAATTGGTGGATTCTTGACTCGGCTCACCTGTTTTAGTTTGCCCTGAACTTCCTTGGGCTTCTTCTTGCCCTTGTTGTTGTTCACTTTGAACACATTCTTGGACTTTTTGGATTTGTTGAGTGCCGGCTTTGCTGATGCTTTGGCTGCTCCAGCTCCAGCTCCAGCGCTCGCAGCTGCTCCCGCTCCCTTCTTGTTATTGGCCTTGTTGCGACCCATTTTGCGGCTATAAATACAAAAGGAGAAACCTGCACCCACTTTAAATGGCATAAGCGTAAATTGTAAGAGGCGGAAGGACACAAGAATCTAATACTTTTTTTTAAACATATTTGTGATCATATTTAAAGGATTAATCGAGAGGTGAAACCATAGTGGAAGTATCTGTAGCTTTCTCTTTGTTCATTTTATATAAATAAAATTACTTTTTTCAAACGCTAATATCTCTACTAGGACATTCCAACACATATGTTTTTATTTTTACTAGACTCTTTATTTGTTAACTTGGTCAAATGCATTTCACTTTTGTAGCAGCTGCTGCTGCTTCTGCCAAGGCATCCTCCTCCGCAGAACAAGGACGCTTGCGCGTTGCCTGTTTAGGCGTCGTCAATAGCTCTCGGTTTAGCCTGAAGGACACCCTGTACATGTCCTTGTTGGGTGCCACATTGCGCACAAAACTGATGCCCTCCAGCAACGCATCATCCAACGATGCACCCAGATTGCGCTCAACAAGCTGCTGCACCAGCGTCTTGGTGTCCTCGCCCTTGGCAAAGGAGTAGACATGCACTACCGGATAGTTCAGAACCTTGGGCAGCTCCTCGTCCGCATATAGATCTCGAAATGCATCCAGAAATTCAACAGCTAGCGCTGGTAAATTCATCGTAATATGAATGTTATACGAATTAGCTGGAGGCGATTTCCAGCGCTGTAGTAAATCGTCACGCAGCTCTTTGCGTATGAATTCGCGTCCATCCTTGTTGAACATTTGGATGTGGGCCAGACACTTGTTCCGCTTGGCATTGTGCTGCAGCCAGTGATAGCTAACGGGATTCAGATCGTTGGCCAGCACTTGGCAGCGCTTCTTGGCCGCGGGTACACTAAATGGACCAACGCCAGCGAATACATCATAAAGAACATCGCCGGTCTGCAAGAGTTTGACAATGCGTTCGTGTTCGGTGGACAGGCGTGGATTCCAATAGACTTTCGAGAAATCAAACTCAAAGGGTACACCGTTCTCCTTAGTCTCCACCTGATACTCGGCATCGCCGCATATCAGCTCCAGCTGAAAGTTGCGATAGGTGTTATCAATGCTGGCTGCCTTGTTGACCACAGTGCGACAATTGGGCAACTTATCGCGGAGCACTTCGCCAATGAGTTGTTTGTAGGGCAGCAGATGATCCCGCAGATTCAGATGCACAATGTGTCCGATGCGTGAGAAGGAGGTGAGTCCCTCCTCATCCGCTGGTAGCACACTTTTCAGTATCTCATTTGCGCTCCAATTTTCATAGCTCAACTCGAGTTCATCATGACAGAAATTGGCCGCTGTCACATGCTGCTCCTCAAGCTCCTTGACGGGCAGCGATTCCCAGTTCTTAACGGGCAATGGGTGTAGAAGTATTTCACGTGCATTCGGCACGGCACGCACCGGCTGCAGATGTTCCATTTTGAGCAGCATCTTCTTCAGTAATGGAATCACTCGCTGCACCTGCGATTCAGGCACTCGAAGTCTCGGAATTTGGACACGTTTTTGAAACTCAGCGCGCTGCAGCACAGTCATGCCACGCACCGAAGCGGGCGGCAATAGTTCCGTGCAGTCCATATTGCTGTAGTAATGTCGCAATCGTCTGCTTATTATCACCAAATGAGAGATTTTTGCATGGCCGACCACGGAAAACATATAAAAACAAAATCGTGGATGTAAGCAAAACACTTCCGTTTAATGTCGTCTTATGCGTTCTGCACAAGCTTCAATTAGTGTCAGCAGGTAGCAGTTGTGGTTGGCATCGACTAACCAACCCAAGTAAACATTTAGTAGACTTTAAATCTACAATTTTCAATGAAAAATTACCTTAATTTGTAGTTATTGCAACGGCAGCTAATTCAACCGAACTAGTTAGTGGTTCCACAGCGAACTTATTCCGCACGAGTATAGTAATTTGCAATTGGTCTGGCAACGCTGCGGCGCACAGATGTTTGCTGTTTGCAGGTGAAATGGACGGCGCGAACTTGATTGGAATTACATCGAAAAGACAGTTTTTAAGGTGCGTTGTGAATTAACGAATAACTTTTAATATAACAAGAACAATTGTAGTGCAACGGACCTAATTGTGGAACGACACGCTGAAGTTGAAACGCCTGCGATCGGTCTAAAGCGAACTAGCATAGAAGGCACTCCAGCTGAGGAAGAGGAGCTCAAAAATGCCTATGGTAAGAATGTCAAATGTTTGTCATACGTGCAAATAAAATATTTAATATTGCAGCCAATTTACGTCGCCAATTGTCTGCACGGCGTATTGAGCGTCAAGCAGGACGTGCCGTAGCGCACTGGCACGAGGATCAACAGGCTGCTGAGGTCCTGCGCAAAGATGGTAAATTTGAAAGTTTTGGCTACAGCAAACAGGGCAAACTCTATTTAGAATATTACGAGGCTTTATTTCTGCTCGAATTGGTGTGTACTCAATATACAACACTTATGCTCTTACATATATTTGTTGCTTGCTTTAATTGTTGCTCTTGTAGAATCGTCTGCAGTTGGAGTACTGCGAAATGATTGTCTCCGTGGAGCAGGCTTATGTGTTGCTCCTGGGCGAGGCAGCCAGCGAGAAGTTTAACAATTATCTGGTTTACTCAACACTGTCACGCGCTGGATATATTGTTGTCAAGCATCAAGCAAACACTACAACATCAACATCAACTGCTGCTGTGGTAACAAGCGAACATTGCATTTGGGCTTTATTGGATGAGGCGCTGGGCCATAAGCCGGTGCCTGCACACATAAAAGCCTCATCACTTTATAAGGCAACCAAGGAGCGCTGGTCTGAGGTCAAGCAGCAAATCATGAGCCATCAGACTACGACACTTGAGGATGATAACAGTTTGGATTTCAAATTTGAGACACGCAAACGGAAAGCGCAATCACAGCCACAGGAGCAGAGTAAAAGAATTTGCCGCGACAAACCCACCAAAAGCCTTGTGAATCATCTAAAAGCTGAGCCTAGCTTTAAGAAATTTCAAGAAATCTTTGAAAAGTTGGATATAATCCAGCTGCAATTGACTGATGATGATAGCGAAATGAACAAAGAACTGCGCCATTTCAAGATCAGTTTTGATTTGCATCTGCACAACGAAGGCTTCAGGCGCAGTGCGCCAAAATCGCCTACTTTTAGTGTTGTAATACTGCCGACCGATGAACCGTTTCCAACACACGATGAGCTGCTTCAGTGTTGGCGCCAACAGTTATCACATGCGGTGCCTCTGCTCGTAATTTCCGTTAGCGAATCGAAACAAATACAAGCATTTCTGTATTATATCAGCTGATGATTGCCCAAATGGCGCAATCAATTATACATTTAATTGCTGTTAATTTATACGCTCGAACGCATAAAATGCGCCATAATTTTATGATTTACGTATGATAATTATACAATTTACGTATAATTGCAATGCGTATGCGGTAAAGCTGTTCGTGCTGCAAATAAAATCCGAATTTGTCATACTTCAAGCAACCTTTATAAAATATGTAAAGACAATTTTTATAAGGTTATATGTACTTTACAAAGTTTATCAAAATTTTTGAATATATCGTTGGTCACATGACAGCATAACGGTCATAAAATAATTCACATCGTTTAGGATCATTGGCGATGCTTATGCTGCATTTGTTTTTATATATATTTATATATATATACGCCGAAAAGACTAAGGTGCAACGCGACTACATAGGAAAAACAATCAAAATGTTGCCCCAAAATTTGTATTTTTTTTTTGAGAAATTTGTATTCATAAGCACACAGAAGCGAAAAGTAAATAAAGCTTCCGCAAAGCTGCACGGCAACAGCTTTTTGAAACCGTTAGCCAATAGGCTAAAGCTTTGCATTCAGTCGCTCTCGACACACGCTGCATTAAGGGTGGAAAATCGCCACTACGGGAAAGTGTCTGCCGCTAATTATTGCAAAAGCAATAACGCTGTTAAAGTTGAAAACAAACAGCTAAAGCTGACAATCCTCAACTACAAACCTGACGCGATTTGCTTACAATCAGGCCCACTACCGCAGAATCGTATATACGTAATATACATCATCATGGTGAGTGAGTGGTGTGTGTGTGTGTGTGCGTCTGCTTGTGCGTGTGCGTGTGTACTAGTTTTATTTATTTTCAAGTAATTTATAGCTTTCACTTTGATTTTCAATTGGACTGGCTACATGTGAAACAAGTCGATTAGCTATGAGATTAGAGTAGGGCAATCCTCGAGTCAGCTTGATTGACCTTTGGACTTGCATGGCTCTCCAAAGCTCGTTGCTGCTGCATTTCTATCCACTTGACCTTGATGCAATTTCTTCTGCCAAGCATGCTGCGATTTAGAAGCAAAAACAAACTTACAAACGAGACGTTGTTTTTTGTTTTTGTTTCTATTTTTATTTTTGTTTTGTTTGTAATCAGCTGATATAAATTAAAGACAAACCGGTCACCGGTGCGCGGTGTGCCTGTGAAATTCCCACAACAAAAACAGCAACAACAACAGCAACCAAAATAACTGAACAACTCAATAACAGCAACAACAAAATAACCGAAATTTCACATTCCAAGCCGGGCTGCTACATTTTGACGTCAAAGTCCAAAAATTTACATATATATTGGACGGACGAACAGGTTGAAGCTGGCGACACAGGAATTTCTGGCGGGTCTTGATTCATTAGCAAGTCGTCGCCATTTAGTTGTGTGTGTGCTCCAGCCGAACTAGTCAGTCATCATAATATGTATGCTGTATTTTTTGTTTGTTAGTTAAATATTGTTTAGGCTACGGCGACGACGACACAATGTCGCGACGCATGGAATTTCTGCACTAAAAATACTTAAATTAATTATATGATCTTCGGTTATAATAAAAATTCCTCTAGTTCCGTTTTGGTTTTATAATTGCCTTTGGTGTGCGTGTGTTTGCTTGCGGATTTTTAAACGCTCTTCGCTTTGTTTTGGGAACTTGAACAGCTGTGGAATGGAATACTTTGATTCATATTTAAAAAGGTACACGTATCCTGTGGCAAATGTCATTCATAGGTCACTGAATCAATTACGTAAATGATATGCTCTTGCGAAGCATAATTTTTTTCACGCAAGATTATGAGAAAATTTCAAAAAATAACTCGTGCCAATTTATGCACAAGTGTTAGAAATTTGTATAAAAAAAGAAAACAACCTGTACATTATCAAATCCGAACGAATTTCATTCAATCTCTGTGATTTGCTACTTTGCCGTATTTTATTTTTGTTTTGAAATTTCTGAACGAATTGTTCGTTAGGTGCGACAATGGGGAACATGCGAAACGACACCAGGGGAGGGCCCATATAGACACATATATAATCGAAATAAATGTAGAGGTAGCAATAATATACGCAAACAAATAGAGCAAAAAAAAAAAAAGAATATAACGCCTACGCAAACTACAAATTCATATCATTATGGGTCTGTATTAAAGGCAGCCATCATATTCACTACATTTGTTTATACTATTCAAACAAAAGTTTTCCAGCAAATGGAAAGCACAACAAGTGCTTCAACTAATCGATGAGGCGTTAATTGATGTGCAATCTAGACGGAATAAATAATGGATCTAAATTGAAGACCCCTTACCCCCAAAACAAAAAAAAATTTAAAAACTAATCACACAAGTACATAATTGAATGCGTTCAAGATCAATGCCACTGGGTAACTTACAAAATTATGAAAACACACAATTTCTCGCTAAGATTATATATGACCAACTTTTGGGTATATATATCTACTATATCGTGTATATATAGCTTATTTTGAAGGCTGTACTAATTGTGTATGTTAAAGTTGGCGGCAAACATTTCGTTTGAATTCGATTTTAGCTTTTGGTTTTGGCGGAATGCCAACAAAACTAATAACTACATATTAACTATCAAGGGCGTGCACAGAGTGTGTAAGGGAGGGGCGGGGAAATTGAGGGGTTCAGTGGCACCTATAAAATTCTGTAATAAACGACTTAAGTGCAGTTGAGTTTTCCAAATAAACATTAAACTGATGCAACGTGATTTATCCCCCATTTATTTAGTATAGGGGATATATTTTATTATTGTACTTAAATTTAAAGTGTTTTGGGGATTATCACAGAATAAGTATAATTGTAAAAGCGTTCATATATTTCGAAATTGTCTTAGTTGATGCACAAATTCAAAGTCATAAATGATTGACCAATTAAACATGTAGTCAATAAGTTGCTGAAGCTTTCGATTACCTTAATCCTATGCAAAAATTCTAAGTATTGCCACTATGCCTCTATTCACATTCCATTCGTGTACTAGTTATTTATGTGTCACCAAATGGCCATGAAGAAGGAGGCCCAAGAGAAAGAAGAGAAAGCGGAGCAACTGCGTAGGGCACAAGCCGCTGTAAGTAAGCCCATCCAGGCGTGTCCTTTGGGCATAATATACACTATTGTAGTATATATACAATTCGATGTCTCTGGCATGCACTGTGGCGGCTGCAAAAAATACAAAAAAAAAACAAAAAGAAAATCGTAAAGAAATCGATAAAAAGATTTTTTAAACCTCTGCTCTCCTAACTCAACTAAGGCTTTCGTAATCGACTAACTTGGCTAATTGTAGTTGTAGTTCTATTAGCTATTATATGCACTACTAATTCTCCCACATTTTTTGCTATTGATTTCTGCTATTTTACAGGCTGGGATTCCGATTATCTGGATTTTGGGAGGACCTGGTTGTGGCAAGGGCACACAATGCGCCAAGATTGTTGAGAAATACGGCTTTACGCATCTCAGCAGCGGCGATTTGTTGCGCGATGAAGTGAGTAGCAATAATAATTTTAAAAAATAATAAGAAATATGTCTAAATCTTGTGTTATCTTTTCTAACTTGTATGTAGGTTGCCTCCGGCTCGGATAAGGGTCGCCAGCTGCAGGAGATCATGACTAGCGGTGCTCTAGTGCCCAATGCGGAAGTGCTCTCGCTGCTGAATGCGGCCATTGGTCGGGCTCAGGGCAGCTCCAATGGTTTCCTCATCGATGGTTATCCGCGCGAGAAGAACCAGGGCATTGCCTTCGAGGATCAGATTGCGCCAGCCGATTTGGTCATCTATTTTGAGTGCGCCGAGGATACGATGGTGAAGCGGATCATGGCGCGTGCTGCCGCCGCTGCAGTGAAACGGGCCGATGACAACGAGGCGACAATTCGATCCCGTTTGAACACATTCAAGCAAAATACCAGCGCCATTCTGGAGCTATACTCTGATAAAACACTAACGGTATACATATATACACCCAATCATCATATATATTATATAACATTGATAACTGTCTGGTTATTTGTGTATTACAGATCAATGCCGAGCGTGATGTCGATATTATCTTTATGGAGGTAATTACTGCCATCGATTGCCTCATGGCAAAAAAGGGAAGATCTGCCAAAGCGTGTTAAGAAAACGTAACCAAAATTCAATTTGATATTGAGCACTCTTTTAAGCAACCAACTGCACAAACATTTTACACAAATGAAAGCTTAACACCAAATATTTTAGTATAAATTAGTCGAATATCGATTGTTATCTAATGATTATAATATTTCACGAGCTTTTGCTTCAATTTTATCTGAAGACATGTGAGCACGATTCACTCAAGTGCTTTAACTAAATATAAATTTACACACAAACAAGCAACAAACACCTTACACAAATTCTAAGTTATTTACATATGCGACAATAAAGCTAATTCTGAAAACAAATACAATATTTAAAGGTTTACTAACTATTTTAATTACTCTCCAGCTGTGTTCTCTAAATAGTTTTATTTACATTGTTGTTTTAATTGAACTTGTGGGTATGAATCATTTAAAAAATTCAAATCTTAACAATCACGATTTGTTATTTAGTTAACTAATTTGTTAATTAAATGTAAGTTTTCATAGAAAAACTCAAGGTCATTCGAAATAGAAAAGAACACATTCAATTACCTTGACTTTAGTAGACGCCACGTGCTTTTTAGGAAACGTTCAACTGTAAAGTCAAATTTGTGAAAAATAACCAGTTTATTGAAATCTCGTATTTAGTAGGGGGCTTGTTTTAGTATGTTATATTTATTTAGTTGCTGGTTTTAAGATTTTCAGTGCTATTGCGATGAAAATCGTTTCAATTTTGACAAATCTATGGAAAATGTAGACTCATCTCGTGACATGACAAAATCTTAACTATCAACAGATGATTCATAAGAATAATCCATATAGTTATCTTACTTTCTTTGGATAGTGGCCAGTTTCGACTCGACAAATTGCTGCTATATATTTTTTGCAATTTCATGTTGAAATAAGTCCCGATGCAATGCTTTACTTTTAGACTAACAATTGAACTGACATAATTTATGAAAGAACCAGAATAAACAAATAACAAACAAGTAAAATTGAAAGTCATATTTTTGCCAGCCTCCAGTTAATTTTGTTGTTGTTTTAAAGAAGAGAATGGAATCATTTGGAATCTTTTATCACGGAACTGCGTCATCTAATGAAGTGGCCAAAACTGGAGTGCGTTTTCAAGTTCTCGCTGAAGATCTCAAGTGTAAAGTCAATATTTCAGCATTATGTAAAATACTGTCCATCCCCCATTCCTCTTCTGCTTCCCCTTCTCCTTCCCGTTCCCATAAAAAACTATCGAACATTATGTAAAGCGAAGAAGCAAAACGTGAAACTGGTGAAAATTAACGTAAAAGTTTTTTTTTTTATCTAAGATCTCGGTGATCTCGCGGGAATTCCGATAGCTAAAAATCAGCATGACTAAAATAAAAACAGCTGCAAAAAACAAGCAGAAAAAAGAAGTTCAGGCTGGTTTTTTTTTTGTTTTGTTTTTGTTTTGTTAAAAATCTTTTCAACTCTTTTTTGTTTTTTATTTGTTTGCAAATGTTGTTTGCTTTCTTTTTGTTTTGAACACCCCACAATATGTGGAGGTCGAACATTGTTTTTTTTCTTCCACTTACAATTAGAATAAATAATAGATATATTTAAATAGTTACAAACTAGCAACAAATTCATGAATAATTTTGGGAAATTAGCTAATGGAGAGGAGTATCTACAAATATCACAATTATAAATTATAAAGCTAGACGATATTGTTTCAGTCAAAGTTAAGATCACTAAACACTTAGCTTAAATGAGATTATCATCGCGATAAATGTGATGCTGACGATGTTGTGGATGATGTTGTTGTTGTTGTTGTTGTTGATGATGATGTGGCTGGCTGCCAATCTTGCTCTCGATCCAGTCCAGATAGTATGTAACACGAGTGAATCCACCAGGAATGTTGGTGCGCTCACAGCCACCGCCAGACTCGCCATTGGCGGGTCCAAAGCTCGTGATGCCCACAAGGAGCTGGGTGCCCTTAAGAACAAGTGGACCACCCGAGTCACCAGTGCAGACCGTCTCATCCTTGAGACCCTTGGCGCACATGACACCGTCTGTGACCACATCGTACTCCTCGTTGCATTCGGCATTTGAGATCACCTTCAGCTCGGTATACTGCATCGCATCCGAATTGGTCATCTCGACAATGGCGCCCCAACCACTGGCCACCACACTCTTGCCCGTAAACTGATCCATACTATGGCGGATTGGCAACGCCGCCGGACGAATTCTCGACGTGAATTCAATATCCGCGGGCAGCTTGACCAGCGCAATATCATTCGCTGCCGTTTCCGGATGAAAACGTTCATGCACAATAAACTTATTGGAGCGCAATGCCAAGCCACCCAATTGCTCGGTGGCCGCAACACTCCGTGTGCCCAGATAGACATCGAAATGGGTGACGCCCATGGTGCAGTGGCCGGCGGTGAGGATCCAACGCCGGTCCAGCAATGTGCCGCCACAGAGGATGCGCTTGCGCCACAACTGCTTACCGATGAGCATCACCTGGTAGGGGAAATTCTCGATATTGCCAAACTTGGCCTGACCAATGGCATAGCCAGCACTCGATCCGATCCGGCACAGCACGATGAGTAGAATGGAGCCCACAACACTGGCACTCAATGTTTGTTTGCTTATATGCATTTTGTTGTTGTTGTTGCTGTTGTTGTTGTCACTTGTTGTTGTTGTTGCTGTTGTTGTCACTTGCACTTGTTTCAAGTATCATTCACAATTCTCTTCTTGAAAAATATAGACAAAATATGCTCTGCGTATTGTATTTTTGCTTCTGCACGCCTCAAATGTTCGCTTCAGTTTAAATTCATTCTGACGATGTCGTGATATTTTATACGTCGTCGGAACAACAAGAGATGTTTTTTTTTTATATATATATTTTGCCGGTTATCTGTCTGAGTTGAGCTGGCTGAGCTGAGCTTAGCTGAGAGATCGCAGCCAGTCGCCAGACTTGGACTCGGTCGCAGTCTCAGGCTCAAAAGCTCTGCGTCATCGTGCTTGTTGTTGGATGCGAGCGGATGACGATGTCGTCTTTAGCGGTAGCCTGTTATTATGACAGCAAACAAGTCGTAAAAATTCTCGTTTTAAAGTCGATTTCATCGTATCAAACAAACAACAACTCCCAACCTCTGGGTCTCTTGGCTGGGTTCAAGTGCTTTCCTGCTTCTGTGTAATTGGGAATGTGTGTAATTTATTCTTTTTTTCAACTTTGTTATGCATATTTGCGATGTCACATAAGGGCCATAAAAATGAGCAAAATTCCATGGAAACATATAAACTCTTTTTTTTTTGTATATTGATAATAAGATCGCGGAGAGTTAGGAATACACAAAAGAGAACTGGTCTTACCGGTGCCATGTAGCCGGAGAATTTTTAGGTTTGGCTTAGTCACAAATATGTTTTTAATTATGCATATCGTTTAAAGAACTTAGAATTTGACAGTTTATTTGTTTTCTATATATATTTTTCTATATTTATGAAATTTTTTTTTGGAAAGTTGCTTTTTTTTGCGCATTTTTCTTTTTGCAAAAAAAAAAAAAACAACGGGGAATCCGATTAATATATTTAATAAATTTATTAAATTTGTGGCGCCATCATATTTAGCGTTTTTAAATTATTAATTTACGCCTTTACTCAAAGTTGTTAATTTTTGGGGCACAACTTTCTTGTGAATTTATCTAGTATCGAAAGATGAATCAATATTTTTGTTTGCGTTTTTGTTGTAAATATAAGCAAATAACTATGCAAATTAAGTTATAGTTTTTAAGAAGTTGAGTCAAGAAATGTTTTTGTTTGTATTTTCGGCAAGTTTACTAGTTTTTCGCTTAGCTACGCATTAAGAGAAAACAAAAACAAACGCAAAATCAAAACATCCAAAATCAAATCGAAATGGGAGTTAAATGATATGGCGCCAAGTTGGAATGTTGTTAATGAGAGGTGCGTCGACGTCTGTCGCATTAATTAAATGTACTAAATATACAAATACAAAAAATACAAAAAATAACCGCAATAAAAAAAAGTGTAGAAAAACCTAAAATGTATTTTTTTTTTTTGGTAAATGTTAAATGTTGCTTTAGTCATTTTTAAAAATGTATATACTCTATAAATCTCTTAGCATCAATTCACACATATGGCTAAATTAAACAGTTAACAGCTGCCCCTCGAATAAAATGCCACAAACTCAATGGGGCATTAAGTGTGAAAATTGAACATTTTTTACACCAGCCTAGTAATCATTTCATTTATTTGGGAATTATTCATTCGCAAGATTAGAACAGGAAATATGCAAAACTTCTCATAGTTTATATGCAGAGAATAGAGAATTCGGAATTTCATTTCCCGTTCTCTAGTAAATGGAGAATGGAGAACGGCAAAGACATTCACCAATTTGGTTTCGGCACATCATAAAAAATACTTCAGTATATAGCTCTTTATTTGCGCACATTATTCACTTTGGCGATCCAACTGGTTGATCGAGATGCAATAAAAATTTCCATTTAAAGCGATTTAAATCAAATTTGTTATTTAACTGCTTTTATTAATGGCCTAGTTGACTTAAGGGTAATTGTTCGCAAAAATTCCTCTGCCAGAAGCTAATGAGATTTATTTGAAATTTGATTTAAATATTATGTAAAAATATGCAAATATCTTATCAGGGAAACACCCGCTCGAAATTTTGCGTTCGTTTTTGTTTTTGTTATTTGTTTCTTTGTTTTTGTTTATTTTTTGTTATTGTCAAAAACAACAGAGCTAATCAGTTTGAGACTGGCGCCAAAATGTTGTTTACCTTGTAAGAGAAAGTGCTTGGCCTTGACGAGCGATTATTTTGGAAATTACGAGGGTATAAAATAGATCAACTATATAATTGGACATTATATAGAACCACCTACTGACATTGGAGGTGCATTAACCCCTCGCCTCGAAGACTGCATTTAATTGGCTTTGATGAGACCCGCCCACAAAATATGACCATAACTAATCGGACGTTGACGTCAGCCACAAATGCGATTTATTTGATTTGCGCTAAGCAAATCCATTAAAAACATTCGAATTCAAATGGAAACGTTAAGCGGCTGAGTGACGCGTAGAACCAGTAGTCAAAATACAGTGACAGCAATTTGGGTCTGCTCTGCTACCTCACCTTTCATTCCCCTTACCAAATATCCCAAAGAGAGTGGCTTAAATGTTTAAATACGTTGTTGGCAAACCAAATCCGGTTGGATTGGTTTCATTTTATGCTCGAGAGCTCTCAACCTACAGCAAATTCTAATTTTGTTTAAAGTTAAAAAGCAAAAAAGAAAGAAGAAAGAGCCGCGAAGAAGTTGGGGAAGAAATCTGAAACGCTTGGGAATTCCCAAGAAACTAAAATACTGGGCCAATCGTCAGTAATAAACTCCCATGACAAACCGCTTTTGTTTGAGTGTAGCAAAAAAAAATAAAATTATTTAAGTTACGGTCATCAAATTCAGACGCGTTTATCATTAGTCAAAAATGATGTTCGTTACCCCGAGGCCCCGAGGCCAAAGAAATTGACTGGCGCCAGACGGCTGCAGTTATTGTCTTTTGACTGGTATTTCCAAGAAAAAAAAACAAACACAAAAATTAAAAAATAAACATTGCTTATCAAGATATTAATTTTCGTTAGAGGAAAGTCGTTAACACAAATCATTCAAATAAATTAGCGTTCAGTCAATTTTATATTCGTATTATACGTCAAGTTCTCAACTTGTCACAGCGACTGTATTCAGACCCTTATCAAAATCAAAAACTTGATATCCGTTTGGCAATGGGCAAAGTTGGAAAACCGCATTTAGTTTTAAATTTTTGCGCTAGTAAACAAAAATTCTAACGCTTACGGCTCTTGTGGAATTTTTGTGTAAGCTTTTGTTGTTGTTAATTTTTTTTGGAGTCAATGGCAATTTGGCGCCGCCTAAAAGCGATCGATAAATAATAAATGGTGTTGTTGAAAATTTGCATTTAAATTAGAACAGACACAATAAACGACAAAGCTGCCAATTCGAAAACAAAAACAAACAATCAATTTAAATGCGCGATCAATAATTGTACACAGATATGGTAAATTGTGTTTATAAAAGAAAATGTTAGCGTTGGGTGGGATTTAATTCATTAGCGTTAATGTCTTGTTTGTGATGCAAAGCATACAATTAGTTGAACAACTTCATCGAGTTGAGTTTGTCAGTGTATTGAGCAGCTCACCTTTGCACGTTTCGCATGTCACTGAACTTTGGCCATAACAGAAACGCATTTTTCGAAACTTGATTTGCAAATTTATGGCTCAAATTCCTAACAGTACTGTAAGTGCATTTATTGTCAACATTATATTTTATGGGTAATTCCGGAATTTTTTATTGCCCATCAGGGGCGCTGACTTGTAAGCAATATATTTAAATCAGTAATAAAATTGAATTTCGAATTATTTCATTTTAAGTGTAGTTCCCAACATAACGAAGGTGAAAAGAAGTTGCCACACTGCTGAAAGTATCGACTTATCGATAATCTAAAAACTATGTTATCGAACAGCTGTTGTTTAGTGCGCGCTGCTAATAACATCGTCGAAAATGTTAACGTTTTCCGCGTAAACAACGCGTGTTATTTGTTTGCATTGGGGGAAATTTATAAATAAAAAATGAAAGAAAGGGATCTGAAACGTGCTTATAACAATGTACTGGCTCAAGCCATATCTACATCACAGAAGTACCTCTTCGCGGGCAATCTGTTTGGCGATATTTTCGTACTCAGGTAAAAGTATTTTTTGTTGACCGGTTTTTGATTTGCTTTAGAAGAACAACGAATCCATTTTAGTCTAAAGGAACTGGACAAATGCACAGAGGAGCCGCCGAGCAAACTGCAGGTGTTCAAACAGGGCTCCGATGTGGACATCAATTGTCTGGCATTCCATCGCGACTTTCTAATCGTTGGCGCCATTGGCATCATCTATGGCCTGCCCTGGAACGAGGAGGAGCAAACTTTGAGCCCAAAGCGAGCGTGGGAAATCAAAATTCCCATGCCAGTGGATGCAGTTGAGGTACCCGATGTCAACTCTCTTTGGGTATGCAGCGAAACGGACACTCTGTATGCTGGCTGTGGCGATGGCATCGTCTATCAAATAGACCTCGAGGATGGGCGCATCGAACGAGAGTATAGAGGCCACACGGACTACGTGCACTGCGTTGTCGGCCAGGCGGATGGACGCCTCTACTCGAGTGGTGAGGATGGCACTGTGCACTTCTGGAGCGACAAACAAAAAGAACCCCTTTCGATCTTGGAGCCGCACAAGAATCGCCAACTGCTGCGGCCGGATTGGGGCAAATGGATTGGTGCCGTCTCTGTCAACGATGATTGGCTAATATGCGGCGGTGGTCCACGTCCAGCGATTTGGCATCTGCGCACAATGGAATACACACGTGCCTTTGATTTTCCCGGTCCCGTGCATGTGTGCGACTTTGTCGATGATTCGGTGCTCATTGGCGGCGAACACAATCATGTGCAGTTCTATACGCTCAATGGTAGTTTGCAGGCGAACATTCCCGTCGAGAACACGTCCAGCTATTCGTCCGTGTGGCAAACTAATCCCTTCAACTTCATGTCGATTGCTGGCTTCAGCAACAAGTTGCACATTCTGAAAGACTTTCGTTTTCTCGACAGTAAAATCGAATTGTACGGCAATGTGCAGGACGAAGATGATGTGGACAACGATGGCGGGAAACAGGAGCAAGAGGATGAGGATCTTTCATTTTAGCTCTAGATTTGTAGCTTACTTTTATAAAGTGTGCTCTTTTTAAATAATAATAGACTTTTCATTTTTTTTTTGGTTAAATGCCACATTCAAATTGTTTTCTTTTCTTTCTTTTTTTGTTGAATATAGCGAGAACTTTATTTGAATTATTTTGAACCTAATTACTAAGGGAATTAAAACTTAAGCCAAATTTTAACTACAAACCTAAGGAAATTAATTTGTACCTGAAACATTTGTCCAAGTCCGTCGCATGGATCACGATCACTTCTCGCCCAGTGGTATAAATGCAGGCAGCGCACCCAGTTTGGGTCGCTGGCGCAGATTGCTGCTGCTGCTGCTATTGCTTTTGCTGCCACCAGTTGCATCATCTTCCTCTTCATCCAGTAGTTCTTCAACGTCCTGGGCATGCTCAAGCTCCACCGGTAGACACTTGTCCCCTTCGCACTTGAAATAGCGTGAACTGCTGGGCATCTCCTCAACTGGACTTTGCACCTTGTGGGGGATGGAGGCATTGGTTTTGGGTTTGGGTTTCCGTTTGACTGCCAGCTTCTTCATTTGTTTGCAGTAGGGACAGTTGGTCAGGTCACATTTGCCGCTGCGCGCAAATTGTGGACACAGAAACTCATGGCGCATATTGCACTTGAAATGCGAAAGGAGTTAATAAGAATCATTGCCAATTATCGACACACAACTTACATCAGCGGCACGTGCACAATAGCCGCGTAGAAAATCAATGCATATCTCCGCCTTGCGACTCAGTTTCTTGTGGAGATAGGGGCAATCCTCGCGCACACAAACACCACGCAAATAGTAACGACACACGGGCATCTTCTCCAGCGTCACATTGTGCGACAGCAGACAATCCGCCTTGGTGCACTCACCACGCAAAAAACTGAAAACAAATGAAACATTAAACTCTAGCTGAAACAGAGCAGCTACACAAACCTTGGGCAGATGGCCACTTGGCGTTTGTCGTGCAACCGCCGACACTTGCCGCGACTGTATGCCGCACACTTGCCCAGCCGCTGGAATATGGCGCACGGCACATTTGTCTTTACCAGCGAACGATTCAGCAGCTGCATGCTACGCTGCTTGGCCGTGATCAGATGTGCTCGCGACACATGATTCGTGGTGCGTATAAAAACATGCTGTGCTTTCGCCGAGGACACGTAAGTCAGGCCACCAATGTCGATGCGACGACGCAGACTCATCTGTGGATTCTGCGCTGGGATGCGTGTCAAGCGACAGCCCGTCGGATCCAACACGAACTTGGTGCCGCGCACGAACAGTGTGCGACCTGTGGAACTTGCTGCCTGGGGTTGTAAAGTTGATTTGGCTGCACGACTTGCGTCCAGTTTGGTTAGCTTATTTTTGGCCGTCTTCTTGTACATAACACCATGTATGCTGACCATGCTCAAGCATTTGTTAACACTCGGCTTCAACATCTGCGATCTTAAGCTGCAAGTTTAAAGATAGGCTTAGTGGATTGGGATTTGGCAAGTGATTGCAACAAGGCTTACCCCGATTTCTTGCCAGTGATGGGCTCATTGGTGCGTCTCAATGCATAGCGTGCAACAAAGTCGCGCGTTCGTCGTTTCTTCACCAGCGGTGCGCTGCTGTTGGTGTTTAGTGAGATGGCACGCACCAGTTTGTATTTGGTGCGTTTTGCAGGAGAGGCTACTGTAGTTGTTGTTGCTGTTGTTGGCTTTACTTGGCTGGCAGCTTGTCGCACGAGCTTGCGCTTGGATATACTAACGAGGGGAGGCTGGACACATATCGTGTGCGTCGGCGTCGCTTTCGTTTTGATGGGCTGCTTGCGCACCAGGCAAGTGCTGGCTTTGCTGATGATTTTGGCTGCTGGTGGCGGTGGCGTCGTCGCTTCCGTTTGCTGATAATACGCAACATGTTGTTGCTGCTGCTGTTGTTGTTGTTTTTGCTGTAGCCGTTGCAGCTGATAGTCGAGTTCTTGTTGTTGCAGCTGCAATTCGTGCTGGCGTTGCAGAAAATGCGGATTTATGTGTATAGCTGGACGATCCCACGAGTGGATTTGGGCATTTGTATTTTGTTGTCGACCTTGGAGCTGCAACGCACTCGCCATTTGGCCATGAAAATTTGGATTTATGTAAACCTTACGCCCCACCTGCGGAATGTTCTCGTCAGCACTTAGTTGCGGCAGCATTTTCCTATTTCGTTTATCACAATTTTAATAGCACTTTTTGAGTTTAATTTAAACAACGCTTTTCTTTTTTTTTTGTGTACGTAATTCTTTTTTTTATTTTATAACTAAGTTTTGCAACAAAGCCATCGCTATTCTATTCTATCGATGTATCGCAACGCGTGCAAGTGAATGGCAAAAGATTAAAACGTGGATTAAACGAATTATCGATAGTGCTGAAGAACAAGAAAAACAAAAATACGTACGGAAAATTCGTAGAATAAATATGGGTAAGGACCGCGGAGGACGAGGACGTCGGAATTTCCAATCCAAACCATACAACAAGCACAACTGGCGTGGCCAGAAGAAGGAGCAGCAAAGGCGTAACAATGGGGACGGCCCCAAACAACCACGCAACAGGTGCATTTTAAGAGCTGAAATTCATGTTTTTTTATTCTGATAACCGGCTTTGATTGTAGAGGACCACAACAGAAGTGCACACTTCTTGAGAATCAAGTGGGAATCACGGAATTTACAAACGCTGACATAGCCGGCTTTACGGGCATTATAAAATCCCGTTTCTCCGATTTCCATGTGAACGAAATCGACACCGAGGGGCACGTGTTGCAGTTGAACGACACCAAAGTGCCAAAAGTGGAAATTGAACGTTTGTTTCAGCTACTAACTGAAAAAGTACTTCATAATCTAACTCTGTATTATTCGCAGCTGTGGATCAGTCTCAACTGGACGAATGGCGTGAGAAACTAGCGACGGTAATCGATGAAAATGTGTGGCAACAAATCGCCGATCTATCCACAGCCAAATATGATCCCAAAAGTGATCAAAATGTGGATGTCAACGTAACCAGTCTAAATAAGGAGCAGCGCACGCAAGTACATCATCTAATCAAGCAGCTGTACAAGGGCAAATTGGTGTCCAAAACGCTTGATCAAGCCGAGCAGCAGGTACCCGATTGTACTGGCGAGGAGAAGAAAATTATACGCATCCTGAAGCCGAAGCCGGGTCGCTGTAAGGAGTTTTAATAATATAAAGCATGTCTACAAGGCTATTTCTAATCCCCAACAAATTCCTTCCCTCGCGCAGCTGATAATCGTTGGAGTTTCCCGCATGATTATGCCACCTTTCTCGTGCATAAAGTGAATATGGATACCAGTGAAGTGGCCGCCACAATAGCCAATCGCTTAACGTAAGCATGTAGGGGAAAAATCTTATCAAAATCTAATAATAATTTCTGTTTAGATTGCGTGCATCTCAGGTGAACTACTGCGGTACCAAGGATAAACGGGCCAAGACCACGCAGCGCTTCAGCATCAAGCGTCGTACACCCGAGGCAATTGCAAATGCTGTGCGTGGCATGAACAACGTTTACATTGGCAACTTTAGCTTCTCGCCCAACACACTCAAACTGGGCGATCTGCGCGGGAATCGTTTTCGCATTGCATTGCGTCATATTACAGAGCAGCGCGAACACATTGAGTTGGCATTGCAGTCGCTGAAGGAGCGCGGCTTTATCAACTATTATGGCTTGCAGCGTTTTGGGAACAGTGCCAGTGTGCCGACCTATGAAGTGGGCGTGGCACTTCTCAAACGTGACTACAAACTGGCCTGTGAGCTGATCTTGAAGCCACGTGACAATGATGTTGAATTTATGCGCGCCATTCGTGAAGAGTGGTGGAAGAATCGGGATTCGGCTGCCGCTGCTGCCAAGTTCTACGGCAATAAGTTCATTGAGAAGAAACTGCTGGATGGGCTGGCCACCTATGGCGAGAAGGATTATGCAGCTGCTCTGCGTCGCATACCAAGGAATATGCTGCTCCTCTATCCGCATGCATATCAGAGTCTGATCTTTAATCGAATTGCATCGAGACGCATCAAAGAGTTTGGCCTGAAATTGATACCAGGTGACTTGGTCTATGTCGAGGATGACATCTCAGATGACCCCATGCCTGTTGAAGAAATCGCTGAGGAGGAGTTGGATGTCGATGACGATGAGCATGTGCTGGAAGAAGAATCAATATTTAAACGCAAAGTGAGGCCATTAACTGCTGAGGATATTGAGAGCAATAAATACAAGCTGTCGGATGTAGTGATGCCCCTGCCGGGCTACGATATAACATATCCAAGCAACGAGTGCGCTGCCTGGTATGAGGAAATGCTTGCCGAGGTGGGCTTAACCTCGGAGCTGCTGCGGCACAAGGAGAAAACCTATGCTTTGGGTGGTGCCTATCGTAAATTGCTCATTGAAACTAGCGATTTGACATGGAGTTTTCGTCGCTATCGAACACCTGAAGACACTCTGATTGCCTCCGATTGGGAGCAGTTGAAAAACATTGAAATCACCCCAGAGCCAGCTGAGTCTGAATCAGGCGATTATACGGCATTACTTTTAGAGTTTACGTTGCCTACAGCCGTTTATGCGACAATGTTTCTGCGGGAGTTGTTCAAACAGGATACGTCGACAGCCACGCAAATGCAGCTGGAAAAGGAGGAAATTATTAAGAAATTGCAACAGGAAAGTCGAGTAACTGCAGAAGAGCAAGTTGCACAAGAAAGTGCAACAATTGCTGACGAGCAAATTGAAAAGAAATTGCCACAAGAAAGTCAAACAATTGCTGACGAGGCGGAGGCGCAGTCGCAGCCAATTTGAAAGTAACTGCCACCAATAAAAAATCGATAAGAGAAAATCAATTTACGCGCGTTCCCCTTGTGAATGCATGTCTGTGTGTGTGTGTGAGTGACTGTAGCTTCAAATCAACCACAACAATAACAATGCGCACGTGAGTGCACGCGTGCCCTCTCTCTCTCTCACGGCGCTCTCTGGCCCTTTGTGTGTGGCGCTCTTTTGGTAGCCAGGACCAGGTTTGAAGTCCTATTCCGTGGCCATTAGTTCGCTGACAAGCGAGAGCTTTGGACGCGCTGCGCAGTTAGCAGTTATCGTTGTGCGTGCGTGTGTCCGTCTGTGTCTGTGTGCGTGTGCCTACATACAAAAGTTGTAAATGCAGGAATAACAATAACAAATACAACGCGAAGATAACAGAAAAGCATCTTGCCAAAATTCGGATTCAACCGTTACAAAAAATCGAACGGACCAAAAAGGAAACCAAAGGTGAATCATATATCTCTATATATATACATATATATATTTAATACACACCCACACATACAAATGCATTTGAGATTTAGGCGCGTATTTTTTTGAAAATCTTTATTAGTAATAAACAAAAAAAGGAAGACGAAAGTTAACAAAGTCATCGTGATTAATTTGTACTGCTAATGAAGCGTTTAACATTTTGAACAGTACATGGTATATTAATTTGCATTGCCTTTGCATGCTTATCGATTTTTGTGCGTGCTTTTTGCCCAAAATCAATCGATAATGTGGTGTTAATGCGCTCTACAACTACTACTACCTACCACATCAACTTTAGAAAGGTGGCGGCTTCAGGGCATGGAGTATACAGAAGCAGCAATAGTAGTAGTAATAGTAGTAGCTCATATTAACTGGCAGAGTAGTAGTGTTCAGTAGCGGGGGCTGATAACGGGTCGATAGGGGTGGGCATTGGTTTTCTGTCTATAGTGGCGACGGCACAGGGCAGGAGTCATAAAAATTAATAAACTAAATGCCTTGTTTGGCGTCTCGTCTAACCCCGAAACACCCAAATGCCACCCACCCAGTTGCCAGACATGGCTATTGGACATGTTATTGCTTGCGCGCGCACTCTTTGACCAACAACAACAAAAAACGGCAGCAACAACAAGAGGCGCCTTCAACCAACTGCGTCATAGGAGGAGTTGGTTTTTTGGCTTCCGACTTCGATTTTTGCGTCCAACCCAAAAATCCATTACACATGTTAGTATATTAAAATTAATCAGTGCGTTTCTTTTTCTGTTTGTTTGAGATCTGGCTTAAATAAATATGTCATCAATTTGCTCCTCGTTAAGCGCACGCAAATTGCATTTGCACAAATAGGCAAGGATTTTCTTCTCTGCCTTGGAGCGATTAACGCCCAAGCCTTGCAACAATGCCTCAATTCGCTTCATGGGATCATCGCCAGTTGAACTTGCTGTGGTTGTTGTTGTTGTTGTAGGTGGAATAACAATTGTTGCTGTCACATGCTGTTCATCCATTGCCTCCTGCAGTATGTCGTCCTCCACGTTGTGTTCAATTAGCTGGCCAGGACTGAGGGCGCACCAATCAACGGGATTCACTGCCTGCGTCTGTTGTTGGTGCTCCTTGTGATGATTGGTGCTGCTGCTTCCGTGTTTATGTTGCCGAATAAAGCGCAGTTTTGGCAATAGACTCCAGTCGGAGTTCGGCTTGAGCTGTTCCTTGCGCATTTTTTCTCTAATATAATTCCAGCGTGTTATGCATGCACTGACTGCAAACAGTTGTTAATAGATAAAAAGAATGCTTTCCTTTATAGTCTCCACTTTACCGTCCGTTTTTAGGGATGTTGCAATGCTGCACCAGAGTTCCGTTTTCCGCTTCCTGCGCGTGTAGTAGGGTGCTTGACGCAGATCCTCTTCGTATAAGCCGGGATTGGCACGCACCATCTCAATGAGGCGGATATCAAATTCTGGACTTGTGGACATTATTAAAATAAAAATAAACAAAACACTTTTGCATGCTGTGTGCAACAACATAAAACAATATTCGATAGACCGATAGTTGAGCGATAGGTAGGTGTGTGCGTCCGCAGTGTTGCGCAACGTTCGTCATAGAGATATTTAAATGTTTGCGCGCCACTTATCGATTTTATAATTGATTTTGTTTTATATACACCAGCGGGCAGGAGGAATTGGTTGACGGCACTTGCAGCGTTCGAGGCGTTGAACTAACGCTAAGCGGCCGCAAAAATGGCTGCCGAAAACTATCACCTAAAGTGGGATTCGCATGTGTCCTATTTGAACACTTCGATTGCCACGCTCTACAAGTAAGTAAACAACAACAGTAGACATTTGTAGCGAATCCATAACTTCATTCACTCCCACGCTCTTTCTCTCTCTATCTCTCGAAGGAATGAGAAATTTGCCGACGTTATGCTGTACAGTTCGTATAGCAATAATGGCATTAATTCGGATATACCCACTGTGGGCATATCGGCGCACAAATTCATATTGAGCTCCTGCAGCCAGTTCTTTGCCACCATGTTCGAGACGGCGCCAATAACGGCGCCCAATGGTGTCCTCTACATTGTGCTTCCGCCAGATCTGAGTCATCGTGCCATACAAATACTCGTCCAGTATATGTACAGCGGCGAGGCGACCGTCTCCAATGACATACTCAACGAGGTGTTGCGTGGCGGCGAGATACTAAAGATACGCGGTCTTTGTCGCACCAGCACTTCCAGTGGTGGCGCCACAAGCACCTCCCATGGCCATCACCTGCAGCAGCATCATCAGCGTGAGCCGAGTGCGCTGTATGTCTCGAATGGCACGCGATCATCGTTGGCGCCACCGCCACCGATGTCCACACAACTTCCCGCTGATCTGTACAGTAATAAGCCTGGGAGCAGCAGCAACAGTAGCGGATCAGCTCGCTATACTCTAGATCATCTACATACGCTTCCGCATTCGCATTCCCATCAACAACAGCAGCAACAGCAACAGCAACAGCAGCAGCAGCAACAACATCTTCATCATCATCAGCAGCAGCAGTTTCGCGGCTTGGGCGCTTCCGTAATGCCAAAAGATAGTCCGGTGATTGTCAAATCACCCAAGATAGCCAGCCATACGGGACTGCTTAGTGTGGCGAGCAGCAGTAAGATGCATGGCATTTCCGTTAACAAGGAGGTGGCCATCGATCCGGAGGATAAGTGCTGCTATGCGGCAGCCACACAAGTCGAGAGTCTACCACAATCAACGGCAGCGAGCACAGTGACTGCATCACAATCCCAACCACAATCACAACCCCAACCACCACCACCACAAGCACCACCTACGATGTCCATCTGCACAGAAGTTGGCTGCAACAGTTGCCCTCTGGCTGCGCCCTCCAACGAGTCTGCGGATTCGACGTTGCGCCGCTCGGAATACGATCGGGATCGAGAGGATCCACTTTGTGAGCGGGATCGCGAGGATGTGGGCCTGGTCTATGAACGAAGACTGCGTCGCGAGCGTTCCTGTGAGCGAGGTAAACTGATTGATTATAATAGACAACTATCATCTCTAATTCGTTGATCTTTTCAGCCCCTGCTCACGAATACTTTGATGGGTCGCACTATGAGCATGTGGTCAAGTCGTATGAGGTATCAGTGGCGCCTCGTTTGGTCACACCGCCGCCGCATCCGCACAGTTTTTTGACCATCAAACAGGAGCCGACAGATTGGTCGAACAATCCCACATCATCGATGTCCAACGACAACCATCACGATCACAGTCAGGAGGCGCCGTTGTCGCCCAAACAGCCGCTGGACTTTAAGATGAACACCGTTAAGCTGGAGGCGAGTGCCACACCCCCGGATGAGTCCGAGGAGCACACGTTGCGCGACTACAACAATTTCAAACTGCTCGTCTGCGAGATATGCCAGAAATCGTTTGAGGACACCAAAATGCTGGTCCGCCACCTGGGCACCCATGCCGCCGAGCCAGCCAGTGGCAGCAGTGGCACTGGCAGCAGCAGCACCAGCAACAGCATCAATGCCACAACGAGCAGCAATCTGGCATTGAGAGCGCTGAAGACCTATGTGCCAAAGAAGCGACGCAGAGTGTCGGTGAGTGCCGTTGGAGCAGCCGCTGTATTGGCCAAGACCCTAACTCATCCAACCATCCATCCTCATTCGCATTCACAGCAACAGGAGAACAATATGGATCATGTGACGCTACTCTGTGATCTCTGCTCCACGTAAGTTCAACTGCTTCAACCTACCACCAATAGTTGGACAAATATTTAAGGTGAGGTATTTTGTTGCAGCTCCTTTGAGACGCCCGCGGAGTGGGTGCGTCACATGAACAGTCAGCATACGGAAATCGAACTGGCCATGTTCAATAGCAAAAAGGATGGCGAACAGAAGGGGTGTGTGTCCTAAACTCGCTGCCCAAACCTAATCGAGCATATGCTGAACCTCTGTTCACTTGTTCACAGCAACAACAACAACAATAGCTCTTCAACGGCATCCGTCAGCCAAATGCAAGACACTGCCAGCCACAGAAGGTACATGAATTCCAGCCGGCAGGGGGGACAGAGTCTACTCAGCAGTCGGAGCAGCTCCAGTAACGGGAATGGTGCAGCAGCATCGCCGGGCCTGGCGGTGGTCGCCAGCTCATCGCAGGCATGAACCCACATTCGACTAGCAACAAGCAACTCAAATTAGAACACCATTGACAACAACAACAAGACCACCATTAGTCAGGCCACGAGTGAGAGAAGCAATAAGATGAACATTTTTTCAAAAGAAATCAAGTCGTTCCAGTAATCAAAAAAAAAAAAAAAAAAAGATAAGAAATATTTATACGAAACAGCAAGAACCGTGATCAAAATGCAGCAAATACAAGCATATTTTATAAAGCAACAAACTAAAACTAAAAAAGGAAAAACATTTAAAAAAAAACCAAAACAAAAACGAAACTGTAAACGAAACTTAGAATCGGAATCGTCAGGCAACGATGCAAAACAAAAAGATTAACAATTTAACTCGGTAGTATTTTTAAATCTATGTAGTTTTTAAATTTAATCCCCCCACTCGCGATCAACAAGGCGCAATTAAAAAACGATGCAAGAATTGAACAATTTACAAACTAAGCGTCTATTAAATTAAATGTAATAATCCGGCAAACATTTTGATTAGTGATAAACCGAAGATATATATATATATATATATACAACTAATTTTGATGAATATAATATAATAATCTGAATGTTCTGCGGAGGAAATTGTCAAATTTGTATGTCAAATGAATGCTTTTTTATAATATGAATTGTGGCGGCATTTTATTTATTTTGTAATTTATTAATCGATTTTTTATTTGAATAGCGTTTTTAAGATATTTTGTATTTAGCATTTGCCGCTGCATTTGTATTTATATTGTTTTTATATACATTTATATTACTTGTTTGGTTTGCAAGAGTGTTTTTACGCCTTTTTGTAAATAGGATAAGTTAATTTTTTCGATGGCCGCCGAACAAAAGCAAAAAAAAAAAAAAAAAATCAAAACAAACTAATTATCTAAATGTGTGTACTTAGTAGTTGACAAACCAATTAAATCATAAAAGTTGTAAAGAACAATTCCCCCAAAATATACAAACAAATATATATGTATTGAATATATATTTACAATTCAGCGTGACTCGTGATTCTTAATCTACCAAGTAAAAGTATGTGGATGCGTATATATATGTGTATGTGTGCACTCATAAGCAGTACACACATACACAAAAAAAAAGAGAAGCGTTTTTATCGCATAATAAACAGCATAAGAATTCGATTTTAAATAAGCTCTCCAAAGGCGTCAACACTGAAGAGTGTGCAAAAGCTTGCGCTCTTGAAGCTTTCAAGTTTACAGAGAACGAAGCCTGTTAGTTGCTGTTCGTCATTCGCGGGAGGCTGGTGATAATATTTCTTGTGTGAAACAAGTTTTGAAATTGATTTGCAAAAGGTATATTTTTGCCCGTTTTAAACTTCAAGCGTTAATTATGAGCTCTGGAAAACATTTTGGCAAAGGTACGTTATAAAATCCCTATCAAAATTATATAAAGATTATCATAAGCGATAAAACAAGTTTCCAGTTATTCAGCAATTTCATTATCACACGTAGATTGTGAAGCCCTGGTTTAAAATTGCAATCTCATGCTTATATGTATACAGGTTCTAGCAAGCCGGCGTTGCCTGATGATGGCGTGCCACGCCTTTATTCCATGCGCTTCTGTCCCTATGCGCAGCGAGCTCATTTGGCACTGCTTGCCAAGCAGGTGCCACATCACAGTGTCTACATTAATCTCACAGAGAAACCCGAATGGCTGGTGGATGTGAGTCCATTGCTGAAGGTGCCTGCGCTGCAGTTGGTCGCCGAGAAGGGTGAGCCGTCGCTCATCGAATCGCTGATCATTGTCGAGTATCTGGATGAGAAGTATCCGCAGTGTCCACTCTTGCCCAAGGATCCGCTGCAGCGTGCGCAGGATAAGATATTGGTGGAGCGTTTCAGTGCTGCCACAGCTGCTTTTTATAAGACTTTGGTATCTGATGGGGATATCAATGATTTCTGGAAAGTTGCCGATATATTTGAGTCGGAGCTGGCTAAGCGTGGTACACCATATTTTGGTGGCTCGAAGCCGGGATTTGTGGACTACATGATTTGGCCCTGGTTCGAGCGTCTGGCAGTTCTGAAGTTTGCCGTCAAGGAACGGTACAGCTTCGATGTGAAGCGCTTTGCCAAGCTGAACGCTTGGATCGAGCTCCTGCTCCAGGATAAGGTGGTGAAATCGTTCTTCGTCAAACCGGAAGATCATGTGGAATTCTTTAGCACCCGACAAGCCGGTAATGCAAACTACGATCTACTTGCCTGAGTGCCAGTTATTCGCTGGTCTTAATTAAGAAATTCTTGATTATATGTTCTATTAATTTGTGTATTTTTATGCAAAATATTAAATTGTACTCAAATTTTGATTGAATCAGTTTTGGATTTATACTAGCCGCTTTTTGGATTTGGTTTTGGGATGGAAAGATTTGTGCTGAGACTAAGAATTCCTAATGCTTTCTGTTATATTCTATAATACCCGACTAGGAACATTTATTTAGAAGTTCCCTTGAATTACATTCGGCTTTATTAGAACGCTTCATTTTCAAAGCTGATTCCAATTTGAATAAAATAAATGCGGTCTCTTAAAAAATATTTTTGATTAAGAACATCTGCAAACCAGAAATGAAGTATTTTAAAACATAAGAAATTAGCATGGAAGCAGTTTCTATAAATTAATAATTTTATGTGCCAGACATCTAATGCATATATCAATTTTGTTAGTTGTACATAGGCAGGTTGCACTGTATATATCTACGACTAGAATGTATGCCACCCGCCGCAAAGGTTATCGTTGACACATTGCCACCAAGTTCAGTCGAGTAATCTACACCGGCAAGCGAAGGGCGCTTCAGTCAGTCACTTTATATAGTGGTGAGATGGAGCTGATCTGGTCACCAGTTGATTAGCACACATCATGAGCAGCGGCAGGCACTTGGCTAAAGGTAAGCAGCCAGCAGCAGCAGTTGCCCTGATCCTCTCAAGCAATCTCTCTCTCTCTATCTTGGTAGGCTCTCCGACGCCGGATGTGCCCGAGGATGGGATACTGCGGCTGTACTCCATGCGCTTTTGCCCCTTCGCTCAGCGAGTGCATCTTGTCCTGGATGCCAAACAAATACCCTATCACAGCATTTACATAAATCTCACAGAGAAACCAGACTGGCTGCTCGACAAGAATCCGCAGGGCAAGGTGCCGGCATTGGAACTGGTACGAGAGCCAGGTCCACCGGTGCTAACCGAATCGCTGCTCATCTGTGAGTACCTGGACGAGCAGTATCCACTGCGTCCGCTCTACCCACGTGATCCGCTCAAGAAGGTGCAGGAGAAGCTGCTTATCGAAAGGTTTGGTGGTGTGCTCGGCGCGTTTTTCAAGGCATCCGATGGCGGTGAGTTGGAGCCCTTCTGGTCGGGGCTAGACACCTACGAGCAGGAGCTGAGTAGGCGTGCCACACAGTTTTTTGGCGGCGAACAGACAGGCATACTGGATTACATGATCTGGCCATGGTGTGAGCGACTGGAGCTGCTCAAGCTTCAACGGGGCGAGGATTACAATTACGATGCGGAACGTTTTCCACAACTGGTGAGTGCGCAGACATGGTATCTACAAAGTCTATATATTATGACCATATATATAGACGCAGTGGCTGGAGCGCATGAAACGTGATCCGGCCGTGATGGCATTCTACATGGAGGCTGAAGTTCAAGCGGAATTTCTGCGCACACGCAGCGCTGGCAAGCCCAACTACAATCTGCTGGTGAAGGATGCCTGATGAGGAGTAGGGGTATTCCATTTATTTTAATATATTACTACGACATAAATAAAGTGACTTATATTTAATCATTAAACATAAAAGAAAGATATTAGCTGACTTTTTGGGTTATATCTTGAAGAACAAAACTGTTTTCATTTACAAAAATCTGAGCTCTTTCTTTGGGTTTTCATTTGAGATTTATTTAAGTACAACTCTGCATAATTCCAGCAAGATTCTCAACTGCAGTAACTGGAATCTACGCCATTTACAACTCTTCAAAGGCCACGTCATAGTTGGGTGTTCCCTCCTGGCGAGTGGCTATGAATTTAGCATGCATTTCGCTGGCCAATGCCGTTTGCTTAATGGCCTCATCCTGAGCCACCAGCTCGATCCACTCCAACAATTTCGCATAGCGATCTTTGTCCAGCTCATATTTCTCGGGCAACACCAGTTTTAGAGCGGGAAAGCGCTCAAACCAGGGCCAGATCATGTAATCCACCATGCCAATTTGCTCGCCACCAAAAAAGGGTGTGCCCCGTTTTCCAATCTCCTGCTCAAAGACATCCAAGGCCTGCTCAAATTTGGATAAAGCATCCGCTGGTGGATCTTTGGTGAATAGCAATGGATAAACAGCGCTGACAGCTGGAGCTAAACGCTCAATAAGTATCTTATCCAGGGCCTTTTGTAGGGGATCTGCGGGATACAGCTGCCGACCTGGATACTGCTCATCCAGATACTCGGCGATGACGAGCGATTCCACCAGAGCCGGCTGGCCCTCGACGGTGGTCAGTTGAATGGCCGGCACCTTGCCCAGTGGACTGTAGTCGGTATACCAATCGGGTTTCTCGCTCAGATCAATGTAGATTTTGTGATGGGGTATCTGCTTGGCGGCCAGCACCAATGAGCCGCGCTCCGAGTACGGACAGAAGCGCATGAGGTAGAAGCGCAAGACACCATCCTCGGGCAATTCCGGCTTTGCCGTACCTGTTGATGACTCATGCAGTTGTTAGTGAAAATCCCTCAAACTGGTTATTTATCAAGTGTGGAATGTGTTCCCAGAGTGATAGTTGTTTAAGATGACATTTTAGCTGACTCACCTTGCTTGAAGTGCTTCAGCGGTATGCTCATTATACCAATGCTACGCTTGCAAACTCGAATGGTAGCCGTATCTGCCTCTTATAAATAACTTATTGATTGTTTGTAAACAATTAATTATCTAAAAGAAAAGCTTCTTCTTTGCACTCTCAACAAATGAAGCTTCCTCGTTGAACAGAGTTGTGTTAATGCTAATTGATCTGCAAACAGTCTGTAAAGGTTAACAGTGCGCAAATGTTATCGATTGAATTCGATATCGAAAACTTGTTAGTCGTTAATTTTAAAGCTGTTGTGTGTGAGTCCTTTTTAAATTTTGTATTACTCATGCTTGACTACGAATTATTCAAACACTCAATGAACGTTTTATATTCCGAATTCGCTTAATTCAAATAAACGGATGACATAAATGACATCAAGTGAGTCGATAATTATCGACTGGATCTGTCTTATCATGTATTCTTTTCATTCATAATAAAATCCATTACGCATTAAACATAATTTATATTTCCATTAATTTCTTTTCGTATTGTTTTATATGACAAACTTATAAATTTATTTTGAATTTTAACTAAAATTTAACTACCACAGATAGGTTGCAATTATATATTAAATGTACATACATATACACATATAATGTTTATACATACATAAAACATATATATATAGTTATTTAGATTTCATATTGTGTATATAATAAATGTTTTTGCCGTTTTACATATAGTGTTTTTTTGTTTGTATTTTTTTTATATTTTATTTTGTATACTTGTATATTATGGTCGCATATGTAAATTTATTGTAAAATTACTGTATTATGTAACGCTACACAGGATGTAGATAGACAGATTTCTATTATGCTATAACTTTGAGATTTACACGAAGAGTACACATTGGCATACAAATGTATATATGTATGTAAATATATATATATGTATATATATTTTATGTATGAGCGCATTATAATTTTAAATGAGGTTTTCTTCTCATCGGGCTCAACGCGTTGAGTCCAAAAATTGCCACTTAACTAAATACATAACTCTTGCACTAGGCTAAACAACTAGACAAAATGATAACTAATTAACAATTAAGGTAAACATTTATTGGAAATCTTGCAATGTGTGTATTTTTTCTGTATTTGTTTTGCATCGAAGTAGTTTTTTTTCTTTTCCCTTTGCGCTTAGACCGTTGTATCCGGTGGTGGTGCTATGGGCTGCTTGGACTCGGACACATCCAGACGGGTGGCAGGCGCACCCGTTGCCCCTGCCCCATCCGGCTGATCTGGGGCAATGTCAATGCGATGCGCCTTGCGCCACACGACCAGATCCATGAGAAACGCTAGAAACATTATGCCAGCCGTAATGCCTGCGAAAAGAGAGAGAGAGAGTTTCAGTTATAGACGATGTAGTTGGACATTTTAGATGGAACTACCCAAAAAGTATTGCCTGAAGGTGTCCGCATCGTAGAGCGAACAGGCGCCATGCTTGCCACACACTGACTTCCAGATGAGGCAGGCCGAGTCCACCACAGCGCCATAGATGATCGGACAAGGAACATTACCAAATAGACCAATGGCCGACTGTATAACACCCATTGCCATGGCCTTATCTATTTGAAGAGTGCATTTTAATTAGGGTATATTTAATGGGTAGATATGGGGATGTCTGGTTACCTTTAGGATGTGTGCAGCGCATGACGAGCAGCATGCTGCCCACCTCGGAGGTGGAATGCATAAATACGCAAATGGCAAAAATCAATATAAAGTAGATAAAGTTCTTGCAGTTATTATCACAGTAACCATTGACCGCTTCAGCAACTGAATTGATAAGAAAGTAAAGATATAAAACGTTGATTAAAATATATGATTTAATATACCAATAAGTGAAAGTTGGAACATCTCAAAAGAAAATTCAGAGAAATAAATAAATAGTGAGGCATAAAATAATGAAAATATAGGCAAATCTCGGAAACTATGCAGGTTGATAAGTTTATAATTTGAGAATTGATTTTAATATTCAATTAATAATTTCATATGGCCACTTATAATATTATATATATATATGAAATAGATTATGACATACCATTTGGAATGCAAGCACAGTCGGAGTAGAGTGTGCGATTGTCGCTGGGACGCAGCATGGAGCTGCTGCAGCCGGCATGGCAGGCCGAGATGTACATTTTGCCATCGGTGCCGCAGATGGGCGCGAAATTCTCCTTATCACAGGTACAGTTGAGTGCGGTGCTGCACGCTGGCTCTATCATGGCGGGACTGGAATCGAATGAGATGCATAATTAAGTGGCTCATTGGATTAATGAGACTCATTAACACAAACACACACCTGTTGGCATCGCCTGCCTTGTAGCCGGCAAAATCATTGGTGCTGCAGCCAATGAACATGAGTATAATCATGCCGGCGGAATAGACGAGCGCCGTAAATGCAATCCAGGCGGCGACTCCACGGGCCGTCGGCTTGCGCTTCAATATGAATAGACCTGAGATTACTATGCCAATGCCCATGACCAGGATGCCGCAGAAGGCGGCTATCATGTTCGCATCGTACGTGGCCAGCCGAAATTGTGTCTCCAGATACTTGGGCAGGAACGTATACAAGCCGGCAATCGGCAACAGATGAAAGACGCACGATGCCGTCCGGAACATGAGTATATCATTGCTCAGCTGGCGACGCACAGTCTTTGGGAAATCTAAAGTGTGATTTATGTTTGTAATTGTAAACTTTAAAAGTTTCTACATTTTCTGATTTTCATGTAAAAAACCGTTCCAAGACTTCGACCCCGCCCCCAAAAGCTTTCGCAAAACTGAATCGATCTTCAAGCCAATATTTTTCCTGGTATGTTTTCTCCGATAGTTAAAGTTAAGTTAGGATCTTAATTTTCATCTAAAAAACAATTCTAAAATTGATCCTTCACTATTTTGTAGTGCTGACTTACCCTTTAGCTTGGGCTTCTCCTCCTTGTCTGCCGGTGGATTGGCTACTGCCGCAGCTGCTGCTGCTGCCGATGCCTGTGTCTGCTGCTTGCCGCGCAGCTGCTTGGGGAACGAGAACATGGCAATGGAGGCGAGCAGCATGAGGCTGCCAATGGCCACAGGTCCAAGCCACCAAGCGCCAATCCAGCGAGGATCGCTGGCATCGAAGCCAGGATTAGTAAAGTTCACATACCAGCGGGTGCAAAAGCTGCCCACAATGAAACCGGAGGCAGGTCCCAGAATGCGCATGCCAATGGTCACCGCCATATACATGGGCGACTGTTTGCTGCCTACATTGTCATCGATGTAGGGTATGCCAAGGGTGGCCACCGCCGTCTGGCCAATGCCCGAGCTGAGCAGACTGCCAAAGAAGATGCAGAGCACAATGACCGTGATCTTGGTGTGCGATGCCTGCTCCAGTTGACGCTGCTCGTTGCATTCGCTGCCCGCCAGTGTGCCATTGCCGCCCAGCTGGCAGAGATTCGGATTTGTGGCATTGCTCCACATCGACGACACAGACGCTGACGTTGGCTGCAGAAACACACTCGACTGCATCAACTGCTCCCCGAAGATGAAGTGCGGCAGGGCGCAGGCAAATGCTGCAATCGAGAACAAGACCATGCCGCAGGCAATCCAACGTGGACGATGTCCTCGACCCGCAAAATAGGTGAGCAGCATCGCTGTGCTAATCTGACCCATTTCGCTGGCGCTGAGCAGAAAGCCCGTAGTTTTCGATTTGATCTGGAACAGTTTCTCGATGGTGGTGATCACAGACACGAAATATGTCATGTACATGCCCTGGAGGATGTACGCCAGCAGGAACACCACCATGAACACATGCGTCGATGCAAAGCGACGCGCCCAACGCGGCCGACAACCAAACAGGCCACAATTGGAGCCACCATCATCGATGCCAATGCCGCCGGCGCCACCACCGCCGCCAATTAAATCCGAATCGAAATCGGATTCTTCAGATTCACTGCCACGTGGCGGCAACTTATAGCCACCAGTTAGTGGCGCCTGTTCGTGCGCATACTTTTCGCGCAGACTGTGCCCGTTGTGAGTGTTGTGGCCATTGTGGCCATTGTTATTGCTGAGCAGCCCGTTCTTCAGATTGTTGATGTCCTCCGATGCCTTCCATTCGTTGTTGTTGCTCGGCGTGCTCTCGTATAGTGTTGTGGGCGTGCCCACCAGCGCCTCGCCCGCCCCCTCGCCACCGTTTGTGCTGTTGTGCTGGGCGAGCAGCGGCGTGAAAGCCTGCGTCGAATCTCGACGACCGCCTCCATTCTGATGATAGCCATTCCCATTGCCATTGCCATGGGCATGTCCATTGCTTGGCTTCTGTTGCTGCTGCTGCTGCTGCTGCTGCTGTTGTTGCTGCTGCTGCTTCTGTTGGCCATTTGTTGTTGTTGTTTGTTCTGTGAGGGGCGCTTGTGGCGCCTCGACATCGCTTAGGCTTTTCATTATGCTGCACAGTGTGGCGTATACGTAATATGTGACCGCTTGACTTCTGCTCGGCTCCTGTTGCGGCTCCTGCTCCTGCTCTGAAATTTTGCCTGCTTACCGTTAGCTCTGCTTGCTCTGCTTCTTCTTCTTCTTCTTCTTCTGTTTCTCCCGCCTCTTCTTGTTCTTCTTCTTGATTTTTAGTGCTGCTTGGAAATTTGTTGTTCCATTTTTCATTTGTTTGAGCTACATTGGAAAATGCATTTTGCTTCTAATTTGCGCTAATTATTTTGTGTGTGTTTTTTTTTCCTTCAGCAGCAATCACTTTTTATAATTACACAGTGTGCATAAGCGAGTGTGTGTGTGTTTGTTTGTGTGTGTGTGTGTGTGTGTGTGTAGGTGTGTGTGTTTCTTTATTTGTTGTGCTTGGCCAGCAAACGAGGTAGTTTTGGTTGTTGTTGTTCTTGTTGTTGTTGTTGTTGTTCTTGTTCTAGTCAGTTACTTCTTTGTTGCAATATGGCAGTGTTATCTAAGAAAAACGATAAAGGGTACGCAATAAATTAGCATGTCTCTCAAAATATTTAATGCGTTTTTAATCTAGACGTCGACACCTGATTCTTAAATATCGATTCAGTTTTGACAAAGTTATGGCTGTGGGAGGATTCGTTGCATTCCCACAAGAACTTTTTGGGTATATCATTTTAGCTTGGATTTCGAGTTTGCAACTTTAAATGTAGAATGTCACTTTTTGTCTATAGAATTTTAATATAAATGTCGCGTTAGAATTGCGTTTTCAACTTTCAATGCAGAATTAATCTAAAAGTCAAACCATGATTACAAAGCCTTTGCTTTTTGACCAGTCTCCGGTTAATACAACACAGCTCTCTAAACAAAACTAGTATTAATATTAATGCACCTTTGTACTTCACAACTGAACGAATTTTATCACTTCAAATGCCACTTCGCTTAAAGTTTGCACAGAAAATACGCCTTTGGGATAGGCAACAAAATATTTGATAATAAGTAATAATCACTTTTTATACTATATACTATATGATTTAATTGGGTTATGCGCATATTAATTTATATATTATATTATAGAGGCAAGTATACAGTATTTGAAAACCTTAGCGTGTGTTAGATCCGAAGTTAATTTGCAAGAAGCGTTGCGAGTTTCTCCAATGGACTGCAAAATCAAACTAAGCGAACAAATTGAAACGCAGGCTGCAAAAAGCGCAGCACAAAACAAAAATTGTAGCACAAAAAGACCAATTAAAAAAAGCAAATACTAAAAGGCAGCAGCAGCAGCAGCAGCGGCAGCGGCAGCGGCAGACAGCTTCTTATCAGTTCATGCACACACACACACACACACACACACACACATGCCCACATATGTGCAGAGCGTCAACAAAACGCAGTCAACAGATACAGATACATATATGCATATATAATATACTTGTACCCATTTTGTACCACACCTATCACAAAAAATGAAAAGAATTCGTTGCAAGCATTTTTTTTTTTTGGCAAAAATTGATAAGCTCTCAAGGTTAATTCATTAGATGTTGTTGTAGGCGTTCTGCAATAAAATATATAAAAAAAAAACGCAGTAACTCTTTGGCAATATCGAGAAGCAAAAGATTGCAAAGCTGAGCTGCTTTTGCAAAACATCAAATAGGTTTATACGTCGAATATGTTATAGAATCACAAAACTGTTTGTATTTTTTATTATTCCTCACAACTTGCAATGGCTACTCTAAGCAAATCTAACATAAGTCGAAGAGATTAGATCGCTTATCTTTAAATAGACTCAGACAATATTATATTTGTGCATGCGATTTGCATATTCTAACGATGATCTCATATTAAATGGAGTGTGCTCTCCAGACTGCACATAATGCTCATAATATATATATATACATATTTATATATAGAGAGAGAGAAAAGCTAAAGCAAATATTAAAACAGTTTGTACAAATCCCAAACGTTTCGTATCTGTAGCTTGCTTTTATTAAGTTGTGTTGTTTTTGTTGCTGTTGTTGTTGTTGTTGCTGTCAACAATTTCAATGTCAGCCAAAATACTCGCAGTTTTGCACTCATTATATTTTTTTGGGGTGTTTCATGTGATTTGTTTCTTTTTGTTGCTTTTGTTTTTGTTTTTGTTTGCTTGTCTTGTATAGAGTCTCAATTTTTTTATTGCGCGGTTTAGCATTGTAGTATTAGTCTTATATATGTATATATATAAAAAGCTATGACACAATATAAATTTCACTTTTCGTAGACCCATGCCACTTGCCCTGCCACAGGTCCCCTTTCCCATGTTCAGTTGCAAACGCAGTCGCTGCAGTCGCCAATCTTATCAAACTCGCTGATAATGAAAGTGAAACTTCTGTCGAGTTAGTGTGCGAAAGAGATGGCAGCTAATTGTGCAGAAATGCAATAATAAATATCAAATTCGATAACCCCTACACTTATACATAGAAAGACAGAAAGATAGTGACTACATGTGTATATAAACTTATCTGTAAGTATTTATAGTTTGTTGAGAACTAAATTAGAAGAGCTCAATTGCAAATATTCATTACAGGGTATATGAATGGTCGTTCATTCTGTCTCTTGTTCTTAAAATGTATTGCGCATTGCACGCATTTTGTTTGAGTTTCAACGAATTTCGTTTGAAATGCGCAAATTTCTAATTACAAATATTGTTTTTTGCAGAAAATACTTGTTTAATTCTCGAGATAATAAGAAGCAATCAAATTGAACTGCATAATTTGTTGCTCTAAATTCACTTGAATGAAGCTGTTAATCAGCAGAGAATCTGACTTGGCATATGATTTAATTAATTGTATAAAATTCTAAATAAATTCTAGGTTCGAAATGAAAACTTTTTCTAAAACATCAGCTGACCGCACAATGCATATTTAAAACAAAATTAAATAATGTATATTTATTATATAATATACAATTAAACTGTCTAACGTTAATTGCAAGTATTTGGTAAGCCCAGGAAAAGCTACTACAAATTATTAAACATTATTAACTGAGTAATAAAAAAAGTAAATCGCTTAGAAGGCAGCTAAACAAAGGGAGAAATCTGCGGAGATTTGAGTACAGACTTATGCTGATTATAACTGGAAGTATCCACACAATTTGTTGATTACACTTGATAGCAAACATTTCCCGATGCAGATGCCCCATTCGTTTGTCTTTTCAATGCGCAGTCTGCCAAATGGCAAATGGCAAATATGCAAAGCAGCCAGAAGCAGAAGATTTGAATGCCAGTTGGCAGAAGGGCTGACTGTCTGCCTGGTTGCTTAGTTGCTTAGTTAGTTGGTTGGTTTGTTTGTTGGTTTGTTTGTTGGTTTGTTGCCTTGGCGGTTAGCTGCTCAGTTACCAGTTCTCTGTGGAGTTTAGAGAATGCGCTGCTGGCCTAAGTACCTGACCACAGCAGAGGACAGGTAAAGCACATTGAACCCACCACTGGCCAAACAGTTGGACATTTCCTTCTTCTATCTATATATTATATATATATATATATATTTATATATATATATACATTTGTGTGTTTTTGTCTATTGATATTGTTTTAAATTTGGTTTAATAGATTGTTAATTGTTTTCCAATTTGTTTTGCTTACATAAAAATGACATTTGTCCTATTGCTGTTTTTTGCTTGTTTCTCGGTGTCAATCATAATAAATGCAATTAAGATGCCCAAAGAGGGGTTTCCATTTCAATTGAGCCACACACTGTTTTTGAGTAATGGTAATAAATATTGACGAAAAACGAAAAGTTATCAATGCCTAGAATAAGTTGAAAGGGGGGTGTGGACGAGGGGAGGCCGAGTAACTCTCAATGCGTGTCGTTTTTCCGGTTTTTCGGCCTGGTTGCCACATCTTCCGTCTTCCGTCTTGGCCAAGTCGTACCTGCTGCTTGCTCTGCAGCTGTTTGTTGTTGTTGTTGCTGTTGTTTTTGTTGTGGCTGACTAAGTTATTACGCGATCTTGTTTGGCTCAGGTGTAATGGTATGTGTATAATGGTATGTGTATGTGTGTGTGTGTGTGTGTGTGTGTATCTGTGTATGCATTTGAATTGCGCAAGCGCAACTATTGCAAATTGCATACCCAGTTGCCTGCTGCTGCCTGCTGCTGCATGCCAACATGCAACAAACCAGACACACAGGCAACGTGCAACAAGCGTTGACTAGACGCTGACAGCAGCAGCAGCAACAAGTGCAAAAGCCACAGAAGAAAGCCACAACAACAACAACAACAATGCCTAGAAGCCCCAGCATTGAAAGTAAATTGCAGACTAGCATAAGAAAATAACCACAACAGCAATTGCTGACAATCATCATGATCATAATGAAGATCATAACGATAGTGCTGGAGTTGATGTCGGAGTCGGAGTTGGACTCCGCTCAGCCGTTCAAAAGTGTCTCCATTATCATGTGACCATCTTCATAATGAGTTGGCTGCAAAAAAAAAGTGGTTTGGCCACATTTCACTTTTAGCATAGAAATAATTTAGAACTTGTCTGCAAAACTTTTGCTTTATGTGGCCATTTATTAGCCAAGAAGTTAGCCAAGTCAGCTAAGATTATAATTTAAGTAGCTGGCGCAAAACAAATTACTAACCTCAGCTCACAACACCATCTGCCATATAAAAAACATAGAATTATAGCAAATGTAAGTTGGAGATCACCAACAAGCATATAAAAAAAAAAAAACTGTCCAAAATTAATAGAACTGAAGCCCGAACTGTGACATCATAGTGCGACCATATTAGCTTATCGATAATTATCTTATTTTATGGTAGTGTTTGCCAATAAACAGTGAAGAATTTATTAGATTATACAACTTAAGTTTGATCACAAACAAAAACTGACCAACTCGACTCGAACGTAGAAACAATTGCTGGTTGTGTGGCATGTGTTGGGGACAACCAAAATTTATAATTTTCTTAACGTTGCGCAGAGCTTGGTCTACGTGCCAAGTAACACCCATACCAGATCGTATTGGCACAACTTGCCACACAGATCACGCTACGAATTGTTTATTGTGCGGTTCATGTTTAATGACTCGATTATCTCCTTACAACCGATCGGCCAGATAATGTGATTTAGTGCCACTATCATTACTGAAATATCAGCTGAAATGAATCCAGTGCAAACTGCGAATCGACTGTCATTTCAATGATATCTGGCTTAAGTCAGTTAGTTGTTTTGGGGAAGTGCATTGAAGGAGGCATTTCACATCATATAAATTGTATACATTGAAAAGAAGTGCTGGGCAATGTAATATTCAGTAAGGCTAATTCTTTCCTATTTGGAACTTCGAACGTTGTTATTGATATACAAGCAACTTGTTATTATCCAAACAATGACTTATAATCACTTGTTTAGCGTATGATATTTGCCGAGCTGACAGTCAAAGTTTGGGGATAGTCATCGAGTGCTGGGTGAACCGTAGTTTGTTGCTAAGCTTACATTCGCAGGCACATTCACGGCTCATGCTCACATTTGAGTAGCTATCGAAATCAGCAGTTTTTGTTGTTGTCATTTTTTTTTTTCAATTTATTTTTCTTGACTTGTCGCCTTGACTTTGACCTTCACACTGGAAACCGAAATTAAAACCAATCCAAAACACAACAAAACACAACAAAAAAAAACGTTCAACGATTGATTCGATTGCGATTGTTGTTTGTTGTTGTTATTTTTTTATAAACAAATTTTTAGACAGTCAGACGAAGAAGATAACATACAACAACAACAAAAAATAACCGTCGACAAATGTGATTACCACATTTACATATAGATTAAATACACACAAAATATACATTTATATAGATGTATATATTCATCAAATTATATATAGAACTAATTGAAGCTGCCTTTTCAAGCTGAAAGTGTCGAAATTATCTGAGCTTCGTTTTTTATACTCTTTTTTTTTTTTGTTATTTCTTTTTGGGTGTGATTCATTGCATTTGTTTTTGTTGTTGTGTGCTATTGTTTTTTGGAGTTTTTTGTAATCCTATTATGGCAAAAACATGAAAAGGGAGCGATTATGGGAGACCCAAAAACAGCAAATTCGGATTATATAAAATGATATTGCAAAAGTACGATTGCGATTACGATGACGATTACCAGCACAATTACATACGTACTTTACGTACATATGTGTGTATGTATGTATGTAAATACATATATGCATGTACATATATGCACATTTGGTTTTTAAAGTGGAACACGCATGTTTATATGGCCGGCGAAATGTATTTACATATGTATACATGATTCATGGCACGGTGACAAAAGGTGCGGCAAACAAGAATTCAACAACAATATATATAAAGGGTATCTAAGGCACGCCGAACTTTTGAATACCCTAACTGACAGGATTTTACGATAAATTTTAAATAGTCGCTTGATTGTTTCTTTGAGTCCTAGTCTTTTGTTGATAGTTCTTTATCTACATGTTGGGAGCATTATAACACACATAACTGGTGAGTTTAGTCTGGATAATTTGTTAAATAAGAAAGGTGTTTATTCAAGAACCGATTGTCATTCAAGCTATATAGATATAGTAGTCAAATCTCGATTTGAAAAACATTTTTGTTAAGTTTGGTTTGGAGAGCTTGTTAAACAACAAACGTTTTTCATACAAAAACTCATTTAACATTTATCGACAGATCCAATTTTCATCAAGATACACTTAACAAACAAACAGACGACCAGATAAATGTATATATATATATATATATATAGAGATGCGGGAATGATGCTGAGAAAGAATATATAACTTTTATCGGAGATGTCTCCTTCAATGAATTACAAACTGCACGACAAAATTGGAATACCTTCGACAAGGGTATAAAAAACAATAAGGAAAACAACAACAAAATGAAAATATTCTGCACACTTTAAAGCAATTCTAAAAATGTATATTTTTATGCTATGCATTATTTATTGGATTGCCATAAATATGTTTGCCAACATTTGAGAATGTATTTCTTTTGAATATAAATCAAACGTTATACATTTATATTTCAAATTTAAAATCTTTAGGAAATGCTGCCTAACTAAATGCCACACTTGCTATGCCCCTACAAAGTGTATGCAGTGGCGAACTCATATCCATAAGATACACACAATGTTGAACGGTTTTTGCACATGGCTTTAAGTGTATATATTTTATTTATTTTGTTGCCGCCGCAGTTGCTTTTCTTTATGCACACTTTCAACAAAAAATACAAAAAAAAATATCCATGAAAAAATGAGAAAAAAAAAACAAACTTCCTTTTTGACGGCGCTTGTTAAAAATGCCAAAAAGGTAAGAAATGAAGCAAAAGAACAGCAGCAGTTGGAAAAAACCAAAACGAAAGCCTAAAAACAAAAAATTCAAAAAAATAAAAACAAAATGAACAACCTCAAAATGGCAGCGAAGTGTGCATAAATTTTTGAAATGCTCGCAGCAAGCGAAGCGACAGCCAAAAAAAAACAAAAATAAGACAAAAAATAAGAAAATACGAAGAAGAAGTGAACCTAATGAAATGCAATCAAAAATGCATTTTAAGCGGACTGCATTAAGTCGGGAGCTGGGGCTACTTGTGCCCCCTCTCCCTCTCCCTCCCCCTGCCCCACCCACCCCGTCTGTGCCGCTACCTGCAACGTTCCAATTCGAATTTTAGTATCTGCCACACAGATCAGAAACATGGCGCTGACGTGCATTGTGGCAGCCGAAAAAAAAGATGTTCAAATTTATTTAAGCATATTGCCGACAACAAAAAATAAAACAAAATAAAATAAAATAAATTCAAGCGATTTCTTTTTCTTTCACGACACAATTTACATTTGTCATTTCTGTGCCACCGTGTGGCAAAGAACAGATACATTCTAATCATAAATATTGAATATCTTTATATTATTATCATCTCGATATATATATAATGAGCAAACAGTAAACTGTATTGAACTGTTTATAGAATCTTAATTCAAAATCGAGCAGATTTCAGATTTTTTTTATATAATCTCAATATATTCACAGCATTTAAGAATCTTCGAATTTTGGTTAAGCGTATCCACATCACATTAATTTTTTTATTTAAATTATTTTGATTGCAAAATCCTGTTGTGAAATATTATTCTAATGTCTTCCAAAATAAAATCGAATTTTAAATTGTATTCGTTTTTTATACATTTTATTTGACAACATTGAACCACTGTGCTGGGCCGAAAAGGAGTCATCGTTGTCAACGTCAATGCCAGAAAAGCGTTGCGGCTGCCATTTATAAAAAAATACTCTTAATTTAAGCAGAACCTTTCGTCTGATTGATTGAGCTGCTGATTTAAGCGGCTTTTTGCGGTATCTGAGTGTGTTTGTTTGTGTGTGCAGATCCTGGGCCAGGTGATTGGGCAAAAGAGAGAACCGGCCAACAGCAAGGTGCGTTGAGGTGTTAACTTGTCTTAAATGTTCAGGCCACAGTACCGTTATAACGCTAATTGAAGTCTTATAAATTGTTATTGCTTCTTGCGAACCTTTTCCTACCATTTTTTTCTTCTCTTTTCCCACTTTTTCTGGCAGCTGCGGCTAATTTAGCATAATGCTCGCAAATCTGTATTTGATCATGATGTGCATTGATTTTAACAATTAACGCCCAATTAGATGGAAGTACACACATGCACACACACATACACACACACACACACACTGAGATACGCATGTGCGTAGTTCGCTTAGTCATTTGCATAATAAGCAGCGAACTATGAAATTCATTCGTATCTAAGAACTACACTTAAAGTCAAGTGGTTGCCTAGGGGCATGTGGAATGGGTTTGGAATGGGTATTGCTTGGGGCTCTACTTGGGCCTGGACTGGACTGGTCTCTAGTCGTGGTTCTGTTTTTGAAATCTCTTATTCATCGTTATTTGTTTATGAAAGTACTTAGCACTTTTTGCGTCGCACTTTTTGGCTGCCACCCCTTACCCCCCGCTCTTTATGCCCCTTCTCTGTCTCACTCTCTCTCTCTCTCTCTCTGTCTTTAACAATATTTTCAATTGTTTAAAATTCTGTGCATCACTTTCGGTGTGCGTGAGTTGATAATTTTTTTGTCGGTTTATATTTGTTCTTTGTTTTTATTGTTGTTGAATTGTGACTCTTTTTTTGGCGAGTTTTTACCAAGCAACAAGTGGATTTTTTTCGGCGTTACATTTTAAATAAAGTGTTTGTTTAAGGCTGGGCCCTGTATGCGGATATGTATTCGGTTAATTGTTTACTTTAAAAGTCAATTTACTTACTTATTGTTTACTTTAGTTGAAGTTGGCATTTGTAGCTTAGGATTGGTAACTGCAACATAAGAAGAAGAAACCGTATTGATGAGAATTGTAGCAAACTAAAACAGTTTAACTCGAATGTAAGACGATAAATCTAAGAACAGAAAATACACTTATTATAAAACAATATAAGTCTCTGAAATGCCTCTTATATCAATTATATATGGTAGAATATTGAGCAGTAGACTTTAATAAAAATAAATAATGTAATAAATTTGTATGTATTTATGTATGTGTGTCTTTTTCCATTCTCAATTGGCTGGTTGCAACGCAACTGTTTCTGTGGTAATTTACATGCCACATGCTTGCCACATAAAATAAAAAAGTAGAGAACAAGAAGCATTACAAACTGCACGTTTAGCTGCCTCTTAACAATTACAGCAAAAGTGATTAACAATCATAAAAAACAACGACAACAAGCATCAGAACAACAAAAACAACCACAACAAGAACAACATCAACTTGAGCTGATCGGCAAAACAAGTTCGTCGCCTGCATTGCGTGTGAAAACAATTTATGAACGAGCATTTAAACAATGTTTTTTTCTTTTAATATAAATATAATATGCAATAAAAAACGCATTACAAGGGGGCAAAGTGTACAATGAATGCAAATGCTGTCTACAACAACAACAACAGCAACAACAGCAACAACGGCCACAACAACTAAAATCGATGTGAACGGGCAGCAGCAACAACTACAAATGACGACAGCAGCAGCAGCCGCAACAGCAACAACAACAACAATCAACTTATAAAAATAAAAGATAAATGAGCGCAACTGTCTGCCCGTCTCCGTTTCAGTCTCTCTCTCTCTCTCTCTCTCTGCTGTTTGTCTGTATGTGTGTGTGTGTGTGTGTAACAAAAGCAACAGCTCAAGTCGCATTGCATTGAGATAGGTCAGTCACACACAAAAACACACACACACACACTTACCCTCGCATACAAACTCACTCACTCACTCACACACACACACACACATACACATAATGAGCGGCACACACGCAAATGCAACGCTGCACTCGCTGCCAAAGCTTAATATGCAGTTAAAGCTGCAGCGCTGCCGCTGTCGACGCCAGCGATAACGTCAACGGCAACGTCAACTGCTCTAATTACTCTGGCCGTAAATCGTTGCTAGGGGTGGCCTCAACGCACATCTACCCCTCCCCTGCCCATCCCCAGCTACAGCTAGCGTGCACAACAACAGTCGACCCATTCCAGTGTTGCCAAGCGTTGCATCAACAATAACAGCTACAACAACAACAACAGCAACTAGCAGCATAAAACAAGTTTTTGATTTAATCTCAGTCTCAATTTCAGTTTCAGCCGCAGAGTCTGCTGCCGCTGTTGTTGTTGCTGTTGGTCCAATGTAAAAACTTACACAATCGCCGCACAGCGCACAACGCACGCATACAAATGCACAAGCATCTGCTGTGACTGAGCTTCCCGCTCAACAACGATTCACTTTTCTTTGTGCAATTTCAATAATTTAGACAGAGCAAGAGAAAGAGAGATAGAGAGCGAGAGCCAGAGTCTGAGAGCCCAAAGAGAGCGTGAGCATAAGAAATATAAGAAAAAAGCTCCATTACAGTCTACAGCCGCTGAGAGCGGCGCAGTCGCCAACTTGCACTTTCTGCTGCACTTTTTGGGCAGTAACATTGCCATAACATAAATAGTAGTAGATTTTGCTGCTGTTGAAATGTTGAAATATGTTCCCAAATTTAATTAATTTTAATTTTATTCAATAGCACTTTCAACTAATTTAGTCTTATATTTTAAATTTAGTTTATCTATGTATATGTGTATTCTTGTCTGTGTAAATCTCTCATCTGTGAAGAACCTACGACAACAAAATAAATAGTGCGACCAAAAGCCAACGATGCAAACGAATTTGGCAAGCGCCCTACAAAATTTGCAACCCTTACAGCTAAAAGCTTACGCTCTTGTCCTCTCTTCACCCATTTCCCTCTCTCTCTCTCTCTCTCCCTCTCTCACATTCACTTGGTGTGTCTTTAGGGCGTGTCGCATTACATTGCACAGACAACATAAAGAATATTGCGCAGTTCCCAAAATATAATTTAATTCCAGACAATTGTCTAGACAAGCAGTAGAAGGGGTTTGGGCCTGTGCGCGATAAGCAAATTAGTCATTTTTTGCAGTGGATTGAGTGGTTAGTGTTTGCTTTGATTATGACATAATTAGTGAAAGTGAAATTGATCAGTAAATGCAGCAGCAGCAGCAGCAGCAGCAACTGCAAAAGCTGTTGTTGTCCAAAAAGCAGCGCAGCGCAGCGTGACGCCAGCATCGCAGTCGATGTCAGCGCTAACGTTGAGAGAGCGGCGCGCAGCGAAATGAAAATGAAATTAAAATTCAAAATGAAAATGAAAATATTGCAAAACTTAAACACGCACATGGACAGACAACAGGCTCGCTCTCCCAATGCAGTTGTCTGTTCGTGTGTGTGTGTGTGTGTGTGTGTGAAAAGTGCATTGACTTTGGCTGCTTATTGACGAGCCTACCTTGGATGCGCTTGGTGTGTGCATGTATGTGTGTGTGTGTGCGTTTGATTGAATGTGTGTGGCAAGAGGCGAACCCACCAGATTGCCATAGCCAATTTGTATTTTCAAGTGCTGTCTGTCGGTTGTTTATTTATTGTAAAATGCAAATCACAAAAGTACTTTAAACAATTTTCTGCTATTTAACGTCTTGTGTGTGGGTGTGTGTGTGTGTTTCTATGTGTGTGAGTATTGTGTGGCTGAATTTGGAGGAACGCCGAATTGCTCACCTTGAAAACAATTTTGTACTAAAAGAAAATACTTGATGGACTATTACAATTTATTTACATTAAGTGGGATTTGATTAAAAATTATCATTTATTCAGCTAAAAAATGTGAACTCACAAAATAAAAGGCTTAAATACTTTCAACAGACTTTCTTTAACTACACATGAATAATAGTGAATATTATTCGACTGCATCTATAATTTATGTGAATGTTATTTGTATGCCAGCAACGCCGATGATCCCCTACAATAAATCACTTCAAATTACACACAGGCGATTGCCAACAAAGTTTCCACGAGGCGTATGCGCAATATACATTTGAATACGCTCAACGCATATCACGTATACGCCACAAAGTCCGCAACTTTTGTGGCTGTTTGCGATGTTTGTGTGCAGCGCAAGTGCGCATAAATAATCGTTAAACAATGCATATAATCAAAATGTAAAACACTTTCATGGATTTTAGTGCACAGTTTACAGCAGTTGAGCGTGTTTTTGTGGCGCTTGATTTGCGGCATTGTGTTACTAATTTGCGGTTGCATACAATGTAGCAATGTAGCAATGCAGCAATGTAGTGCAACAATGTGCAGCATGCACATTGCGTTGTCAAGCAAAACCAACGAACAGCCCAAGAAGCCATCACTCAAAGGCCAGTCACAAAACTAGTTTAGTAGGAATTTTCTGTTCTGTTACGTCTTGCATTCAATTGAATTGAATAAGTGCCCCAAAAGGGGGGAGAGGCGTGGGTGCCACAAAATGTGTGTTAAATTGATTGAGTGATTTACGAGCAACAGCATATAAATTAATGCACAAGCATCAAAACTGGTCTATTTAAAAATGCATTTCATATAATTTTCACAAAAATAAAAAATAAAAAACCAAACAACAAAAAAAATGAATAAAATAAAAAGCGAAAACTGGGTCAACCTGATGCAGCTGCCTACGCAGTGCAAACGGACTTCGAGACTATGTCGTCGTCGTTGCTGTTGGCGCTGTTGTTGTCATTGTCTATCCGGCAGACGCAGACGCTACAAATATGTAACTCAAGAGATATGCAAGCCAAAGCCAAAATTGTATCTGTATCTGCGCCAAAAAAAAAACAAAACCGACAAAAAAAAGCAAATGAAATAAAACTGTTATTGCTGCAATTGGGTATGCGACTGTCAAATACCCTGTAACCGAAACTCAAGGAGTTCAGGTATATGCCAATACTAAATAGAATTATTCAGTAAAGTTTTTTTAGTGATAGTATTTATATGTTGTGTATGTTTTATTATATTTAAATATAAGATATTTATCGCTTCAACTTCAAGCAAAATTAAAAATGGGTAAATTATTCAATTTCATTATTATATCTCTAAGTGGAGCGCTATGTGGCATATAAGCATAAAACAGTTGCCCTAGCCAATTCTAACTTATTTATACGACTTATATATACAATTTGTACAGGGTAGACAAAAAGTATAACTGCAAAAAAATGGGAAAAAAAATATGATAAATCATTTGTAGGCGCGTTGGAAAAGTAAAAACAGCAGCAAGACGACGCCAAAAATGTATGCATCTCCTTGGATTTCACCCACGCCGGAGTTGATTCAACAGCAGCAACAACTGCAACAACAACTGCAACAACAACAACAAAAACAACAGCAACAACTGTAGCAATAACAAGGTGGGTCAAGTTACAACTTGTTTTGGCTGTTTTTTTTGTTTTTTTGTTTTTGTTTTCGTGTGCCATTCATTCACCATTGCGTTTTGATAATCGCATTCAGTGTCTTATCAGCAGTGCAACAATAATGCAGACACGCGACAACAACAACAACAACAGCAGCAGCAGCCACAACATTTGCTACAACATTGTGTGCAAATGATAATAACAAATCACGACAATGGCTTGGCGTTTCAATGACACGCAGGCAATATTTGCATTTTTTTCATTGCATTTGCCACACTGTGCAGGCCCACAATGTCTGCGCCGAGTCGTGATTCCGATTCCGATTGCGATTCCGCCTGCGCACAAGCGTTCACTTTCAAAATCAGTGAAATGTAACCGACAAAAAACAAAAAAAAAATGTTGCGAATTGATGTTGCATTGTTGGTGTTTGCTTTAAGAGTTATGCACATTACTCATTTGGCTTACAAATAGAGGTTAATTTATTGATCAAAATGAGACGCACATGAAATGCCCAGAGAAATGTCTTCATTTTGGAAAGGTGCAACAACATTTATGCTAC